TTAGCTAAAGAAGGGGATAAAGTATATCTACTTATAAAGAATCTTTAAACTTAGAAGAGAAAATATAAGAAACTAGATTATATTAAGGTTAGACTATTTTATATTTCTAAATAAATATTACTAGTAAACTATAGATTAGAACTACTACTAGATATAAAGATACACCTAGTATTCTATATATTATTATTAGAACTAGTAGACCCTAAGACACTAGTTAAAACTACTTTCTATTATAAAGCTAAGGAAGAAACTAAATTTAAAGTTAAAAATATTATATATAAAAGAATCTATAAAGGAATCTAATAGTACCTTATTAAGTAGAAAGGATACCTAGATAGTAAAAATACTTAGAAACTAAGAAGTAACCTAGATAACTATTAATAAATAATTAAAGAATATAAATAAAAGTCTTTAAGACCTATTATATAATAAGAAGTATAAATATACTAGAAGCTAGGAATAGGTAAGAATACTATACTATTAATAAGATCTATTATTAACTATATAGTAGAAGAAAACCTAGCTAAGGTATTAGTAAAGATATAGTTTAAAGAGGCTATATTTATCTCTTTACTCTTCTTAGCTAGCTTATTTACTAGGTATAAAACCTTCTTATATATATACTCTTTAGCCTATACTAGTATTCTCTTATTTTATAATAACTAAGTAATTATAATTACTAGTTTCTTTTTATTATCTTTAACCTTCTTTTTATACTCTTTATAAGTCTTATCTAAAGAAGACTAGGATATATCTATATATAGCTTTCTAACGTAAATATACTTAGTATACTTTAGACTAGAATTAGATATAATATAATATAGAATACTTTCTATAGTATACTAAATATAGGGGTTTCTATAGTTATATTAGCTCTAAGGATTTTATTATATAAATAGAGTTAATAGAAGTAGGAGTTAGAAGGTATTATAGCTACCTACTAAGTTAATAGATATAAGACTTATACTTATATAATAGTAATTAAGGAGTATATAATTTAAGGATAAATTTATAAAGGAAGGGGATAATATTAGAATCTAGACCTAAGTAAGGGTTAGAACCTTATTTTATATTATAATAAAGCTTACTATTAGCTTACCTAGATAGAGTATACGTTAACTATACTACTAGGTACTAATAAGATATTATATAACTAATAGTTAATAAGTAATAGTTAATAAGTAATAGTTAACTATTACTTAACTAAAGTATATAGGAATATAAGGATAAGTTCTTATACTTATATTTAACCTATTTCTTAATCTATTATTTAGATTTACTTAGGCCTCTCTTATTAACTTATTATACTTTATAAAATACTTCTATATTAATAAGAACTCTTTCTCCTCCCTCTATAAGTCTTACCTTAGAACTAACCTTAACCTATTTAGGATTAGCTACTCTTTCTAGATTTAATATTTAAACCCTACTTCTAATACCTACTATACTTCCCTAAACTAATATAGACCTTATAAACATAGGTATATAACTAATAGAATAAGCACTTTAATACTATTATAACACTATAGTTTTTAATAGTAGAAATAAGGTTATAGTAACGCTTTATAGGATAATAGTTAGTAGGTATAATTCTTTAGGGCAAAGAATAAGAAAGGGAAAGAATAATATTATATACTAGATAATAGTAAGGAGATATAGGCGCTTATAAAAGTATTATAAACCAGATAATAGTAGGGAAGTTCGGGCGCTTATAAAGGTAGAAGATGTAATAACTAGGGTTATAATAAGATAAAGACACGCTAAGTTACTTAGATAGTAGTTACGTAACTTACTTAGCTACTTAGGGTTTCTAAATAACTAAGCAGCTAAGAGCTATTACATAACCTACTTAGTTATTTAGGGCTCCTAAGTAACTAAGTAAGATTCCTATATAGGAATATAAGGATAAACCTTTATACTTATATTTAACCTAAGTTTTAATCTATTATTTAGATTTACTTAGGCCTCCCTTATTAACTTATTACACTTTGTAAGATACTTTTATATTAATAAGAACCCCTTCTTCCTCCCCTTAGTAAGTCTTACCTAAGAACTAACCTTAACCTATTTAGGACTAGCTACCCTTTCTGGATTTAATAAAAAGTAGAAGATATAATAACTAGGGTTATAATAAGATAAAGATATACTAAGTTATTTAGATAGTAGTTATATAATTTACTTAGCTACTTAGGGTTTCTAAATAACTAAGTAGCTAAAAGATATTATATAACCTACTTAGTTATTTAGAGCCTCTAAGTAGCTAAATAGAATTTCTATATAGAAGTATAAGAATAGACCTCTATACTTATATTTAACCTATTTCTTAATTTATTATTTAGATTTACTTAGGCCTCCCTTATTAACTTATTATACTTTATAAGATACTTTTATATTAATAAAAACCCTTTCTTCTCCCTTTATAAGTCTTAGCTAAGAACTAACCTTAACTAATTAGAATTAGCTACCCTCTCTAGATTTAATATTAGGGTTTCTAAATAACTAAGTAGCTAAAAAATATTACGTAACCTACTTAGTTATTTAGAAACTCTAAGTAACTAAGTAGAATTTTTATATAGAACTATGAAAATAGGCCTCTATACTTATATTTAATCTATTTCTTAATTTATTATTTAGATTTATTTAGGCCTCTTTTATTATACTTTATAAAATACTTTTATATTAATAAAAACCTTTTTTTTTTAAGTCTTACCTAAGAACTAATTCTAACCTAATTAGAATTAGTTACCCTTTCTAGATTTAATAATCTTAATAAAGTTCTTATAGTATCTAACCTTTTATAAACTATTAGCTATAGTAAAAGGTATTTACCTATATTATTAGAAAGGTAGTAGGGTCGTAATTACCTATAGAAATATTTAATAGGTATATATAGTATCTATATAACTACTAGTACTATTTAAATTCATAATTAATTACTATTTCTAACTCGTTACTATTTATTTTATTAATATAGTAGGTATTAACCTAGAAATACTATAGCTTATCTACCACTATTTATTTACTATAAAAATAAATCTTACTAAACCCTATCTTATTTTTCGCCTACGCTAGCTTTTAGCTTATTATATGTGACTTCTTAATCTTCTAGCCAGGTATGCGAGAGAATGGCGTATGGCGGTGGGTGGTCGTTGTCAAATGACGTCAGCTCGAACGCGTTGCCTGGCAGGCGCTTTAGAAGGCGCATCGTGGCAGACGGTGGATGCGAACGCTTTGAGCGAACGCTGATAGCGATGTGATCGCGAGAGAAGGCGGAAGTGTTGTGATCGCGAGAGGAGGCGGGGGTGTATACATCTCTGCTTTCAGATGAGTAGGCTGAGTGCTTGGGGCTGTGTATGTTTCTGTTGTCCAACCAGCTTCGCATGATTGCAGCCTCGCGCCTCCGTTCTCGCTTACCTATGTAGTCACGTGATAAGGCAACGACCTTGACCTTAGGAGGCCAGATCATCTTTGCGCATAGGTCAAGTCACTGCATTGAATCAACTTTTCATACGACACTGACTTGTACTAATACATCCGTGCAAGGAACCTCCGCAATCATCTCCTCCGAAACGTGTCGTCCCTCCGGGTCGAAGTGGTTCAGAACCAGCTGAACGAAGCGTTAATCGTCAATAGCGTGCTCACCCTCGAAGTCGCGTCGCCCATCAATTGATCCATAAATTGAGCGTTTGGAACGATGTGCGATGAAGCGGAGCAACGCTGCCTGCAGTTCACGGAGGCGGAACTTACAAGAACCTCACAGGTTGGCCATGGCTGATGACCCGTTATTTGTGTAATATTCCAGTGAGTCGTGGTCAGATCTCACGTGAGTTTGGTTTGTAAGGAGCGGTGTGCTCTATGCATTTGAGATAGTCGGGTGGTTTGTGGGTTCATACACCTCTCACCCATGGATGTTGGCAAACAATAGTGAAAGAATCACATTTGAACGCCCAAAGCTCCTAAGATAGATCCGAGAACAATGCCTTAGTGATATTAATGCCCGGAATGTGGCCTTCCGAACATAATGCAACACAATGTTTGCGTGCATAATTGCATTGATACCGCACTATGCGCCGCCATGAGAGCTTCTGTCAGAGCCTATATAACGCCCATGGGAAACCATATAAACGATCTCAAAGCAAACGGACAAACCTGAGCCATAACAAGGATTCCAACATTCACAAACCGTTTAACACTCATTCATCATATCCGACATGGGTAAAGGTGATATCAACATGAAAGAAGTCTCCCTTGCTCACTACCATTCAGAGACCTTCGATTCTCAGAATCTCGATATTGGAACGGGACAGAAGGTCGAAGCTAACTGTCATCGCTGCCACGAATGTGGAGGCTCTTCGAAGCGCCTTCGTAACGAGGTGGCTGCTCAGAAAAAGCTGGGCAAGCCTCTGGCCACTAACACCAAGGGCATGCCTCTTGGAAAGGCCCCCTTTGGTAAGACAAACGCTGGTAAGACAAAGGGAGGCAAGTCTTTCAAACACTAGTCCACATTATGACAGCGTAGCGTTTTCATCGTGTTAGGCTCTCTATACGCGAGGGTTATGGGCTATGATCACATTTTTGCCTTCGTAAGTCTGTAGTAGAAGGCCAATAGAAGTATTACACCAATTATGCTTAATCCGTTTTTTATTACCCTTTTGATTGGACTTTCCACCGATCATTACTAATTATTGATTGCACGGCTATTAGTGCTTGTCAGAAATCTTGCGCCCACCAATCTTGCTTGCGGGGCGCAGCAATAGAATACACCTTTTCCTGTCATCACCGTCATTTTCGACCTCCCCCGGCATAGCAGTATAAGTCAGTGCGAAAGCAAAGCGGGTCAAACTGCGCTGCAGTGTAACGAATGCGACCTTCTCGGGTAAGAGGTCAATCTTTTCATTCAATTCGTTATCATTTGTACTCCCACTTCCAAGGAACAAACAACTCGCTATATGGAAGCCGGCAAATTCGTTAGTGAGAATATTCAAACAACATCCGCATCATCACTCTTCATCCTCATCCTCATCCTCATCCGCATCCTCGTCCTCGTCCTCATCCTCTAACGCGCACCCCAACAAACCATTACACAAATTAATAGCCATAGTTTTAGCCTCTTCTTCAGAGGTCATCAATCCACCCGGGTGCTCTACTTTCCACGATATATCAACAATAGTAGCCCAATCCTCATCCTCGGTTTTACTAGGGTCGCCAGTGGATATCTCAAGCGATATTTCCTCTCGAGGTTTCCAGCCAAAGTAGATGTGAAGGATGGCGTTGCCTTGGGCGTTCTCAGGGGCGTTAGCTTTAATGGTCCACTTGTCTTCCATTTGCTGCGGTTTATGGCCCTGCAGCATCTTATTGTAGTCTTCATGAGTGATAGTCTTATCCCATTGTGCCGTTGCTGGCGTAGTTTCGAAAGTGATCGGGGGCATCGTTGTTCGTGAGATTGAAGGCAGGCCTTCTGATGAATAGAGTTGGAGGAAGGTCTTGGATTAGATGCGAATGTGCTTGGTTTGGTAGTAGACGCCCGATACAACAGCCAGGGAAAGGAAGCTTGGGTGAATAGCCTGGAGATGATGAAGATGAGTTGTAGTCAAGTGCGATGCGAACAGCGATTGTGGGTTGGTTGTTACCTAGCACTGACGAGGTGGTCTCTAACGCGGACGCTACCTAGCGGTGCTACAAAGTTAGCCGCCCCCACTTATGTAATCGTGGCTGAGTACGGAACGAAGGCTCGTAGAAGAACTTCCAGAACCAGCCACGGACTTGGTTCTCTCATCGCATAGGGGAGTAAATGCGTACAAGTGTAGAGGCGCAGTATCCAGCGTGCGGCATACCATAAACTAAAGCCATACCCCATTGATCCTTGTCGCATGTTTTATCCGTGCCTTGGCGATGTTTCCGCTGGGCCACAATTTCGGTCTTGGCACCCCGCTAATACTAACTTAGCCAATCACCTTGTGTGTCTGCTAAGTGCGTAGCTCATTCGTTCGATCGTTCGAAAGTCCGGTAAGCCGCCAATCTCTCGGATCATGCCTGACCAGAGGCGACTGTAGCACAACTTCCATTTTAGGTAAATCTTCCTGAGACGCCTTTGCCGAGGATCCTGCAGTAAGACGGGATTCAGCCTCAGACTTCGTGCGAGATTTTGCAATTGACATCCTAGTGTCAACCTTTCGGACAAGAGAAAGAGGGAAATGTACAAACCTATAAGATGTTCTTCTCCAAAGACGTTAAGAATGTCCAGGGCGTAACATCTCAGTATCTTCGTTCATTCATTCGCTTCTTTTCTTTCGACATTCGTTTACGTTCTATTCACTCATTCAGCGACTTGTCGCATTAACGTTCGTTCAGAGTCTAAGACTCGTCCAATCTTTCAACCAAAGTTGCCTTGAGGAACACTTGCAGACATCATGTTTTGGCAGAAGACATTGAGTCTTCTTGGGCTCCTAGCTGCTGTGGGCAGCACAGCTCCAGCTCTGTCCAAGCGCCTGGACATTGACGACCTAAATGAAGAATTCGTGTTTTTCCGGGCTGATAGGTAAGTCTCCCTCGGGCCGATTGTCCATATTCTTCTTACTTGTGCTAACTATCCATCCCCAATCTAGACGCAGCCCCGACGAGATCAAAAAAGAACATGGCTTCCAAACAATGGGCAAAACCAACAAAATACCCGAAAACATCAGTCTCTGGGACCACTGCAAGATCAAAGGCGCAGAAGCGAAGTTCGGAAACCTAGCAGACGATGGCTACGTTTCCACGAGTCTGGATTTTGGGGTCTGTGTCAAGTGGGTCATGGAATACATCGAGGACCCTGATCACTCCACCATTTACAAGATCGCGTCGGACAGGAACCTTATTGGGTGTCACGACACGCTCAAGCACTGTACGTATGCCTGTGCGCTACGGTCACGTACTACCATGGGTGACATGCTGACGCTTGTGTCTAGACAATCCCCTCCCAGACGAACAAGAGTATGCTGCCATCGGCGGCATCCCTTGGGCCCAGGTCATGGGTTGGTACAACCAGTTCACCGTGCAAGGGCAGACCATCACGGACGCAGTATTCACCCCAAACCCTGCCTTCAATAGCGCAAAGTACCACAACGTCCCCGACGGTTCCGACCCATCCAACGGCGGAGAAAACTACAGGCTCGCTGGCTGGCCCAGGAACGACAAGAGGTGGTCGGAAGCGCCTTGGAAGGGCGTTGCTGACCCGGTTTGCGGCAAGGATGAAAAACCGAAGAAGGGGAAGAAGAAGGGCGCCCGCGACGTCGGTGACATCGAAGACGATGAAGATATGCAACTTGTTGTTAGGGACGATGAAGAAGATGTGGAGCTCGTGACTCGAGACAGCGAGGACATGCAGCTCGTTGCTAGGGCTAGAGGAGGGAGCAGGGGGTCCAGCAGGACGTCTTCTTCGAGGGCTGGTAGGGCTAGGAAGAGGCCTACTAAGAAGCCTACTAAGAAACCTACCAAGAAGCCCACAAAGAAGCCTACCAAGAAACCCACAAAGAAGTGCACAGCAGCAATGAAAAAAGCCGGAAAGTGCGGCACCAAGACCACATGCACCGCCGCCACCAAAAAGCGCAACGGTGGCGTCTGCCCCCCAAAAACAACCTGCACCGCCGCCCAGAAAAAGGCCAACGGCGGCAAATGCCCAACCAAACCCAAAACCACCTGCACCGCCGCCGAAAAGAAAGCCAACAACGGCACATGCCCCACCTGCACCGCAGCCGAGAAGAAGAAAAACGGCGGCAAGTGCCCGCCCAAAGCGTGCGGACTGCGCAAGACGAACAAACAGATGGCGGATGAGTATTTGAAGCTGTATAAGGCGGGGAAGCTGGGGAAGGGGAAGAAGAAGGGTGGTAAGGGAAGAAGACGGGAAGGGTGTAGGGGCTGGAAAAGGGGATAGTGCTGGGGAAATTGAGGATGGTGGACTGTGTGTTGGGTAAGGGGAGGCATTGTGGGCGTTCATTGGGGGGTTGCGGGAGGTTGGATAACTTTCGATTCGTGTAGAGTATAGGAGAGTTATAGATTGCGTTCTGGGAATGTTAGCAGTTGCAGAATTGATCTTTGATACTTTCATCCTGTCATGGTCTTACAAGAATTGAAAGACGCATGGAGATGCAGGTGCATGAACTGCAGAACGACTAGTAATCCTCAGCAAGTACAAATGTGAAGTGAAGCGCCCGGTGAGATGGGTATCATGCTATTCTTCTTCCGCGTATGTCCGGCCAAATTTCCGTGATACTAATTAAGACCGCTAAAAACATAAGCATGCTAACGATCTCCGTGTACATCCAAATCAACAGCGCCGTGAAATGCATGCAACCGTCCCAGGTCAGACCCAGAACGCCATTCATACTCCATCACGCCAATACATCATATCTCCCTCCGCTCGGTGCTCGTACGTGGTAGACTCGTCCAGGTCCCAGGATCAGGCGACCTATTACGCTGGTAAGTAATCCGGAAAAACAGCGCGGTTCCGCAGCTCCGTCCGCGAAATCGTGAGCATGAATGGTGGAAGGAGGGCATTTACCTCAGCGATGTTCTGGCGCTCGATGTACGACTGTTGGTCTTTGTCACGTCCAACGCGCCAGTAGACGTCGGTGTAGTCGCCGCAGTTCATCTCGCGCAAAAATTGCTCGTCGTGCGTGATAACCAGGAGCTGGAAGTTCGCTTGCTTACGGCGGATTTGGATGATCTGGGATAGTGACTCAGCTAGGCCCTTGATGTTCTGTTGATCGAGATTAGTGGTGGGTTCATCTAGAGCAATCAAACCGCAGTTGGTTCCGAAGCACTCTGCGAGCGCGAGACGGATCACGATGGAGGCGAGCACTTTCTGGCCGGCGCTACAGCGCCCGCGCATGTCCATTTCGTTGTCGCGCTTGACCATGACGACGCGGTAATTGTAGGTGCGGTTGCGGGCGCCGCCTTCGTTGTCGGAGCGGATGCGGACGGTGTCGACATCAGTGCCTTGGTAGGCGTTGCGCCAGAGCTCGTCGATAATCTTGTTGATCTCGTCCATCTTGATTGTGTGGAACTTCAGGATGGCTTGCTCGAGCGCGCTGCCGTATCGCCCTAGGTCGTCACAAGCTGCCTTGATCGTTTCAACCTTGATGTGAGCCTCGCGGTACTCTTGTGCGGCGTTTTTGTAGTATTTTTCGTACTCTTCGCTGAGTTCGACCATCTGAATGTCCAGCTGCTTCATCGTGGTGCTCAGCTCGATCACTCTGACATGCAGTAATTGGTATTCTGCGTCCCACTTGTCTCCTTCTGCAGTCCAATGTGCTTGATCATGTTCGGCGTTTCGCTGTTCCAGGTCTTCAATCTCTTTCGCGAGGGTTTCCAAGGTTCGCTTTGCCTTTCGGTATCGAAGGTTGTCGAAGATCGATTGTTTAGTGTGCTCGACACCGCTCAATGTCTCTTCAGTTTTCTTTATGTCCCGTGCGACATTCGACATGTCGTCTTCAATCTGTTTGATCTCGATCTCAAGATTCTCGATCTCCTGTTGAGCTCGAGCTAGACGCTGCGGGCCACCTTTATCAATGTACGCAGATATATCCTGGTCTGCTTCAGAAAGCTGGCGAACACTGTCAGACAGCTTGGATGCTTCCTCTTGAACGCGATTGACTTTTTCGTTACCGCGTCGATTGACATCCTTATACGTTGCTTGGGCTCGCTCTAGCTCGGGTTCAAGAGCCTGCATCTCAGTATCAAATTCGCGGATGGCCTCTCGTTGCTCAGCATTGCCAGTCTTGAATTCATCAATGCGTTCTACCAGATTTCGCTTCTCTTTCAGACTTGACTGTGCAGCGCTAAGCTCGGCATTGATATCGCGAATGCGGAGTTCAAGCGTGCCGACAATCTTTCGTAGATTGTCGCGCTCGCTGCTAAGAGCCGCAAGTTCCGCTTTCGCAGTTCGGCTCTTATCCGTCACTTTTTGGAGGTCTTCGCGTACGGCGCTGATACCACGAGAAAGCCCACCCGTTTTTTGCTTCTTCTTTAATGCAACAACTCGGTCTTCTAGCTCGCGGGCTTCATCGTAGGAGCTAACTATTGACTGGACGTCTACGGATAGCGATTCAATCTCTTGCTTCGCCTGGTTCAACTCGTAGATGATGTTGTCGTGCTCTTCCAGCTGTTTATTGACGCCATTGCGTTCCGAAACCAACTTCTCGTGCTCCGCCTTGAGCGCGGGAAGCTCTACCTCCTCAGCGCGCTTCGCCAAGTCGTAGCTTGGCTTCGCACCTCGCATCTTCTCCAGCTCGGCCTGTACTTCTTCGATGTTTGCTTCAGCGTTTTGGGTGGCTTTTGCGACCATATTCTTCAGTTGGCTCATGAAACCTGCTTTGGTAAACCCTTCGGCTTTGTCGTCTTTCAGTGTTCGCCGGCATAGTCGGCATTGATCGTGCTTCTCTGCAACTTCCAGACAGGATTGTAAGTATTCCAATTGGGCACCGAAGCTAGCCGTGTCTTTAGACAACGTGTCGAAGTCCGCCTCAACCTCGAATAAAGTTTCTTCAAAATCATCGATATCGCTCCTCTGGATGGCATCAAGGACTGTGTTCTTATATTTGGTATACTCTGCGCGTTTCTTTTTTTGTTCAGACTCTATCGAGGAGAGCCTGAAGCTGATCTGGTTAAGCTTGTCCTGGGAAATATCGCGCTTCGCTTCCGCATCTTTCAAGTCGCTGTTCTTTTGAGCAAGGACGTCTCGGAACACATTGCCAAGGCTCGCGACGTCCCAGTCGGGGTCAACGAGTTGTGAGATGCGAGCCGAATGCACTGACTTCATGGTCTCAAGACTGTGTTTGGTCTCTACGAGTTTGTTCTGTGTGTAGTCGACCTCCGCAGACTCGCTGGCGAGTTGCGTAGCTTGAACTAGCTCAGTATCTAGACGCTCCTTCCGATCTTCAAGCGCATGTAAGGTATTTTCGACATCCTGAATGCGTCTATCGTGATCGGCATTGTCGGTATCTGCGCTAGCCTTCTCTAGTTCCTTCTCGGTGGCCTTCTTCTTGTTCAGGATGACAGCTTCAGCTCCTTCGTCGACACGAATCTTGCTCAATACATTCTGCAACTCCGTGATGCGCTTGTCGCTGGTAGCAATCTGTGATTTGGAAAGATCCTTGCGCTGGCTTAGGCCCGCTTTCTGTTCGCTCAGATGGTTGACTGTAGCTTGAGCTTGACCAAGTTCCTCTTGCGCATCCGTTCGAGCACGGTCGAGGGCTTTGTTTTGCTCTCGCGCAAGCTTCCTCAGGATTTGCTGAAATTCGGCCACCTTGGTATCGTCCACGTCGTGATCGAAGTCACGAATGTCATGTCGCTTGGCAGTCTCCTTGATCAGGTTTTCTCGCTTCTGAAGGTTCCGAGCGTGCTGATCCTTCTCTGCTTGATGCTTGCCGACTTCGCTCTGTTTAATGCCTAAATTCGTGCGGTTATGTTGCAGAGCTGCTTGCAAGCTACGGTACTGCGTCTTGAAATCCTCTTGTTGGTCCTGATACTGTTGCACACGCTCTCCATACTGCTCCATCATATCTTTCAGCTCATCGTCGGTTTCGGCCATCATCTTGAGGTTATCTTCCAAAGAAGTTACGTTCTCTTCGTTAGCGGTATAAGTGACACGCTTGCCTTGAAGCTGAGCAACGATCTGCTCATACTTTGCGGCGTGCTCATAAGCGTTCCTACTCTTTTCTCTGGCCTCTCTAGCACCAGACTCGGCCTTTTCATGATCGCTTCGGTGGCTTTCAATCTCGTCATCGAGTTTCATCAACCTTTTTTGGCTCTCTTTGGCACGGGCCTGGTTCTCCTGTGCATTCTTTTCGTTTGCTCTAGCGACAGCAAGGTCGTTCACCTGGTTCTTGCGGATAACTTTGATGTTGTCGATCGCTTTGGTGTATTTATCAGCCTCAAAGATGGAATCGAACTTCTTTTTGAGGGCGGCAGGCTCGCTCATTGGCCACAGACTGTCTTCCTGATGGCAAAATATGACGTTTTCCAGGACAGACTTTGAGACGCCCAGAAATTGTGGCACGATCTGGTCTAGCTCAGCCACGCGGGAAGAGACCGATTCTTTGTGGCCGTCGCGACGCATCAGCAAAGAGCCTTCCAGTGTCTTCTGTGACCGCGTGTTCTTCCTGACAATGAGCTGCATCTTGCGACTGACGACCATGGGAACGCCTGACGTTGACCGGAAGGAAAGCTTAACCTGGGCCATAGTTTCCGACTCGGCTAGAAGCCTGGGATCGTGGATAAATGCACCTCCGGTCTTGCTGTTTGGGGGCAGCTCGCCAGTGGTGGCATATTTGAGACATTCGATGATGGTCTGGGATGGTCAGCTGGCCACGTGCGAAAATGGTCCAGACGGAATATCCTACAGTCTTGCCAGAACCGTTCCAGCCGACAATGAGAGTGAGAGGCGTGTTGAAAACTATCGTCTCACCTTGCTGTGGTCCAAAAGAGCGGATGCTGGGTATGTCAGTGCGGCCGAACAGCTGTCAGATGGCGACTAACTCACCCTTGGATCTGCATCCGATCGATTTTCGACATGGTGGCTACTGTGTGCTCCGCCGCACTCACGCTCCCAAATGATGTGGTTGTGCTGCAGTCGAGATACTGCAGTTGAGCGAGAGAGTGCGCGGGACGCGTTGTGCTGGAGCTGAGGGCTGCGCGTGTAGTTTTATGGAAGGCAACTGCGACACGCGCTCACGTGACCCAACGCTCGGGCAATTTAGTGCGCGCCGCCGGATTGGCTGGAATGATTTCGTCATTGTTCTGGTGGCACTCCGCTCACTTTCTTTCGCGCCTGGTAGTGCGAGTGGATGTGAATAACTTTCGAACAACTGACATTTCCGCAGCGCATGGTCGCTGCGAGACCCGCCCGTCATGTACCAGAATGGCGGCTCGCTCTCCGCTGAAGTATGCTTGTGCGCCCCGCTGCGGCACCAGGGTCCCAGATCGGTCCACGGCATGCCATGCCATCACAATCGCGATGCAGGCTGATCGAGATTGCAGATACCAGGCCTTGCGCCCATGCAGGCTCTCCCCCCAGACACCGTCGCCGAGCTGAACATGTCGGTCGAGGACATGATGCCCATGGAAATGGACCTGTCGCAGTTCGACGACGGGTCTGTTTCCACCCCGCAGGCCAATTACTCCCCGTTCCCCGGGCAGCTGCAGCAGCAAATGTCCACCGCCAGCAACCCCAACGATGCTTTTGCGCTGCAGCAGGACACCACCATGACGGGCGCCGGCGCCGGCCCGCTGCCCACCGGCTTCGGCGCCCCCAGTCTTAACCCTTCCGGCAGCACCCTCACCGAATTCACCAAGCGGCGTAACTGGTCGCAGCGGGTGCTCGAGGAACTGCGCGACCTGCTGCACATTCTCACACCCGACGGCCGTATTCTTTATGCCTCGCCATCGTGTAAAGCTCTTACCGGGTGGGAGCCGCAGCAGCTCATCGGCCGCTTTGTTGGCGAGTTTATACACCCCGACGACAGCGGCATTTTCGTGAAAGAGTTCAACGAGTCAATAGCCTCAGGCAACCCCCTCCGCTTCTTCTACCGATTTCGAAAGACCGACGAGACATGGGTCATCTTCGAGGCTCACGGCCACCCCCATCTGAGCAGCGACCCGAGCACGTTTGCGCCACCGAACACAATGAACTGCCGCGGCTTCTTCATGATGGCCCGCCCGTACCCGACCAAGAACGCCGCGCTGCTGGACTCCTTCCTCGAGCACAAGATCGAAAACGAGCGGCTTATGAAGCGCATCGCCGAGCTTAAGCGGGAAGAGCAGGAGGAAACAGAGGCGCAGGAGCGACACTGGCAGAAGAAAGCAGATAACGTGTCATCCGTGACGCCCTCGGCCACGGAAACACAGGGACAGACCGAAAGTGTGAGCGCAAGCGCCATGGCGGCATACAACGCCATGCCCCCGCCCGCGAAACCAGGCGTCTCGAACACGGCGCTCACCCGCCAGAATCTGGATGAGGCGCTGGCTGCAAGCAAGCCCGACAGTATAAATGACAAGATGGCGCGCTACGAGGGAGCCACCCACCTGGAAACAATAGAAATGTTGACTGGTCTGCGCTACCGCGACGGAGAGCGGTCCCAGGGTATTAGTACAGGCGAGCACAGCCCGATGTTAATAAGAGGCGATGCCGGGATCCAGATATCGCTGGACCGCGACGGTAGGACCTCGTCAGACAAGAAGAAGAAACTCAAGATTGCGGACGAATATGTGTGCACTGACTGCGGCACCCTGGATTCGCCTGAATGGAGGAAGGGTCCCAACGGACCGAAGACGCTATGCAACGCCTGCGGATGTGAGCTACTGAACTTTGTCATTTTTGTATCTTTACTAATTGTTGCAGTGCGCTGGGCAAAGAAGGAGAAGAAGAAGCAGAGCCAAACAGGCAATGGACAGTCCTCGCACACGCCAGGCCTGCCGATGCATTCGAGTACAAACAGTAGCTGATCGACCGAGAAGCTTGAACTCGTATTGTATCCTTATATCGAATCGTTATTACAGCGGCCGGCCGATGCCCGAGCGAGTGTCCAATGCAGGAACTGCAAACATCGTGTGCGCATGCGGATGACGAAGTTGGACGAGAGCATCGCGCGCCGCCATCCACACTGCGAGACAGACTATCACCATGATGATGGCAAGAGTTTCCGGGAGTAGGTATGCCGGTTGTTCGAAGATCTAGCATTCACTTAACTGGGACCATGGATTTCTGAAATGCATATAGAAAGGCGAAGGGCAAAAATACCCACGCATGCCCGGTGGAGTCTATCATTACGTCAGTAGCAACGTTACAATTTCGCGCCACCAATTAAAGCTATTCACATGTTTAATCATGTACATACATCACTCTTGCCAATCCACCCTTCCAAGGTTCTCTACGCATCACGTGCACGCTTTCTTCTCAGTCGGCGCTGATACACCATAAAGAAACCGCCAACGACGGCGGAAATCATGCCTTGGGCTTGGCACTAAAGCTTCTTGTTGAGAGTCTTGTCTTGTCTACACGAACTTCTTTACCATGAAATCTGGCGCTTGAACCGAAGTAAAGAGACGACATTGATTCCTCTTGGATCATGGATTCGCGTTATCGGAATCGCATTGAAATGGACGGAATGCGTTAAAATCGATGTTCACGTCGTAATAGGCAAATGTTATTTCTGGTCTGGGTGATATGGATAAGCCAGGCTGCGGCTTACTCCGCTAGGCTTGTCGTATTGTTACAAAGGTAGAAAGGTGCTGTTATATGGAACGTGTTTTGGTCATAGTGTACGCTACTCGCTTTGTGCTGGAATTGACAGCAAGATTGTAGCAAAGCGACGGCTCGAATAGTGTGAGTCATAGCAAGTATACACTTTGTATAGGAGTAAGCAAAGTTGATAGCAATCACGTAACAACCGTGGTGGCTTGCAGTGTTATCGTAGGACATGTCGCTGCCTTTTCTGCCAACGTTGTCCTTTGCGGTGTTGTGTCCTTCTCGTGGTTGCTTGTATCTCCAGCTTCTATTCCTGAATTGAGATGACCTAGTGGGGATATTCTCAGTCGGTAAGGATACATTAGCACGAGAGGTTCTTCAAAGTGTTTCTGCACGAACATTCTACAAAATAACGCTGCAGCCAGAGGTAGGCTTTTGCAGCCGCACAGCCTACAGGCCACCTTACGGCTCTCGCTGCTACATTTTCCTTTATAGCGAGTATCTCTTCCATAGCACCACCAAGCTCAGACTTTACACTCCTCACATTGCCTTCCTTACACCATACCTTTCGCCTTCCACGCACCCATCTCCCTCTCCAAAACCTCTCCCACCCCCTCAAACCTCGGCCTCAGCACCACCTCAAACGGCACCGGACTCCGCCCGCTCTTCCCATCGTACTCTTTAAGATCGATCGGCTTCCCTGGTATCTGCACCATGTCGAACGCCCACAGCATGCGCGCAATAGCAAGCCAGATCTCGCGCTCAGCAACGATCATGCCGGGACAGATGCGGCGGCCTGCGCCGAACATCCAGTGGTCGCGTTCGTAAGGGTCAGCGAGGTTGGCCGAGGTAGAGGAGGTTGTTGGGTCGTGGAGGTAGCGGTTGGGCTGCGCACCGTTCAGGTTAGTCATGTGCACGAGGTGGCAGTGTGTGAAGTTAGGGCTTTGCTTACGGTGAAGTCAAGCGGAGACTCCCACTTCTCCTCCGAGTGGTGCATACTCCACGTGTTCAGCACAACCACCGTATCTTTCGGAATAAGCTTTCCATCGTAGACAAAGTCTGAGCTCGCGGTGTGCGGTGTACCGAGCCAGAAGGGGTTATGGCACCGCTCGACTTCCTTGATGATAGCATGGCAGTACGGCAGATTGACTTCATCGGCAAGCGTAGGCAGCTGCTCGCGCCCGACCACGCGGTCTAGCTCCTCCTGCGCGCGTTTCTGAATGTCCGGGTAGGCGGGGATAAGCGCTGTGAACCACTGCATGATCGAAGCGGTTGTCTCGACGCCGCCGATCATGAAAGCCGATGCCAGGATAGACATGTCAAGGTGGTCGAGGTTTTCTTCATCCTTGATGTCGAGCATGGTCTTCGCGAGGCAATTAGGTACCTGCTCTCCGGCTTGCATCCTGCTGTCGAGCTGGTTGATCAGACCGCCATATGTCTCTACGAGATCTCTATGGAGGGCCTTCGCGTTGGATTTTAGCGGCGAGGGAAGCCATTGCAGCACGGGGAGGAAGTCGACGAGGTTCGACATCGGACCTGTGCAGTTCATGAATGCGCGGGATAGACGCAGTGCCTCGGCAACCATGGGGTGATGTATGCTGTCGGTGCGGAACCCGAATGTTATGGTGAGCATGTTGTTCAGTGAGCAACGACCTGCATATGTCTGAGGATTGATATGCTTCCCATTCCGACTATCGCTGTAGAGCGCTTGCAGCATATCCGTGGCTTCGAAATCGAGGACGTTGGTGTAGGAGTCCACGGCTTGTTGGTTGAGCCACGTCGTTGCTATGCGGCGGTGCTTGCGCCTGGGCTACTGTTAGCTGGGTTGGCTATACTTTGCGTGATTGATCGCTTACCATCGATCGTTGTACGGCGTCGCGGTTATACCTCGTCCAGCGAAGACGGTCTGCGATTTTATGAACATCTCTTTTCGGTTGGAGAAGACGGCGCCTTGGGTGATCATGAGATCCTTTGCCACGCCTGGGCTGGATACAATGGCGAAGAGCTGGTTGCCGAGACGCACAGAATACAAGGAGCCATATTTGCGCGCCCACTTGTCGAGAGTGAGCTCAGGATATTGGGTAAGAAATGGAAAGGATCCTGTGCAGTTCGTTAAGCATGAGGAAGCACTGTATGTTGTAGAAGCTGTAACCTACCGAGGATTGGAAATCCCCAAGGACCTTTGGGCAAATCTTTGTGACGTGTGGAATGAATGAACCATGATGCAGATATTACGAGTAGTATGGTGGTCGTTACAATCAGCAAGTTCAAATTGACGCTGAATATGTCTGACTGGAGGTGATTGGCCGAAGTGTTCGAGAAGATGATGTCGGCTGGGGAAGCCACTGGCACCAGCTTTGGCACGGGAGCCACGAATTCAGACATGAGGTAGACAAAAGAAGTGACACGTAGGTTTTCAACTTTCTCCCAAAGATTTGGGACTATTTATGACTATCAATGCCAACGGCGACATTCACATGATTTATACGTCTAGCGGTACGTGCAGCGGCGCCTGACAAGCGCTCACTTCCCGATTGTGCTGTTGTGATTCTGTAATCATCGCTGCAAATGCAGCATGAGACAAGAATATGTACGATGTCCGGCACTATCGCTATAGAATTGACAGATCAGGACTGTTGCGCGCGGCTACTGCAAGCGCATCTTGCAGGGCCGTTTAGTCGCCAATATGCGTCTGTAGCAAGCCAAGAACCTAAATATGCGGCAATTGTTGGATCTGTCGAAGATGCCTGCCCCATGGGGAACAATGTAAAGATGATCTAGGCCATGGACGATGAATTGGATCACCTGGTGGTCCTTCCACTCTTCCACATGGTAAGAGTTTCCCGTCGGTCGTTATACAGTACAGTGGAGGCCTAGTATGTTTCACTACAAGGCAAATCGTACATATGAAAGTACAATCGATCCCACCCCTTTCAGGGAGTTCTATGCGACCGTTGTATTTGCCTTCGTATTAGAGATAAAAGCGGGTCTCGGAGTATGCTTAAAGCAGGTCCACTCTATGCTCGAATAATAGCCTGAACTGAACAGGCGGCTGCAACGTGTACTTCCCCGAGCGGGATCAGCCGTGTCCGAAGCTCCGAACTCCGTTTGTGGCCAATGACTGCGCATGGCAACGATTCCTTTCACGCACTGACCCGTACATGCGTCGACTACGCCCCCCGATTGCAGCAACAGCAGTACAACCACACACCGCTATAATGGCCTGTTTTTCTCAAGCGTTATATCGAGAATACAATCGAGAAAGAGTTGTTCCTTGTGGGAGTATGATTAAATGCCATTCGAACTAATTATAGCGTCTTGTTGCTCTTCCTGAACGGATTTCGGCATACTGATGCGCGCAGAGGCCCTGCTGCAGCACCCGAAACCTTTAAGATCCGGGCTTGCCGCCGCACTCCCAAAAACGTGCAGCAAAAAAGTGCGTTCATTGCGTGCTCGTTGCATCGCGCGGTCCGTTTGACGGCGGATTCGGCGTTTCTCCAAACGCTGCCTTCTCCACATCCGGGGTGCTGCTTTGTTGATCCTTGGGTAGTACGGGCGGCGCAGGAGGGATTGGTGCAATCCAAAACTTCGGATACTGTCGTTGGATGTTGTTGACAAGGAGAGCGGTTACGAGGACCAATGCCGAGGAGAGCAGCAGCACGGGGAGGAAGTACCATCCTAAAGCGTGAATGGTACGGTCGACGCAAGGTAAAAGTGCAGTAGCTCCGGCGGGTGGATGAGTCGTCTTGGTCAGATGCATGACAACAAGAGCGATCGACGTCGCCAGACTTGCTGCAAGCCACATGAGACGTGGGAATCCATCGCCATCTTCCGGAAACTGGTAGTTGAAAATGACCTTGATGATGACCCCCACGAGACCGCTGAAGAAGTGACCGAAGATCAGAGAACGGGGTTGTGCGAGCGGTACATCGATAGCACCATAACAGAGAATGGCTGACGCTCCCTATACTATTGTCAGTATTGATGTCGAAATGACAGTAACGCACTTACGTAAGAGGCAACTATAGCTGGCACGTGGCGGCTGGTGAAGTAATGCGACTCAGTCATAATCGCAAGTATGACCGCGACGCCGCCGAAAGCTCCAATGAATCCCCAAATGCAGACTATGAGGTCTGGGGATGGAGCAGCTGGCTTGCCACGATATCCCAGGAAGTGACTCATCCATGTCGGCAGATGTGAAAGACCACTTCGAATGCCGCGTTCGGCTCGCACAAAGATGTCTTCAGAAGGTGCCATGGTTATCTCTTGACGCGAAGTAACGCGCGTGGATCCGCAAAACAGAGAAGAAGAAGAGCGTTGACGTTGGAGATGAGACAAAAGTTTATGTGGGGAGAAAGGTCGGAGAAATATCGGCGTGTTTGGGCTTAACCAAGTCGGGCAACCGTCACGCAAGGGGTTAGGAATTGCCCGAGGCATTGGTAAGGTGAGGCCTGGGCTTGCCGCCTATATGCACGGCCCGCTTCAAAAGATGACATTTACAATTTCGGGTGTTGCGGGAAACGTCACCTGCCAAAAGCTTCTTGTTACGTAATTGTTCCGCAGGCCCAGCACTAACAGAAGCTTACCTGCACCCTCATGGTGCTTGTGTAACTCGACTGTTCAAATTAGGAATCTGTAATAAATTATGCTACCATCGCAGAAGAAGACTTCTGACATGCTTTACTAGCGCCATAGATAGACTTTCACAAGGATTGGTGCCATCGCCTTTCTACTACAGTTGCCTCTGTTCGGACGAACAATGAACATTCAATTGGTTGCCACAGTCGGTTCATTGACCTCGTCACGCGTTATTGAATAATCATTGTTTCGTTGCCTTACAAGGGAGACCCATCCAACAAAAGACTTGTCTAAGGAAGTATGTGTTTGAAAATTGTGCCGATCAGCAGAGTCTTCGCGGGGTCTTTGAAAACGTGATGGTCAGCAAATACTATAGTATGCTTACGTACATATCTTCTCTGCTGTTTGTAAGCCAACGCGAAGATATATTGTTACCTACTATAACAATAACAGGGTTACCTCTGTTTTCGCACCTCTGCGTCGCTTGTAGCATCAAGTTCGCCTGTTCAGCACCATAAGTACCACGTCACCTCACAGCAAGGTCACTAAAACAGAGAAGATGCTGCAGGTGGTTTCACAATGGCCAGCTGCACTGCACATATACATAGGCACGAGAAATTGTAAGAAGGTACTACTGTCCATTCACAGATACTATGATAACACGGGTTCAAACCCATCGTCCCCAAGTTCTCTAATCGAACCGTGTCTACCAACCATCCATTACATTAGAGATTATGCCGAAGGCCTGGTCCCAGATGATGCCAGAATCCAAGCTACCCGCGCCTTAACATGTCGTACAAACACCTGGCTGGCACTTGAGCGATCGGATGTTGTGGTACCAAAGACCATTGCCAAAAGAGCGCAGATCGGGAACCCCGTATCCATGTGTTCCATCGGCGATCGTGAAGGCTTTTCCACCAGGTTGGCAATCCGGCTTGGCGTAGAATGTGCAGTAAAAGAGGATGTCGTTGGGATAGATCCTGAACGACGCCCAGTCCAATGGATTGGTGGCGACGTTGACACAGCTGCTGCTGGTCATCTGAGAGTAAACAGCAAAGGTAAAGGCACCGATGTAGTTTGGCTGATCCCAGATGTCGATGAGATGAGCGCCCTGAGCAGCGTTCTGGTCGTCGACGACCTGACGCTTGTTGGCCACGGACATCTCGCCTGGCTCGCACTTGAGCGATCGGACGTTGTGGTACCAGTTACCATCGACGCGGCGGAGCTCGGGAGCTTCGTATCCATTTGTTCCATCGACGGTGAAGGACTTGGCCCCGTCCTTGCAGTTTGGCAGGTCGTAGAATGTGCAGTGGAATGCAGTGTCTTGCGGGTTGACCTTCAGCGACGACCATTCAACCGGGAAGTCGGAGACGTCGACGCAAGTGCTGGCGATCATCTCAGAATAGTAGCTCCAGGTGTATCGACCAGAGAAGAAGGGCTCGGTCCAGATGTCGACAAGGTGAGCGGCCTGAGCAGCGTTCGGGTCGTCGACGACCTGACGCTTGTCGTTCTGGGCGATGTCCAATCCGCCCGAGTCTCCTCCAGAGCGCTTCTCAACAAGTCCGCACTTCGCACGAAGCTGGGTGCAGGCGTTGCCGTTCGTGGAAGCGGGAGTCGCACAGAGGGCCTTGTAACAAGCCTCACCAGCCGGGCACTCGCGATCGCAGCCAGCGGCCTCGCGACAAGCACGCCACTCTGCAAAACTACGGGCGCAGATCTCCTCCGGATCCAATTGGCGCTCTGCAAGCGCGTTGGAGCCGCCTCCCGACTGACGCTCCCCGAGGTGTGAAGCATAAGCGAAGATTGGAGGCGTGTGTTTGAGCTGCGCCGCGTTCTGGGCCTGAGCACTAGATCTGTGAGGGGTTAGTAACGTTCTGTAGTTGGATTTGTTCCAACGAAGATGTACTTACGGGGCGGGGATGGCGGACACGGTAGCCAACAAGGTGGTGGCTGCCACGAAAACAGCCGAGATGAACTTCATGCTGAAGAAAGCTTCCGGGTCGTGGCGGAAGAAAGGTCGAGGTTTGTGGGGGAGAGTCTATTAGGACTGGGAGAGGTGATTGTGGTGAGTGGGGAGGTGCTGGAGTGTTTATATAGAGAGGTTGAAGGAAATGGGCAGGAACTCGAGAGCGCACGGGACCCGGCGACGTGTTGAACTGCACGGGCCTTGCCGTGTATGCAAACGGGCGCCTTTCAAAGTGACGGCTGATCGCGAGGTGAAGGACTGGAGAAGGGAAGCTTGGGCCAGGCGGTTGGATGGGAAACGGTGGTTTGTCAAACGGCAAAGAGTGATGACACGCGGCAAACGAAGTGGTCTAGGGTCATGCTGTTCTTGAGAGTTAGACGACAAGTGTGTTCAAAGGAATCAATACATCGCAGATACTTCTTGTCTTCTTGCCCTTGAAGCGTCAGCCTGAAGACCTCCTCGGGCGTGAAAAAGAATGGTATCCCAAAGAACAAGCGCTGCTATCTAACAAGCGTGGTCAGTATCTAATCCAACTCTTTTTCAACCTCAAATCTGTTCCTCAACCATTCGTCCGCTCTCAATATTCTCGTGCCTCCATTGACACGCAACATCGGAGCGCAATTGACTCTGTAGACTAGCGAAACATTGACGAGTGGACCAAAGGTTGGAGGTTTCAATGTCGAGGATGACTTTGAAGTCCTGCGGCGTAGAGAAAATCCTAGCCAGAAGTGACCCTCTATGCACAGTTCGATTGCGATAAGAATGGCCTCGGTAATGACTGGTCGTAATCCTGATCACACCGCTTGGGGTACTACTTTAAAGTCACACTTGATAGACTTTGAGTATGGCTCTGCTGGCTGTGGAAGAAGTGATTTGAACGTCGAATCTTCGATGCAATCGGGAAGATATGACAGGTAATGCGATCTGAAATATCATAACACCTAGTATATTGCATCACCTGTGGCACAACATTCTTCAATTTCCCGTGCGAGGCTTGCTTGATGTATAGCGAGGACAAGAAATAGAAAGTAGCGGCAATGTAGTGCGGCCGAATTGAGGATGTATACTTGAAGCATAACCGCTGTCAATTTTCACTCTTGTCTACTTCACTCATGTTTGTTTATTATCGAACATCAAGGGTTAGGATTAGGTATATATACAAGAGAATACAATCAACCCCTCTCTTCCCACTCATTACTGCGTAGCATACGCCCTCAATCCCGGCTCCCCAACCACCCCCTTCCCAGCCCCAATATACTCCAATATATTAACCGCAGCCAGCGGAATCAACCCCTCCGTTTCCAGCACATCCGTCAAATCCAACCCGGGATACACAGCCAGCTGACAAACGGTCGCCAGATCAATCTCACCCGCCTGCACAGCCCGTCCCTTTTTCAGCGCCTCAAGCGCCAACGTCACGACGAAACCATTGAAAAGCAGCGACTCGTGCGTCCCAAATGCGCCGGCTGGAGCGTTGCCGCATTTGGCCTGGATCTCGTTGTTGGAGACGCCGACGCCACGCGCGTCGTTGAGGAAGGCGGATGCGTTGGGGTCGGCCTGCGGCTCGACGATCTCGTCGAAGAAAGCGGAGTAGAAGGTTGTGGTGGGGACGTATGCTGAGTCTCCGCCGTTCTTACGCAGCTGCGTCACGTAATTACTATTATACTCTTGTTGCAGGACGGCTTGCGCCATCGGGACTACGCCGATATCCGTGCCGATGTCGACCAGATTGGCCAGGACAGTTCCGTGGAAGTCAGGCGAGACTGAGATGAGCTGTTTGGTGGATGTGCGTGTTGAGGGGAAGTACTTCAGCGCCCACTGGGTGTCGAGATTGCCTTGCGACCAGCCAATGACGTTGACTTTCTTGCCTGTGATGGCGTTGATGTAGTTTATAGCGTAGACGACGTATTCGGCGTTCGTCTGGGCGTCCATGAGCAAGGCGGTAGGGATGTTCAGCCAGACTGGTTGGCCGATTGAGGGGTTTGCTTGCAAGATCTTCGCGAAGTTGCCTTCGTAGTTTATACCGCCGAATGCACCTGTGCCAGGAACAAGGAGGACTGGGTTAGGGGCATTTTTGGCGTTGAAGGTGGACGGGATGTAGATGGCTGACCGCAAGGCTGCCTCGCTGACTGAGAACTTGGGATCCGAAGAACTGGCTCGTGGATAAATCGTCTTTGGAGGTGCAGGGTTGCTGTTTGTGAACGAGTTGATCCCTTGAGAACCCTCTGCAATTGTTGCACCCTGGAAACCCTTCGCTCCCGTGAGAGCAGGCAGGATGCCATTCAGCGCATAGTTGATGCCGTTACCAATGTAACCTGTGTTGTTCTTATTCTGGTACCGTTTCTGTAGATAGTTGAGAACATCGTCGATGCTCTTTGGTGAACTTGTGGGCTTTGGGTCGAGCAGCTCCGTAAGTGTACCATTCAAGGCTTGAACCACTGTCGTCGTTAAAGTACCGACAGTTCCCACAAGACCACCAATGAGGCCACCGACCAGCTGTGGTTCAGGGGCTGGAGCGCGAATAGTGACAGTTGCCGAGAGAGATCCAGAGTCGCGTACGGGTGCCGGCGCGCCATTCGCAGCAAGCAAGAGACACGATGTAGCTAGAACGCTGTAAGATCCAAGAGGCGCCATTTCGTTGTTGAATCTGGATCAGACGTGGGGAAGGTCGCTAAATCTCCTCACGGGGGGATGTGGAGGTCTTTTGATGGTCTCTAACCCTGCTGTTTTTACAGGAGATCGATCTGCAACCGCGGTTTGCTCATGACTCTGCACGCAATGTCGACTCAGTCCGCGGGGTCTCATCTCAAAGGGATGCTGATCTGTATACTAACCTCATTCTGGTGCAGATCATGACCCATTAACGGAAATTCACGATGGGTCTATGCCGTAAATGGAGAGACTAGAGAAACAGCCGAGGCACTACCATCAATCACACTATCGAAGCGCTAGTCAGGGCGTGAAGATGACGATCATCGAAATGCTGTAAAGACTGTCTTCGGCATGCAAATTCTATCATCAAGGCGACGGTAACAGAAAGTTCCGGTGGCGGAAACCTAGCTTACCGTCGCGCCAGCCACAGACGACATTGTGGGGTAATTACAATCCTAATACAAAGCGGCGAGCTTGATTTCAATGCGACGGACGATCACAACTAAAGTTCCAAGCACGACACGACTGAAATACCGATTTACCGGAAGCTCCATGCGATTGAAGTGCAGCTAGGAGAGATCTTGGAGTGAGATGGGGGCGGAAGATTGATATCGCCTAGTCTGTGCAATACGGTGGCCCTGGCGTACCGAACATGCGATTTCCGATCTCATTGTTGGGCTGCACTAAAGTTGCCCTGGCTTTGGTACTATAATGTTAGAAGACGTGGATGATCCATGATTTTGACTGTCGATTTTAAGCGCCGAATTAGGCAATCTGATGGGATTACCTATGGTATGCTGATACGTCTGAGTCCGCATCTTCATCTCTTTTCGCGCGTTGTACCGTCAAGCGCATGCTACAAAAATTTGATCGATTCTTGCGTACACCAGCCCGAAGCGTACTCGTGCTAAAACACTAGCATTTTGTCACGGGTCGTCGAAGTGGGCTAGAAACCCCTCTCTTTCGTTTTCATGATAGTCCGAATAAAGCGCGAAGCTCTTCAACCTTTGATAGGGCTAGACAATGCACAAGACAAGGGTCTCGACGTAGTCTTACGCGATTCAGAATATCAAGACACGCCAATGGAACTTATTTCAGCCCGTTACCTATGGTACTTTATGATAGATCTACTCAATTCTACCACAGCATTCCGCGTAGCCAGCACTCTACCATATTCAGTGTATCTAGCTCAGAGCTCGACCCTGCACGTGGTGAAGAAGAACGTAAATGCACTCGTACGGAGTTTGACCTAGTCAGAGGTCGGATTCACTGGGTTGAGAAGTATCCTCAAATTGAACAACTAGAATAGTGAGTAGTAGGTAGCCCCAGATTGACATATGCTGCGGGTGCAGCTGGACGTCAGTTAAGTCGTGGAAAACGCACAGCGGACTCTCCGAATTGACCAGATTGAAAGAGTTGGCGGTCTATGTATCTGCTATTATGCACGACTGCGTCTCAACGAGCCTAGTATGCGACGCTGGAAAGAGCTGATGTGGCATGGTCGTATCTAGTTCAGTAGCTCTCAGGCGCTATGGAGGGTGGTAACAGGGTGTTTGATCATTTTCCAAGCATTGTTCGCGTCGGTGCCAAACAGCTCTGGCCGGTTCGCAAGCATAGTCAAGGCAATTTTGTAAACGTCCTAGTTGTGTGGCAGACGTCGTATTACGTGGCAAAAAGCAGTCCAAGAACGTTTTTACTGTTCCACGTTCCGCAATACCGTGTCCTTTCTTCGTAAGTCTAGGGGCGGTTGGACCAAGAGGCGTCTGATGCTTGGGTATCTCTGGGCGTGCAGCGTGCGGTTCATGCGAATATTGATTGATTTGCGGCGCAGTACAAATAGTGGCCTGAGGCTGAGGTACTTAGAGCCGCTGCTGTTCAGGAGATCGGTCCGTTGTATGTGTACGCAATTTCAATGTAGGCGAGGGAATTGTATATGCTTTCGTAACCCGGCGAGGTGCCGGACGATACATCTTGAGCGCATGACGATGACCGGATAAACTCCTACGAGCGTATCTGTCTTGCGAAGCTCTTTGGAGGCAAAGCATGAACGATAGGACGGCGAGCAGTCGTTAAAGATTGCTCTCGTGCCTCTAGCTCCAGGGGAGACTGTCCAATTATTCGGAACAGGTCCGTGGGCCATGGGACGGTCGTTCCAAGTTCGAGTCATGGCGCCAAACACTAGTCTCGATACCGGCATACACTAACCTCAACGAGATCGGAACATCTCGGCAGCTCCCAAACGGTAAAAGCGCCGCGAGCCGCTCGCGGGGAACCGCACCAGCAGTGCGCCACCATCCATGTTTTCGATTTTTTACCCGGGAGCGCAAATCTTAAATGCTTGACGCGCGGCGCATCAGAGGGTCTTGCGGCGTGTCGAACGTCGGCATCCTTGCTCTCCGCAGAGCTGTCCCGCGACGTCAAACTTTGTTCGTGAATTAGGCGCTGTTCTCCGTGGCTTTCCGCTGCCCAATTTGACAGTGTGTCGCGGCTTGGACAACCTTCAACGGTGCGGCTCGCAATGGACCTCCCGCTGTTAGTGTCATAGAATGCCCGGGGAGAGCCCGCCGTCTTGCAAGTTCATACGTGACTCGACTTCCCGACCCTCTTTCCCCGTTCCCCGTGACGGCGTCCGTGGACCGTTTGTAGTGCGGAACGTCGACAGCTGTGACACCAGCTACCATGGCTACGGCAGTGGCGATGCCACCGTACTCGAACAATTCCTCGATCTACCTGGTCCCGGTGACGATTCTGGGGGTTATCGCGCTGGTGCTTGTCGTTCTGCGCACCTACACGCGAGCAACGAGGACACGGAGACTCTACGTAGATGACTGGCTCATCCTCGGAGGAGAGGTCGGTCTTCCAGCAGACGACTAAGAATTTTGCTAACGACTTCCAGGTGCTCTCTCTCCTCAGCATGTCCTTCGCTTACACGGCTATCTCACACGGATGGGGAAAGCCCATGGCATACGTTGCACCGAGCGACCTGAAGTTAGCACTCAAGATGCAGTTTGGAATGCAATTATCATGGCTCTTTTCGCTATGCTTGGTACGCCTTTCGGTGGCGGCATCATTGCTCCGTTTCGACTCGAGTAAATGGTGGAAGTGGACTCTGTACTCCATCATGGGTCTCCAGTGCCTTATCACAACATCGTACTTTGTCATTCAGCTGGGACAGTGCACCCCAATCGCCGCAAGCTGGGAGACCGTTCCTGACGTGGTGTGCTGGCCGACGACGCCCATCGTGAATTACGGGTGGGCTGTGTCTGGTATGTTCGATGTGACCTGCGTCCACTCGCTCATACTGACCGGTACTAGGGATTTACATTCTAATGGACCTCGCCTTCTCACTCATGCCGATCAAACTCATTCGCGGTCTCTCGCGGTCAACCTCAGAAAAAGCACTTATCGGATTCCTCATGTCGCTTGGCCTGCTCGCTACAGCTATCCTCTGCGCGAAGATGAGCACGTTCCTGGTTTTCGGCGCCGGCGACGCCCTGCAAGCGACCATGCTCCCTTCCACATACGCAATATTGGAGAACATCGTCGGCATTATCGCATGCTCACTTCCGGCTTTGAAGTCACCTACCGAGCGAATATTGAAGAAACTAGGCATACTGAAGGAGCACCAATTGACGCGGCCGAGCTTTGTCAATACGGTGCAATTATCATCGGAGATAGAGCATGGTGCTGACGACAGCCTTGGAAGTCAAGGCTCTTCTCACCTGACAAAGCATGCCTCACGTATCGATTCTGTTGCGTTTAAAACGGGGAGCGTGGTGTCATCGCAACGGCCAGGGACGGGGTCCGATGTTGTGTAGTCGGTTTCGCTGGGTCACAAAGATGATTTTCGAAATACTTGGAGTTGAGTGTAAGATCTTGGACGGCCGTTATGACTAGCGAAAGAGGCGCTTTTGTTGCTGCAATTCTCCCTGTAGCGGGAGCCGGACTTCCCAATTTTAATAATTGATCTGGTCGCATTGTTATAGCCACGTCGGTCCAACTCAGCGACGTTATTGATGGATGCTTCGATTGAGCGTAAGATGGAGAGAATTTTTGGGGTTGGACGGATGAATGACGTAGCTAGCCCTCTCAATAGGGAGGGGAGGCTAGGTCATTGCTGACCACCACAAGCTAGCTCATCGACTCGAGGATAGTACCGCAAGCTTTCATAACCACCCTCGCATCACGACCTGCTGTATCATGCCTTGACCTCGAATGAACGTATAAATTTGGGTATCTTCTATTGGCCTTCACAGGTTAGACATTACGACATTAATGCAATCATCTCTCCGCGCTTCAACCGCGCCTTCCCGCAGTGATCCGACCGAACTGCGAATCAAGGAAGTAGTCGATTTTCCTCGCCGACATTGTCCTTGCAGGAAACGCCAGCTCGCTACCTTTCAAGTCCGGGCTACTAGCCACTGATGATATTATGGTTCCGCTCTGCGATTCCGCCTGCGTATGTCAGCTATGTCTCTCCGCTGAACTACATTTGTGGGTACGTACCTCGCTCATATCCACCGATGCGTACTTAGATCTCGCGAAATCACTCCAAAGGATGGTCTCCCGCTTCGCCCTTATACCGTCCCTTTGTAGCTCCTGTTTCCTGATATTGTGGTATGCTAGCGTAGGGTGTACCATCACACTTTCTGCTGCTGAGTATCGCTGGCCATCCGCGCCGACGACATTCAGGTTTCCTCCTCTGTAGGTCATCGGTCTCCGTGGAATGATACCCACGATAGACTGCCGCCATTTTGCTATCGATGCTCTCGGTTGCACTTGCTCGTATCGCGGCAGTACTGGCTGTTCTTTCTTTCGCATCGAACCAAGGACCCGCAAAGCTTTGCCTTTCAAGTTTTTCGGAAGCTTCTCGTTCTGCTTTTCGCTTTGGATCGGGGGGTTGCGGCTACGGCGGGACGTGTAGAACGCACGCAATGCTGGGATGGACCCTGCCATGACGGCGACCGAAGCCTCGCAGTGCAACATGAAGCTTAGCCAGGCCATTCCGAACTGCCAGTTTCCGAATACGTTGCGGTGCATTCCGGCGGCGAGGCGTATGATGCTGAGAATGACGCATATACTTGAGAGACACAGGACGGTCGCTATGCGCATCTTGTTCTGGAGTTTGAGGTGCGACATCTTTAGTAGCGTCAGAGGGATACTGATAACTGTTTAGGATTAGCGAGTGGGTTTCCATTTTGCGGACTGCGACTACGTACTCATCAGATCGGTGGCAATGTCCAATGACTGCACCACCACGCCGGAACTTATGCTGAACGTATATTGGTTCTCCAAGAAACATTGTGTCGCATCTGCGCCGAAGCGCGGGCACAATATGAAGCTCTCCAAGATCACGACGATGCAGCTGGTTCCCGTCGCAGCCACGGTCACCCAGAAGTATGCTCTGAGCTTTCGGCTGACATTCCTGCACATCTTATAAAATAGCGCCAGGAAGCTGCACTTGACCGCAAAGATGGCCAACCAACCTAAAGTAAGGTATGCGATCAAAACCGAAGGACCGCTGTTGAATAGCTCTTTGCTCAGTTCGGGATCGCCAGTAAGAAACTTAAGAACAGACACGTTGAGTGTGGCGCCATCGATCCGATATATCGTTCCGGTGTAGGAAAGAAGCAAGCCCGTTTCAGCGATCAAGCATGTCGTCGCGAAGAGTATGAAGTAGTCCTCAAGGTTCAGCGTTTGCGCGCTTCGATATCGAAAAACCAATCGCGCTATGGACGCCAATATCGCGAGGATTCCGAGCAGTATCGACACGGCCTAGTACGTTAGAATAACCTCATCTGTCTTCCCCACCTTCTGCAACTCACCTTGAAACTCAACTTATCCACCCGACACGCATGATCAATCATCCAGTAGACCGTCTCCGTCGACACCTCGGGCGCATCTTTCACAAGCTCGAGTATGCGATCCATTATCGTACACTAGACCACCTGAGCTGAATTGACATGCATACAAGGCTGGCAAGAACGCGAGCAACTGCGAAAGTACTCGGCATGCTTCCGTATTTCATACTCGGATTTGCCACTTGCGGGAATACCGCATGGGGACGGAGGATAGAGGAATGCGTCTGTGCGGTCACGAGGCTGCGAGGATTGGCCTTGCGTTGGTCTCACTCCTACTAGATCTTGCTATGCCTCTGTCCTACAGCGGACTTTAAACGCCTGTAAGCGTTCCCGCCGCCCTCCTGCACTGGGCGCCGCTAGACTTGCGGCGCAAACATAAGGGCAGTAGATTTTCGGCATGGATTTGCGAAATCTAGAGCTCGAGATTGGGGTCTTGTCCAATCACGGTCTTTCGATGTTGCTGGCAGGCCTGGCCGCAGTCTCGGCTCGGGCTTGTAGTCGTGAGGCGCAGGGTCCGTAAGCCCGCCACTTTGGTCAGACTCCTTGCTATGTCCCCGAAATAGTCAGTCCACGCGTGGTGGAGGATGCAGGACATACCTGCATTGGTAACAGTGGGTAGTCGATCGTCTTTTGAAACGCTGGCGTTGGTGATGCGATGAGGTGGGTGGAGGCACGTGATGCCTTGGTGGCGGGATGCGGCTTACGACTTGGCGAGCTTGAGTGCCTGAGTCTGAACACTGTGAAGAATCTAAATCGCAAGGCTCACGGAGCGCATCGCAGGGACTCTATAGGACCGCTGACATGGTGCAAACTACGACGAGCTTCGCTGTTCTTTCTCGCTGTCACTGCGATTCGTTACCACCCCCGCTGTTCGCGTAAACGTGAGTGGAATCGACATGGCAATGACCCATAGCCGTCAGTCAGGCATGCAGACTTCCTCATATCTTGTTGTAGGAGTGCATTGTTCGTTGGCTTCTTGAATGAGTTCGACCCGTCTTCCCGCCAAACGTCGATCAGCGGGAGACGCAGAGCTCAACAAGCGAGCGGACTCAGCCCCCACTTCAAGCTGCGCCCCGCACAACTCCGTGCGAGTGGACTCACCACCGACCGACACGGCGGGACCTATCACCGACCGTGATCTCAATGGACCTGACGTGCAGCACGGTAGGACGCAATTTACAGTCGTCCCTCACGAGTAGAAATATCGAGCCTCAAGTGCTGCGTTGAGAAGATAAGCGGCGTCCTTCAGGCGCAGACTCTCATCACCCTTCACATATCTGTTAGTTCAATATACAAAGGATTCGCCAGATCCACCATGGAAAACCAAAAATACTGTCCTCCGCCCGGCTTCTCGCTTCCACCACCGACCAATTTGGGACCTTTGCCTCAAATCTCCGATTTTGAAGCCACCCTCAGATCGTACCTATGGTTCAACAAAACTACAGTCGCCATCAAAGCCTCGGTCGGAGGAAACTTCGTCTACCAATATGCGCACCACGCTGGGAGGGAGGGCACTGGAAATCTGTACGACACCAAGATCCGGATAGCGAGCGTGACGAAGGTTTTCACTGTGCTCGCAGTATTGCTTTCGAGGGACCAAATCGGATGGGAAGACCCCATCACGAAGTTCGTACCGGGCTTAAAAGCAAAACCATATGCCGAGGTGACCATTGGCGCGCTGGCAGGACAAACCAGTGGATTGGGTAGATTCGTATGTCCCCGTCCATCTTCACAAACGTACTGAAGCTGACTAGGACCCAGGGCTACGTGGGCGACCTTGCGCTCATCCCAGGATTCTCCCCTGCACAAATCGGCCTACCAAATGTCACTCACAAACTCCCCGGCTGCGACGTTTATCCCGGAGGCAGGGTTGGTTCCAGATCCGAAGTGCTCGACATGTTCAACGACGCAGCGTACCTTCCCACATCACTGAATTCTGGACCGCTCTACTCCAACATCGCATTCAACCTCCTCGGCATGGCGCTCGAGCACGTCCACTCGAAGTGCTTCGAGCAGGTCATCCAAGACCTCATCTTCGACCCGATCGGTATGAAGAACTCCTCTTTCGCAACGCCAACTAAAGCCGAGGGCATCCTTCCTCAACCTGGAGAAAGATGGTTCGCCGCGCCCTTCGCCAACTTCAATCCCTCAGGCGGCATCTGGAGCACACCCAACGACATGCTCTCCTTCCTCGAGGCGCTCCAATCCCACAAACTGCTCTCCGCAGCTCAGACGCGTAAATGGCTTCAACCGTCGTCGCTGCTGCCGTCTCTCTACCAGCTTGTCGGTGCACCGTGGGAGATCTTCCGCCCGACAGATATCGATGTGACGGTCCCTCGTCCGATAGACTTGTACACGAAAGCTGGGGGCGTCGCGGGATATTCATGCTATGCGGTGCTCGTCCCGGAGTATAACATTACGTTGACGATTCATGCAGCTGGGGACGAAGCCACACGCGCGGTGCAGGATTTACTGCCTTTGGTGGCGAAGCCGCTGATTGCGCATGCGGATGGAGAAGTGCGCGCGCAGGCGGGCCGGAAGTATGCAGGTACATACATTTCGCGCAATGGTGAGAAACGCATGACCTTGGTGGTTGACGATGGGCCTGGTCTGCGGGTAGAGTCGCCCGTCATGAATGGTGTTGCTATTCTACCGACTTTGGCGAGAATGCAAGGCTTGGATACGGAGGGGGCGAGCGCGAGGTTGTATCCCGCGAACGTAGGCTCGGAATCGAGTGAGAAGGAGTCTTGGACCATGATGCTGGATAGAGTGAAGGAGGGTCCGGCACGAGGGTTCGCAGAGCAGGAATGCGGGAGCTGGAATTGGGGTGATGCGGCGAGGTATGCAGGGCACCCGTTGGACAGGGTAGTGTTTCACGTGCGGGAGGGAAGAGCTTCTGGGCTTGAAATGGTGGCATGGGGGACAGCGTCCGACGACATTCTGCATAAGGTCTGAATTGTTATAGCACTATGAGACCAGAGCTCACCAAAGTGGGAGGGCACACAATAATAGCTTAAACCGCGTACTATGGCTCCCACCCAGACGTCACCTCAATCATACAACCCCATGATCTGTCCTACAATGCTCTTAAAAATCCCATTCGGATCGAATTTCTCCCTGACCGTCTTAAACCGCGCAAGATGCGTCGCATCGATCTTATCCTTCGCCAGCGTAAACACCTCCCTCGTATTCTTCGTCCAATGCGGCCGACACGGAAACTCGGTAACAAGCGCCTCCGCAAGCTCATGATAAAAAGGCTCGTTATACCTCAACTTATCCCCAACCGTCGGCTGAAAACTCGGGAAATCGAACATAATCGCACCCTTGCTCCAATCTGCGCCATCGGAAGTGTTAGTCGTGACCTGGCCCAGGAGATCAAAGTACGGCTTTCCGAACTTGATGTTGATGCCGCTTCTGTACGTGGAGGTCATGGGCTTTCCCGCTGCGGCGGAATCGTCGAAGGCTTTGCGAACGCGCTTTAGCACGGCGTTGGCTTGGGTGACGGGGAAGGCGAGTTCGAGGGTGAGGCCGCGGAGACCGAAGTCCCATTCTGTGCCGTAGCCTGGGTAGAGACCGCCGATTAGGACGTCGTAGTTCCAGCCGTATACGGGCCAAGTGAGGACTGCGGTATCGGTGGTCTTTTCATGAAAGTTGGGGGCGGACCACAAGGCGAAAAAAGTAGTCTCGGCGAGTTGGTTTGAGGTTGGAAGATACTTCCCTGTGGGTTGTTAGTGATAAATCATAGCGCAGCGAGCGGAAGACACCCACCAGAATTGAGCAAGCCAAGGGCAATATCAGCTTCCGTCTTCGTGACACTAAATGTTGATTGGAAGCCTTCCTGCGTGGAGTTATCGGTATCAACCTTGTCGTAGTACCTATAGTGAAATTTCTTTAGGAAGGGCCACCACCAGAAATTGGCCGTCGCGTAAGGTGCGATTAGCCCGTAAATATCTCCGTTGAGAACTTCATCCTCTGTCAGACTACAAAATCGTTAGCGCCAATTCCAAAGTTGCTGCCCAGAGTCGTACGTCTTCTGCTGCGCGTAGACCTTGAAGTCAGGATAGATCTTGAACTTGATCCGCGCAATGACCCCAAGCAAACCCAACGATGTAGACGCTGCAAGCCAATCATCGTTATTGTCGTCGCGCTTCACCACAGTAATGTTGCCGGTTCCGTCGATGATGTGAAGTTCGAGCGCCCCCGCGGCCACCATACTATCTTCCCGGAGACTACTGCGATGCGCTCCCATAGCGATACTACCAGCAAGAGTAATATTCCAGTTGACGAGCGTATAACCAACACTCGCACCATTCGCATGCAAGTATTCTGCAAGCTGGAGGAAGGTAACACCTGCTTCGATCATAACAGAGCCGTCGGATGCGCCTGTAGGCAAGTCGAAGTCCGAGATCCCGTTGACGTTTTCGGTGCGGACGATGATGGTCGTTGGATCATCGCTGCACATGGTGTCGTACCACATGTGGCCTTTGCCACTCGCCCGTACGGGTGTGTTGGATTGTGCAGCATCGCGGACAATGCTTTGCATCTCGTCCACGGAAGTCGCGTTATAGACTTTTGCGACATTGTTGCAGGCGGGATGACCCGGTCCATCGAAGGTGTTGAAGGGCTCAGCGGTACTCGACCATGCTAGGGTAAGAAGACCCAATACGTAGCGGTAAGCCATGGTGGTATCCTGTGACCACAGGGCGGTCACGGGAATGTTGCTGGACCAGGTTGATGCAGCGTACCAAACGCAAAGCAACAACGCCAGACAACATTGCAATCGCCGGACATTAGAATATTTAGACATTTGGGAAAGGGGCCAACTGCACTTGCACGTGCGAGAGGACGTCATTTGGAGTAGCCCCGATGCGTGTTGTATCAGCAGGTACGTGTATACTCCGATGCGAGTCTTCCTAGGATCGTCTCAGCGTGACACAAAGCCTCCAATGAGGCTGGCCTAATGAGAAACAACGTACGTTCAGCTTCCTGTTGCAGCGGTGTTCACATGAACTTCATGGGAGCACAGCCAAGGCCGAGGTGTGACAGGCGGCGTTGTGCGGGTGATACCAATCAGACGGGCAACAAGCAACACGCATCTGGTACATTCGCCGCGTTGTTTGCTTAAACGATATGGACAAATAGAATCCTTTTTGCGGGGTAAATAGATGAAGCCAAGACGAATATGCCAGGAACAGAAATGTTCAACAGGGTTCGCATTAAGAAGGACCAATCAGAAGCAGGAGACACTGGGTTGGCTCCGCGCCTACATGTATATCACAATTCGCCAAAACACGTGTCTTACATGACCTTAGGAAGGTCTGGTGTTCAGAAGAAGTGAGGAAGATAGTACGTTGAGGTCGTACGAGACCTATGGAATAGATGAGGGGTTTATGTGGGGCGAATCTTACATAATCTCCAAACTCATTGGTTGCTTACATCCTTCTCTTCCTAATCCCACTATACCTCCAACTCCCCATCAACAGTCCTTCGTACACACACACTCCCGGCCCGGGTCAAACATCCCCTTATTCATGTAATACGCTTCCCAAAGCGCCTCACAACTCCTTCAACCTCTCCGGCTCCCTCTCACTCGGATCATACATTACTCCCGGATCATGCTCTAGATCATAGACTCCCACATCCTTCCCTCTCGGAATCGCCCTCCCCCCGAACAAACACCCGACTTTGGTCTCCTTTTCATCGTTATGGAAGCCCTCTTTGGTGTTGGCAGAAGGTGCTCCTCAAGTACTCGGTAGGAGCGACCGCCAGCTCTAGCCGCATATAGCGGCTCCTCTTCACCTAAACAAGTCATCACTGTTACACTCAACACTTCTTGTATCGTTATTTTGCACCGCGTAAGTGCGCGACCCAGCGCCAAAGAAAAGAAGTACATGGGTGTGCAACGCCAGCTAGGTGGACATCCATGACCGTTGCGAAGCTCTACATTATACTGCCGCCTACTGGCTTCAATTCGCCTGGTGAAGCGGCGGATGCCGAATCAAACACGGACACCTGATCCCATCTTCTCTAATCCACGTCTTGAATTCTCTTGACGGCGCACTCGAGGCATGCGTCCACTCCGTCCCAATACCAGAAGCACTAATCGCGCATGCCATGTCTTTTCCATAGTAATTACCTCCACGTTGCAGCCACCCCTACTATGGATCTTTGGGAAACACGACCCACCGCTCCCTATACTCCCTGACCCTGCGGGATGCACGTCCCATCGCAGTGACGCAGGCCGAGGACAATCAAAAACTTGTTTAAGGGCGTTGGGAAGAAGAGACAGCGTCGAGTATATGAAGAATAGTCTTGGCGGAGAAGAACCGGGTAGTCATTGTTCGCGGAGAACGCGCGGCTCGACTTTCGAATCAGTCTGTGTGCGGCTCGATCCAACCGCTACGGTTGCCACAGCTCCAGCATACCATAGATACGTCAACACGATAAGTTCGATATTGATAACACACTTTTGCCGGTATATTCTAGAAAATATGCCTTCTGTGACCTTGCGAGGTCTAGCGACATGCGCGCACATGGGCAAGCGCTTACTGGAGCTCACAATGCTGACATGGACAGTGGCACTGGCAATGCCCAGACTACCACGTGCAGAGCCGCTAAAGGCAACTAAGAGTCATGTCAGATTAGGAGGTGTCCACTCAGAAGTCGCCTAGTCGGTGGCATCGTTCAGTCTGCTTCGGTGCTTCCAACAACCGAGAAGCTTGTCTATGTCCTACTTTGATCTTCTCCAGGCTCCAGATTAGGTTCGCGATGCTGACTCTTCATCGCCTTGACCCTAAGTATGGAAGAAGACAGCCTATCGGATCTGTTCAAGATGCGCGACTCAATCGCGACCTGGAGACGTCTAGAATATAGCAAACCCAAGCTACGTTCGGATGTGTTGGACCCTTCTCCTGGCATCGATCGCAGCGATTAAGTTTAGCGCGCTCGCTTAAGCCACAAAGGCAAGTATGGCTCTGGAATCCGGTGCCCCGTCGACATGACGGCGCCTTCGGCACTTAGGGATCCATCCAGTAGCTCGCAGATTAGCGACACCAAGTCGGCGAACCTTTCGAATCGAATTTTCTCGCTGTGGGTTGTCTGCTGTAGACCACGGACTAGGCTCTTAGTACGGAGGCAAAATATTGTCTTGAAACTTAATGGAAGATGAACAACAGGCGTCATAGAAAAGGGGTCCTTTTTAATTGTGTCCCGTCGCTTCGCATTCGCTGTAGATGTGCCGAAGAGCGATTTTTGCGCTGCCTGCCGGGTGCTCCCAAAGTCCTTCCCTCTAGTCCATCGGAAGCCGTCCACTTGAAACATGGCACGAGATGATCGCTCCCACGAGTTTACCGGTGTTTTGGGGTTCTTCATCGCCGTGTGTACTGTTCTAGTGCTACTTCGCTGCTACTGCAAGATTGTCATCGTCAAGAACTTCGCCGTCGATGATTACCTTTCTGTGCTTGCCCTGGTATGCTCACCCTCATGGCCATAGGCCTCGCTGAAACATACTAATATATCTCGATAGGTTTCTTTCCTTGTCTATTCCAGCCTGGCCCTGATGGGTATTCAGAATGGTACTGGAAAAAGAAGATACCTTATTCCCGACGAGAAGTACCCTAATGGCATGAAGGTGCGTTGGACCATGTCTGTACAGAGTCCCAATGTGCTGATACCAAAGATCTAGTGGTGGTGGTCCTGCGAACCCACTTATGTTTTCATGAACATTGCTCTCAAATTGAGCATCGGCATCTTCCTGCTTAGAATTGCTGTTGAGCGCTCACACCGTATAGTTCTTTGGATCTCTCTCATCGGCGTCGAAGTCTACAGCTTATACTTTCTGCTTCTTTTCACCTTTCAATGCTGGCCGGTATCATTTTTCTGGGAGCAGTTCAGAGGCGGCCACGGAAAGTGCATGAAGAGCGAAATCATCGTTGGCTCATTTTACGGTTACTCGGCGTTGAGCTGCGTGTCTGATTGGATCTTCAGTATCGTTCCAATCTTCATCGTTCAAGGATTGCAGATGGACCGACGGAAGAAGATCTCAGTGGCCATCATCCTGGCATTTTGTGCCCTGTAAGTCACGCCCCGGTTTAGCCGTGTGACTCCATGCTGATACTATAAAAGCGGTTCCACTGCCACAATAATTCGAATCCCGTTCATCAAGGGACTCAAGGACTCGAATGATTTCCTTTATTCCACCACCGACGTCGCTATCTGGTCGACATGTGAGACAGGCATCGGCCTAGCCACATCTGCAGCTGCCACTTTGAGGCCTCTCCTCCGAAAGGTCTTTGGCGATCTTTCTGTTGCTGACACTTCGACCCGGAAGAAATCTCGAGACTGGACTGGGAGATACCCTTCGCGATCCGGCTATCTCACCCAGCCCAGCCAGGGCGATGACAACGACATCGCGCTCGAAGACCGAGCTTTTACTAGGATCCATATCGGCAGTGGTGGGGACTTGAGTCCGTCTAACAGCACAGCCGGACTGACGGATTGGGAGCGCGAGAAGGATCCAGCGGAGAAGAACGTCACTGAGTTGATCCCAACAAACGGAGGCATCATGAAGACAGTGAAGATTACTCAGTCATAATGAACTGTCTCGCGCCCGGGTTTCGCGCGTATCATCCATTGATGAGGACCTGATGATGATGGATACGCTGGGATACTTCTACTTCAGGACGCATCAATGAATACTGTGGCTCCTATTAATTAATTCACCAATGTCAACCATTCTTGCTATACTATTGACGCCGCTATGCGATCTCGACGTGGGATCATTCTGTTGTTGACATCTTTGGAGGTCATTATCATCGGCCGCGGAAGGGAGGTGTAGCTTGAGCACCGCATCATTCGATGTACGCTTTAGCAATGTTGCCCAACTTCCAGATATCATTACAACGACAGAAGATCAACACCATCTTAAGAATGGACGGTAAATGTAGGGTGGTATGGCAGAAGTACCCGGCTCCGCGGCTGTTCGCTGTCAGCTGAATCGGGCCGTGGTGCGGGACTGGTCCCACAATTGATCTCCGCTCTTCCCCGCTGCACGACACTTGTCATCTCGTCTCCCTGGTCTCGAAGGTCCAGAACGTCAATTGATGGATGCCGGCACGACCCCACGCGGACGACAGCCTGCGTCTGACCGACTAACGCGACGCAAACGCATCATAATGGCTTGCCAGTCTTGTCGCCTACGAAAGATGTGATGCGATGGCGTCAGACCTGTGTGCGGTTTCTGCCAGCGACACGAAGCGCGTTGTGTTTGGGGTAGCACATCAGAGGTTCCCCATGGTGTTGATAGCACGCCCGCGGAACGCGAAATACTTAGAAGCTGGATGAGATCAAGACGCTACTGAGTGCGAGTGCGAGTACACCCGTCGAACAACCAGTAGCGTCTTGGCCACCACCAAGCCCAACGACTACATCTTCCAGAGCGCAGCCGAGCATTCTGCCAACGACGTCGCCAATACCGCCTTCGTACCCGACCGTAAGGTGTGAAAGTATCCTACGTTGGCCCATTTTCCATGGCATCGTCGAGCCATCGGACGCCGCTATCGAATCTTTCGTCCTGGAGTGTGCTCCTTCTTCCTCTCCCAGCAACGATGGCACCCCTGAAGCCACCATCCAGGATCACTTGCTAGTGCCCTTTTGCAGGGAGTTTCTCGCGCGCGTGCATGCCCGCAACCCAATTCTCGAAGCCATCGAGCTGATCAAGTATGCGAAACATGTTACTGAGAACGGCCTCGGCTGCGATGCAAGTTCTTGTCTCGTTGTATGGATCATATTCGGATTCGTCATTTGCTACTGATTCCCTTACAGCTCATCGCATGTGCACTTGCTTGCTACACTTCCCCTTGGAGCGAGGCTGTTACTGACCAACAAGTCCGCTCTTGACCCAAGAACATACTGGACATATAAAATCTGCGGAGGCCTTCTATGCAGCTGCGGAAAAGCGATTCGGCTTACTAGGATGCTCCCTTGTCGACATTCAATGTTTCTTTTTTGCATCTGTTTACGAAAAGTATGTGTTTGGTCCTCTCCAAGCCTGGCTACACATTCAATCAGCATCGGTGCGGTTGCAAACGCATTTGAAGCGACAGCAGCGGCTCGACATCCTCCACAACATCAGCGCTATCGATCTTTCGGAACAGAAACTTGTTCAGCGTGCCTTTTGGTCAGTCTTCAAAGCGGAGAGCGAGCTACTCACAAAGCTTCCTCTGAGATCCACAGGCATCGAAGACTATGTGCAAACTAACTCCTTGTTTTCTACTCCACCAAACATCCCAACACAAAGTGAAAAGGCAAATCAAACCCATTCCACCGAACTGCATTCATGGGCGGAAGAAAGAAGCTGGTTCTCCTACCTGGCGGAGATCTCTCTGCGACGAAGTCTCAACGACCTGCTTTGGATGCTCTTTCGCAAAGGCGAATCCTACTGGCTGAACCACAACGCGTCCCTCGAAGTAGATCACCAAGAGACTCAAAGACATATTGCGGCATGGTACACGCACCTCCCCGATTCTATCCGATTCGGCCCCGCCGAGCTAGCTGGCAACGAGTACGCGTTCTATCTCCAAGGGCGCTTCTTCGAATAGCACGCATGCTCCCTTCGACCTTTTCTCTTTTACGCTCTCCATCGGCCCTCGGGCTAGAAATTGTCGCAGCTAACCAAGTCGTACGCTAAGGGAACCCTTTCCGTGTGTGCCACTGGCATCATGCACCATCAGCGGCACCACCGGCACGGGGACTCTTGGTTCGCTTGTCGAAGAAGCTTTGCGTATGCATTGTGCATCTTGGCAGTTGTGATCAAAGGCGATAGAGAGTTGTCGCCGCCGAGCGAGTGGAAGTCAATTGTCACGACTGCTGTTGCTACACTCGAGAAGTGGGAAGTTCAATCGGCAGATGTTCGCGCTATGCGTCAAGTGTTAGCACGTAATTTTTCAAGCGGTTTGTGGTCGTGTTGGAGACACGATATGATCTTGGTCTACGTGTCCCATTACCAGATGCGCTCAGGTCAGCGTTGTGTTCTCCTTCTACATCCGACGGGATCGCGCCCATGTTGTATGGCCCCAGTGGCCTCGCTCTCGATATGACTCCCTTCTCTGCCGTCGATTTGTCCAAAGCTTCGATTTTGCGGCGGTATGGCTCTTTCCAAACTCTCTGATACCGACACACTCAGATACCGACACCCTCAAAGAAAACCTCATCGACTTCCTCCAAAGTCTTACCGCTGCACTCTGGAATGCAGTTTCATGTAAAAAGCACGGCGAAAACGGCCGTGGTCTCAAGGATAAGTCTAAATTTGTCGTCCAGATCCGCACAGTCAGCACAAATGAGGTACGGAACGCTGAAAGATACAGCGAATTGAACAGCGATGTCAAAAACAGCGCCGAGCTCATCTGCTTCATCACGCAGGTCCTGCGTTGCGATTTCGACGGCTACGACGTGCAAGAGGGGTGCCCAACCGAGGCAGAATCTGAAGACGTAGATGGTCAGCATGGCAACAACGCCAGTCTTCATGCCCAACGTTGGACACGAGGCGGCGCAATGTCCCCATCGAAAAGCAAGCACAGAGCACAGCTTCGGAGAACAGCGCAGACTAGCATGAGAGGACTATTGGAGACGTCAGCTGTCCACACGGATACGGGGCGTTGATGATGATCGCACACTACCGGTATAGTCTGCCTGTCAAGGAACTGGCAAAGAAGCACGGCGGCTATACCGAAGGACGTGTTGATAGCGGACGTGGAGAAGGGTTCAGTGATGCTGGAACCCTCAATGGGGATCGTGCCGTAAACGCTTGCGAAGTTTTGGAGTATTTACACCTACGACGATAACCGTTCGTTTGAGGTGAATTCCTGGAATAAATCCATAAATGTCCCTTTTCTACGTTTTCGTCAGTGTGCTCCATAACTCATGCAACTTGGCTCCAACCTCCTCATGGTGACCTTGCCTAGCCGCAAGACGCGGAGCAAGTGCATACCTTCCACCTCTCGTCCCTCTTCCCTTGGCTAATACCCACCCGGACTTTCAGGGATATACCAAATACCAGAAGAGCAATATTTAGATGACAAAGAGCAGGCCTAGGATGCGAAAACCCTTTTCACCAGAAAGGTGCTAGTTCCACGTAACACAAGCGCGCCGATAAGTTGACCTACCACCAAGCTGGACTATTTATCCTGGAAATGGAACCTCGCGCCGGTGCAGGCGTCGGCTCTTACTGGAGTGGAGGATCAGGACGAGTGCAAGGTCCACGTCGATGGGTGTGTAGGGTATGATGCAGGCGAGGATCATCTGCCAGGTTCTGAGTCGTGATGAGGGGCGTGCGGCCGATTTCAGCGCAAACACATATGATCAGGAGAAATTCACGGCGCCCTGGTTTTCCGGAAGAGATATTCCAGTGACGAGTCGAAGGCGAAACCGAGACGTCAAATTATCCAACAGCGACAGATAAGGATCCAGCTGCATGTTGGTGAGTAGCGATCCAGGCCGTTGGTCATGTGCTGTGGAACTTCACTTCGGATCTACAATATGTCTTCGGACTCTGCACACCGCCGAATGTCTTGATGAATGCACCCAAAGCGTTCATGTTGCTGAAGATGGCCTAGTACATGCCGAAATTGAATTGCATGTAGCGATGATGGCGTAGCACGCAATATGAAGCATTGTATAGCAGTCTCGACAAACTGTGCAACACAGGTGTGCGCCTCAACAACTTTCACGCAGCATCAGCATGCTCACCAACACGATCGAATGTCCGGTACGACCAACCGTATTGCTGGTCTGGAAGAAATAGTCGAGCACATGGCCGAAGTTGTATACTAGCCAACCAGGGTAAGAGGGTTATCTGAACTTCCGCGCTGCGCTGAGCGAGATACAGAAGGATAGGTATAAAACTAGCATATCGGGCAACTAGTAGGGTCATTGTGGTCTTCACTGTACATCAGCGGGAATTCTTTCTTACTAAAGGGGATCAAACGTGCATCTCAAACTCACGCATTAGACATCACCACAAGCCCGCGGCTTCGATGATTCCTTTTTCCCTCTCCGGCTGTGGGAACCACTTCAACATCGAGCCCAACTCGCCGATCTGTATGCGCTCTTCACGCCTATATGAATGCGGGCAAGTTCTGCATGCGAGGTAACGATTTTCAACATCGAATGAGCGCGCAACAAGTGTTGGGGGACTTGCTTCTATCTACCAACCTCGTCACTGATGAGTTGATTAGTTACCTCGACGCCCGGAAGGACACTGCGCAGCGATAGTCTCCGCATACTTGCCGTTTACAGCGCCATATTGGCGCCTGCAAGCACCGTGGGAGCTGATCGAAGTACGAAGGGAAGTACGGTGAAGGACCGTAAAAGTTGCGAGAAAGGCGACTAGAAAGGCTGATCAGAATAGGTGTCATCAAACCCGAGGTTCAGTCTGGAGGAATATCGGCCGCGAGGTTCAGTATGTAGAAGACAAGAACGAGCTGAACGCGTTTAGACACGTCATGTCGGGACATGGCGAGGGCGCAGTGCTAGAAGCGCTATCTCATGGGCGACGTCGGCAGTCACCCACATCACCGACTGTACTACGACAACACACTGGAAGAGAATGCCTCGGGCTTTACGTCTTTTCTTTATTACTTTATAACGCCTTACACTCCGTGCTGTCCCCTCGAAGTCTCTACTTCCGAACTATGTACCAAAAACCATATCGTTCGTTCGAATCTACCTAGGAAAAATGCATAACACTCAAGCGAGAACCACATCTACTCTATGCTTTCACACCGTTCGCCCTCGTCACTCTGCTCGCAATGTCCTTCTGCACATATACCTGCCCAAACATATCCGTCACATCGATAAACACCTGCAGCTGCTCCATCACGCGCCGCGGCACCACAGCGCTCAGTTTCTCCCTCGCGAGCTCCATGCCCGCGCGCTCGAACTCAGCCAAAGCCATCAGGCTGTCTTTCGCAGGGGAGATACCCGTCCCGGCATGCCCATTCATCGCGCCATTCGTCGTTGCGCCCACCCCATCCCCATTCACCTCCGCACCCGTCCCACCAATCCCATTCTCTTGGTACTCCCCATCACGGAAGCCAGGGAAATCAAGACTGTTGAGATTCCCCTCTTCCGCATCGCGCGTCGCAGACCCATAGTCGTTGTACATCCGACACATAGTCGCCAAATGCCGACACAAAGCCTTTGCGAAGTACTGCGCTCTGGCTCCGGCGTAACAGTGCTTTCCGGCGTCGCTGATTAGGCAGGCGAAGAAGAGGAAGGAGAAGGGGCAGCTTGTGTCGTCGGAGGCAGGGCCGCGGACCCAGGTGATGTAGCTCTGCTGCTGGGGTTGGAGGGAGGCGGTGGAGGAAGTGCCGTTGGCACTGTGGGCACCGTTGCCGTTCGCCTTGCGGGTGGCGAGGAGGGCATTGGCAAGGTTGTGCTCGTTGTGCGCGGCGATGAAGTTGTAGATTTCGAGGGACATTTCGTGCTGGATGGGGAGGGGGGAACGGGTTAGCGACCAGTGTTGGGTGACGTGCTGCATGAAGCGGCTTAACGCGTTGAAGGCTGCATGCACTTGTGTATCCTTTTGAAGGTCGGTGGAGGTGTTGGCATCTGCGTGACTGGATCCATTGGTTAATTTGTGGTTGGAATTGGTAGCAGCCATGCTGGCCGACTTGGACTGCTGTTTCAAGAGGTCCATGAGCTGCGATATGCCAGCCTCCGGCACGCTGGCAACCACTGACTCCATGTACTCGTCGACCTGGAAGTTGAGCAGAGACAGCAGAACCATCTCCCACATAGTCTTGTAGGACAACCGCTGGCCGTTCTTGTGGTTGCACGTCACCCAGATCATAGGGATGAACTCCAGATATTTGTCCGCCGTCATGGGGATTTCGGAGCGACTGAACAGCGAGTCGCGGAAGGAGTTGAGCCGCGCAGCCATCAGCCGCGCTTCGACGAGGACCAGCTCCATGGAGGCGAACTTAGCACCTCGGAACAAAGGCAGGCTGGAGACGAGGTACTGCGTCTTCTTCATGCTGCCCTGCGGTAGGGTGAAGCCGTCGGCGATGGACGGCGTCCAGGGCACGTCGACAACCTGGAAGTGCAGCGCTGCGGAACAATAGACGGAGTGGAGCAGCTCTGATCGATAGGAAACTTTCTCGACCCAGAGGAAGTCAGTCTTGTCTGGGTTGCTGTACTTGGCCTGCAGGTAGTCCTGCCCCTGGCGTATGCTGTCCCTTAGCTGGTCTTTGAGCGCCGCGCTCCACGGCAGCGAGAGCGCGTAGCCCACGGTGATGATGCTGTAGGCTGTGATTTCGAGGGAGTCATCCCAGGAGCCATTGGGTTTCTGCTCTGACAACGTCTGACTTAGCAGACGGCAGATAGCGCCTGGAATGCGTCCTGCAAAGCCTTTGCTCGCGAGGTCCACATGGCCCGCATTGTACTTCTCGAGGAGCAACACCGATACCTGCACGAACAGCATTCTTGAGTACTGAGTCGACATGTTCCACTTGTCGTGGATCGGCCCGGACTCCTGCAGCTCGAGCAGGAAAGCAAGTGCCTTCTCGATGTTCTCCTGATCCAGCGCTCCCTCCGCCTCCCCCAACAACGCAAGCAGGACGTTGCAATTAGCGCTGAAGCTCGGGCTGCCCTCCAATCGATACGTGCGGATGTGGTCGGCGGTCTGGAACATCTCGATAAGCCTGCGTGCACTCTGGCTCTTGTCGAGACACCGCAATGCCATCAGCGACCGCGCAGTGTCATCTGCATCCTCCAGAACGCCAGGGGTGAACCCGACGAGTCCCGACTGCGCTTCCAAAGCGCGCTCGAAGCGGCTTGCGAGCTGATCCTTTTCAAGCGCATTCAAGGCGCGGGAGGAGACGCGGGGGGTAAGGAGCGTGGAGAGCGACCAGCCGAGTTCGAATAAGCAGGTTGGGTAGGCGCTGGGCACGTGGCCTGTGCCGCCGGTGGAAGAGATGACTGTGCTCAGGTAGGATTCTGCCTTTTGATCCCAGGTAGTGCTATAGATGAGATACGCGGCGGTTGCGGAGGGAGAGCCGAAGATGCCAGTGTCTTCTTTGCAGTGATGACCGACACGGTCAAAGTCGATCAACCCCACAAGGGCTTCGAGGGAATGGAGCAGCGTGGTCGACTGGGTCGAGTAGACGGTTGCCGGCTTAAACTTTTGCAGCTTCTTCTTGTTCAGCTGCATCAGCGTGGAGTACCCCGGAAAGTCGAATGCAATGTCCCATGCGCTCAGTTGGATTAGCAGGCTGGGGACCAAAATCTCAAACCCGACATGCACACTGTCTTGCACGTTCCAGTTTTGCAGAACAGCCTGAACGGCCGCCTGTCCTCTCTCGATGCGTGCTTGCAGCTTGCTCGACTCTGGCGACTGAGGTAAAGTCGATCTTTGCCGGGTAGCAAGCGCCAACAGAGCGGCCAAGCTGTTGAGAATGACGTCGACCTGGGCGTTGTTGGATCCCCATACTCCAATCTCCTGCTGCGCTGCGAGCAGATACTCGAAGCACTCCGGAAACAGATATCGGGGTTGGCCTTGCTCTTCCTTCTTGATCATCGACAGCCACGCAGTGTCGTAGATAGCCCCGCTGAACGAGCCAAAGTGACGGAGAGGAGCCCCAGCACCGACATCTTCCAGCGCAACAATATCCGCAATGATGTCGTCGGGCGACGGACACCCTCTCGTACCGTTGATTGTCGAAACCATTCTTGCGCACCTAGTGGGTCCACCACCAACCCACGAACCAGTCTTGACTCAACCTTATAATGTCTCCCGCTCGAACTTCCAAGCTGATCCGGGAATTGACAAACTCGAATGGGAATGCTCTTGGGTGGGGGTCAGTGCGTACTGTTGGTACAACGGCAGCCGGTCGGCCGTTCGGCTATGAGCGAGGCAGACATACGCTTCTATTGGCAAATGTGCAAGTCCGAGCCTCGCATGTACCTCTCTTGGATAAGACCGAGGGCTTAAGATCTGCCATCCTGCGGCCATCCTGGTCGCCGGGCTTGCATAAGCGCGTCGAGGCGGCGAAGGACCTGGATGCTATTAGGTGCATACTATACCAGCGCTAGAGATACCGTGGCGGCTCACACGGGGATCTAGCGACCTCCGGCTAGAGGCTCCGTTGGTGGGAAAACCAGGAACATCCTTTTTATCATCGCTTATGGATGGGGCTTATGGATCACGTGACTGGGTGTCGTTCAGTGGAAGGATTGGGAAATTAGGGTCTAATTACGATACGTCCGGAGCTATAGCTACGGCGGGGGATGATATGTACAGTGGGAAACGTCATCTAGGACGCCGCCCGTGGCGTCTTGTATTATATACGCTCACAAACTCGGCAACAACTTACAATGAGTTGCTCTTGAGGAACTGCAGCGAGTGTGAGAAGCCGGCGTTAGCGTTGTAGTGCTGCGCTATAAGATGACCGGACTTGGGCTGCAAAAAGGTGCCCTTGCTCTTCGACGCGGGAAACAGCGCATTGACGAACGTCTGGGCCTGGTCCGTGGGGTACGAGCAGTTGGCCTGGCAGAAAATGTAGTCCTGCTGGCCGAGGACGACGTCCACGGGCCCTGTGTAGGTGGGCTGCGGTGCTATTACGCTGTTGAAGGTGAGCAGCTCGCCCAAGACGGTGGTTTGTCGCGTGTCGAACTGCTTCTTGAAAACTTTAATTACAAATTAGTCGTGGCCGAAAGAGGGTTTTTAAGGGGGCTTACTTGTAGGATCGAAGTCCGGGTAGCGGTAGAAGGGGAACTGGAAGTCCTGGGGCACGGCGCCCTGCGTGAGATAGCCCTTATCCAGGCCGGCGAAGCGGCCTGACGGATCCAGCGCAGCCGGAATGAGGTTGAAGGAAATCTGTGCCCTCGCGACGCCCTCTATCGACGTCGAGATGCCGGTGAAGATCAAGGCATCGAAGTCGGCCGGGTACTTGCCCACAATCGCAAGGGTCAACGCCGACCCTGCCGAGTGCCCAACACCAACAACATTCTTGATGCCAATTCCCCCAATCGTCGCCTTGCGCAGCACCTGGATGATCTGGTGGGCGATTTCGCGCTGCAGGGCCGCCTGCACGACCTGGTTCGGATCCGGGTGGTCCGAGAGGCCGTATCCGAGGCGGTCGTAGTTGAAGGTCGCATAGCCAGCCGCCGCCGCCGCATCAACGTAGCTGTATCCCGGCGCGAAGTCCCAGTACGTGTGGTCGAGGGTGCCGCCGTGGTTGAGGAACTGCAGCGTCTGCACCTTGAGCGCAGCAACGGGGTCTGCGGGTACGCAGAGCTCGACGTACAGCTGGTAGGTGCCGGAGACCTGGCTGGGCCCGCCATTGACCATGGCCGCGTAGTCGATGCCCACCGTCGCCATGTCCACGGTCGTCTGCGTCAGGTCCGGCTGGCCGACGGGCGACTTGACGAGGAGTTTGGTGTTGGTCGCGGAGGCGTTGACCTTGATCTTTCCGCGCAGGCACGCCGCCTTGCCCGCGGCAGAGAGGCCGACGGTCGTCTGGGACATGACAAAGGTCGTGTCGAGCTGTACGCCTTGTGCGACCGCGATCAGCGACGCCACGCGCATGAGAAATGCGCTAACCCCCATGATGAATGGGAAGCTCCAGAAAGTCCTTCGGAACAGAAAGCAGACCCGCTCACGCAGTAACAGAGAGCAGGAGCCGATGGGACAGACGGGCACAACAGAACGAGAAGAGAGGGATGTGAGCAGTTCGCAAGATGAGAATCAAGGACTAACAACAGCCTTATTATGTGCCATGTGGCAGGCGAGCCGTACCGAGCGCCCGGACGGGATACGGGCTCACGTGGCCTTCTAGAAGCCCCGGCCCTGAGGTTACGGGCCCAAGTCGACGCCTCCAACAGCGCCCCATGCACGCTCTCAATAGCTTAGGATCACTCTAGCATCACTACTTCTTTGTGCCTGACTCGCGACCATTATATCTTCTAGGCGGCGCCTTTAGTCTATCTAACCAGTTCAGAAGAGCACACGCCACAGAAAGTTCTAAGCATCACGAGTCCAATTCCTCTACAAATCCAAGCGAGCTCAACCTAACCGGACGCCGCAATACTAGAAGACTTTTCCTCCTCCGCAGCGGCTTTCGCTTTCGCTTCCTCGTCCTCTGGCTTCGGCTTAGCCTTGATATTCTTCCACTTGATGCCGCACACCAATACAAACGCCACGGCGGCACTCCCAGCCGCGAGGTACTATCTCGGTTAGCCTAGTGTGGACAATAGCGAGCACATACGAGACCTACGAAGACATTGGTAATGGCCTTGCTGTATACGTCGATTACAGCGTCACGGACTGCGGGCTGGACCTCGCGGTGGACGTCAGCTGCTCCCACGGCAATCAGCCGAGCAGCTTCTTCGGGGGAGACCACGCGAACCAAGTTGCGCGTGAGAGATGATTGGAACATGGCCTGGCCGCCTGCTAAAAATATGGAACAGCTTGCTGTCATGGCGAAGAGCAGGGTTGTCGACGCAATTGGTATCAGATCAGGCGGCAGCATGGCTTGCAGTGCGATATGAGGCTGATGGAGTGGTTAGTTCGCAGAGGAAGAGGCCATGACGAGCCATGGACTCACCATCGTCACCATGAAAGAATACCCGCAACCCGTGAGGATCTGGTATCCAATCCATTTCCCGGCATCAGTTGTCGGCGTCAGTGTCGACAGCAGCCCAGAACCAATCGCCAGTATGCCCACGCCAAAGATGTAAAACGGATTGTACCAACCGACATTCATCACGATGCCGCCGCCAACAATAGACGTCAAGACATCTGAGATAACGCTGGGCAAATACCGCACACCACTGCTAATGGGCGTGGCACCCTGCACCGCCTGGAACCAGATGGGCAGATAGTAGATGATGGTTGCCACACCCCCCGGACCTAGCAGACATGCTCCAAAAGCAAGCACCACAGTCCGGAAGGTGAATAGCTTGGGCGGCACGAGCGCCGAGTCCCCCATCCACCACTGCGACGCCACGAAGATGGCAAATACGACGACGAACCCAACCAGCAGTCCAACGACAATAGACGACGACCACGCATACGTGACCCCGCCCCACTGCAGAGCAAGCAGCAGCATCAGAATCGCGCCCGCAAAGATGGTAAAGCCCAGCAAATCCAGGTTCTTGATCTTGGTCTTCAACGGCCCCATCTCGGTCGGGCTCGTCTGCAGATGCAGAAACAGTAGTATCAGCGCAATCGACACGCCGCCCGCAGGCAGATTGATCCAAAAGCACCATCGCCAGGTGACGTTCTGCGCGAAGGCACCGCCAATCAGCGGGCCTATGATCTGGCTCGCGCCGAACGTGCCATTCGTCATCCCCGTGAGCAGCGGCCGCTTGTGCAGCGGCGCGATGGTCGCTACAATGATCAAGCTGCCGGCGAAAATACCTGACGCGCCCAGCCCGCTGATGGCGCGGCCGACGATGAGGGCATTTGAGTTGGGCGCGAGCGCGCAGACGAGGCTGCCGATTTCGAAGACGCCGATGTAGGCGAGGTAGACGAGTTTCTTGGGGAAGAACATGTAGATTTTGCCGGCGAGCGGCAGCGCGACGCACCTGTGGAGTTAGCATGGCTAGTGGGTGAGCGATGGAAGAGGTGGCTTACATGGCGACGAAGTAGGCGCTGCCATACCAGCCGACGTCCTGGAGGGAGTCGAAGTCACTTGTGATGACGGGGATGGCCGTCGCGATCAGTGTGAAGTCCTACAATGGCGGCACGTCAGCTTGTGCTCGCAACTATCAGAACATTCCCACAAAAGACATACTAGGCCCGTCAGGATGTTAGAGAAACACAACCCCAGAATAATCAACGCCAACTTGAGCCCTTTGACCTCGTCGGCAGCATTGATGCCCCCCGAGTCTGGCTGCTCCTCCGCCACGAGCTGTTCCTCCTTCTCAGCCGCTACATCGACAGTCGCGTCGTCTTTCTTGCTGGCGTCCATGGCGTATGCAGAATCAGCAGCCTTCTGCTCCTCAGTCGAAGCCATCTGGTAATCCTTCGTCTTTAGCGTAGACGACAAGTCGATGCTGCTAGAAACCGTCTTTGTTCGTTTCAAAACCGTTTTGTATAACCGCACATACTCCCTATTGTTTACATAAAATCAGATAAGCGAGTGCAGACAGGGATGCTCTCCTCGCGCCACCCGTGCGCTAGAAAACAGCCTACCTTCGTTCAACAATTCGAAAGCTGCCCTGTCGGGAATTAGATAATTGCACATCGGAAAAGGCTATTCGCCCACCATGACCAGGAACCAACAAGGTGCTGTCGATGCCGCACGCTTGTCCCGGGTAAAGCGACGCTGAGGTCAGCAGCAGTGCCGCCTGGAGCTATCCAGAAGTCGTATTATCTACCTTCCTAGCTAAGAGATGGAAAATGGATTCCTACCTACTAGTCCTCACATAGTACGGACCGCGCCGCTGGGCTAGGCGAAAAAGACACCTCATGTAGTACACATTACTGATGGCAATAAGCACGCTTACCACCTTCTCCACAGGTGAAGTAGAAATTGGAATTGGAGTAAGCCGGCAGTGCCGCCTGCAGCCATCCGGACTCCGTTGTACCTTCCCAGCTAGGCTGACCGAGTAAAGTAATAGTGGGCCCTGCATGTAAACAGTAAGCATCCACTAGTCTGCTTAGCGGACCGTGCCGCTGGGCCCGATTATGCAAATTAGCGTACATTAGCGCATGGGGCCGATTTCTGTTACCGCCCGCCCCGCCACCTGCATTTCCTCCACGAGTGTCTTAATGCTTCGCCCGATCCGCACGGGGAATAGTAAGTGTGGGAAAACAGGGTGTACTATAGTAAAGTCGGTATTCTGGCGAGCGACTTCCAAATCAAGGCCGTAGACTATTGTCTACGAGGCAGGGATCGACATCCCGGCGCCAAATCAAGGAAGTAGGATGCGAGGGATCGACATCCCTGCATGTGGCGTGCAGCATGCGCAATGCTGTACTACAATAGGGCTAGGGCTCAAAGGGAGCAGGGGGCAGGGATAATGTCTCGGTTTCCGAAGCTGAAGTTAGATCGTTGAGGCTGATGTGCATGCCGCAGTAGTACATGTGCCTAATGTGTAGCATCATTCGCACGAGGGTGGTGCTGGGGCCAATAGTTTGAGCGGGCAGGCGCACTCGCACGCTTCACCGACCACCCTCGCTTCCTCCTCCATTACCGCCCGTCTCGATGATTGGCTCCTCGGAGTTATTCTAATCTTCTGCGCAGCGGGCAGTCGCACGCTCGGTTCGCGGTCCACCCTCCCTTCCTTGCCTTCCCATTACTGTCCGTCGCGATTATTGGCATTCTCGCACATGTGTGTGGAGAAAGGTGGGGACACGCAGCCTCCTCGGGGTTCTAAAAGTGAGCTACGCAGAGGGCTTAGCTTAGACAAGGTGCTTAACTCGTTACACGGAGTGTCTTATCGGGAATTTGGCATTCATGCAATTGATGATATCGTTACACAACTAGTCCATCACAACTATTTGGGGTAGTCTACACTAGTGAATAGCAAAGGAAATTACAACACAGAACGGCGGTGAACCCGTGGGCACCGCTGGCAACTACGCCGTACACCTGGCCACCGTACGTGGGCGCATATCTCCATAGTTTTGACATGTCGCTCAATCTCACATAAGAAATCTGACTCATCTCATGCGCTAAAAGCTCTCCCGCGTATTAATCGTGGTCTGGTGCGTTTGTTTTATCTCCGAGGTCGCGCGGATGTATCCGACCTCGGGCCGTGTCAGGCTCTGCGTCGAAGAAGTCTCGATGTCCGTCTTGTTGCTCGGCGTAAGCTCGTGCCACCTGCCGTTCTTGTCGCTAGGGGTGTCGCTATTGATGACATTCTTGCTGAAGTTGGAGGAACCCTGGGTGCGGCTGCTGATGGAGAAGAAGCTGAGGGTGGAGCGGATCATAGAGGGCATGCCGCGGTTGGCGAACAGCGGGCCGTAGGTGGGCAGGCAGGCGGCGATGATGGAGGCGCTAGGCTCGATCTTGGACCACAGCGAGGCCTGGACGGTGATGGTGCCCTTTTCCTGCGCCGTGGCGACGAAGACGGCGGCCAGCTGGCGGTACGAGTAGTAGAAGCGGACGGACGCGGCGACAACGCAGAAGGCGCCGAGCCAGAGGATCATGGAGACTTTGATCTTGTTGGCCAACGAGAGCTTCAGCGACCAGATGGGCTTCAGAGGCAGGCAGAGGACCAGGAAATCCAGGACGATACCGATGCCGAAGATGGCCAGGAGTGCAGTGGGGTAGTCGTAGTTGGCATCGATAAGCTGGCGATCCGGGTGCCAGGCGGACGAAATAGGGCTCGTGCTGAAGAGCTGGGTCTGGTAGAATCTGTTAGGCGCATTTCGCATAGACTATCGTGCTGGTAAACCTACGAAGAATGTTCCAATCATCCAGGACGAAACGAGGAAGATGCCCACGTTGCACACCGTCGCAAAGGGGTTCCAAATGAAGAGGCGCTTGTAAAACTCCAGAATCGAAATCTTGCAAAGCCCGCTCGCGATGGTTGTGGTGATGACGTCGGAAAAGTAAATCTGCGGGCTTTGGTCAGAAAATGCGATGATTTTTGGTAGATTGTAGAACTCACTTTGAAGAGAAATTGCGCTCCCCGCACCGGATCCATCTTGTTGTTGGTGTAGTCGAGCCCCAGCTCTGCCGCTCCGATGATGGTGGTTAATATGCAGCCGTAGGTGACAATGAGCGAGGCAATGATGAGCGCCATGTCCATGGTGAACCACTTGTCGCGCGTCGACTTGCGCGCGCAGTAGATGCGCAGCCCCAATGCGACGGTGGCCAGGCCGAGGAACACAACGATGACCGAGACAAGCGTGGTGGTGAAGGGCGACGGCGTGGGCGGCATCGCGCCGGTAGCGGCGCCAGTATTGGACATGGTGGGGGATTACAGCCTTGTGTTGAAGAGCTGGCCAATTCTCTAGACAGAAGAGCGAATGCGATAGATGTGAACGGCTCCAAGCGACGCGGGAGGGATGAGTAACTTATCGGCGTCGGCACGTTACCAAGGTGGCAGTTATAATGCAGGCCTTCGCCTACTGCGACCCTCAAGTCCGAAGACGAAGCCCGGCATGGCATGCAGTCCGTATATACTACTATACCAGGACAAGCAACCTAGGCCAAAGGCATTTCCGCCCCCCCACCACCATCACAGTTAAGCGACGGTGTGTCCTCGGTTTCGGGCTCTTACAGGCCAGAGCCATGGCCATCTATGCAGAACCCCGCCACGATTTTTATAGCCGGCCAATCCTACTCAAGCTCCAGACAACGGGTATCTACGCTGCCGATATCAGACGTTGATCTCCCGATGGCTTGTCACCTGCCATTTTGTACAGCGCTGCCGGAATAGGAAACAACGGGCATAACTCCCCGACCGGCGCCAAACTAGTCTAACTAGACAAGGCTGACTTGATACCTGCGGCCATACCAGGGCCACGCAGAAGTATTCCAAGTCTAAGTACCATGCTTTGTACTTTTCACCTCTAGGGCCCAGTCTACTCTCCTCGACGTTGCACAACAGACGTTGCACAATATGTTGGCCTTCTCGATGGATTCCTGGAGCGACCTCCTGTCGTCCTATGCTTTTCTTCAATTCCTCCCTGCCGTCCTCGTCCTCGGCCAGCTCCTCGTGAGCTCGTCTCGCGCGCTGCGAAAGGTATCATTCGCATCCTACGGCCTCTCCTTCCACTCTCGCTATGCCGCCAATGTCAACTTCATGACCAACGCCGTTGGCCTCATTGGCAATGGCTACGACAAGGTAGCCCTCAAATCCCCAACTGTAACACGTGCTTTCCGCTAAACATGAATTAGTTTCAAGAAAAGGCCTTCCAGTTCCTCCGCTCAGACGCAGACATCATTGTGCTGCCCCAATCGGCCGTCCAGGAGCTCAGCACTCTGCCGCCCAATATCGCAGATGGCACCAAGGCCCTCGAGCACGACCTCATGGGTCCCTACACGGGACTCAACTTCATCCTCCAGTCGCGCCTGCACCACCGTATTGTCCAGCGCAAGTTGACCCCCAACCTGGGCATCCTCACTCCGCATCTCGAGGACGAGCTCGGCAAAGCCGTTGAGGACCTATTCCCCAAGGAAGTAAACGATGGCTGGACTGAGGTCGAGCTCTACCCCCTCCTACTCTCCTTAACGGCCCGCACATCTGCCAGAGCCTTTGTAGGCACCAGCTTCTGCCGCGACTCCCGCTGGCTGAATTCCGCCGTCAACTTCGTAGAAGATCGTGAGTAGCCCCCCGCGTTCTACGCCCTCGAAATTCTATCTGACACCCACCAGTCTTCCGAACGGTCGTCATCCTGCGCGCCTTCCCCGGCTGGCTGCACCCCATCGTCTGCGTCTTCATGCCCAGCTACTGGCGCGGAAAAGGCTACTTCCGCTCCGCCCGACAAGTCCTCGGCCCCTACATCCAAGAGCGCCTCGACGCCCTCGACCAGAAAAAAGACCTCCGCGAAGCCTTCACCGAACCCTCCGCCCTAAACTGGCTCGTCGACATCGCAGAAGGCGACGAGCGCAACCTCGCGCGCCTCGCCCACACTGAAACCGTCCTCTCCCTCGCAGGCATCCACACCATGCTCCTCCGCCAGCTCTCCGTCATTTACGACCTCACAGCCCACCCGGAGTACCTCGAGGGGCTCCGCCAGGAAGTCGCCGACCTGTCCAGCAAGTGGAATAAGACGTCCTACGGCCAACTCCGCAAACTAGACTCCTTCATGCGCGAATCCCAGCGCCTCGCGCCCCCCACTGTCCTCGGGCTAAAGCGCATCATGCAGCAGAATTACACCCTCCAAGACGGCACCCTCCTCCCCAAAGGCGCCTACGTCTGCGTCGCCGCCTACGCCATCGAAAACGACCCCGCGTTCTACCCGGAGCCCGAGAAATTCGACGGCCTGCGCTCCTTCACGCAGGGCGACGGCTCGGATTCGAACAAGCACACGTTCGCGGCGACGGATACCACGGTGCTGGGCTTTGGCCACGGCAAGACGGCGTGTCCGGGGCGGTTTTTCGCTAGCTTGGTTATCAAGATGAGTGTCATCAAGCTGATTACTGAGTATGAGTTTGAGTTTTTGCCTGGCAAGGGAAGGCCGAAGAATTGGGTTGCGCATGAGTTTTTGTTTGCGTCGCCGTGGGATCGGGTGAGGATGAGGAAGAGGGAGAAGGGGAGCTGTCCGTTTTAACGAAGCGTTGGGAATGTAATTATGAGAGATTGGATTGGATTGGATTGGATTTTTTTTTGGTTGTTGTTTAGAGACACGCTGCGTGTGGGTGTGCGGGTGGAAATGCTGCGTACGAGCGAACGACTTGGTGCTTTACCTTCAATCTCATCCACAAATCATACGCCATCATGCCCTGAAAACGAAGCATATTGATTTTTTCACGCTGATTTGTCTCATTTGAAATTTCTCATAATGAACTTTCTCATACTTCTCATATTGAACTTTCTCATACTTCTCATATTGAACTTTCTCATACTTCTCATATTGAACTTTCTCATACTTCTCTTATTGAACTTTCTCACATTGGACCTTCTCACATTGAACCTTTTCAAAATCTACATTTCCTATCCACACCGTCCCATCCCACCCTCGTCCAAACTCACTCCCTCCACACTCCCCTACAGTCACTCCGCCTTCCGTCCCACAATACACTGAAACGGCGTATCCACCGCCACCCCGCCCGCAATCTCAGCCTGCAAATCCTGAATATACTTCGCCGTCAAGCCCCCATCCTTCTCATTCCACATATCCACCTTAGGCAGCACATCCGCCGTCGCCGCCAGACTGCTCTGCGCCCACAGCGGCCTCAGATGCCCCGGAATATGCTGCACGTCGCGCCTCACGTCCTGCAGTCCGCCCTGCGTGCATATCTCGTGCAGGTTCTCCACCCAGCTATTGGAAGGAGCAAACGCGTGGTCAGTTCTTCGGACTTTGCAGTATTGGAAGTGCAAGATGGGGAAGGAAGGGCAGTGCGAAGGGGAAAATGGTACGAGAACGGACGTACCTGTAGGAGCCGAGGGGATCGAGGTCTCGCCATGTCTTGGCGAGGCGCTCCGAGGCCGCGGTTGCCGCTGCAGGGACGGGCGCGTTGGAGTCGGCGGGCGGCGGCGGGCCAACGACTTTGGTTGCGCGGGGCAGGGGCTCGTACCATTGGAGCCAGGCGCCGGGTTCTGTTTGAAAGGTGTCAGGGGACGGAGCACTTGCTGGTAGGGGAGAAGCGATCCGGGGCTACCGAAGGGGTTGGGGGCCGGAAAGGTGGGATGGCTAGGCACATGCAAAACGTACTCATGAGCGTGAGGAGTTGACCCAGCAGCTTCCGCGCGTTCGCGTCGTCGACGCTGCACATCATGAAGCGCACATGGACGATGTCGAACTGGGCGAGGAACTCGTCCGGGTACGGCTGGAAGCTGTTGTGGACGTGGAAGTGCACGTTGGCGGGGCGGAATGCAGGCGCGGGGAATTGCAGGTCGGAAATATCGAAGGCGTCAATCGTAGCGCCGGTGCTGCTGAGCTTGGTGGCCACCTCGCAGGCCCAGATGCTGCTGCGGGTTAGACCAGGTGGCCGGCTGAAATGCTTGCTTGCACATCAAAAGCGTGCATCGCTTACCCTGTGCCGGTCCCCACATCGGCAATGCGCAGCTGCGGTGCTGCAAGAGGAATGTCGGGATGCGTCAGGTAGCCTGCGATTTCGCGCATCAAGTAGTGGTTGAAGTTGAGGCTGTGAGGACAGGCATGTTAGCGAAATGACCAGGTAGTACGCAGGTTTCTCGGACCAGGGGGGGCATGCAGAGCCGGGCCACTGACCGCATCGAGGACCTGAAGTCGCGCTTGAAGATGTACGCCTTTTCCGCACCTTCGGCCGTTTCGGTGGGCTGCGGTTGAGACATGGCTGGTCGAGAGGGCTGGTGCTGTTAGCGATGCGATGCGAGTGCGGACGGCGAGCAGGATCGGCGGAGGGAAGCCGGGGTACCTGCCAATTGTGTCCTATCGCGGAACACGGACAGCTTCGGGGAATAAGTAGAGTGCACAACGCCGTGGCCTGGCCGTTACACTACGTGCATCCCTTGCCTGGCTAAATAACAATCTGACGGGAGGCTAGAACGAGCAACCTTGCCAAGGCCCAAAGCGTGCATTAGACGTCTTTTCGGAGTCCGAACGGCGTACCAGAGCCTCTGGAAGAAGCCGTCAAGTAATCTTGCGGGAAGCGCAATGGCAGGACCTCCCTGACCACCAGTTGACGCTCACAGATGCCGAGGGCCACCCCGGGCGCTACGCTCGCTTGAGGCTGCAGAGAGCAGGGTGAGCCACTCGGGTTTACCATCAGCTGCACGTCTTCGGCAGACGCCGAGACACCAATCTCTGGTTCTGAATCTGGATGCTGAAGGAAAGTACGGTAGTGATAATACGCGTCGCGGTCACTGGAGGGTTAGCCTACGTTTGACGACTGTGCGACCATCACAACGAGCAGAAGTTTCCTCTGCATGACGCATTGAACCCACTGTTGGATCCCAAACCAGTAGCTAAATCGCGAATCAACATGTCTCGCGTCGTTGTCGTCGTGGGCGTGCTGCTGTTCGCGCTGGTTGCCAAGAAGTTGGTGACATGGAGAAACAACATCCTCACAGCGCGAAGCAGTGGCTTCGTGGTGCGCAAGTCACCGTGAGCTATCTCTTTCTATGTTCCATTCAGAACATTCACTGACAGCAACAGCGTGCACATGGTCGACCTGTGGTGGTTAGGACTGTATCCCAAGCTGGTGCCATGGCTCAACTACCTCCCTGATGCGTGGACCAGCGGATGGCTGCCGTAAGGAACCTCAATACGCTGCACACATGACCGACTAACAAAACCTCAGCCTGAGCAAAATCTTCCACCTCTGGCATGTCGGCCACGAACCCTTCGAGCAGCTGGGAAGCGACAACATCATGCTCTCCTCCCCCAACGGCAACATGCTCTGGAGCAGCGACCCAGAGACCATCAACCAGATCGCGAACCAGGCCAGGAACTTCCGCAAGCCCGTCGAGTACTTTAGCTTCTTCGACACGTACGGGCCCAACATGCAGACGTCCCTCGGCGACGACTGGAAGGCCCAGCGCAAGATCGTCGCCCCGGCTATTGGATCCCACTCCAATGCAGCCATGTGGCAGTCCTCGCTGCGTCAGGCTGAGAGACTGACGAAGCTCATGACCGCGGATGGCCCCGTTATCAGCCATATGAAGGACCACATGTCGGAGATTTCACTGCATTGCATCGCGCAGTGCTTCTTTAACAAAGACCTTGAGTATGAGACCGTTGAGGAGTTTCCCACGCGAGAGCTGCCGGAGGGGCGGTTCAAGTTCGTGGAGTCCATGTTCACTACCATCGACAAGATCGGTATCATAGATTCGATCCCTAAGTCGATTCGCGGTAAGCCTTTATTCGACCTGTGAACTTTTTGGAAGACTGATCCGATTAGCGTACATCCCCATGAAAAGCATCAAACGAGCTGACAAAGCCTACTACGATCTCCATAGTCATATGACGGAGATGTGCGACGAGGCGCTCAAAAAGGATGCAAATGAAAAAGACCGGAAAGACTCAGACATGAGCATCATGGGTAAGTTCACATCGCACAGCATAAGCTACACTTCAACTCACCGAACTCAGACACCCTAATCGCCAGCACGCGGGCCGAGTCCCTCGAAAAGAACGGCAAAGTCATGGACCGCGAGACATTGACGGGCAACGTCTTCTTCTTCCTGCTCTCCGGCCACGGCACCGCAGGCAACACTTTAGGCTTCCTAATGTTCCTCCTCGCCATCCGCCAGGACATCCAAGCAGAGCTGCACACCCACCTCGACGCCGAGCTCACCGGCAAGCCCCTAAACACCTGGTCCGTCACCGGCGAATTCATGCGCCTCTACAACGGCTACACAGGCGCCGTCCTCAAAGAAGCAATGCGCCTGTACAACGTCGTAGAATTCATCCCCCGGCGCTGCACCGCGGAAGCAAACGTCACCGACCTCGACGGCAACCGCTTCACCATCCCCCGCGACACGCTCTGCCTGCTAAACTTCACAGCCGCCTTCCGCCACCCTAAAATCTGGCCTGCGAAACCCTCCGCCATAGACCCTGCGACGGGAAAGTACCATCCCATGCTGGACTTTGATCCCAGCCGGTGGGACAGCTACGCGGACAAGATCACCAAGCCGTCTGAGGTCGGGCTACGCACGTACTTCCCCTTCGGGCTCGGCGGGCGGGCGTGTCTGGGGAAGAGCCTCGGGTCCATCATGATGGTGGGCGTGCTAGCGTACATATTTACGAACTTTACCATTGAGCTGGTGCCGTCGCGGGAGGTGGAAGAGGAGGCGAAGCGGACGGGTGCAGACGAGAAGTGGGTTGAGGAGCGGACGCGGGAGGCGGCGTTGCGGATGCTGGTGGATGAGGTCGAGTGCAATTTGTTGATTGAGCTGCGGAAGGAGCTGCCGGTAAGGTTGGTGCCGCGGAAGAAGGTGTAGGGTGAGCGTGGTGTGCTGGGAGCGGGGGAGGGTGTGTTGGAACGTACAAACAAAGTTAACGTAAGCGTGTAGTTAAGTGTAAGAGTGATGGATTGCTCAGGTGGGAAGTGCTGCCTCTATAGGCCTAGCTTAAATCCTGGCGTACCATCGATGGTACGTACGGAAGCTCCTTCCAACAGGGAGGAGGTCAGAGTCTTGGGGCATTCTGTGCACACTGTTTGCTGTATAGTATAACTACGCTTGATTTTACGTGTTATAAGTACACGTGGCGACGATGATATCTGGTTTATCTTCTAGTTCGGAAATACTTGCAGTGTGTACTAGGCGCACTATCTTCGGTCTAGGGTCCCTGTGCACCAACAGAAGACTAGGCTCGGCCCCCAGACACTACGCTATTTAAATAAGCTCCCCCTCCTCCTCCGACATTTATCACACTTGTGGGGGTCTCGCTGCCTACCACAGGTAAATGCGGAGGATCGTGTAGCACTAGACTTCACTTTTCGTCCCATATTCTCTCGCCATGGTTTCCATTTTCCAGGCGGCGGTGCTCGCCGTCGTGACCTACGCTTCCTGGCAGATGTTGACGCTGTGCATGTACCTGCGCAAGCAAATGCAGCAGGCCTCAGCCAGCGGGCTGCCGTACAGCCTCTCGCCGTACGTGGATCTGCGTACTGTGTAGTCTTGCTTGGACTTGAAAATCCTAACAGGTCGCAGGGTCCACGTCATGAACGTCGCGTACTGGTTTCTGCTCGCCCCGATCATCGCACTGGACGGTTCGATATCCATGAAGACGCTGCAGAAATGGGCGCCGTAAGCTTGTCAATTAGATTCCTAGCATTGGGTGAGATGTACTGACCAGGAGTTTTACCAGATGGACGGCCATCTTCCGCATCTGGCAGGCTGGCTACTCTGTCTTCCGCGAGCTCGGCACAGACTCTTTCTTCATCTGCTCGCCCTCCGGCCCCATGCTCATGACCTGCGACGTGCACCTCGTCAAGCAGGTACTAACGCGCGCGCACGACTTCCACGCCCCAGTCGAGGTCCTCGGGCTCTACAACATCTATGGACCGACGCTGGCCGCGAGCGAGGGCGAGCAGTGGCGCCTGTACCGGAAGATCACGACGCCGTTCTTCAACCAGAAGACGTACGGCAAAGTCTGGAAGGAGAGCTTGGAAAAGGCCGAGCGCCTGTCTGCGCAGTGGAGCCATGGGAACGACGACGCGCGCGTGGCGGACGTCAAGGAGCAGCTTATGTCGAAGCTGAATCTGCGTGTTATCGCTAAGATCTTTTACGACCAGGAGCTGCCGTATGATGCGGAGAACGCGATGAAGGACGTTGCGCCTAAGGGGCACGCGCTGACGTTCAGCGAGGCTATCAATGCCGTGCTGTCGAATCTTGCAACGGTTTTTAGCGTACCCAATTGGTTGCTAGGTTAGTTGGCTGGTCCTCATTGCAATATCTTTTGACCGCTTGCTGATGAAGACTGTAGCCAAGTCGCCGTTTGAGTCTCACAAGAAGGCGTATCAGGGATTCTCCGAGTGGAAGCAGTACATGCTTGAAATGCGAAACTCAGTGCAATCACGCCTCGAGTCCGCGAAACAGAAGGAAGACCCGTATTTCCTAGGTAAGTTTTTAAACCACTCTGCATTATCGTAGATGTATTAAGCTTTTTGAGCTTCAAACCTACCCCGAACTCTACTGACCAAACCCCCAGAATCCCTCGTCATCTCCAGCGACGCCGCCTCCACCCGCGACGGCACCCGGCCCCTAACCGAAGCAGAAGTCCTCGGCAACATGTTCTTCTACGTCATGGCCGGCTTCGACACAACCTCCACCACCCTCTCCTTCGTCTTCCTCCTCCTCGCGCTGTACCCCTCCGCACAAACCCAGCTCCAAGCCGAACTAGACCGCGTGCTCGGCTCCCGCGCAACCTCCGCCTGGGACGCAAACAAGGACGTCCCCGAGCTGCTAAACGGCTATCTTGGTGCTGTCATTAGCGAGACGCTACGTCTTTACCACCCTGTTGCGTGGTACGCACGTAAGACGGTGAGAGATACGAACGTCACGACTAAGACTGGCGTGTCTGTGAGGATCCCCAAGGATACTATTATTATGATCGACGTCGCTGCTATAGGCCGCCATCCGGACTACTGGTCTTCCACCTCCCCTGCAACCTCCTCCTCCCCAGCAAAGACACTTCCGCAGACCATTCCCCGCCCTCGACTTCTCCCCACCCGCTGGCTCTCCCCTCCCCACCTCCACTTCCAATTCCAATTCCACCTCCATTCCACCTCGCCCTCCACCTCCAACCCAGCCGCCTTCCCCTTCTCCCTAGGCCACCGCATGTGCCCCGGCAAACGCTTCGCCGAAGTCGAAATGTGCGCCATTCTAGCACGCGTCTTCAGCCAGTTCTCTCTACAACTTGAAGACGACGCGTCGGATGTAGCGGAGGCGCAGGCAGAAGGGAGGGGAAAGGCGTGGTTAGAGGCCAGGACGAGGAGCGCGCGTCGAGGGCGCTGTACGAGGGGATGGGGTTTGGGCATGGGATTTATCCGAAGGTGCATGTGCCGTTTAGGATTGTGAGGGGGGAGGGACAGTGAGGGGGACGAGGAGGAGGGGAGGGTTGGAAACAATGGCTCGTCCATTGGTACCGTTGGGAGGCTTGTTGGGGGGTATGTCGCGGTAGGTTGTGTTGTTGAGAAGCTTGTTGGAAGTGATGTTGCGTTGTATAAGGAAGTGTCTGGATAGGATCAGTGCAACTTATCTGATGGCCCCCATGAACCTTGGAAGTAACCTCTGCACGAATGACATGGTAACGGGTTGGCCGGGGAAGTGAAATCCCCGCACGGTGGATCTAACCGTATTGGGAAGTAGCATTTGAAACCACCTGGGCAGAACCGAATTAACGTGACTATCATAGCGTGAGCGATTCGCATGACAAGGCGCAAGCAGTGAACATTTAAACATGACGCTACCCTTTTTATTCTATTCTATTCCGCCGCTACGCTATCTAACCACCGCCCGCCCGTTGAAGAAGCAACACAGCGGCTGAGGCTCTAAGTGACAATCGATGCCTCCCAATCCCATCATGGGATGTCTCCAGCCCGATCATCACAGCTTAGCTTGCGCAAAACTTCATTTCCACTTGGCGACAATCATATCCAGCTTCGCGCCCGGCGTCCTCCTTACCTCCTCGAGGGTGAAGTTGGAGTCTGCGGCCTTCAACAGGGCCTTCCAGTCGTCCTCGTCGCGCTCCTGCGAGTTGGACGTCGCGAGCATGGTGATGTCCGAGTCCCTGCTTGTGTTAGTGGGACTCACAAGGAATGACGAATATGGCACGTACCTGTTCCACCTCTCCGCGCGGAGGGGCAGTGTGCAAGGCGGCTCGAGGCACCTCTCGCTAAAGAGAAGGCGCGCACCCGGCTTCAACGCGGGAATCAGCGCCTGAAGGATCTTAACACAGTATTTGTCGGACCAGTCGTGCAGGATCCAGCGGAAGTAGTAAACGTCTGCATCTTTGACAGGCTGCTCTTTGAAGAAGTCGTGCGCCTGGAAGGTCACGCGGTCGGAGAGATCGGCGGGGGCTTTGGTCTTCGCGTCTTCGACTACCTTGGGGAGGTCCTGGACGATGAATTTCAGGTCTGGGAATTCCTTCGCAAGCGCGATGGACACGTTGCCGTGCGAGCCACCGACGTCGACCACGGTGGCTTTGCCCAACGAGGCCCAGTCGTAGGCCTTGACGGCGTACGAGGGCTCCAGGCCGGGGAAGGTTTGAAGGAAGCTCATGGCGTCTTTGAAGCGGCTCATGCGCTCGGGGTGCTCCTCGAAGAAATCGAACATGGTCTTTTCGGTGTCGTTGGCGAGTTGGAAACCCTGTTTACATTACACGTCAGTCGGTCCTCCACGCGAGCTGGGAGCGCTGCTCACCGAGTGGTTTGGCTCCTCGGATTCTGGCCATTTGGCGACCGCATCAACCATCTACCATAGTAAGCATCCATCTGGTGACATATGAGCCTGAACTTACACGCATCTTGGCCGGCCCGACATCGTACATTCCCATCGTGGCCCACGTGCCGAGAACGGGCATTACAGCAAGCGCTTTGGTCGCAACCGTATGCTTTATGTGACCCGGCTGCGTCTCGCGGAAGAAGTGATCTGTAATGCCATGTCTCAACAGGCGCGTGAGCTTCTTCTCCGGGACACCAGTCTTCTCGGAAAGGTCCTTGTAGGTGGTTCCCGTCTCAAAGGGGACGAGATTTTGGATGTTGTATCTGAGAATGGTCTTCAGGCCGACGGACGTGGCGAACTGTTCGGGTCAACATACTGCCTTACTACGAGGCTACTCGCGACATACCGACTTAGCGACAATGGTTTGAATTGGGCCCTGATTGAGCCACCATAGCTCGTCCAAGGCTGCGGACAAGGCTTCTTGAGCTTCTGCGACGTCCGGGGGAAACGGGTACATCAATGGGGCATCCTCTTCGAAGGAAGGCGGAGCCAACTTGCTCTCTGCGAAGAACTTGTCGAGCTTGGTAGTCTGTGTCCCAATCTGCTTTGCGAGAGCGGCGAGGCGGCTGGTTGACGCCATACTTGCAATGTACCTGACCCAAGGTTACTTGGACGACAAGGCTAGAAATTGGAGCTTTGGAAAAACCAGAGAGGGCGTATTTGTGGAAAGTGTGGTGTCTGCGGCACAGCTGTTTTGGGCGACAAACAATGTTTTAGGCAGAAGACGGCATGTGGTCACACTGCATGGGGAGCTGCCCGTACGAGGCCTAGCGTGGGTTGTCTCCTGCATCCCCACGCCGCTGCTTCACAAGAGCTCTTTGTCCGAAGCAAGACAGGGGTGTTATAGCTAAGCTGCAAGTAGCCTGGTCCCAGCCAGTCTTCGAAAACGCCGTGCTACTCCAGCCGGGCCAGGGTTTCCTTGTCACAGTTCGAAGTCCGAAGGGCGGGGCAATAATCTCACCCCGCGGCGATCTACGAAACAAAGACCCAATCGGGTGCACTAGCACCAATACAGAATCTCAGTACCCATCGTTACAGTACAGTACTCGCACGCTGCATTTCGGCCCCGGAAGCAAACTATTACCGCCGACGTCGCTTCGCCCCATTTGCTTTCGCTGCTTTTGCATCTGCTTGGCACCCTATGTATTCAAGAACCCCGATGGCGGATTCCCAACTGAATCTCCCACGCCTGCCATGTCTACAAAACCGATCCGTGTATGGCTCGCGCGTAAGTCCCCAAACACCGAGCCATCTTTTTCGTCCGGCTAACGGATCGCAACAGCACCCGGGCCAAATCCCTGGAAAGTGATTTTCGTCCTGGAGGAACTGCAAATCCCCTACGAGATCCAGTCGATCAAGTTCCAGGACATCAAAGCCAAGCCTTTGATCGACCTCAACCCCAACGGTCGCGTTCCCGGTGAGCCATTCTTGGTCAAGCCAAAACCCACCATGTGACCGCGTCGACTGACTATACTTTGTGAAGCCATCGAGGACCCCAATACCGGCCTCGTGCTGTGGGAAACCGGGGCTATACTCTTGTACCTCGTCGAGCAGTATGATGTAGAAAAGAAGCTTACGTACGGGGGTGTGAAAGAGAAGAACCACGTTACGCAGTGGTTGATGTTCCAGGTCAGTGGTCAGGGCCCGTACTACGGACAAGCAACCTGGTTCCACGTGCTTCACAGCGAGAAGCTCCCCTCAGTAATCACTCGCTACGTCGAGGAAGCAAAACGTGTCTGCGGCGTCCTCGAGCAGGGTTTGACCGACAAAAAATGGCTCGTGGGCGACAAGATGACGATTGCAGACCTTTCGTTCGTCCCCTGGAACGATCGCCTGGACGTGGTTTTGATGTGCGCTGAAGAATCCAAGTTCGAGGGCTTCCCTAAAGTTAAGGCTTGGCATGAAAGCATGATCGAGAGGCCGTCGTGGAAGAAGGCTATGGAGATTAGAGCGAGACTCATGGACGAACAGGGGTTGATGTGGAATGGGATGCCTAAGGATGTTTCCAATATGGAGGAATACCAGGCTAAGATCAAGGCAGAGAAGGAGGCGGAGGCATCTACATAATTCCGCAATATAAAATTCACCCTGCACACCTTTCCCGTACCTTAGGCTGAGACAAGCCAGCTTGTGCTGCACAATGACATTGATCAATCGCGAGGCACACGAGTTTGCTGAATTATGATGGCGACGTGCCGGCGCATGTAGTACTCAGCAACATCTAGGGAGAGGAGGAAGTCACGCACAATCCTCGAGACCTGCAAGCTGTGGCCTGAATAGCAGACCCACTGGGCATAGATAGATACTTGCTGCATCGAGAAGGCGAGTTGCGCAAAGCTCCACGAAGATATCATTAAATATTCAAGTGCTGTAGCATGGAAGTGGTTCACTAGAGCTTGGACGCTTCTACGATCAAACATGGAAAGACTTCGATACTGCCTTCAACATAAGCCTGGTGCCGGTTCAGTCTCCCCCGGCCTGGTCGGATATGATCTCAGGGAGCGAACATGGCCAAACACTCATAAAGTCTTGCACAGTAACTACGTTGATGAAGATAACTGTACGCCGAGATAATTCCACTTCATAGGAAGTAGGAGCTTTTCGAGACAAGGAAAAAGTAGGAGCCCCAGTCGCACTGCTGAAAGCCCATAACTAGAATATCCTTACCGTCTGCTAATGATCAATCTGCACCACGCCAACGAGCCCTGAGTTTTGCTCTCTATCCAAGATTGTAGTCTGGAGTCGCCAAAAATGCTTCGCTTGAAAGTTGCGGCTCTTCGCCCCCAGACTTGAGTTGAGACAGGTGGGCCGGAGCAAATCCGAAGCGTCATGCTCACTTGGATTTCGAAAATGGCCTTCCCTGGAGCAAGAAAAGTCATTATCAACAGAAGGGTTGAAGATGTCGATCCATGGAAGGGCATGGCTATTCACTGTCCCGACCAGGCCTTGAATAATTCCGGCAGTAGGAATCCAGAGATATTCACCCATCTGATTCCTGTTCGAAGCGCTAGGATTGACTAGCCAGTCGAAAGTGGTGGAATAGAGCCCTACGCCGCTGAAATTCGCTGACCCTTCGAGAGAAGGCCAGGGCAGTAGTTCCAAGCCAGGAACGTCCAACGTAATGTTCGTCTTGACTAAACCTGAGAGATCAGAGAGATCAGCTGGTGGTATCCATTTTTCTGCTACGAGAGATAATATCGTGCCCAGTCTCTCAGAGTAGTTTGATACTCTTTGTGTAGTGAATTAAGCGTACCTCGATAATCATCTACAACATTGTGAAGCCAAGGGTCATCAAGTACGATTGAGATCGGAGGGTCGGTGTTCTGAGATCAAAGCTGTAACAGATCAGATAAAGATATTTTATGTACCATGATGCCATGCAAAAGTTCCTTTGCCCCCTGTCCATGGCTCTAATTCACATCATTTAAGCTTTCAACAAGTTGACAAATATACTAGGTATTCACCCTATTGCTATCCTCTACCTGTTAGAAGGCTTATTCGAAAAGCTTAGTACTTCGTTTACTGTCTTCTACCATGACTAAAGTGAGCTATTCAACAAGAATTGACCAAATATGGCGTAAATGTATATTCTATTGAAAACGCATAAAAGGTGCAGAGGAACTTTGAATAGCAGCAATAGATTCCATTCACCATTCTAATATGCTAGATGAAATGTACCATCACACAGAGAGACGTCCAGAAGAAGATCGTAACGGTGTTGCTGTGCAAATTCCGCGAGAAAGACAGGTGTCTAGTAAGTCGGGGTAGATGTCTCTACACTGTATTCCTAGATATATTGACCTGCAGCCCGAAGAAGGCCTTTTATATGTGACTCAGGCGGTATGACATTGGTCTCGAGGAACGCAGTCGTGAGCTTTGCACCTGCACTGGAGAAACGGTCAACGGTGGAAGATCCATTCTGAGATTTTTTTTGGAGGATTCTGGCTTGTAGGAATGTTCGCACGAGCATACGAGCGGCGTTCCTAGGAGGCGAATAGCATTGTAGGGTTTATATCGGTGAAAGATGAGACTGGAATTGATGCTGGACCATTTACAGAGACACTAGTAAAAGAGGATGCTGAGATGATTTACTCCCTCTTGTGGCTGGCGATCGCGTCAATGCTGGTACGAGCTGTGCCCGAACTAGTTTGAAAGCAGATAGTGATATTATGACCGCCAGAACCCTGTCCTGGAATTTGGCCTTCAAATTTGGCGCTGAAAGTCGTATTGAAAGTCACTAACTCTCAAGACAGTCCAACCTCGTTCAAGTCTGCAGGCACTCCTCCTTGTCCCGACTGTGGGCCCATAGAGGAATCCATGATCAGCCCATGAACTTGAGTAGCTTGAAGTGCGGCTTTAAAATTCTTCGGTAGTTAGGAGTCGCGTAATTCTAGATACTCTAATCAACGTTTTGGGGAGGAGACCCTTGCCCGTGCATCACTGTAATAGAAGTAGTTCAGATGCTTGACACCACCAGCACCCCGCTGGCCAATCTGTGCGATATCACTGATTATAATAGTGAAACATTTGAAGCATCTGGGAGCCTGAGTTCATTAATGTGATGTTGATATTGCTAGAGAGCTGCAAGCCACCGCTATTTGAATTATGGCCTGATTCTGGCGGAATGCTCCTCAAAGCTGCCCTTGCTATACACAGCCCAACGTCCTCGCGACGATAACAACTCCCATAACATTGACTCCCAGAAGACGAATGGAGAACAGGATAACTTGGCAAAGAACTCAAGAATGCAATGGTTTTCGAGCACTATGAATACAGTCTTTCCCTATTGAATTCGGTAACTTCATCTAGAAACTTCAGAGGATAACGCACGACTTGATCTACCATTCAAAGGTATCTCGTCTTGTACCTGCTCCCACTATTGGAGACAGATTGACTTTTTACCACTAGTCCGCATACGGCAAGGTGCTGTGGTGCGGCTCAGATTAGCGAGAACCCCACGTGGCGGTGGCGGCACCAAAATTCTCTCCTCCCAAGATCGCCATCGTGAAAGCTGCGAGCATGGGCAAAGCAGCGATGGCTCCTTCGTACAGTACCCGGACTTGTAGCTTGTGTGAAATGGTGTGTACGGTCAGTGTTAGTGCGACCGCGTCGCAACCGCATCCTTCGAGCCAGTGCCGACGCCGCCCTTTTGCACGTTGGCCGGATGACAGGCGGTGAAAAAATCAACCTGGCGACGATGCCCGAGGCTAGACTGCCTCTTTTAACCGTCGCTTGTCTTATCGTCGTTTCTTATCTTCCCCAGCTTTCCTTCCTTACGCTCCACGTTCACTCCACATTCCCTTCGCTTCTTTGCTTTGTTCGTCTTTCGCTTTGCTTTCTGGGTGTAGATTATAGAAGGTGCCGTATTCAGCTATTGGTCGAGATAAGGTCCGATGAGCATTCTCACCTGTTGCGTGCCGCCATCCAGCAGCCTTCCTCCAGTTCGCTCTCTACGCACTGCATCCGAGGACACCATCATTACAGCGCTACACAGTCTTCAAGCGCTATACTGTCCGCTTCGACTACCCATCACCCTACCGAAGGGCAAAGAAGCAGCATCTGCACCTGCCGATTCCGGTTATGTCTCCGAAGATGAGAATGAGGTAGCACCACTTCAGCGCCGCTACTCCACCACTGAAGATGCCTTCGCCGCTCTTCGCGCCGATGCTTACGAAAAGGACTTCGCAGTGCGGTGGCTCACCAGCCTAATCGCGCGTGCCTCAGAGCTACCTTTCGGCACCGAGGAGGCAAGAGAGAAAGCCGTGGACGATGCAGCATTCATACTCTCGTCGTTCAGCGACTCGCCCACCAACGAAGAAGACGAGGCTCTTACGCGTGACTTCTCTTTCTCCACTTCGCGCGCAAGAGACATTACTATCCAGATCAACGACGCGCCCTTGACAGGCACGGATCATACTGACGTCGGGCTGCAAAGTTGGGGCGCTAGCATCGTCTTCTCGGGCTTGATGTGCGAGGCTCCTGAACGCTTTGGCCTGGATGTTCTCCCCGAAAATGCGAGTATCATCGAGCTGGGCGCAGGGACAGCTCTTATTAGCTTGACTTTGGGGAAGTTGCTACCGTCCATGGGGCAGGAAGCGCAAATTCTGGCGACAGACTACCACAACGCTGTCCTGGAGAATGCGCGCACAAATATCGCCACCAACTTTGGCTCTGAAAATGCGCCTGTGGATGCGATGCTACTCGACTGGGCAACTCCACCACCAGCATTAGCTGCGTCCGCTTCTTTGCTGTTTGCAGCAGACGTAGTGTATGCTCCGGAACACGCAGCGTGGTTGAGGGATTGCGCTGCGCATATTTTAGCTCCTGAAGGAACTTTCTGGTTGGTGGTGACGGTGCGAAGTCACGGAAAGTTCGACGGCATCCCGGATACCGCGGAGACTGCGTTCGAAGACTTCAAAAGTACGTGGAGAAATGGAAGGGTGTTGAGAATAGTGAAGAAAGAGATGCTCGATAAGAAGAGAGGTGTGGGCAGAGGTGACGAGAAGGGGTATATGCTGTTCAAGATCGGTTGGGTTGATGCTTGATTCGGCGAGCAGAAGTTTCGTTGTTCAAAGAGATACCCTAGATGCTGATATCATAGAGGCTTATAGATATAGAAAGACACGTGCAAACGAACAATAGAGAGATGCTGCGATCGACTTTCCAGCAACATAATTCCTTCGCATTTACTATACGAATCATGACTCACACTGATGCTTTGAGCTTCGCACTATCCATCGCACCCTCACTGCCGCACAAACACCGGGATCCTTTGAAGTGGACACTCGACTTCCACTGTCTGACCACCATCCCACGCCTTCTCGCCCCAATAATCTCTCCACTCGGCTCCTTTCGGAAGATACACCTGCAAATTCCTCTTACCCGCCGCAAGTACCGGACTCACTAGATACCTATCACCATACATGTACGCCTCCTCAACCTCCCAACATCTCTCGTCATCCGGGAAAACATAAAACAATGTCCTTATCACTGGACTCCCCTTTTCGCTTGCCTCCCTCATCAACTGCCTCGTGTACTCCCTGAGCTCCTCCCTTATACCCAGATACCTCTTACATATGCCATAAACCTCTTCCCCGTAGCTCCACACTTCATTTGGCGCACCAGACCTACATGCCGCCCCGCCCGTCGTCCCATGCTGCGGCTGTCGAGGCTCTCGGTCCCCGTGTAGCCGCATAACCGGACAAAATGTCCCCCACTGGAACCATCGCACAAATATTTCTCGGAACGCCTCGTCTCGTGGATCACCGCCGTGGAATCCTCCGATGTCGGTGGTCCACCATGGAAGGCCGCTGAGTCCCATGTTCAAGCCTGCTGCTAGTTGGCTTCGCAGACTGTCCCACGAGGAAGCGATGTCCCCGCTCCAGACGAGTGCCCCGTACTTCTGGCTGCCGGCCCATGCGCAGCGGATGAGGTTTACGATCTGCGTCTGACCAGCGGCACTCTGACCTTCGTAGAAAGTGCGTGCATATTCGAGGGGGTAGGTGTTACCGATAGCGATGTTGGGGCCTGCATGGTACCTGTAATTATCAAAGTCGTAGACACGGTATTCCGGCTCGGCTTCGTCCAGCCAGAACACCTTGATGCCTTTATCGAAGTAGTTCTGCTTTGCCTTACCCCAGACGTACGCCCGGGAACCAGGGTTCGTGGGGTCAAAGTGCACGGTGTTACCCTGGAAAGTCATGGCTATGCGTACGCCGCGATCGGTGCGGATAAGATACCCTTTCTCGACCATCTCTTCGAAGTTCTCGGAGTGACGGTCTACAGTCGGCCATACCGAGACCATGAGCTCTATTCCCATTTCCTTCAGCTCTTCTATCATGGCGTCCGGATCAGGCCAGTACGTTTCGTCGAACTTCCAATCTCCCTGCTTCGGCCAGTGGAAGAAATCGATGACGATGAGATCGATGGGAAGCTCCCGTCTTTTGTATTCGCGTGCTACTTCAAGAAGCTCCTCCTGCGTTTGATACCTGAGCTTACACTGCCAGAAGCCCAGTCCGTACTCCGGCATCATGGGCACTTTTCCCGTCGCATCTGCATAGCTCTCGACAATCTGCGCAGGCGTGTCGCCAGCTACAACCCAATAGTCCAGCGCCTTGGTAGATAGCGCTTCAAAACTCATCACGTTCTTGCCGAATATAGCTTTGCCGATACTGGGGTTGTTCCACAGGAAGCCGTACCCCCTTGACGATACTGCAAACGGCACGCTAGCCTGAGAATTGCGGTGCGCGAGTTCAAGCTGCGTGCCCTTGATGTCGAGGTACGGCTGCTGGTATTGTCCCATACCGTAGATTTTCTCCTTTGGATCCAAACTTTCGAATCTAGCTGTCAATTGATAATCGCCGCCGGTGATGGGCTTGAACTCTCGAGCTTCGATTTCGAGCGCGGAGGTTTTCGGATCTCGCACGTCGCGGCGGTGGCGGGCGAATTCCTCGAGCAGCAGCTTGCCGGCAGAATTGTGGATTGTGAGTTTCCCGCGCTTGGTGATAGTGGCCTTGATGGTGCCGTTGGCAAGGGAGGCGAAATCGTCGCTGATATCAATTGTCGGTGAGGCTTTGACGGGTTCTAGCAGTGCCCAGCTGTCTGATGGCATGGTGCTCATCTTTGTTGCTCTGATGCGAAGGGCGTTTGCTCCCCATGGCTCGACCCATAGCTGTTCGGCATCGAAGGAGAATATCAGGCGGTTGCTGTCTTTCGTGAACATTTTGACTCAAAAACCAAGGCGTTAAGCTGCCACGAAAGGAAATGTGCAAGTGCAATGTCTTCTTCTTCCAGTCAGTATACATAGGAAGTCGGCCTTGTAAACATCGCTCACAGCGAATCATATTAAGTCTGTCTTCTGAAGCCCCCACTGAGGGGTTGGGATTGCTTGGGGATGACAACTGTCAGTGCGGGGTTAGTATTCCCTCCAATGGATGTTCAACTCCGTCTGCACGTCGAAACGGCGTGATAGAGGCATCTTCGATGACGTAGAGACCTTTTAGAGGCACGCAAAAGACCATCGAGCGATGGAAACAATTATTAGAGATGGCGGCGTGATGATTGTCGAAGTAACGCAGGAAGGCATCTCTCCGTGGGGCTATCCGACCTCGACCCCGCTGCCGTTGCCGATAGCGCAAAGGTCCACACATTGCATCATTACTTTTGCACATCTCATTTTACAGACTTCTAGCATTCTGACCTCCATACATCAACTCTTCCTAAAACCCGTGAAGGCATACATCTATCATGTCCGCCCCAGGAGCGTCCATGGGACCCCAAACCCAACACTACACAATCCCCAACTTCAAGTTCGATAATGGCGACACGCTTCCAGAGGTCAAGCTCGCCTACCAAATCATCAACCCGCAAAACAAAAAAGTGGCCGTCGTAAACACCTGTTTCAAAGGCCGCCTAAATACGACCCTCACCCACTCACAAGGCGCCTTCAAAGATCACAAGATAATACTCATCGCGCTGCTCGGAAACGGTGAATCAACCAGCCCATCCAACACCCAGAACTTCCCAAAGACACTCGAATACATGGACTGCGTGAGAGCAGAGTATAAGCTCCTCAAAGAAGAATTACAAATTGAGTCTGTAGACGCTATGCTAGGCTTCTCCATGGGCGGCCAGATTACGTACCATTGGATCACAATGCAAGTATTGCCCGGGTACGAAGTCGATGTCTTGGACATAAACACTTCGTACTGATCCCCCCTTTTCTGACTTAACTGACTTCGCCCCTGCGCGTCTAGGTACCCAGACTTTGTGCGCAAAGCGGTCATCGTGTGTTCATCCGCGCAAACGAGTCGGCACAATTTCCAGTTCCTCGAGGGTCCAAGAGCTGCGCTTGAAAATGCAAAAGATGAGGAAAGTGGCAAGTACGCGTTCGGCAAAGCGTACTCGGCGTGGTTGACGAGCGCTGAATGGTTCGATGAGGAGCTGTACAGAGACATGGGTGCACAGAGTCTCGCTGCTTGGGACAAGAACGTCATGGATGGCTACAATGACTGGAGTGGTAAGGACTTGCTTGCTATGCTGGGTATGTGGCAGCGTGGGGATATTGCGCGGTGTGTGCCAGAAGCGAAGGGCGACCTGGGGAAAGCGCTGCAAACAATTCAAGCGCAGGTTTTGTTGATGCCGTGCAAGACGGATCAGTATTTCAGGCCGTATGTCAACGAACGAGAGAAGGAGAAACTAAGCAACGCCATCGTTGCCGTGGTTCCTAGTATATGGGGCCACATTGTGGGAGGTGATGCAGACAAGGATGCCACCAGATGGATGGATGATAAGATTCAAACCTTCTTGCGCAATTAGATAACTACTAGTTACGTAAATACTCAATAGCTGAAGGCGAAATCAGATTTTCGTTTTTCGTGCACATATTGCACGAGGTAAAATGGAGCAATCAAAGATGTTATAATATGAACTCGCTTGCTTGCTTGCGGGCCTCTGAAATTTGTTCATTGGTTATCAACCTAGATTTTCTCCCGAATCTCTGTATCATTCACTAGCCACTGGTCCCCCACCCTGAACCCATGTGGGAACGGATCTGTCGAGTCCAACACCGACGTCCTGTGGCCGGTAATCCATGCTCTGCCTCTGACCCTGGGCAGAACAGCATCATACTTGCCAACTTTGGTCGTCCCTCGAACCTCACATACAAATTCCGTCCCAATAATACTCCTATGCTTAAACGTTTCTCCCTCCTTCAATTCCCCTCTAGCATGCGAAACAGCCATTCGAGCGGATGTACCAGTGCCACATGGACTCCTGTCGAATCGTCCAGGTGATACAACAACCGTGTTTCTCGCAGTTTTGACCCCCGTCGCTTCGGTCTTCAAAGCTTCCGTCCACTGAAGAACGGTTACGCCACGGATGTCAGAGTTCTCCGGATGTACAGGCTTGATCGAATTTGCCACCGCGCTCTTGATCAGTTCTCCGATACGGACTAAATCCGGCCCATGCCGATGCTCAATTGCCAAACCAACAGAAGCCGCGTCTACCAGAACGTAGTGCATGCCTCCCCACGCGATATCCACAGTCACAACACCTAACCCAGTAACATTGACTTTGTGATCCAATGCGTAGACAAAGGCGGGAACGTTGTCAAACGCCACGTTCTTGACCTTGCCATTCTCGCACTCCGCCGTGATCCCAATCAACACCGCAGGGACTTCTAGCGTCAGCTCCGTGACAGGCTCCTTCATTTCCAACATGCCAGTTTCCAACAGCACAGTCGCAGTGCAGATTGTGTTCGCCCCAGACATAGGTGGATACTCGTCGCTCTCTAGAGTGAGAAATGCCGCATCCGCCTTTGGATTGCAGGGTGCGAGAATGAGGTTCATACACTGTGCGGATCGGCCTCGGGGCTCCTGCATGAGCATGAGGCGAGTGGAGTCGGCCTGGTCGCGGAAGTAGCACAGCTTCTCGTACATTGTCTTGCAGTGGACGGGATCGAGGACACCGCCGATGATGACGTCGCCTACTTCGCCTTCCGCGTGGACGCCGACGATAGAGATGCTCCGTATGTTTGGCATGATGGGTAGATTGGGTCCAGGTCTGAGGTGTCTTGAGGAACGGAATGTTCAATATCCTTGATAGATTCTGTATTGTCGCGTAGAACAGGGAGGGAACAGATTTGGATCCCTGTAAGCGCCTTCAGGGCTCGCAAGGAGACATATATACTATGCGTAGGGATTTCTAGTAGTCAAGCACTGCAAGTGACGACCGGTTACCTCAAGCCGAGACCTAATTTTGTGCTAAATACCGGAAGAACGAACCGCTAGCCCTAGTTTTTTAGTAGCCGGCACTCGTTACAACTGATGTTCTCCGAAGAGTATTTCCGTAAAAAAGCCACCGTGAGTGTTTCCACATGTATAGCTGCTCGATCCGAAAGAGGGCACAATCTCAGACTCTGAGCGAACCGTTGGTTGCGCGAGCAGTCTTTTGCTCTAATACAGGTGTTCCGTCATTTCTCACACTTCCATTAAAGAAATACCATGCCGCCGTTGACATTGACAACACTGCCGGAAGTCCAACTCGTTTTCTCATCGCATAAGAAGGAAACAACATGCGCCACTTCATGCGGTTCTGCCACCCTCGGTGCAGCCGGCGTTCTTTGAACCTCGGGCTCCCACACTTCCCTATAAGCCTCATCCTCATAGGCTTTCTTCCATAAGTCCGTATTTACTGGTCCTGGTTCAACGCAGTTGATCGTGGCATTGTACTTGTGCCCCAACTCCGTAGCGAGGCTTCTCGTCGCAGTCTCCAGAGCCCCCTTGCATGTCGAGTAAACAGAGCAATTGGCGTGGCCTGAGCGCGCATAGATAGACGAGATGTTGACGATGCGCGGCGCAGGCCCAAAGTGCGGTATTGCCGCCTTGATAAGGAACAGCGGGAACCGGAAGTTGACGAGAGTGAGCTCTTCGAACTTTTCCTCCGTGGTGTCGAGCAGCGAGAAATCACCACCGGTAGCTGCGTTGTTTACGATAATGTCGACCTTTGACCACTTCTCTACTGCTGCTTGCACGATGGCTGCTGGGGCGGAGCGGTCCGTGCCTTCTGCGCGCACAGCAAGACTTTGGACGCCATGTTTCTCAATTTCCGAGCACACACTTCGCGCTTCGGCTTCAGAGTTGACGTAGGTTACAAGGACATTGGCACCCTTCGATGCAAGATCTAGAGCGATGGCCTTTCCTATCCCCCTCGATCCACCAGTGACAATAGCGTTCTTCTCCTTAAGTGGTTGAGACATGGACACAGACTGGGCGTACGTGTATTGCTTTGAGGAAACAGGTTATGAATAATTCGCTTGGAAAAATTGTGATGATGCTAAAGTTGCTCTTGTTGTTATGGCGAGTGCAGTGCAGGTGAAGGGATCGGGAGAGCATCCGATGGTGGGTACCCCGCACGTGCCCGCTATCGGAAGACGGTCCCGACCACGTTGATCCCCTGTTAACCCACCTTCCACTGTCGCACCCTTGAAAAACACAAAAGTGGAGATCTTCACCTCGTCTACTCGGAAAGCCATCACCTAAATTTCTGTATTACACCCGGTATATCGGAATGTCTACTGCTGCTGCCGGTCCTGCCAACGACGCGAACCGCGTCAAGAAACGTCAACGTGTGTCGAACGCGCAAGTACCCATTTCTCGACAAACGTGTGGGTCAAGTGTCATGCTAACGCCAACAGCAGATGCAATTTTTGCAGACGACAGAAAATTAGGTGTTCGGAGTCGCAGCCCTGCAATCACTGTGCAAGGCGAAACCAGCCCTGCATCTTCCCTGAGAAGCCTCAGCAGGTCTTGATCTCCAAGGAAACCCTCGAAAGACTTCAGAGGGAGGCTGCTAGAGCTGGGAGCAACCCGGAAGCCTCATCCGCCAGAGAGAACTCGGACTCGACGTGGACAGCGATCCCAACCGAGGGTCATGCTACTAGACACGATAGCACACTGATTGCTCGCTATCATCAAGGTGAGCCTACCGTCGAGAACGAGGGTTCATCGACAACACCTACTTCGCAGTTAGACATCGATCAGCCACCTGAATCCAGATATGGCTCTCGCGCTGTTAGTGTGCTTGACGAGAGTGATCGCAATCAACCCATCATCAACCCTCTAGTCTCTGGTCAATCTTCATATGCTGCGGTAAATACAGGGCAAGCACGTGAGTGAATCGCCATTACGGAGGATACAACGTACTGACATGCATATAGTTCTTCTTGGTAGCTCGTCGAATTGGTCGTTCGGTCGAAGAGCCCTCGCGCTGGTTCACAACGCGGTCTTCGCAAGCCCACTAGTGGAATCGGATCTCCACTATGATGGCTCAACCTACGACCTTGGATGGGATGGACGTCGAACCGCGCTGAACGTTACACTGCCAGCGTTACCAACTGTAGATCACGCCTTATTCCTCATCAATACAGTGAAGTTTCACTGTGGGCAATTGTTTCACGTCTTTGACAACGAGATCTTTATGCGCCATTTCAACGCATTCCACGCAAAAGGGGCAGACGCTAGCGCATGCCCTGAGCTATGGTACATTCATTACCTGATAGTACTTGCTATTGGAAAATCACTCGTTGGACGAATAAGGCAGACTTTGAAACCATCCGGTGGAGATTTATTTGTTCGAGCAATGCAGATGTTGCCAGATCAAATTTTCCTGTGGAGGGACCCGGTACAGAGCACCGAGATCCTGTGCTGTGCAGCACTATATTTGCAATGTCTTGACATGCGCATCGTGGCGTATAACGTAGTAAGAACGAGTGTGGCTTGGACGATATTCTCTAACTAACTATATCAGATTGGTCAAGCGATGCGCACCGCCATAGCCTTTGGCTTCCATACTGACATGCCCCTGCACCAGCATTCACCCAATATTATCGAGCGATGTCGCCAGATATGGTGGACAGTGTATATTCTAGACTCACACATGTCCGCTTTGATGGGCGTACCGAGGACGATAAACGAGCGGGACATCAGCACCCAACTCCCTAGATTCAACCACTCAGCTTATAGGACTCGCGCTCTGCACATACACATCCAACTCGCCAACATTGAAGGATCTATACAGCAAAGTATGCTTCCATATTATTCCTCCACGACCTATGCTGACTTGTAGAAGCCGTATATAGCAGAGAAGGACGGACGGGGATCAATTTTCTCAACAGTATCAAGAACGCACTCAAAGCATTGGCTGCTATCAACGACGAGCGAACTTCCAGCTTTCCACTAGGGCTGGACGATTCCGAAAATGGCATATCGAGACTGTCTGCTCATCTCCATCTTTTCCACCATCATGTAGGCAAGATCCATTCTTCGCGACCCGAGCCATTGCTAACTGTCACAACCAACCAGTGTATAATATTAAATACCAAACCATTGCTGTTCAGCTTCCTACAAAAGCGAGTGGAAGCCTTGCGACCGATTCGCATCCCTTCTTCTGGAGGAGTTCGATCATTACTACGGGTCTGTGTTGGCTCGGCTCGACAAACAACCAAGATTCTCGCTGCTTTGCAGAGTCAAACTCTGATCGGTAAGTATTTTTGAGGAACAGAGGCAACGATGATGAAGCTTGCTAATGGCTTGCAGACACCTTTGTGCCTTTCGATCTGGAATCGACTTGGTCTGCAGCATTGGTGCTTTTGATCGCATCAGTCGTCGATCCTTCCCTTGTGCACGATACTGCGTCATCGCTGAAAATCACTTTCGATGTGCTCAACGACATGTCCGCAGTAGGCAACAGCGTGGCAACTTCTCGGCGTGCGGAGCTGGAACGATTGAAGCACACGCTGAAGGCGCTGGAAAACATGGGCCAGCAAGCGCCAATACACACCTCTCCGCCAGCGGCCGCATCGGACGAGCCTTTGGCAATGGCAACGATGAATCCGAATCACCCTGGTACAGTCAGGTCGGGATACTCTGACATTGAGTACATGTCAGCGCATAGCTGGGATATGGAAGATGTTCTGAACAGCGCACAACTGGAGGCTGTCGCTGAATCAATGAACTTGAATGGGCTGGACTGGGGTTGGGCGGCGAGCGCGCTGGATCAACTCGATCCTTCTCTGCTGTAACAACCACGTCAAAACAGACATTTACACGCTAAGAATACCAAGAGCCTCACGTCAACGATATTCTACACATTGCATGTTCATGGTACCCAATTCTATGCGATGACGTAATGCTAGCTAAGAATAGCATATGAAGGCGCTTCCTTTGTTCGACTTATGTATTTCGACCCCGAATGACATTCCGGTAGTCTGCGAAAAGCTACACCCTTTGCGGCGTAGTTTTCAGAAAGTTGTGATAGGGATATTGAAGGCTATGAATCCGCTCTTCCACTGAGATAAGACCATGAGAAATTGACCAACGCCGGAATATAGTATTATCTTCCGTGAAGCCTGCCTCTGGAGTGCAGAGTATAAGGCATGGTCACCTGCAGTCCTCTGCGTACCATGCGCAAATATATCCGACAACCCGATCTTGCACCCATGTGAACGTTGTGTCTTGTCACTCATTATGACTCGAGCCTTCCAGCACACTCAACGCAGGGATTCCCGGTAGGCGTTGATCACATCAACGATGAGACAGAGGTAAAGAATGCTCCCGAGCCACCTTCCCATTTCCAGGGACAAGCGGTGTCATCTCATAACCAGCTGAGCCGGGCTCCAGATACGCTTTTTCCCGTGCCCTCGGCACCTCGCGCATCCCATGAATCTCAAAAGCCAAGACGAGCCTGCAGATAAGCGTACCGGTGAAGATGAGACCAACCATCCAGATTGCGCTCCACATCGGGACAAACAGAATAGTCGAGAGGACAATAATACCGTATATCACATCGGCCCAGATGCAGAGCTTGATCAGCCAGTTGAGGAGCTGATAGACGGAGCTATTCTGGAGCTTGATGGCGTCATTGGGATCGATATCCGTGGCGAAGGCACAAGGCGTGATTTCATTGTGGAGTAGCGAGCCCAACGTGGTTGCGTTCCGTGACTTCGTCGAAGCAGAATCATCCCTTGGAGCCCGGCACCAATGTATTTGAAGCATGCCCAAACCGTGTATGGGGATCCCAAGGAACACCCAGAGCAGCGGAGCAAAGGCCTCGAGCGTTCCACCATATTGCCCCAGTTGCGTGCTGATCAGTACGGTGGCATAGAAGGTGAGGCGGTAGAATTGGTAGACCACGTTTCCAGCGGCAAGCATGACAGCGAAGTATTCGACGAAGGAAACAATGGCGTTCAACCAGGGTCGTTCCGAGAGCCATGTCGGCCAGAAAGGCTCCGGCTTCTCGACGAGAAAGGACTCCATGCCTGTGGTTTCGTAGTCAAGAGCTGGGCATGGCGATCCGATTGTTAGGAATAGCGCTAGAATGGGTCTGCGCGTAGCAAGGACGGCGAGATCACTGAATTTAGGGCCGATCATCTGCAGCACGCCAGGAAGCAGACCAAGCATGACAGCGACGGTGCCGAACTCAGATTTAGTGACCTCATCGGTGTTATCCAGTATGCCTAGTGGGCGTATAGCGTTAGCGAGATTGGCAACCCAAGATCATATGCGCGTTGATCAACGTACAGTTCACGAGGTCGGTTGCCTTAGAATTCTTGGGTTCTAGGTTGAGGCTCTCGTATTGAGCCAAACATCCATTCTCTCCGGGATCCTGGATGATTTTCCATTTTGAAAAGGTGTCGAAGTCTACTTGCCATAGGTTGTTGCTATATGCGTATGTCGACGAGGCAAGCGCCAGGAAGAGAAGAAGTCGTTGTGTTGGAGCTAGAGACGGCATGTTGGTCGCAGCGAAGCTATTGTTCCGACGTAATTCGATTGCAACTCGAGGGAAACCAAGTTTAAAGACATCCAGAGCGCTAAGCAGCCACGCAGCCACTTTATCGCATGACGCTAGATATAGCACAACTCGGTGCTAGTCTTCGTGGGGGCCAAGTACGTGTTATGAGTCTTAGGATGTCGCAGGATCCTTGCCGACAGGAGATCAGTTCATATGTAATCATGGGTACGAGGCGCAATTTGTTTCTTTGGACGAGAGCTCTGGGCACATCTGTGGCTGAGACATCTCAGGTTGTAGATATAGCGCAGCAACCCTATGCTAGCAAAATATGTATGCAACCAGGGATGCAATTTGCGTCTTGTCTAATCGAGCAAGCTGTCGCGTGCAGCTACGAGATACCGATGACCAAACCGCAAGTCTTCATGAGATTGCGTAACCTTCGAAGAGCAGAAAATTTAGAGAACGCGCTAATGGAAAGCGAGTGGTTTCGCTTAGTGCGGGTATGCGGGAACGCTTACACCAGAGTGAAAAGGGAAAATGGGGCGGAAATTGCTTACATATTACGGCAGCTTTAACCCAATTGAGCTACAAAAGAAACTTCTTGACGAGCACACCGTTTGGCATGTACGCAATGCGGATCCTCAGTACGCGCAAGATATCCTCACTCGCCCAATAACACAAATTCGCTAAGATACGCCCGTTTTCAGCAGAATCGTCGCGAATCAAATCATGTCTTCTCCGAGACCATTCGGTATAACCACTTCGTCCGTGGTCATGATCCCTCCTTCGATATGATTGAGTTTATCTTGCGACTGCCGTCTGTTTCGCCCAGCGAAAACTTGCTGAGGTGTCCGTATATCAAATACGCAACATGTAATCCGGTTCGAAGCCTTAGTGCTCTTCTCCTTGAAAAGGCAGTTGTTCTCAGTGAGGGAAGTTGATTAAGCTTCCGACAGAAATAGAGCGCATAGCTTATCGAGCTCCTTCTTGCGTTTCCAAGCGACTTAGTCTTTTGCACTTCTAGGAAGATCCACGGGCGTGACGGCAGGTAAAGCAGTGGATGTGACCACAGCCACATCCAAGGCAACCTGAACGGTGATGTTGAAGCCCTACAGAGCTACGCTTGTGTTCCCAATGTGCAGGAGTCCACCGCGGGCACTTTTGCGCCTGTGCAGGCAGTGCAATGAGTTGGGAGTTGAATATGGCCGTATACGTAGGGGCAAGTCCCATCCGGAATAAGCAACATTCTCGTCAGTAAGAATACCAAGAACCTCGCAATGTGCTGGGAGACAACATTCAGCTTACTGAGGTGTCTTTTGTTCGGATGAATCCGACACAGGCTGGATCTGTGAGCCGGAAAACCTAAAACAGCTTAGTTCACGAACCACTAACCTCGGCAATAAATCCGGACTAGATATCCGGATTCATCCCGCGTCCTTAGATCATGGATGCTTCGCCTACATTATGGAAATCCAAAAGGAGCCATGAATCCGGAGGCATCGAAGAAGCGGAGCATCACCATCATCACGGGGGAGCCACCACAGAAGCGCAAGGTGACGCGAGCATGCGATGTCTGTAAAGCGAAAAAGGCCAAGTGCTCCGGCACTCGACCATGCGACAGCTGTGCGCAGAAACAGTTAACCTGCTTATATGAATCACGGTACTCGCGTGGAAGACCTCCAACACCTCCATCGGGCGGACCATCGAGATCCATGTCATGTGTCGACATGACCACAGATACTTCTCCGACTCATCAAGCTGAACCAGCACCGCAGGTATTAGAGTTACCCCAGATCCAGGAAGTACCTTCTCGAGCATCACCGGAACTAGAGGTTTCCGGACAATATGCGGATTCGACGTCAGGGCTTTCGTTCCTTCATCGAGCCTGGCAACGACTCTCCAGTCATCAAGTCGGGCAGCCCGTTGATGGAACAGTGGGAAACATGCATGAGCACCAACTGCTGATTTCCGCTGGCGACAAGCCGTTCCACAGGCTCGGGAACGTGCAAATACCACCACTGCCTAAGTCTCTTGAGCTGGCCGCGATGTATTTCGACGTTTGCATTGCTACGTATAGAATGTTACATCGACCGACAGTCGAACGTTGGCTGAAGAAGGTTGTAGAGAACGCGAGCAACTCGAGCGACCTTTCGCATGGCATCACGCGCCCACAGGCAGCCATAGTCTTGGCTATTCTCGCATTCGCTAGTTTCCATGAGGCCAAAGTCAACAGCAGTGTCAACTCGCCAAAAGACATTGAATTGTCGCTTTGCCGCGCAGACGAGTTGTTTTGCGAGTCTGTACATCTCGTCGATGCCGAAACAGGTTATCCCCAACTGGAGTCTGCCCAAGCCCGCCTCATACAAGTCTTATACATGCTTTCATCCTCACGAATGAACCAAGCCTGGTATGCCTTCGGTCACACGGTCCTCATCATCTCGGCCTTGGGCTTGCATCGCCGGAAAAATCGCCGAAAGAAGAATCAGCCGCAAGACTACGTCGAAGAGCAGTGTCGAAAAAGAACCTTTTGGGTGGCGTATACTCTCGACAAGTATCTTGGTGTCGTTTTTGGACGCCCGCGACACTATCACGACGAAGACATTGATCAAGACCTGCCTGACTCTATCAACGACGAAGACATGACATCTGTCGGCCCTTCTGAGGTTGGAACTGACGATTGTCATATCAACGCCTTAATTCATCATGCAATGCTTGCGCGGATCGCTGAGCGAGTTTCACGCGAAGTCTACTCGATCAAACAGATACCGGAGCAAGAGCGCATTACGTCTGCGCATAGACTGAGTTCTGAACTGCAAAAGTGGAAAGCGCAACTGCCGCCAATCCTTGGAGTCGTAAATCCCTCCAGTCTCATCCCGTCCTTCCGACGACAAGCAATCGCTCTGAAAATCTCATATTACCACGCTGTGATGCTCGTCCATCGACCGTTCTTGCTAAAGAATATTAACCGGCATTCCCAAGAAATTCGCGCACTAGCTGAACAAGGCATCGACGAATGCATCGTGGCTGCCCAATCTGTGCTCGAGATAGTAGATCGAATGGCACGCGACGGCAAACTCTTCCATGCTTTTTGGTGGACTCACTATGTCTCCTTCTGTGCGCTTGTGGTCGTATACGTTTGGGCTATACAGCGCAAGAACAACGATGAAGACGCGGTTCAGCGCTACCCAGGCATCTTTGATCGTGCCGAGAGATGCTTGAATCACCTCGCTCAAGCTACCGCAACAAATTCCCCGTCACGTCGTTACAGTATCATTCTTCGGGAGCTACGCGCTGAGGCCAAGAAGAAGTTCGGCCGGTACCTCCCGACGAACGTGAGCTCCGATGAGTTTGTCGAGCAAGGCTCACATGAAGGCCTTGCAATGCCCATAATTCAGCCTACAAGCGCGATATCCGGTCATGAGGACAGTTTGTTCGAGAGTCCTAGCGATGCTACCACTTCTCACATACCCGATTTTCTCGATGACTGGCAAACAACTGATTGGCTTGATTTGGATTCCTCCGCCTTTGGTCCATTCCCGGCGCTCGAGACCGAATCGGTTGACTGGATGCAGGAGGCCGCTCAGCATACTCCGCTCTCTTAGATAGGCATACATGAGGATTCAATTGGTTCTTTGCCTGCTATCCATCTAAGACCACTAAACCTCCTAAAGCACATACTTGAACAATGGGGACTTGTCGCCCATGTCCATCAACTGCTGGTCCGTGTATTTTGCACGAACTTCGTCCTCGCCAATGCTCTCTTTCCTGTGGTTGCCCCACTTGTAAGACAGCTCGAGTAGGAAAGCAACTATGAACATGCTTGCTCCAAATGCTAGAGAAAGTCCAAAGCCAGTATAGTACGTTGGCTTCTCTGAGTCGAGGTACATATAAGACCCAATAACGCCACCTATATTACCAACGCATATGTTGAATGCAACACCGATCGAACGTCGCGACGATGGTGCAAGGTTGTTCGCAGCCCAAGATGACGCAGCAGGCTGAATGGGATAAATACCCATGCAGGTCAAGATGATACCGAATATTGCGGGGCCGATATGTCCTCCGAGGTCTCCGTGGAAAGAGATGATTATGGAGTACCCGATGAATATTAGAGACAATGGCATTGCAACGAAAGGTAGTCGCCAAAAGAATCGATCGGATAGCCGTGCGAAAAATATCGAGCTGATGGCGCCTGCGACGTAAGGTGGAACACTCATCAACTGCGCATTGGTATTGCTGAACCCCATCGACTTGGTGATAGTTGGCAGAGTAAACTTCGTTCCTGCTGCTATTAGTCAAGCAACTTGTACAGGAGGATGTCAACCGACCGTAGGAGCAAGCCGAGGTACCAAGCAGTATGTACGCTTGCAAGTACAACCGCCAGTTGCATACAACCATCTTTAGGTCTCTCCAGCGAAAACTGGACCCTTCCTCTTGAAACTTTCCACCGTCTTTGATGAATCTCTGGAGCTCTAAAAAGCGGATTTCGTCCTGGTCGAGCCAACGCCCGCTCAGAGCTGGGGAATCCACCAAGAGGAAGAAGCAACTGACACCGAGCAAAACAGTTGCGATTCCCTCGAGCAAGAAAATCCATCGCCAGCCCTCGTATCCACCGACCCCGTCCATATTGGCGATCGCGGCAGCGAGTAGTCCACTGAAAGCTCCAGACAGAGCCGATGCGCAGTAGAAGTATGATATGCGTGTCGCAAGATCTTTCGGCATGTACCACGCCGAGCAAAGATATATCGCACCGGGGAAGAAACCGGCCCTATCACACGTCAACCAAAAAAGCACGATCTGCGCACCACGGAACTTACTCGAAAACACCAAGTAGAATGCGAGTCACTAGAAGCCCAGCAAAATTCTGTACCACGCCCATCATTGTCATGATGACACCCCAGATTGTAATCAGAATACCAAGGTACACTGATGGGCGCTTAAACTTCTTGAGAAGCATGTTCGATGGAACTTCAAGTAAGACGTAGGGCACGAAGAACACGGATAGGACTATGTTCCATTGAACACCGCTGAGGCCGAGATCTTCGACTAAGCCTTCGATTTTTGCGTTCTATGGATAGTTCGTCAGTATCACATAAAGCCTCTAGGGGAACCGCAACCTACGCCAATATTTGCGCGATCAATGTGCGAGATGAGGTATAATATCGCGAGCATTGGCACTAATCGCACGTCGACCTTGTGAATGACCTTCTTCCGCCGTTGCTCCGAGAAGCCGGTGTAGAACGCTGCATCTTCCTCACTTAACCCCAAGACGTTGAAATTGTCAATCTGGACAATCTGCGCTGGTTTTGTCTCATCAATTGAATTGCGTTTCTCGTCCAACTGGATTTCGCTTTTCTCCTGATTGAGGGACATGGCGATAAGGGGAAAGGTCCGACAGGTAGAACTGCTCGCGACCTAAGCAGATCAGGAAGAGGATTTGGTAATGACCGCGCGCGACATGGAATGCACACTGCGTCGATATATATACACCTTAGGGAACAGAATGCGGGGTAGCGCAATTGCGCTATGCGGGGAGCAATGCACAATTCTGGGGATGAGTTATTCCGAGCACACCATTTTGCGCTCAACATCTGCATCTTTCTGCGCATATCGTGCGTTGGACGTTCATATTCGGCAAAGGAACGACGCTGCCTATCAGCTGACCTGTGGTCGGAGAAGAATCCGACCAATCAGGCGGATATCCGGAACCTCAACGGCATCAAGAGACTCCACCTTTCGGAAATCCTGAGCGGCAGTGTAGGGACGCTGCGTTTATTCGCTGTAGGAGACGGTTTTCCGATTGTTGCGAGATGTTACGAACCGCTGTACAAATATCATGATGACCCCCCTGCGGCAGTTTCGCTGTGCCGACCTAGACATTATCAACCCTTTCTTCAGCATCACATGGGCTTAGTCAACAACTGTGCGTGGAACACGTTGTCTTTGGCATCATGAACACCGCGAGCAATCTGAAGAGTGAACGTCTATCCAAATGGAATGGGCGATAAGGGCTTATGTGCGTAGACATCCGTGCTATGAATCCTTGCGCGCGTTCAAAAGTGTTCCATCCTAGCACCACCACTCAACACTAAACTCTTGTCAATTCACTTCATTTTCTACGGCCTCTCCTACCTAAGGCACATGCAAACAAGCCGGGAAAGTGAATCGCACATTCCGTTGTAAACTCAACGGCCCAAACTATGGGCGACCTTTGCATAGTGCACGAACCCCTCTCAAGCTATATACCTATCTACAGCCCACCCATATTAGTATCAAGCCGCCCTCCATGACTGAAATGCCTTTGGAAATGTCCACCAGACATCTCCATGACAACACCTTCCTGACTGCTTCTCCCGTTGCAAAAAAAAAAAACCCCCCCCCCACAAGCTTTTCCTCTTATCTGTGCTTCTGAAACAAAATTTCGTTTTGTGCACAATCAAATACTTCGCTTCTTTTCTGTGAAATGCAGGTAGTAAGTGCTAAGGCGAAATTAATTACCTGATCGTTGCTATTTCTTTTCTTCTATGGATGGACCACTTGAAGTACGGATAGTGTCAATATGGGATGAAGAGCTTGGAGTCTCGAAGAGACAGCGACGTAAAAATGGCGCTGCTGAGATGAGATAAGAGCTTTTCGGCCATAGAGTGATTAATATAGACAGCTTCGTTCCGAAATCGGCACTCGAATCAATTTATCATTGACTATGATAAGACAAACCGGTTATCACACCACAAATGGATATAAACCACCCGGATTGCTCTTGCTACGGTGCTTTCCCGTCACAAACATCATAGACAAGAGTTTCGGAAAAGGAGGGAGGACTTTGTTAAGTACTATATGTAAGGTGTCAAACGAGCGTTATGCGTGGATTGTATAGCACCAAAAAAGGGAAGAAGAATCGCTCTCGTACTGGGTATTGGAAAACATTGCAAGATCATCCACCGTAATTCTGGTTATTAATCCTTGGGCAGGAGTTCGTGATGCAACGGTGAAAAGTATAGATGTTTCAAGGACGAACAAAAAGATCGCTGATCATTCCGTCGCGTGATGGTCGATTCGGTAGTTTTTGGCACCCGCCTTTTAGTCGATAGTATCGGCGCTCATCGGCGCTCATTTTCACCAAGTGGTCTAAACCCCTGGGGTGTGAGTCGGAACGTTGCCACCAAGGCCATCAGAGTTCGGAGCAGCCGCGGGAGTCGTAGTCGTTCCGCTGGTGGCTGTGTTCGTCGCACCAGTGGTTGCCCCAGTGGTTTCGCCAGTGTGACCAGATGCGGGAACGCCATAATCATTCGTCGGACGATGCTTCTCGTTGACCGCAACATCGTTGTCATAATCCCTAATGTGGAGTCCCAACCGCGACGGCTCGATATTGCGATGTCCCCAGATCAACAGCGCGCCGAACACAGGCTTAGCAAGCAAGTCAAGGATGCCGTAAAAGACTGCTTCAGAGTCCGGCGCGATGATATTGCCGCCTTCGCAGACGCCCCAAGCGATGGGGTAGCAGAGCCAGAGAACCGAGGTGAGGGCGCCGCAGAAGAGGAAGGCCCTGCCGACGTCTTTCCCGTAGCGGTTTGCGTTGCGGCGGGATTCCCAGCCGAGATGGTACAGGATGTAGAAGAGGGCGAAGCAGCCGAAGGTGAAGAAGCCCCATTTGTACCGGGATACGACGAGCGCGCCGACAAGACCCGTGATGATCATGACCCAGTCGGCGAAGATCACAAACATGATGGTCGGCCAGGGCATGCCCGCGGTTAACATCAGGTCCATCAAGAGTAGAGGTGTGGTGATGAACCAATCGATATATCTGACGTAGAAGATCTCGCGGAATGTGCCCCTAACCTTGGAATCAGAGCGGAAGAACTCGACCTGGATCGGGGTGAAGCCGAGGTTGGAGCCCATTGTGAAGTATGCGATGGCGGCAGTGAAGACGACGGCAGACGTGATGTAGTGGAAGATACGGGTGTGGCGTGGCCTGCGAAGCGCAAGACCCATGAAGGCAAAACCAGCGACTGTCATCACGGCGCATACCGCGAAGTACCAGTCTGAACCTCTGGTGGTGATGCCAATGTCCGCTGTGGCGCCATTGACAGTGTTACCTAAGGGTGTGAGTTATGGTTCCGAATAGCAGCGAATCTGATCAAGACTCACCATTCAGACGCAACGCATTGTTGCGGCGTTCGAGCTCGAGGCCTCGTTCTCCTAAAAGACCCATTTTCGTAAATTTGTTGCACTCCTTCGATTTTTCGAGTAGTGAGAGTATAAACAACTGATTGTGACGATGATATGCTCGGGACGCCGACGAGGTGCCATAACACATGATATATGCCCACTGGTCAGACTATCAAGGTATGACGAAAGCAAAACGCTTATGCAGAAAGCTTATTTCGATAGCATCATCCTTACCAGCAGTAATGTTGCTAGATCACAGCACGTTTTCCGATCCCCACCGCCAGATATACCAGGGTAAGAGGGAAACCACAGTATCGGAACGATGGCCCTTACCTAACGAGAAATAATCAACCTCATCGACAGCTCATGGTCTCCACTTATACCCTGGCACATCTTCCGTGTTCAAACGCCATTTCCCGTGGTGATATTAAAGTTGGCTTGCATTTTCTGCTCGCCTTCCAGCCTTGAGCGTGCGGAAATGCTCTAGATACTAGCGCCGATGATATCAACACTCATTCACACCATGCCGCGAACAATGCACTAGCGGGAAGTAGCTTAGCGACCGCAATTCGCCGAAAGCTTACTTCCAATTGACGTCGATCTTCTGAGCTTGGTTTTACATCACTCCGCGAATAAAGGGTAGGCTGCTAACGTGTGATTGGAACCCCTCTTGTTGATGGCAGCCTCGTTCAACGGATCTGGCATACCGCGGCCGATCGCACGTTAATCCCCGCTTTCGCGCTAGTGATGCGTCTCGACCATCGTGGCTGACAAGTGCTAGTGAGAGCATCTGCCGGTATACTGACTCCGCAGTTGCCATGTGATGCGTGTGCTTGGGTATGATCTGATAATGGAACTACTATGGTATCTCGAGTAACATCCATGTCTCAAAAGGATATGCAAGGGATTGACACAACGTGCATGCAATGCAACTGAACCCCGCAGTCTAGTGAATGCTTGGGTATCATTTGTCTAGAGAGATTCAACGGTTGAGAGTCTTCCAAGCTACACCGAGACGCCTCCATCGTGGCACAGTAGCCCTACCCGCTTTGACAGCATACCCTTTTTGTCGCAGAACTCTACCGATCTCCATGTAGCTCTCTACAGCGACTCTAATAGGTCCGCGAGCTTCGGCTGGAAGTTCTTCGATGGCGCCCCGAGCTTCCTCGTATAGCGCGAAAGCCTTGTCAAGAAGTTTCGAACGCAATTCCTCGACTCCAGCGCCTTCTGGGCTTTGAAGTATGGAGTCGTATGTTTTTCCAGCCCCCTTCAACCATGTAATGGGTAGGTAGACACGTCCAATCTTAGCGTCTACAGAGATATCGCGGGCAATGTTGACATATTGAAGTGCTATTCCCATACGATTGCCAGATTGAATGATTCGACGTTGGTCCTTCAATGACAGCGATGTGGAATAGATGTGAAATATGAGCTCATTACACATCTGTGCAACGGTTCCAGCAACTCTTTGCGCATAGACTTGGAGGTCGGCTTCAGTCTGTATCGGAGGTGCGCTATTGAAGGCAAGATCCATATCGAAGCCGCGCAGAAGGTCTTGCAGAGGTTGACGTGATAGTCTAGAGCATGGTAACTGAAGCAAGGCGGATCGCGTATCCCGGGGGAAATTGTCTACAACGTACGGTTCGATCGAACTGTCGGACTCGTCCTCGTTACTGTAGGCCATGTCGAGAAAGCGGTGTAGTTTGGCGATCCACATCTTTGCATCCTCGGCAGAAGATGCATTATCGACAAGGTCGTCGGCGACGCGACAGAATGAATACAATAGCATCAAATCTGACCGAAGTTGCCCCTGGAACGTTGATGAAGCAAGATAGAAACTCCGACTTTTCCGCTTCAAGCGAACTACAGCCTCCTGCAACCCAATCAGACGCGCTTCGTCGTAGGCGGAGGTAGGTGTAAAAAGCGCTTTAATGAGAACGATCGGTGAAGGGAGCACTGCTGCACTGGGGAAGAGCTTTGGAAACGTATACAAGATGGCCAAAGCATTGTCGAATGCGAGTTGCCCGAAGACGATCAGGGTGTTGGTCAACAGGAAGAACAGTGCTTCCTCGATCTCGAGGCCATCCCACAGATGCAAACCATATTTTGTGCCGGAGTTAATGACCCAAGTGCCTCGTTTTAGGGCCAAAGTGTCGACAATCCAAAGATAGATCGTCGGTAGCGCGATCGGTAGGACAGTGTTGGACAAAGGTAATCCTAAGATGAATTGATATGCAAGACTCCTGTGTCACAATGAGCTTCAATCCAAATGTTATGCAGTGTCATATTACCAGAGAAGTAAGAGAAACGGAGCAGCCCAAATGAGTATTAGACCGGTGTACGTGCCTACACCATTGTCGACAACCTGATGCCAACCCCAGCCGATGGTGACAGCTAATACAAGTTGCCCAAGGCGTTTATACCACCGCCATTGCTGGTTGCATGGGCCTAGCGGTTGGGAACTCTGTCGTTCTACACGAAGATACAAGGGTTGAAAGGTTGGTCTGCTCAAGATAATATACAACAACGAGGAGTTATACGTTTGGATGACGAAGAAGAAGACTTCCTCTAGGGGAATGTCAAACAGTTTCGGTCCCACAATGACATGACTAGGGTAACTCCAGATGCCGGTTTGGATGAGGTATGAATCCCATGGTATAGTGGAGAGAACTGCGATCTGTTTCCGTGAGAGAAAGTTACAATGCGTACTCGTATGTACGTACCGTTACCAGAAAAGCGACTTTGTAGACGTCCAATCGCGTGAACAATGGCCGATAGAACAGAGTGAGCAAGATTGCAGGCGGTATAGTGTATTTGACATGGCTACACAACTGCGGTCAGTAGCAACAAATTTTCCAATTGTGAGCCCCACGTACACGAGTGCATAGTCAAAACCCATAGTCAGCCGTAGATCGCTCTTTCACATACACCCGCTTATCAACGGTCACGGCGCGTCAAGCACGTCGATAGATGGGCACCAAACGCGGGGTACGGTGCTAGAGGACAGCGTTCGGACGGCAGCAGATGGAAAAGACGCCATTGTGATGTCTGGGGTGTGGTCAAGGAGGGAATGACGCGCCGGTCGTGGATATGCTAGCGGATGGGGCGTCGTCCAGATGCGGCTTAGGGCGGCTCATTAAGCTCCAACATGTCGTCATGGAAAAATAGCGCCGATCACTCCCAGATACAGACACAACAAGATGGCAACGTTGGGGCAGCCCGGGCAGCATCATGCCATGTTGCTGTCATCTGTGCTTGCAGCTTCCGATGAACCCGGTACCTGACGAGCGCGTGTCACGTTCCCGTCACCTCAGTGATCGGATGACGAAGACGGCAAACACCCACCCAGTTTCACATGTGCTTCGCCTGGAGCAGGTCCGAGGATGAGATTTGAGCCAAGGGCACTCCTCCACCTGGGTGCTCGAACGACATACGCCAAACATCGTCCGTCGTTGCTGCCACTCAATGCGGCGAAGTCCTGGAGCTTCACCATGTCCAAGAATGGACGCGAGAAGAAGCAATATGCAACTCATCCGTTAGTACTTTAGGCACCCGACTAGTTACTCCCGTCGCTGATTGTTCTGTAGCTATCTGGCTGGCAACTTTGCGCCGGTGACCACCACTTCAGGTCCACGACCCGTTGAGTACTCCGGCAATGTTCCAGATGAACTCCAAGGGGGCATGTACGTGCGGAATGGTGGCAATCCCATCTCTAATTCGGATCTTGGACGAGAGGCCCATTGGTTTGATGGCGATGGCATGCTCACGGGTGTTTGGTTTGATCGCGCTGCAGCCGGTACGAAGAAACCTACGCCACGCTTTGTCAATCAATACATCTTGACCGACCTGTGCCTATCGACGTTTGAGAATGCAACGCTTCGGACGCCCATTACACCAAGTATTGCGACCTTGGTGAACCCGGTAGCGCGTTTGTTTGTCATTGTCTGGAGTATATTCCGAACCGCCATCTTGGTACTGTTATCGCATCTTCCCGGCTCTGCCCAAAGTATCAAGAGGATCAGTGTCGCCAATACAAGTATTTTGTATCACGACGGACGGGCGCTGGCGACCTGCGAGAGCGGGCCTCCTATACGTGTCCATCTTCCAGGGCTCGAGACTGTCGGCTGGTACGACGGAAATCGGACAGAAGGTGAACCTATGCAAGAGCAGAAAGACGACGGTCCTGGTTTCGGTGGTACCGGTTTGAATAGCTGGATGCGCGAGTGGACCACTGGACACCCAAAAGTCGACCCTGCGACTGGCGAAATGATGCTGTTTCACTGCAATTTCCTTCCGCCCTTTGTCCATTATTCTGTCCTGCCCCGAGAGCAATCGCAATCCTCACCAGAACGACTAGCGCATGAAAAGCTGCTGAACGCGCCAGTGCCAGGCTGCTCGGGCGGTAAGATGATGCACGATTTCGGTGTTTCGCAGCGTCATACCGTTATTCTGGACTTACCACTCAGCCTTTCTCCATTTAACATGATGAAGAATAAGCCTGTGGTCGCGTACGAGCCCGAGAAACCAGCACGATTTGGAGTTTTCCCCCGACAAGATCCTTCAGCAGTCCGCTGGTTTGAGACTAGTGGTTGCTGCATTTTCCACACAGCTAATACTTGGGATGAGGCGGATAGTGCAGGTCATACGGTTGCGGTCAATATGCTGGCTTGTCGCTTGACATCCGCATCACTAGTCTTCAGTGCAGGAAACCTCACACCACCACCGCATCCGAATCATAAGGAACCACAGGACAGGAAGCGCATGTCATTCTTCGCAAAGTACGATGAAGACGATAATGTGAAGGATCTGGAGAAGGAAACGAGTACCGAACATACTGCTCTGCTTTCGCAAGATCATCTGGCAAGATACGGCCCACCTACGCCACCCATCTCAGAAGACGACGAAGAGCAGTGTCGCCTCTATTACTACCGCTTTGACGTCTCGAACACCGCATCCAACAATATCACGGATCAATACGCACTGTCAAGCATTCCTTTTGAGTTCCCTACTGTGGCCCCGCACGTTGAGATGTCCTCCGCTCGCTACATCTACGGCTGCAGCACGTCCAACGCTTCTTTTGGCGCCGCCCTAGGAAAAGCGACAAAGATCGATGTAATCGTCAAAATGAACGTCGACGCCTTGCTCGCGCGTGCCAAGGCCGCGCCTCCAGAAAGTGTAACAGGTTGTGTGGACACGCGTTCCGTACAGGAAGTAATCCTCTCGAAAGACCTCCGAGACCCAATCCAAGCTTTTAAACTCCCGCCGCATCACTTTGCGCAAGAAGCGCGCTTTGTACCTCGGCAATCCGCCGCCAGCGAGGACGACGGCTTTCTTCTCTTTTATGTGTTCGACGAGGCGCAGCTCGACGCGTTTGGCGAGTGCAAGCCTGATGCGACCAGTGATCTCTGGGTACTCGACGCGCGGGATATGCGGAGTGTGATCTGCAAGATACACTTGCCGACGAGGGTGCCGTACGGTCTTCACGGGAACTGGTTCAGCGAGGAGCAAATACAGAAACAGAGGGCTGTGGAGACAGTGAGAAGCATGCCAGTAGAGGGCAAACAGACGACATGGAAGAGAGCGAAGGAACGCTTGATTGGTGCTCTAGGGTAGTAGGCTACGCTTGAGATTTTGGAGTTTGGCATTGTCGCGTAGCTGGCTGTCTGATCTGAGGCATTTTCCATTTATACCCTTGAATGTATTGCATAATGTTATCGACCATTTTCTGCCTAATAGTGGTCATGGGTTGAGGCTTGCAGTCTTGCGTGTTCTTGTGATCTGACTTTAAGACAGATATTGCTTATGCTTCACTTTGTTACTTCTTTGCTAAAGAAGACCAGTGTAAAACCCGAGGTCAGAAGACAGTCACTCTAGACTACACAGTGCCGACACGAAAAGGTGAAGTGATAGGTCGCAGCTTTGAATAGGTACTATAGCTTGAGTTACCCCACGATAGGTGATAATGTATATATAGCTAGTCTCAATCTCAAAAGGACAGGTGAATTTTAGGAGAATTTGACGCTGAGTGGTTTATATGGCCATTGTGCTACCAATTCTGTCAAAACGACACCATCCATCAAGGCAGTCATGGCGGCACCAATCACGGTGGAGCTAATCGTCAATTTTGAATCAATTGCCAGCCCTCAGCAGAAACCTGCACCACGGTCGATGCCAACAGAACCAGGCCAATAGATGTCCGGAGAGTTGGAAGTGGCAAAGCAAGTGATTCAGAGAGTACCTAGGTACCTAATGCCTTGATTTTGTTGAAGTAGTAGCACTGGGGCGTTGTTGAAAGCTGGCGATTACGGCTTCCGCTAAGAGCTACAGGCCATTTTGCAGATAAAAGCTTGGATGAGTCGACTTCCCCGCTTGCTCTACAACCATCCAAGCTCGTTAGAAAACTTAAGAATGTTTCTTCTTCCAAGATAGATTCAAAAACGGCGCGAAAACAGCCGTATTTTCAAGGAGATGGAGTCGCGCGAAGCTGAGAGGCGGCAGAAGCGGCAGAAGCGGGACCTGGCTCAAGACCTCCCTCTCACCCTATACGACCCGCAGCGCACCATGGACCCGCTTATAGCCACACAGGTCTACAACAATCGCTTCTGCCCCCTGACTCGGCTGCCGGAGGAGCTCCTCCTGCGTATATTCGATTTCTTGTGCTACGATGTCGTTGCGCTACAATGTCTCCGGATAGTCTCGAGGATATTCCTTCGTCTTCTCAACAGCCAGTCGGTCGTTTGGAGAGATGCGCAGTATCGTGATTGTCCACGCTCTATCAGAGGTGAAAATTTCCATCTTTACAATGTCGAAGAGCTACAATTTCGACGCCTTCTACAGGGGGATGGCCGGTGCGACAACTGAAGGCGCTGGAACGATGCTCATGGGCATCAACTCTTCGATGACTGCAAATTTCAACAGAATCGCCGCAGGAGCCACAATGGTGCGAATGATTGCTTGCTTTAGCGCAGGCTCCACTGCTATGGCTGCGACAGTCTCCACGACATTTGCCAATTTTCCTCCGCCTACCAGCAGTCACGGGGGTACCAACCGGACCGACGGTGTCTAGGCCAGCAGGGCACGGTACAGTTATGTGATCATGTTCAGATCACTTGGGCCAGCATTAGAGCCCATATCGACGATTGGTGGCAGCAGCAGCGCGGACGGGGAGATTCAATGTTGGCACACATGCCTCGACAGCTTCAACATTGAGTGTCACAATGCCAGCCACGACACGCGCTGCACGGCCTCGTGGGCGCCTACCTGGCCACGAGCCCGTCTCGGCACCAGCACCTTGGACTCGGACATTGTGGTTCTCAATCTAGAGTGGATACCCCATAGCCGCATCGACGCGCTCGCTCTCATCGCGGACGGCCGAATACCCGCGCCCGAGCTGAGGGCGCTGTTCCAAAGGCTTCGAAGTCTAGGGCCAGCCGATACATTATGCCGTCCGTGCCGTCCGGGCGCTCTACCCGAAATGGCGTTTTTCAGCCCATCGTCCCGTATGGGACCCTTTATTTACTATAAGACGGGAGAGGATGATAAGATAGGCCCTCCGCCAGCATCGTTCCCGCCGCTTCCATCAGATTCATGGACACCACGGCGTCATCGCCATGGAAGAGGAAAAAACGGCAAGAAGCTACACATCGTGCCTCACTATCCAACGGACGCTGACAGTACCGTCATCTCCTCGCAGTGTCTCATAGTCAGCTACGAGAAAGATATCATGATCTGTAAGACGACGGCTATGACGGATCCTGCTGTCAAGATCGTCCCCACCGACCATTGGCTCCACACCATGGACACCCAAACATATCCTCACCCACAGGCAAACCATATCAGGCCCTAGTGCAGGGACGTGGTCTGCACCAATTAATACCGGAGGCGAAAGGATTATTACGTATGCTCTACTTGGCGCTCTGCCGACGAGCTGCACTGTACAACGTATCCACTTGCGTCTTCGGACTGCGCTCTTGAAATTAATACAGCGAGAGAATTACTCAGCGAGGTAGTAGACGAAAGAGAAGTACTCAGCGAGTTAGCCAAAAGACAGATAATTAGCCTGCTAGACAAGAGGCGATCTAATTAATGTCCAGACAGGCATCCAGCGGTTACTAGACGACACTTTGGGGATTCCGATTGGAGAGTTGTGGGATCTCTAGACTTTTAGTAAAGGATATGAGGCGCAGAATCACTGTAGCTTGTTCTTCATATCCGCCCCTCTAAAAGTGAAGGGCGGTATCTTCCACATGACACATGCGCTTCGTGGTATCTTGGCATAACTCACTGTGGTTTTGTTGTTAGATGTAGATGGTTCGTTAATGCACATGTACCATTACAAGCAGGTAGTCGAACTTTGTGTTAGTCGGAATCTGGTAGTTCTGAATCGTTCCACACATGGTAATCAATTTCGCGTGTGGAGAGTGAGGGTTGGAAGGAAGCATGTGCTTTAGCGCGCCGAATGTTGACGACGAGCAGTACTATGAGTGTGACCTCCGGGCAAGGGGTGACGTTGACGCCGCATCTGGGGTTGCTATGAAGTGTTCCGGAGAACGAGGGCAAGGAATATGCGGAAGGAACGTTTGCGAAGCTGTTTAGATATGAGTCCGTGGATTACTAGTAAATGAAGGTAGAAAAACTATAATTGAAGGGAGAGAAACTGGAAGGGGTGGTGGAGAAGACTTTGGCTGGAGATTACTATATTCTTAAAATATTCTTGTTATAAAACCATATCTGCTTCAAACCAATTTTTCAAGCCACCTAAATCTATTAGAAAGCGCCATAGAAGTTTACTTGAATGTGAAATAGAATTGCAGCTTCCGAGTTTGAATGCATCGCGCGAAGTTGCGATGCTGACTACAATGCGTGCAAGAAGTACTCCCGGAGCTTCTTGAGAGCCAATCCCTCTTCAAGAGCAGAATACGGGGAGAACCGCACCAACAACATACATCTTGAACACCAGTGCCTGCCATCCACTTCCTTCAGCGATTGATTCGAACGCATTGCGTTTGACCTCAATTAGCTCGCCCGCGTAGATTGGTATGCATTCAAAGAAAGCCAGGGTAAACGATATGAACGCTAATTGGAGAAGAACACATGCCCATCCTCCATGCTTGTGTACCTGAGCAGTGACTTCTCGCATTCCATGTTTGAAGACGGCGCAACCGGCATGCATGACGACAGAGGCTATGGCCAGGAGCGGAACACCAATGACGAAGAACCGATGCATATCCTTCAATTTCGGATCCGGATCCATGGTGATGACGAAGCCAGTGAAGGCGAAGCAGATGGTAGGCAAGAGGAGTGCGGCGATACATGGCATGAGGCGGTCGGTAGCGCGGTATATGCTTCGGGTGTTGTCGATGAGACTGTCGTGTCCAGCATCTTGCTTCCCTTCCTTGATAGTACCGTTCCCACATGCTTCGAGGTCTTCAGCTTTCTCATTCAGGCGCCCATCCTGGTCCAACTTTGTACGAGATGCTTCCTCCTCTTGAGTGCTCGTGGGCCGAGCACTGAGCCAGTGTGCTACGACCGGGAACAACAGGTACAGCAGCTCAAGCAGCTCAGCCCACGGCGATAGTTTCTTGGAGAGGATGAATTCGTTGATTTCGGCTGCTGATAGACAGATAATGAAGCTGGCAAGGCAGAGGAAATAGTTGAGGTTTGGGTGCTGTAAGCGCCGCGAAGTTAGGAAAGCTCGCTTTTCGCATAGACTGAGCATTACTGCAACGAGCAGCATGTGGAGGAGAAAACCACTCAGGCCATGTGGTAGGGAGTACAAGTCAGCGGCCCTTGGGCTGCCATAGCCATCGAATCTCGTCGCGCGCAGGGGCCCTGAGGGTTGCATTCTGAAGGTATGAACAATTTTTTGCTGGTTGGTGATGATGGGCTTAATGAACGAAGATTTTGTTACTATGAGAAAGCATTGAGCTTTTTGTTAGAGAAATGAGCATGGCTTTTGTTCGCTACCATCCCAACATCAGGTCACAGCCCTGGTTTGTTGGTGTTGAGTACCAATTGTGGAGTGTCCATCAGCCTGGCTCTTGACAGCGCAAAAGAGCGCGCTGGAACCAAACGTTCGTGCTAGAGAATAATACAATCTACATGCCTTGCAACAAAGCTGATATGAGGTGATTCAATATCTGCTGTATCGGGATAAGATGGAAGTGAGATACTGCGCGAATGATATACGAGTAGCGTATCTTATCGGCGCTATCGCCGAGGCCCGGGAAATGTCCTGGTTGAGGCCGGCAGTACGACCATGAAGGCAAAACAGCACGACAGCCTCATGGAGCCCGCCGCCTTACAGATGGCGCGACACGCGACAGCCAGAACATGGAGCCCCGAATAGCAACTCTCCTAGGGGACTCGCCCCTCGAACGGCCCGCCACCGACGCGCTCTCAAGGCCGCCACCTCCCCCTCCTGCGCCGCGAAAGCCGCACCCCGTGGAGCCCACGACAGCAAATGACCATGTGCGCGCGAATGCACCCTCGACAGCTTCGTCGCGGCTCGGCCAGAGCCAGAGCCAGAGCCGCCATCAGCATAGCCCGAGCCAAGAAGCTGTGCCGAAGCGACAGAAGCCCAGCGCTCCCATCGCGAGCGTGTTGAACACGGTTACACCCTTCAGTGGGCGCCTGAGTGACCTGCTCCTGGACCCGTCCCAGCAGCAGGCGCCCAAAAGGAAGAGGGTTGAGGAGCCCAATGATCCTCTACCGCCGACAGGTTCTGAGAACTCGCTGTTGACGCTCCCCAAACCCCATCAACAGCCCAAGAAGAGCACGAAGCGACCAAGAATCCCACCGCTTTTGCAGGGCTTGCATCAGGTGCCTCCGCAGGCCCAGAGCAGGCTTTTCCCACCCATTACGAGCGAATCGGGCGCGTTTAGTAGGGACCTCGGAGACGGTGCAGCACTGCGGACAACAACCGGTGCAGAGAAGAGGAAGGAGCTTGGTGATGACACAGCGCGGAATGCAGCATCCGGAGATGGCGCGGCTGGGGCGCAAGAAGACGCTCAAATTGAAGCGCAAGGGAAGCCTGCCTCTGCGTCTACGAGCGACAAGGAAAATCGGACAGCTACGGACCGCTCTCCAACGTCTACTACACCGACAGCAACCAAGGAACTGAGAAAGAGGAACAAGTGGTCGGAGCAGGAGACCAAAGACTTGCTAGTCGGTGTCAGCAGGTTCGGTATCGGCAGCTGGAAGAAGATCCTCCAATGCCCCGATTTCACTTTCAATCAGCGCACCGCTGTCGATTTGAAGGATCGATTCCGAACATGTTGTCCAGGAGAGGGTCTCAAAGCCAGAAAGTCAAAGCGCAAGGGTGATGCACACGATGATAGCTCACAGAACACGACTGTATCATCTACGACTACCAGCATGTCAAGCAATCAAGATCCCGTTGCACAGGAAACACTTGATACTATCAGCTCGTTCCGGAAAAACCGTGGAGACACTCATCGGAAGGGGCCTGCAGAGCTCCGCGAGATGGGCATACACGGGTCCTTCACTCGAAGCAATCGCAGAGAGCGACGTCCGTTCACTGAGCAAGACGACGCGAGCCTGTTGAGAGGCTTCGAAAAGTACGCGTCGTCTTGGCATTTGATCAGGGACGACAAGGACCTTGGCTTCTCCACTCGCCAGCCGACAGACCTGCGTGACCGTTTTCGCATAAGATATCCGGAGATGTTTGCCAAGGCCGGGTATAAGCTGAAGCCAAAGGACGAGGCGATGCTGAAGGAGAAAGAGAAGGGAAAGAACAAGGAGGCAGCGGACAGCCAGACTTCCGCTAACAGTAACAATTCTCCAAGCTCATTGTCCAGAGTGAAAGCTTCGGCACCCGACACATCGTTCTCCAGCCTGACGTCGACCTCAACTTCCAATTCTAACCTCATGCCTCTCGCTCTGCGTGAGTCCTTCCTGACTTCCTTTGCGGGTCCGCTAGACGACTTTGGTGACCTTGATTCGGAGGCCGATGGCGACCACAGCCGTAGTCCCATCATCCTGAATCGCAACATCTTCGAATGGGCAGACGCAAACCCTTCGCAAATGGCTGCAGTGACTACAACCAATCTACCATCTATGGGTCATCTTGCCAGCGACGCCCCTCTCAGCATCTCCAATGTGACAGACGCCACGCACATCAACCCTATGATCACGCTGAACCTGCCCATGGCGCTGTTGAACTCAAACGTTCTTTCCTCGGCGACATCGCAGCCATCTTCGTCCCACGCTGGCCCCTCATCGCGCCTTTCCGATCTCTACCACCATCCGAATCCTCCTGCTCCAGCACCTACGCCCGCTACTACGGGCCTTTCAACAGTAACCACCAAGCACACGACCGATCCCATCTTCCGCACTCCAAATCTTCCCACCATCGTCTTCCCGCACGTCCCCGCATCAAGCGCTCGGAGCGCAATGCACAACCTTCCTCCGCCCGCGGACCTTCTTTCAGGCTTAGATCCCGACGCCCGGCCCGAAGCACAGACAGCTCCTTTTATGTTCGACGACGCCCTAGGATTTGCAAATGCTGGGGCTTTCTATTCCCCTGGCGCGACGCTAGCACCCATGAATAGCATGCCTGGGAGGGAGATGCTGACCTTGGAACGAGGGCTGTTGCAGGAGCCTGGTCGAGGGGGATGAGGGTCATGACGCCGGTGGAGGTGCCGTTGTAGACTTATGATGTGAATGAGATACCCGTTTGATAAGTGCTTGCCCGAAGTGTACGCATGAGGAGAGTGAAGCACTGGGTGGAATGGTGCTAGCGTACTATGTCGTTCTCTCCACTTGTCAGGCCGGTGAGCCATCCATTCATGAGGTGCACTTCGACGACAGACTGATCTACAGATTAATCCGGCGCGGGAAGCTTTCATGGCGAATACCGCGGTGGTCGTCCGCCGTCCTGCCCGACCATGAGCATGGCCTCGACTGTGGTGTGCTGGCGTACGACATATGTCCATCTGTCTCTGGGTTTTCTGTCTGGTGGCCAGGGCATGGTGTGTGGAGAGGTGGTACGACTAGGCTGGCTTGACACGTGTGTTGGTAGGCTAACATGATTCTGTCCTGTGATATTTGTGTTAGTGATGACAGTTGGTGTATTATAGTACCTGTCTATGCTTACCATCTTGTCGTTGACGTTTGTAACAGCGGAAGAGCAACAGTGCTATGGTGTGCATGTTACGAGTAAGGCTATAAGGGCGATGATAGATTCGTCCGACAGGGGCATGATTGGTGTGAGGGGCTTGGTTGTAGATTGACGGGTGCGAGCATGCGGATGTGTAGAGTGGTAATGATAGCGAGACTGGACTTGGAGGACTGGCGTAGGCGTAGGGTATCAATTGAAACGTGGTTGGTTCACACGAGGTGGGTTATGAGAGTGTCTCAGCTTTTTGAGCGATGGCGATTGCTGGCGTTATACTGTCTTCTTTTCTATCTACTGTTCAGGAGGGTCTGCTGGATTATATACCCAGATGTCTGTAAAAGAAAAGCAGCTGCCTCGGGCGTTTGCTTGCAGTCGCCAAGATAAGCTACTGCAATAGTGTCCACCCCCTGTCATTCGAAACCCGTATTCCTACGCGATGGGCCAGGGATCAAGCAAAGTAGTCAGTGTCAAGTCGGAGACGCAGAAGTGTGCACCGTTCCACCGCAAATCCAGATCCCTACCGCGGGCGGACAGCGAGGCGGCGCCACCACGGCCTGACCCTCACAGAGCCTCCGGACGTATTGATCGCAGAGCCTTAATTGGCTGTAGGCTGTAATTTTCGACGGCCAAAGGCCGGTCACAGCGTGCCGATTTGGTGCAGAGAATGGTCCTTCGCGGCTTATGTGAACTGTGATTCGTGCGCGGTCTGTGAGAGAAGCGAGGGAGGGTATGCAGTGTGTACTGAGCGACTGATCCGGTATTGTCGGAACCTCGGTACTCTCACCTCATCAAATGCTCAGTGTCTAGCCTCATGCACATGGGTACCATTCATTGATCCAGGATGCGATTATCCCACGATATTCGATGTTGTCGGAAGGATCGGATTGGAAGGCCCGCCGTATGACGCGGCCACCCGAAAGGTCTGCGGCGTATTTCTTTCCCCAGCCATCATGTACGTATGTATACTATACGGAATAGCAGAGCAGGGATGCATTGAGCCACGCCCTCCTGCCGATTCACATCTGGAGTGAGAGCGTCCTGTTCCGCGCAGGGGCGCTGCTCCGTGCAGTAGCATGTGTCCTGTGCCGACGTACCCCTACCGTTGCCCTGCCGTCACCGCAGGTCGGTCATGTACTTTTATGCTTGCAGTGAGCTTCCTGGTAGGGAGCTAGCCTAAATAGGGGGATGCCTACTATGCTTCTTGTTAACATGATTTGCTCGCGCCCCAGAGCCAGCTTGCGTCCAAGCCCCAGCCAATCCGCGCTTGACTTTGACCGAGAAGCCCTACGAGTAGCTACGACCATTGGAAGAGAGCTGCATGTGGCAACGCACATTCGGGCCTGACTGTTACTCCGCCATAATACTGCCTGGGAGTGAGTGTTTGGTGCGCTATGATGACGTTCAAGTGCTCAGCCTCCACGCGGTATCGAGTTTCGCCGCGAGGGTGCACGTTGCTCCGCGCGGTAGGATGCTGACCACAGGGGCACTCTCCCCCGCGCTGTCCACCTGCAGCACTGCGCACGAAGACCTGGCCCAGACACATGCGGACAGGAGGGCAGCTCCGTCATTCGCCTAGAGATCCATCATTTGCCTACAGATCCACAATTCTTACACCGGTTGAGCGGTCGCTTAGGCGATCAGCCGGACCGGACTATCCTTGCACGCTGTTTTTTACCTTGTGCTGAGACCAGAAGAGGTAAGGACGGCGAGTGTAGGCACGATACTCGAGTAAGGCTTGAATCTGAGTGTGTCCCGTCGACAGTTGATTGGCTAATGCATACGCCGCACGTCAAAACTCACCATCTAATGCTACTCTACTTTGCATAAACGATGGCCAGTATAATGAAGGCGTTGAAGTCTGCCAACAAAGGTGGACGAGGATTCCCTCAGTGCGTGAGTTTCCGTGTATGGAAATCAGTAGTAGTGTCTAGCAATTTAACTATAGTAACTATCAAAGCAGCATTATGTACATGATTGAGGAGAGGAGCCCGCCTTTTCCATGAATGCGAAATGCGAGAAGTCTTGATCGAGTGGCGCATATTCGCATGTCTTGTTAAATTTGTGTTCAGCGCCAAGAGACGAATCTCGTGCCGAGTCAACGTTTGGGCTTTACAAGAGCAGATGGTCTGCTCAAGGTCGTTTCCAGTGCCGGTGCCGCGAAGCATATTTGTGGACCATAGAGCATGCTGAAGTGAGGGAGTTTGAACGGAGTAGAGATGCAGTAGCCAACGCTGCCAGCAGTGCTTGAGTCGAGATACCACAGACTATGCGCGCGAGTAAAGAGTATTTGGGATTGAGATGTTCGAGCACGGTCGAGTTGTTTGAGGACAGTCGAGCTGTTCGAGCATGGTAGAAGCGTTCGAGCATGGTAGAAGCGTTCGAGCATGGTAGAAGCGTTCGAGCATGGTAGAAGCGTTCGAGCATGGTAGAGTTGTTCAAGCGTGGTAAAGACGTTCGAGCGTAGTAGAGTCGTTCGAGCGTGGTAGAGTCATTCGAGCGTGGTAGAAGCGTTTGAGCATGGTAGAGGAGAACGGTCGAGGTAGGAAGCTGATCAAGCTCGAACTTTTCTTGTTGTTTCCCCCGTTTGCATCACACTCCCAATGCCTTGATTAGGAGTGTGATCCCAGGCCTCACCACGGGGAGGTGGGGGAATGAGGCCCATACGAATAACAGGAATGAAGCAGGAATAAGATAAGAATAGGGGACTTACCTTGATAACAATGCTGCCATCTCGCCCCTCATCGCCCTTCTTCCCTCTTCAACCCCGCAAGTACCCCCTTTCCTCTGCTTCATCCGCCCTCATCTCCATCTCCGCCATCATCTCCAACCTAACCTCCCTCCTCACCCCCGCCCTATCCACCAACGCCTCCCTCACCGCCCCCACCACCACCTTCACGTGCGCCTCAAACAACGAGGTAACAGCCGCCAGCACCCCAGAAAGCAGCGCACTCAGCTGCGTATCCCTCTCCTCTACCCTCCTCCTCTCCTCATCCTCCTGCCCCCGTTCCCTCCTTTCTCCCTCCCTCTCTCTCCTCCCAAGGGTGCCAAGACGCACCACCCGTTTTCGGACCTTCCGTCCGAACCATGTGAGGCCAATGGCCCATTGTAGAATGTTGAATAATCCTTGAAGGATTATTGCGAGAATAGTGCCAAGAATGGCGCCGTACCAGGTTTGAGTTTGGACGTCTTCCGGCATTGTGACCTACGAAAACACGTTAGCATTCAAAACGATATCGGAATATTGGTAAGTTCTGCTCATAATTGAATTGGCCGGAAAATATGTGTAGGTAAGTTGAGGGTGTGAGATACGTATACGTACAGTCTTCGTGATGTTTGCAGTCAAACAGAGAAGAGAACGCCATGCAAAACTTTGTTTTATTAACGTACAGCAAAGGAAATAGCATCATGGAGGCTACTTCCATAAAAGTCACATAACTGCCTTCGGTTGGCCTGGTAAAGCATCAACAGTCGTGTTCGCCATGAGAAGAAGAAAGAACGATACGATTACACCCAACCCAGCATCGACACCGAGCCACATCCCACATCGCACCCTGGCTCCCGGAATACCTTCATGTGAGTGCTTTCGAATGCAGTCTTTGGTCCAGCTTCGCGTCCAACATCTATGTCCTTCAAAATCTAGCTCAGCTTTCAAAAGCTCTGTGGGTAATCGTACCATCTCGCGACTGCGTCCTTTACGGACGGTAGGGAAAGAGTCAACCTAGTTTGGACGCTCATTCAACCGAAACTTCCAATATCCATGACTTTTAGACTAAACTGGAGGCCGAGCCGCTATAACAGCGCACCACACCGCATTACGCTACAAGACAGTTAAAACCGTACAATACCTAACAGCAGCCAGCCCACGGACAAGCTGTTGATTTTTGTTCTCAAATTTATTACCTTGTAATACGCCATATGCGCGATTGCTTTGATTCGCTACCATACGAAGTGGAGTTTACTGTTCCATGGTTCATTGCTCTTAGTCCCAACATATATATATCTCATACCGGATTGCAAGATCCATTCGCCCATGTCGCCTACTTCCGCAATCCGATCTCTGGACAAGAACCAAATAGCAAGAAGAAAGAAAGAGTTCACGACACAGCCCACGTCAAGAGCACTGCGTCATGTCATCCACAGACTTGCCGCCTCCTTATTCAGTCACCGCATCAACTAGATGGCTAAATGCCAGCTCGGCTGCAACAGACCTAGTAAAATGCGATTTACTGCACCAGTTCCGCCGCTTCGTCATTGAGATCTTAGCTTTCACATTCGACGCCAACTTTTCGTTAGTGAACCAGGCACTTGGGCAGTCTTCTTCGACCACCATTCAGACTACTACCACCATACTATCTGAGAGCGAGCACGCCGAGCTTCTCCGTCTCTCCAATCTCGCGAAATCCGTTCGTAAAGAGATGAGGAGAACATGGGGCACCTTAGACTTCGACCGCCGACGTCCCAATGAGGACCACGAAACCCTCGCATCGATGGTTGTGAGGCCCGCCATATACTACGAAGTTGACGCACCCTACATGCTCGAGTTGATCAGCACATATGCTGCGCACCGTTGCGAGCCCAATAACCGCTCCAAATTCAGCCTCGTCTCACAGGACAAACCCTACTGCTATGGCTTCTTTCGCCGTCTAGGTTTTCTCGGACCTTTCAACCTGGTCATGACTATCTTCGGACAGACCCTGTGGCTTCATGCTATCGCAATCAAGACTTTGGCACCGAACGAAGAGGTGCGAGCGGTGCTGAACGATGCAATGAAGGAATATGAAGTCGTGGAGCTGGGGCTTAGCAAAGTGTATCACTATAGTGAGGACAACTGGAATCATATTGACTGGCATCATATGGCAGATACTATAGTGACGGAAGAAGAGGAGAAGCGCATCAGGAGGGAGAAATGGGCTCAGGAGCGGCGCGAGCGGGAAATACTGAGAAGCGAAGAGACTCGAGCCTCGCTGCAGCCTATTATGGATATGGTAGACGAGATTGTGCGTGCTGTGCACTAAGTTACCATAATATTCACATGTTGAGGCGTGTGCTGTTTACACAAGTGTCGGCAATTACGAGTTTCCTATCCATTCTTTCACTGGGATGCCAAAAGATCCGGACGTTCTCTACAGGCAATTATGAAAGCTCTAAGTAAGGCTTCTGATGATCATTATCACGTCGGCATTCCTGATGTCTCCGCAGTTTCTCTTTCCTTCCTCTCTCGTTGCGGACATGATACATGCAAACACATTGATGTGCAAGATGAGGATGGATGGGAGATGGATTTCGGCGGCGCGCGGGCTACCCTTATTGCCTCTTTTGATATTCTTTTCTCTATCTTGGTTCAGCGCGAAATAGGTCGAGCAAGGGCGTACATATAGGATATCACTAGGTCGCACACATTTGTTCGTACATATCCATTCTTCTCCTCGCCCCTTCTCCTCGAACCGTTATACGTGATATTTTGACCAATGGCTGCCAAGGGCTGGATAGACTCGCCATTGGCCGCCCGAGCATGGCTGAGCAACGCAACTTGCAGCTGCCGGATGCTCAGCCCCCAATGGAGGTCAGGCTCCAGGGGTCAGGCTCCAGAGGTGCATTTCTCCCCGCACAGTGGCCAGTGCAACCGCGAACTATAAGACACCAGACGCGAGCTTTCTGTCTTTCTGTCTGTATATCTCTGCGCTCAATTTAGCTTCCATCGACAATGTCTGGCCTCGAACCGGTCGTCGCGCTCGCCCTGGCGTGCAATGTTTTTCAGGTCATCGGCATCACGCGCGAGACAATCCATATCGTGAGGCAGGTGTACAAGAATGGCGAGATCGACCCCGCCCTTAATCCCCACGCGACGAGCCTGGACGACCTCTCCAAGCGGATCCTGAGAGCGACGATGCCAACGACAACGGCAGTAGGGACGACAACGACAATACCAGCACAGCCAAGGCCGACCGATCGGAATACGCACCTACTAGGGCTCGCGAACAGGTGCCTGAAAGCAGCACAGGATCTGCGCGAGGAGATCAAATTCTTGAAGGGCCCAGATACGAAGTCCAAACTCGTGGTGATGCTGAAGAGCGCGTCCAAAACGGTGTGGCGGCAGAGGCGACTCGACAGGCTGGAAAAAGACATGCTGGTTGCGGAGCAATTGCTGCAGACGGGCCTCCTCACGAGGATCTTCGAGCAGATCGAGAAGGCCGACGGCGGCCTGGAGAAGCTCAGTTCGGATCTGCGATCGTTTGTGGACGATTGTCGCAATGGTCGTGTGAAAGCGGCCCAGCTCGTGCGTGCTGAGGCTGTCCAGACGAGGAAGAACGTCACCATCCAAATCAAGGCAAGCACCCACGCCGGGAAGAGACACACGACGCAAGAGATTACGCGGGTGGAGACCTCCTTGAAAAAGCATATCACACAAACAACGGTCCAGTTCCAGGCGACGCTCAGGCACCGCGTTTCGGCCGCTGCCAGGAGTGCGGTCGAGCGAGAGCAAGATGCGTGGTTGGAAGTTCGCAGGGAGCGGCTCCTGCGCAGTCTCACGTTTGATGGCATGAATGGGCGTAGGAACATGATTGCCGAGTCGCACCCCGAGACATATCAGTGGGTGCTGAGAGACGGGAGCGATGCTGGAGGACCGGTGAAATCTTTCGAGGCCGACGCCGACCACTCCTGGGACAGCTTCTCGGATTGGCTTCGGTCTACGGAGCCAGTATACTGGATTAGCGGCAAGCCCGGATCAGGGAAAACGACACTGGTCAAATATCTCCTGGGCCATCGCCAGACGCGAAGTTTTCTGGAACTGTGGAGCCCTGGTGCTGTCCTCGTCTCTCACTTCTTCTGGCGACCTGGCACCCAGATGCAGCAGAGCATCAGAGGCCTTTTTACCTCCATCCTCCACCAACTGCTTGAGAAGGACAAGGCATCGCTCGACCGCATCCTTTCTAGTAGTATTAAGACGTCGGACAAAAACATGGAGACGGACTGGTCCTACCAGGAACTTCAATCGACCCTCCTCGACGTGATGGCACACTACCCAAGATCGATGGCTCTTTTTGTCGACGGGCTCGACGAGGTACTTCAAACGGACGGCACCCTTGCGCTTCTAACTGTCGTCGACGCCCTGAAGCGGCCCCAGGGGCTCCAAGGGAAGGTCAAGCTGTGCCTTGGTGCTCGTCGTGAGCCGCTGATTAAGGAGAAACTCCGGGCCTGCCCACAGCTACGCTTGGAGCATCTCAACTATACCGACCTTCGCCAATACGCTGAGGACACTATTATCATCCCGCCCCAATACCAGATTTCCATTTCTCCGGGCTCCGAATTTCACGCGCGCATTACAAAAGGCCCCCAGGTCACTTTCAGTTTCGAGAATCCACCGACTCCGCGTGAGATCCGAGACTGGCTCGTAACTGAGCTTGTCGACAGGGCCGAGGGAGTCTTTCTCTGGCTCTGGCTGACGGCCAAAACGGTTATGGAGGCTCTCTGGCGAGGCGAGATGGTTGCCGATCTGAACCACCGAATCGACAGCCTGCCCAGCGACCCCACCAAACTGTACGCCGATATGTGGGCCAGGGCAAACGGTGACAGCGAGCGTCCTCAGCATCAAGAACGAGCTGCCCTATACTTCCAGCTGGCCATCAACGGAATATGTTACGATCGCTTGAGTCTGATGATTGCCACAACCACCGAGATGGCCAGCCGAATTCGAGACTGCAACCCGTACGAGCCCGGATTTGCGACATCGCTAGTTGAGTCATGCAAGGCAACGTTGCGGGACATCGAAATCAGATGCGCTGGACTCCTCCGAATCAACCCGATTCTGGAAAGAAGTCAACCCTCTTTGCTACAGCCTTGGTATGGCAAGGAGTATTGTGCCCTGGTTCCTTACGCTGAGGCAGACACAGACGCGGCGCCGTTCGGGTTCGTCCACCGGACTGCCCGCGACTTTTTAACCGACACGGTGGAAGGCTTAAGGATATTGAGAAGAGACAAGATCTCAGAATGGCATCTCCGCCAGAGGGTTGTGGCAGCGCGCCTATCGTGCTGCCGGTTGTTGCGAATGGCCCCGATTGTCAAATATTTCCATGATTATGGAGACGAGATGGCGACGTCTACGCAAAATTACAGCAACCTTTGGCGCCATTTTGACTCGATCACTTTGCTACTTGATGCGCTACCCGAAGGAGACGAAAAGAATGCAAGAAGCAAGTGTGATGAACTGCTCCAATTTTGTGAGCAGCTCTTCAAATCTGGCCAGCTTTTCGGAGACCCCAGATTACCCCCCAATGAAAAGGATTTTCAGGAAGAGTGGCCAGGGTCGGATGTGTTTCGGACACGGTATGAAGTGGTTTTCAAGCGGCAGCATGAGTTTCTCCTCGAGGCGGCATCCATCAACATGAACATCTGGCCTTTCATCTGGGCTAAGGTCCAGGCTATGGAATTGGACAATCAGACACTCTCTGAGCTTCTGCTGCACGTTTGCAACATCTCGTTTGGTCACTACGAGGATGAAGAGACGCTCCGAGATCAGTGGTATTGGAAAGAACTACATTTGGGGAGGAAAAAAAGAGAATTCGACTCTTCCCGCTTGGGAATTGACTCACGTCTAAAGCTCGCCAGGTTACTCCTGGAGCGAGGCGCTTCTCCTTTACGCAAAGGACCACGACGGCTCGGCTACCAAGACCGGTATGGTGCTTTTGACTTGGTACACGTTCTTGAGACACCTCTCAAAGGTCTCATCTCCAGTGTCTGGCGCCTCGACGGTGATCCGACCATGATAGACTCGAACCTGGCCAGACAAATCATTGAGCTAATCCGACTCTTGATGTCGAATGGGGCTCGTCTCGATGGAGAAGAGTTCCGAGTAAGCTACCAGGTCGTAGAAGGACACCTGTTTGAGAGGCCACTTCGATTTAAAGACTCGAGCGGAAAAGCTCCAGTGAACATAATCGAGGGTATGCAATTCTTGCAGGCTTACCCCCTCTCGGTGATATTTGCTCGAATTCTCCAGAGCTGGAAGGACCGGTTTCCTGGGATCGACACCTTTCTTGAAGGTCGAGACACCATTCAAGACGGGGCCAGGCTGGGACGTTTGATTCTCATGCTGCACTCTGAAAGCACACCCGCACGATCATGCTTTGTGGAGGCAGGGGAGGAGTTAGAGGAGGAGCTGCTGTGGGTGGCACGAGAAGCCGAGGGAATACTCCAAGCTCAAGATCAAGACTTTTGCAGAGTCCCTATTCCTCTTGAGATACAACAAGGGTTGTCTCGGGCTCTTGAGCGAAGGCACCCTGAGGGGGCGAAGGAACCGCATACGTCGCAGCGGCTCTTCGAGGTGTTCCGAAGGGCTGGCATGACTTCGATGTACTGGGAAGAATGGGAGGACGGACGTGCCATTATGAACAGGTTTCCGTTGGGCAACTGAGTCTGGTCTTGTCGATCTCGGAGGGCTACTGGATTCGGCAAGGGTAAAAGGCGACTGATGATCCATGGAGTTCAGCCCCTTACAGTTGCTGGCGCTGTTGATCAACCCAATTCGTAGGAATGGTTCAGACCGATATGGCAGGTGCAGATAACGGCACAAAGTTCGTCGTTGGCAACATCAGTTGCTTTTCCGACGTCTCCATATCGCTGACACAGGACCCTGGCTCGAGTTCGGACATGCACTGCGGAAGTTCGGCGGCAACGTGAATGTTGAATAAATGATACGCCTCATAGCAGTCTGAAGAAAGGAGGCTCAAGGACACGAAAGACGTCACGAGGCGCAGGCTGACTGTGTTCATCGGCGAGCTTAGGTACATAGCACCACCGGCTTGTAGAGCGGCCGGGGGTTCTTTCCGCTTCACTGAGAGAGCGTGTCTGGATTGGTGCGTGGCTAGATGATACTTAGGGGTTGCAAGTCTGGAAAATTGACCTAGGGGCAAAGGGAGAGGAAAGGAAGTCCCCTTGCGGCGCCTCTTCGCCCACTATCTAGTCGTCCATTACGCCTAGGAGCTGCTGCATCCCGCCGAGCTTCGCGACGACGGCCGCTATGTATGGTGTACACCCTCGGCTGATGCAAATCGGCAGAAGGCTGCAACAGGTAGCTGAGCGCACGCACTGCGGCTCGACGAAGGCGCGGCGATGGGCGTGTGCGCAAGCCAAAGGCAAGACTTTACTGTGTAACATGTGAATAACCATCGACTGTCGTGGACTACGTAGACCCGATGGAGAAGGATCTTACGGTTGGAAGCATATATGCGACACAGAGCTGACAATAGTATCCTCGAGCGACCCTGGAGTTTCGAACTGTTCCCGTGCATGCCTAACTGCAGGTATCCCAAATTCAAAGCCAAATATTGGCCTTCACATCCGCTCCAAACCTACAAGTAAAACTCTCGCGCAACCTGTTGAACCTTCACTAGGCATAGGCACTGGCATTGGGTATCCTCAATTGCCTTGATTTTTTACTCTACAAAGTGGAGTCTAGTGTTCTCTGGTATGATACTCTTGGTCCCAACGAATACACCTTATATTCTATTGCAAAATTCAAGGCAACTGGGGCCAAGTGCAACGAAAGAGAATCGTATCTGGAAGCATACAATGCTAAAAATCACAACTCCCGTAAGAACGACTATTCCTTTGAAAAGATAAGCTGCCCTAGCCATGACACAGACGCTGTGTGGTGGTAAATGGGGCATAGTGATGGCTTACATACTCACGATCGTTGGCAGACGGAGTATATCATGGATGCTTATATCATGGGAAAATTACATTTCCGCTTCTTTGTATCTTTTAATCAAGTTCATTTAAGCCCCGGCATGTTTGTAAAATCAGTTCCACTAAGTTCGTTCCTCCTAATTTGAAAACGATTGATGCATCCTATGCAGCTACCGCAAAGAGGAGACCAAACATGCTACCCTTAGCTACAATAACAATCATGCAGCTCAAGAAGGCCGAAGTGCCTACGTATAAACGGAGTAGATTACCACACGTTAAACCAGATAGTGACATTGAGAGGCTCCATACAGCGTCGGGCATTGTCGATGATTGACGGACAATGAGTGACCATAGCACTAGGCCCACATTAACAGACTTAATCACGAAAATGGATCGGTGAGAAATTGCTTACGGGGTAGGACGTTCTTATCTAGCCTTATCAAAAGGCGAACAACAAGACCTTTACTAAATGCTTGCTTCGTGAGAAGAAGAGACAAAAGCGATGGAATCATAGAGCATAGGCAGGTCGCTGTAACTGCAGATGAATTAGCTCACAGTCACGGGCAAGGTTTACAATGGCTCCCATACTTGAGACTCGCGGAAATTTCGTGACGATGAGAGCAACAAGCAGTACCAGGAGCAATGTGCCAAACTCATCGGCAAACTCCCAGCGCTTAGAAAGGTCATGAGAATCTAGGGTTGTCATTAAAGAGATTCCGAAGAATAATAACGGTCGAATGCATCGCATAATGATGGACTGGTAGACTCATTAGAACAGTGACAACCTTATCCATGGCTGCACTTACCTGTCTAGGCTGCTGTATCCCCATCATGTCCTTAAGAACATACTTAGAGGTTGCCGCATGTCGAGCAAGGAAGATCTTCTGGTGAGCAGCCAACCAGCTGACTTCTACTGGGCGACCAATGATATCTTTACCGATAGTCGTGGGGAGTAAGAACAGCGCTGTGCTGATCATCACCATGACAACAACGAATGGCTGGTACCTCAGGAATCTCAAGGCATCGAAAGGCTGGTATATCAGGGCTAGCCCTGTCCATCCTCGGATCCTGTCGCCCAGGAATGTCCATATGAGCAGTCGCAGTGACAGTTCCTTCATGCTGTACCAAGACCAAGTGGTGACAATAAGGGAGGCTAGTAGAAGACCATCGATCAAACCCTGCATGTTAAGCAATAAGCTCAAAATTCCGCCGATCCTGAGATAACCTCGTAGAAAAGGGGGCAGATAGTATAATGCTGAGATAGAGGTCAGCGTAGGTTTCGACACGGCTAAGGCATCTTACCCTTCAACATAGTTATGCTGGGTAGAATTCTGACTAATGGTAGACGCGAGAGTAAGACATATGCAAGCGGTTGAGCCACAATGAACCATACACTGTATGCTATGATGTTGAAGTTATAAGTATAACCTGTAGGTGCATACCACGGTCCTGTCATGAGGGAAACCTAGGGTCGTCAGTACCAATTCATAATCGAAAAGTCGGGAAACTTACAGTACACAACAGCAAAAACAATAGCTCAGCCTTCCAAGTAGGTCTATCGTTCTTCATCTCTTCTTGCACTGTGACTTCGTGTCTGGCGGTGTTGACCTCGATATCTACTTCGTGGTTCGCTTCTGAGACACCAACGTTGAGGGGTTGGTTCGAACCCTGAGGTGATTGGCTAAGTGAGAAGCGTACTTTGTTGATGCGATGCATCTGGTCAAGGTCTCGGGGACCTTCTCGGAGGACCGTCTGACGGTGGAACGTCTGTTGTCTCCAGTAATATGAGCAGAGTACCGCACGTTGCATTTCAGTCTCTTCTCCAAGTAAGAGCATAGCGACTGGCGGTACCTGACAGTGGAAGTGTGTAACTGTCATCATGTAGGTGTCGACAAGGGTGAAAAGGAAGTCACCAGCTGCGGTAGACGACGCCTGAGGCCTTCCGGGAGTATCTGAGTAGGATTGAGGAGTTGTGCTCTTGAATCGCCCATGGTTGAAACCCCAGAGATATGTCTCTACTGTTGAGGCATCTGCCATTCCTTCAATGCCAATTAGTCGAGGCTTGAGTGGCTTGCCAGTAGAACTTCGAATTGAAACGAGAAGATGAGGGGCGAATAGAGCGAAGACCGTTACAAACGGAAGAACGTATATGATCCAGTTTCGGGGATCCATCGCCACGCCACTTCGAGTCGATGAGATGACCATAGTAACTGTAAGTCCCACCAGAAAAGCGGTCCGAGTCAAAGTGACACTATAGATGTTGAACATCATGAGAAGTTGCGAAAGACGTCGTGTGTCAACAAGTGCCTCAGCCTTGAGGTTATCCCATTCTATCACTGCCCCATACACTCCATCCAGCAAGATAATGTCAGATGCCACCACACCTGTGACTTTGTTGATGGGTTGGACATCGCTGAGTTTGACACCCCAACGATCTGCTGTCTCGTGCCAAGAAGCACCCGGTGATGGAGAAAGGCATATAAGGCGCTCCAGAAATGCACCGCTATCGTTGGCTAGGGAAAGCTTCACAAAGGCCTGGAAATCCGAATCTCCTTTGTCGACTGCTGGGCGTTGACGACTTGGGAAAAGCCCCATAATGGCATAGGCGATATCGCCCTGACTAAATTGGTCCGTCTTTCGTCGGCTGAAGCATGTAAGGGCAGCCTCGATGAGATGCAGTTGAGTAAGAATAGCTGAGCCTTCAAAATGATCGACGAGCTCCTTGACAGCGTCGGCATCATCCCACGCACGCTCAGCAAAGTTCCGCTTAGCCATGGACTTGGGATCAGAGTTATCCCCAACGACGTATAGCTGTACTCGGTATTCTCCAGGGCACAGCAGAAGCTCAGGTAACGTCCACAATCGAGAACCCCATTGACGTAACCATGGAGTAACTCTCCCACGAACAAAGTCGGGGGGCATCTTCTCCCTTGAGGATCGCCGAGACCTTTTCAGAAGCTGAGGGACCAATAGCGATGATCATGGAATGCGCTGCTCTGACAATATCGCAGATACGATAAACGTCATCGCTACTACTCGTAGACCGTGCAACACCATCTTCATTTCGAACGCATTCAAAGTCGAGCCAAAAAGCCCTTTTACCAGCTCGCTGCGCGGCATCAATGCCATAATCGATTAGTTGCTGACGATCTTTTCGCGCAACTTGCCGATTCGCTTCTCGTTCGTCCTCACTCGGGTAGTCGTAATTGGCGATCTCTTGTTCTGTAGCAACTCTGAACTGCAGGCGTGTATAGGAGACAAAGATAAACTCAAGGTCAACATCGTCTCCATGTTCTCTGAGATATTCTTCTACTCTTACTGTTTCAAAGATCTTTTTTGTCAAAGTCACGCACGAAACAGAGATACCTGGGGCGAATGAGAGTCGAGACAGTATACTGGTTTCTATCGTCATCATTAGTGGTAAGATCTCCCCAGGCGTCTGCTCGCTGTGGGGTAGATGACTCTGGAATCAAGTCCAGTCTTATATCAGCCGTATGGGATGGCTGGGCTAGGCCTGAATTGGTAGCCTCTGGTCGATCCGAGGCTGTACTCTGTCGTTGACTCGGCGAAACAGACTCTGAGATTGGCTGATCCAAGTTGTGTGCTTCGGAACTGTAATGAATACCTTCATATCGTTCATCCATGGTTGGCCAACTTCCTGCCGTTGCCGTCTCTGGCCAAAGGTTCTCGAATCCACACACCTACACCTCTCGTGTTAGGCGCAGAAATGTTTTGTACAAGCTACTTGATGACCTACCAGGATGCAGAGCAAAGGCCACGCGACGGTCAATCTCAGAGTGGCGGATAACACAGATCTGAGACCGTAGCGTCTCGTAGTCGTACCTGGCTCCAAGACGGGTGAATATATCCAGTATGACACCCAGAGTATTGACTGCACGCGCGATATCGGCTTTCCTAGTCGCGTCCATCTTGAGGTCTCAGGGAGTAGATATGGGTTCTCCGAGGTTTGTACTACCAAAGGTACGAGACGGTTGTCAGATGATCGCACCCGTTCGTGTTGTGAGGCTGTGCCTCTCAACTCCGAATATGTGGCCATATTCGCATAGAATGACAAACAAAGCCGTAAGAAATCTCTTTTACGGGATCATGAAGATGAAAGACATCATAGTGCGCTGTTGAGAGGAGGCGTGGTTGATCGAAGTCCGGAGGTGGCATTTGATCAGGCCTCCTCTCTAAGCACAGCCACACCCTCTGCAGGGCCGACGAAGCGACTCAATGTGGCAGTGCAAGGCTGATCCCTACACTGTACAGCATATCCAACTGTGGGCAGCCATGCAGGAACAGTAATCGGTTACTTAGTCTGCGAGATTGATTTTGTCTTTATCTTTCCACCTATCTCGTGGCAGAAGCCAACATAAGTCAACCGTGTACTTCACTTTAATTCTGCCCCGAAAACTGCTCAGCTTGCATAATTGATAGTACATAGAATACCGTAACATGCTACTAAGATAAAATTCATAATGACCCTACTTGAGTCAGTATAAGAGATACCTTCTTGTGGTGTTAGGTGAAACCTAGGGCGTCTAGGGTATTTATTCTTGGTTCAAACCGTTACCTAGCCAGCTCCTCACTGGACGATGCGAAGCGATTTCTCGCTAGATACCAAAGGCATAAGCAGAAGTCGTATTCGCGAGACTATGCTAATTGGTGTCCGTATGGCTCATCTCCAGATTATGCTGAGGGTGTCCATAAGGCTTCGCACTAGGGCATACGAAGCAAGTTCCGATGGTAGCAGAACACTTGTGCAGAGATTATTTCGGGCAAGTCAGCACTCTTCGTTGGTTGCAGCGATTAATGGTAAGAGATTGCAAAGAGCCACAGAGCGCAGCACAACAGCGCCAAGACAGGGTCCAACACCAACCTCGGCTGTTCCAACTCCACCACTACGGCTCTCTTCCATCAACATTCCACATCGCACTTCTCAAAATGCCAGAGACTACTCTAGGCCTAGACCTAGCCTCGAAAAAGCTTCGAAGACGACATGATTACCCATATCGCCTGGACTACCGGACACGATGGTAAGAGATCAAGTCGCCTGGGCGTGCCTTTGACACGTGACCATCCTCATGGATTGTAATTCTTATTGACACGGACGTACCAGGGCCGACAATGACATGTTCCACCACCTCAACAACCCCATATATGGCGTCCTTATTGATTCGATCATCAATGAATACCTGATGACCCGCGTGGGATATAACACGACTTCCTACCCGCGCACAGCGCTTGTCGCCAACACCTATTGTGACTACTTCGGCCAATTGCAGTATCCTGGTATGCTGGAGCTGGGACTACGAGTCGTGAAGCTAGGGAAGAACAGCGTCATGTACGAAGTTGGATTCTTTAAAGACGGCGATGAGGTGGTGAAGGCTGTTGGAGGGTTCGTACAAATATGGGTCATGAGAGACAGTGGGAAGGCGCCGGAAGAAGGTCTAGAACTAAGCGTGCGGAAAAAGCTGGAGGAGTTGATGCAGCCGGGATTGAAGGAGAGAAGTAAGCTTTAGAAGTCGGTGACTAGGATGAACTTGATGTGTTTAGCACTGGCTAATTCCTGAGCATCTTCTAACATTGTAAAACATGTCCAGAAGTTGACACAGTGACGTATTCTATCTGTAGTAATTGTTACTCATGACGTGGCCCAGCTTTTATATGCTCAGGTCCCGATAAATTCATTCATCTGTCTGCTCGCCTCAATTTACGAGTCTTCCTAAGCCCGTCTGTGGCTTTGCCTCTTCACCAATGCTCTTACAAAGAGAACCATCTCATCATCAGGTTCTAGCTCCAAAGCATATCGCAGGCATTTGGAAAACAACCAAATATTTCTCAAATGTCTATTTTGCGCATCTCCAATTAGCCTCAATTTTCTCAAGCATAGGTCCAGATACAATTCAGAAGCTGTTTTTCCGTAGTCGGGAACAATCTGAAAAAATTCCAAGTCTTCATTGCGGAACAATCCCAAGAGCCCGTAGACCCGATCTTTCACATCCGCACAGCGCGCATCGAAGGTCCTAATTATTAAATGGTCAAGACTCAACCAGGCTATGGGAATCGTTCCTTTTGGCCTCCTGTAGCCTTCCCCTCGCAATAATAGTATATTCCAAAACTGCAAAGACGGTCTTAATTGTCTACTCTTCTTCTCGGCATCGGAGCGCGGCCCCGAAAAGTGCCCACATACAATAATGAGATCACGATAGTGAAGATTTGCTGTGCCACACCACATGTCGACATCCTCGGCTAGAATCAATTCTTGTATGATCCACATGCGAGTCCAGTATGTGGATTGGCTGATCTCTCTAACATTCTGCGCCACGAGACTGGACGACGACAGCTCTCTAAGAGCAGCCATCTCTTCGTCGTCCCAGACGGCGGGGAATCTTCCGACGAACACTGCGAGAGCGTGAAACGCTTGCACCAGTCTCGGTGGCCCAGTACCTAACCATGCAATCACACGAAATGCTTTCCTGTATATTCCACCCATACATGCAACCTGATGGCCACGCTCGGAAAGATCAGACTGATTGATACACAAAGCGTCGATCCAAAGATACCCCCCTTGACCAGAGTCACGGTACCGTTGGAGGAAGGCGAAGAGGTTATCGCGTATCGGTATAGGACCTCCATTCAACAAGATCGACTTCGAATCCGATTCCGGACCCCATTCGTAGGACAATGCAGTGTACGGCGGGGCTTCGCATAGCTTGACTACCGTGAGCCTAAAGGACATCTGGTCATCGTTCGTCGGTGGGACAGGGTCGGCGAACGAAAGCAGTCTGACTTCGCCTTTGTTGAGAGGTGTAAAACACGAGTTGGACATGTTGTCTGCGATGTGACTTTCGGTGTCAAGTCCGCTGGAGCTAGAGGGAGAATGAACGGGGAGGCTGGGCGTTGTTCAGCCTGGTGCTGCAGCCTTGCATGTCATGATGGAGCCTAGCCAATCAGAGAATGCTCTTGACTGAGCGGTCACTGGTTGGTATCGAGAGCAATGGCATTAGACTCATCGAAGGTCTCAAGCAGACTTCGCACGTCCAACGAAAGTACGCCTGCCCGTTCCAGATTCCTTCCATATGGATGCCAAAGAAAAAAGAGCAAAAGAGCCGTGACCAGAGTGAGGAGAAACAGTGTAGCTTCAAAAATGCTGTGAATGCTGGGGTTCACTTACGGCCCAGACAGGAGCGCTGCAAAGACAAGTGCTCTGGCGGGGCATAACAAGTCAGATCTGAGCAACTTCGCCCTGTTGCCTATGTTATCACATCAAGAGCAGAATAAGAGGAGCTAAGAAACGAGAAACACTCTCCTGGCATACAAGGGTACTAGGTAGTAATCTGGTAAATTAGACTCTTATTGCGCTATTGCATTGCGTCGCGATAAAGCTGGTATATACTACGTCCTTTTTCACGCCCCGCTCGAGACATCTCACATCTTTCTCTTCTTCTGCCTTTCCAAATGCACAAACAAATGGGTATATCAAACGCCATCAACATTACGACCAAATCCGGCTCGAAGCCTCGACATCATCTTCACAACACCCAATCTAGTTTCCTACTGGGCGGGTTTAGGCCACTCTATCTGCGTGTTGTAATCATACAATCTGCGCAGCTGTTAGACTTCCACTTGCAGATTAACACCGATACAGAGGGGAAACTCACATAAACGTCTCATATCTTACGCCCCTCTTCTGATTCCTCTTTTTCTTCTGCCCGTCTTCTACTTTCTCGTAGAGAACGGGGTCAAAGCTGACTTCTTTCCACGCTTTAACTAGTGCACGCCAGTAGCACGCTTCAGCGGCACCGGTAAGGTACCTTTCTCGGAAAGTCTTAACGTTGTTATCGGCGATGCGCTTCGCTTTCTCAGGATGTGCGATTAGGTCGTCCATGGTGGAGGAGAGGTCTTTGAAGTCGCGCTCGACTTCGACGTAGTTTTGTTTGGCGCCTGAGGCGAGGAGGAGGTAGTGGTAGTGTTGGATCCACTGTAGCTTGTGGGAGACGATGACGGAGCGGCAGAGTTGGCGGTATTTGAGGGCGCCGGAGTAGGAGCGTCCTGCGTCTGTTAGTCGCTATCCCATATATATTTTGAAGGACGGGTGATGCCGTACCTTCGGCGTGGGCAATGAACATGTAGTTGCACTGGTCGACGGGCCCTAAGAACTGTGCGCCGGGTTCCTTGAACTCGGTGTCCTCCCATTTGACCTGCCCAACATCGCTCCATGGTTTACCCTTGGCAGCATCGACCAGCGCTCTCCGCAGTTTCGGGGCGAAGTTCAGCTTGCCGCGCCATACCAGCTTCTCCTTCTTTGCATCCCACGGCTCGAGGCGTTCGCGTTGTATGGCTTCGGCTGCAACCTCGTCAAAGGCGCCTAGCGAGGGCATGTCCCAACTCCACCAGCCAAAATCAGGCATCAGCCATAGATCCTCGTCTTGTGCACGGCGCGCTAGCATCCAAAGGGGTTTCTTAGGTTGCGCAGGAAGATCTTCGACGCTGAGGACGAATTCGACGTTTGGGATGGAAGGGCGGTCGCGGGCGGCAGAGACGGCGCGGTGCAGGGAGGCGAGCGAAGCGATAGCCTTTTGGCGGTTGATGTTGTCAACGAGGAATGTCTCGAGGATGTATAGCTGTCGCGCATTGTGGTCAGCGAGTTGTGGTACTGGGGCGCTCTAACAAACGTACCTGGCCGTCATATATCATGGCGCGCACCATGCCCTTCGTCAACTCGAAATCTGTCAGGTTCTTCTGCATCACCAAGCCTCTTCCCTTCCTGAAGTTCTTCGCCCGCTCAATGTCTTCGAACAGGCCTGGAAACGCCGCTGTGCACTGGTCTTCGTCCAGGCCATAATTGCTCCCATCGCGACGGTATTCAAACTCCCACGTCTCCTGGGCATGTGTGGTGTTCGCAACGATGGCTGGCCGGGTGGCGCAGTCCAGGCAGGTGCTACATTCGAAGGTCGTTGACTGTTGACAGAGGCAGCGGCCAGCGGGGAGCACTTCTTGGACGACCTGTGGGAGCGAGGGGTTCTCGGTGCGCGTGCCGTAGAGGATGCTACATATGAGGAAGAAGACGAGGGCGATGCCGGATATGAAGAACCACGCCAGACAATCGGACGCGCCGCATCGCCGTCGCAGGATCATATTGGAAGAGAATCTACAAAGATGGCATGTAAAGATAGATGGAGAAGAATGGCACACGACGGGGCGAGTCGGTGCGACGCAGCGTATGGAGAGGCGATCAGTACGGTATGGTAGGCGAAAGCAACAACATCGGATCCGAGGCGGCTGGGAATGCGCTGCTAGAAGGCGTTCGCAGCGACTTGTCTGGAGAACGATGCATCATTTTGCGAGGCATGCATGTTTCAAATTGGCCTAAGGCTCATTGCGCCCGCTCAGCCAAGGAGCGGCGGCGTTGTGGAGCTGCGGAAAAGGAGTTCGCTAGCGGGAACCGGGGCGTCTGTCGGCGCGTGCGCTACCATTTAGTGTCGATCTTGACATTCACCATCTTGAACGTCTCTGTCGACCAGCAAACTTGATCAGATAGAATGGCTCCAAATCGGCGTGAGTGATGGCTGGAAAGTCTGCGAGTTCTGCGATGCTCTTTTTCGTGCGAGAGAAATACGAGGTACCCCGCTCACCGGTCCAGGCAGGCGCAACATGCACATGTGGCAGTGCTGCTCCTTCCTTAGGTTTATATACAATCGCGGGCATGGACCCCTCTTGCGTTGATGTAGATGTGTATACTTGTCCGGGCCTTATTCGAAAACCTTGTGATAGGGTACCTACCATAGCTACGGTAACAAACTGACCATGGCGAGAACTAAACGCAAGACAGCCGCTACAGCCAAGACTGCAAAAGACTCCAGCATCAAGACCCGAGCACGTAAAGCACCTGGTAGTAAAACGAAATCAAACATTAAAGGGAAAACATCTGCCAGCAAAAAAGAGCCACCAGTAACACCCACCATTCAAACTATTTTCTTCTGGAAAGAGACAGACAAAGTGACAGGCTTCCTTTGCCCATGGTACAAGTCAAAATTCCACAAAGAAGGAGTCGCTTACCAGTCTGCTGGCCAATACATCATGGCCGAAAAAGCACGACTCTTCAGGGATACCAAGACGCTGGAGCGCATCCTTGCTTCCACTTCGGCAGAAGAACACAAATCTCTAGGAAACAGCGTGAAAGGCTTCAAACACAGCATCTGGCACGAGAGTACGCTTTCCACCTCCATAATCACATCCGTAGATTGACCAAGTCCAGAAGCCTACACCATCGCTTGCCAAGCGAACAAGCAAAAATTCCTCCGCGGCGCCAACTCGCGTCGTCTAAGGGTGAAACTCTTGCCCTTCGTCGATTATGAACTCGTCTATGCCTCTCCCGTAGACCATTACTTTGGTATCGGGATTTCAGCTGAAGAAGCTGCAAGCACAGACAGGAAGCTCTGGGGTAGGAATCTCTTGGGGCAGTCGCTCTGGTGGCCCAAGAAGAGGACCGAGAGCCTGGCTAATCCGGAACCTCCCTCTCCAGCACAGGATTTCGATGTTTCAATTTTTGATAGGCCGGGCAGTGGCTTTTGTGTCAATTGGTAGTCTCGCAGCAGTGTGGATTTGACCGGTATAATGAGCCTTCGGTACCGAGGACGGGGAATGTCATTCTTCATGACGAACTGCTGCTTCGGTGTAGATTGTTCGCTTATTTAGTTGGGTTATCGAGTTCTGACGGCAAGTCACACCGGGTAGTGGTCTGTATGTCTCATGCTGGTCTCGCTGCAACGTGTCTTTAGACCGGTATTGGGGGCACTGGGTACTGAAGATAGGGAACGTATTTCTTCGTTTTGTAGCAAGAGTTGCATGATGTATCTTGCTTACCTACCACGCGCCACCGTTATTCTAAACACGACTACACAGAGAACACAATTTCCTTTCCAATTTAGTATTACTATCGATAGAATCAAACTTTCGCCCCCAAAAACGTTCAGCTTGTTCGCCCAAGTAAAATACCCAAAGAAAATCAACAACTTGTGCCACCTGTCCCTCGCCTCAACCTCGTGTAGCTGATAACCGACTTGTAGCTCGACTCGAAGCTTCCGTGGACATGTACTGAAGCCTTGGCTGCACATTTTCTTGAAGAAAATCCAAGATATCTTGTCCGATTTGCCGACTGATTTTCGAATACATGTCTACCAACACATTCGCTCCCGTTTCGTTGAGATGGTCATCCGGTCCTCGACAGCCTGGGATAATCTTGTGATGGGTAGCCGGTTGGACGTAATAATGCTTGTGATTACAGAGCCAGTTGTAGCAGAAGTAACATGCTGACTTGCTGCATCCAATATATTTGTCGTTGTCGACAAATTCCATATCCCGAAATCTGCTGAACGTGTCTGCAATTTGTAGCTCAGCATGCACCCTTGTGACAACTGTTTGTCGCGAAACCATCGAAGAGTGAATTGGCCTAAAGAATGGCGAATCGAGTTCATGGAGCCTGGCGAATGCATGCTCGTAATGCATTGGGTTGCGAGAAGCCGAGTCTGCAGAGATTCCATGCAAGACTTCATAAGGGCTTATGCAACTTGGATGGATTGCCTTCTCGATAGTCGCCGGAGCACTGACTGTACGTATTTCTTGAACCCGCTTTAGAGAAAGAACCGTGACCATTGCCTCGACTACTGTATTCGCCGCTGCGCGCGTTGCGCCTAGGCGCCAGACATAGTGTGCTAGCCTGCTGAACTCATCGCCGGCATTGGCTGAATATCTCTTGATGTGATGGTATTCCGCATTTCTCATGTCATGACAAAGGTTGACATAGGCCTCCACAGTCCAACTTGGCGTAGGCTCCGACAGTTTTTTCAACTTTTTTCGTACGACTCTCACTTCAAAATTTAGCCGTTTGCCATATTACCAAAGCCTCATCATACCAATATCATCTTTTTCTCTGTGTCTGAGAGACATCCTGCAATTTGTTGCGTACTTCTGAACATTCTCCTTGTAGAACTGGATCCGGGGCTTGCACTGCTCAACAGCGAGCCTGAAAATAGTGTCTTGAAGAATGCTCTGATTTTCCAAAGTCGCGGTCCTCAAATTTACTAGAATGTCTGTCGCATAAACCCGAATGTCATCGCGTATCCCTTCGTTTGCGGCCAACCAGAGAAAGTCGCTATAGGGGCGCTGCTGCAGTGCAACAGCCGTGACTGTATTCCCGCCTTTCTGTGCGTCGCAAAGATACGCAAATGAGTCCAAAAAATTCCTTCTGGCCTCGCATATCGGATCCTCGGATCGCTGCCGTGGCTTATGCTTGTCCTTGAATCCTGCCAGGGCTTCAAAGAGCGCCAGTCGAGGATACAGCTTCTTGGCTTCATCGTCCTGGATCTGTTCCAATAGCGATCCCAAAGACGCAGATCCTCTTTGTACCATCGTGCGAGGAGCTCTAGGTATGTTACTGGTTCCCAGGCCTGGCCTCAAGATTGGCGGATTGACCGCTGGCTGCCGGCGATGCGGAAGCATGTTCACGTCGAAGAAAGTTGTGCATCCGAGCTGGGAAGAAATGTCGAGGAGATGACTGCGAAAACATGAAAACATTTACAGGCATAATGATGAGTTTTTGTAAGCTTTCTCGGGGCTTCGTGAATATTCTACAAATTTCGAAAGGTTTCTACAGGTTTCGGTTGTAGCCTCAGCCTTGTCCAATTGGAGGTAACGTAACATTTGAAGTATAGAGGCACTGGGTGGTCTCACTGCATAAACTAGTACGAATATAGAAAGTGGGGCTATACCGACGAGGCGATCAACAGCTCAGATAAAAGGATGAAAATTATAGCGACCACAACGAGAAATCTTACCGGAGCTTGTATCTTAGATATGAACAGCTATATTATATATACACACTACTCCGACTTTCGTATTCTTTGAAGTAGAGAATCTAAGATGGTTAGAAGTCAAATTCGTCCCACAACGCCGTGCGTCCCACGGCCCCGGGATTGACCTTAGAGAGGTTTTGGCCATCTGCATGGTTGCGTACAGGAGATCCAACGCTTCCTACGATCCCGGTCACAAAGCATGACCTAGGTAACGACCAATTAAGAGAGGGTAGTAGGATTGATATAAGGGAAGGAGCATAAGGTACGTAACCCAATTTTTATCGCTTAAAAGGCATGGTCAAGACTAGAATGATTTAATGGAATGATTCAATTATGGAATCTATGCTAATCAAATATGAAAGAATGCTCGAAGAACCGTACGGTGATCATACCGTTCACCGTGCAAGGTCGGAGGGGACCAGCCCGTCCGAATTGTTAATGGAAGTTGAATGAGTGCCTCCACTTACTCCAAATCCAAGCTCTCCAGTTGCCGGTCGATCTCCCGTGCCAACTCGAGACGTAGCTCATCAGGCTCTTCAAGCGCCATTGGCCGAGTCATAGTAGCCCCGGTAGCAACAGGAACAGGGGCAGCATGCTCGGCATGAAGACGCCCAATCTGCAGAATCAAGGCCTGAGTCTGGTTCAGCAACGTAAGCATCCGATCCGCATACACTGTAGCCAAAGCGACTTGTACCGCGGCCATAAGTGCATTATGGTAATAGACATCGCTAGCTCCCGCCAATCCGTCAGTACGCGAGGCGTAAGGCAAGGCATCTTGAGCGGCCTGACGCTCCCCTACAATCTGACTAACCTGCTGCATCTCGTCTTCTGAGAGAGAGTCGGGTTGCGATTGAAGGGCTTCAGCATAGCGACCCACCGCATCCAATTCATGCTGGACTGCATGAGGAGCAGAGTGCATAAATACACCAGCCCACTCGACAAGGGTCCGCCGCAGGTGCCAAGCTACCACACGAGGAGTGTTGCCTTGAAGTGAATCTAGAGCATCAGCATGTCGACGAGCGTCCAACCGAAGCCGAATAGCCAGCGGCTCCCGATAATTGAAAGCCATTTCCATGGGCGTGTCGCCCACCTCCATCGTCTGTCGAATGTCATTCAGAGTCTGCCTAGCGCTTAGAACAGCAGGGTCCAATGTTGATTCAGAGGTAGAATCGAGCTGGGAGGCGACCAGGGCGTTGGGTTCGAACAACGCGATCCTATCATTAGGGCAAGTTCCGCGCTTTAGACTGATGGAAGTGAACCAGGTGGTCAAGCAGGGTTTATGGAACCAGCACGAGTGACCAGAATGGTCGATCCGAACCACTTGATCCGTGTCCTCGCATTGGCAGATAGTGCACCGAAAGTCAGCTGGTGCTTCGCAATGCTGTAGATGCTTTTCGATGAAGTCTGACTGGGAAGGAAGAGACATTTTGTAGGTTTGAGAGTTGACACGAGTCTATCGGTCAATTCAGGAAAGGCTGAGGGGTTATTCGAAAGGTGAGGTTGTAGTTTCTCTGTGGTTGTTTGTTCTGGGGATTTTTTAGCAGGAGCGCGGGAGCGTATTTATGGGCCTGTTCTTCTCCAGTTTGGATTCATCATTGTAGAGACACGATCAGCTTTTAGCATTGTGTGCAGGAACAATGCCTTTCTTGTAGATAATGGAGCATCGTGCAAGGCCGTACAACAAAGGTTCACAAAAGCGACCAAAACACCAAGCTAATGATGAACACATGCCAGTCGCGTATTGCAGATCAATGCTCGAATGACCCATGCCCTACCAGCCCACTAAAACGTTTGAGAGTTTTGAGGCAGATCTCAAGAGGGTTCGTCGATAGAAATGAGTATTTCCTGACGTTGCTCAAAAACTCTCCTTTCTTTCTTATGAGTGAGAGAGTAATAACATTCGTCTTTTCGGTGTGTGCTTGGAGAGTACGCATTGTCAATCCAACTACTGTTTCGCGATCTATGGTGATACAAGCACTTACAGGACACAGGTCATCATGCTCATACTTTCCTCAGTCATGGAGAACCCTGGTTATGGAACTGCGGAATGCGCTGGTACTGCTAAGCTACGTGTTTCAAGAAGAAACTTTTGACACAGTTGACTGGAAAGTAACGGCTTGATGTAATCGTCGACATAGAGATACCCAAGGTGGCATCTTTACTGCCGACGTTTGCCCCTCAGCGGAAGCATTATCCGCAGTACTTCAACATGTCATCATCGCTTTCGTTTCTTCAGTTTTTCATGATACATCATGGCGTGCAAATTGACTTTCACCTTTTCCATGGCGCACTTATCAAGCAACACCTGGTTGCGCCTTGGTCTGGCGGGGTGCATGAATTGGTGAAAGACTGTGAGCTTTGCACTGGCCGCTTGCTAATCTGACCCGCAAGTATTCCCTCGCCTTCATAAAGACCCCGTAGGTAGTGAGACTCAAGTGCACCCAACTCGAAGCAATCTTTAGCTTCAACCTCAACCATGGCTGACTACCCAACTCGCGAAGAATTTGCCTGGTCTGGCATGGAGCAATTGTCCAAGGTGCCGGTTGGTGGCGACGATGAATGCCCCATCTGCAAGACGTTGCTCGTATCGAATGCCACGCCTCCGACCAAGACTACCTTGGCACATCAGCTTGTCCATCTCCACAACCCCCCTACCTCTCAAAATGGTGAGTCCTCAAACACTACAATTCTCACGGACAGCACTTCTGACACAGGTGTTCCGATAGTCCATGTCGCGCATGCCCCTTCGATGATGCCACCGCCAACCTTTGGCCCCATCGATATGAGTGTCCGCTTGGCCACAGAAAACCTCGTTGCGACCTTCATTCGAATCCGTGCCTGCGGCCATATCTACCACACCGCATGCCTGCGTGAATGGCTTAGTGTGCCTCAGAACAAGACCTGCCCGATGTGTAGGCGTGTCCTCTTCGACGCACCCTACGGCCCTGAAGCCGCTACTCAAATCGGCAATCTCCAGACCGCGATCACCACTACGAGGCACGATACGATCGACTATCTTCTACATCTTCGCAACACCATTAATGAAGATCAACGCGAATCGGAGCGATTGGCCGCGGTCGTGGGAGATCAGAAGGACATGATTAAACAGCTTCGAGAGAACAACGCAGTCTTGCTACATCGAGGGACGGCCGCGATGAAGCAAGTCGTGAAGTTGAAGCGCACAGAGCTCAAGTTGCGAAAGCAAATCTTGGAGGGCAGCAACATCAAGATCTATGGCATTGGCCTTATCCTGGCCTTGTTACTCTACGCATGCTACTACTCGTGAGCTTCGGGTTTTATTGGCGGTTGGGTATGATACGGTTCAATAGGGGCTCGGTTATCGTTTTGCGGGTAGGAGATCCTACCAGGTGAGGAAATGAATGGCTTGGTGTGTAATCGAAACTATACCTGTAGCAGATTAGCTGCTCATGGTAGACATCCATAGTGCATAGGCACAATTCTGCATCCGACTAGCAAGTTCCCAGCCCCGATGCAACGTGAATTCCTTCCCAACAGTGAGCTCCGCCGCCTCAAATGCATGACGAGAGCCATTGCGTTTCCTTACCCGTGATGCACGTGGCACATTGATTGCAAACTGTGGGATGTACAGTGTATCATATACGAAAGAATTACCATGTTCTTAACGTACCAACCGTAAACCGACAAAAGATCCTACGTCAGACAGCCTCCGTGATACGCTGGTTACTTCATACTATCTTCGACTCGAGGAATTTGACGTCTACATACGCTATATGTCAATTATGTACGATTATTTGCAGCAGACTCATCAGTCCCCTTCATCGCGAGGTTGACAACATCGAGACTGCTATGACCTCTCCCAGCCTGTAACGGAATGAAGGCGCAACCGACTTCTGTAGGTTATTCTATTGAGCACAAACAGAAGATGGGAATGTTGCTGCTATCTGTGCTGAAGTTTTAAGAATCGGCATAAACACTGAGTCGGATGGGTCATTTTCAACTTGCTCACCTCCTGCAGGATGTAGAATGTTTGTACCTGCCACCATAGTCTCTACCTCGTAATCTGCGCACTTTTAGCCGCAGGCGACGCCGCCTTCATATAGGGCACCACTATGCAACTGTCTGCATCCTATCCTGCTGTCAATCCTTCCACCGCGCTTGTCTTCACAAATCGATGCATACCTATCAACACGTACGGTTATCCACACTGTTTTGTTCCATGACAGGACGTTAGATAGAACAGGATTTCCACTTAGCACACCAAGCTTCGTTCAAAATTCATATCAGCAAAGAATCCTCAAATCTCCGACATCAATAAGTTTGGATGGCAAAGTCATTGAGTTGATATACTAATATTTACCACTCTCTCCAGGCGTAGGGAAAGACAGCGTAGGAAATGACATAAAGCGAATACAGTCTCTGAAGATATGATTGCGAAATGCTTAAAGAATTATATTCGGAGACTGAGATTTATGGACCCCTTGCAGTCTCCAGGGACTAATAGCTGGTCTGGTGTTGAGGGATGTGCACAGATTGTCACGAAACACTTCCCGGGTCATAGCTGGTCGTTGTACAGGGTAAATGCTGTTCACGAGCTCCACTGTCTGAAGAAATTTCCCACAAAGCAAGGCTTCTTAAATGACACTATTGACTCTATTCAAACACACAAAGAAAGGAATGTAGGGACTAGACTAAAAGTAAAGGAACATCGAAAGGAGACAGGAAGAGAAAATGCAAAGGAGAGGAAAGAAAAAGCACACTCAGCTCCCACTGCTTCGCCATGGACTGACACTATTATCGTTTGCGAAAAGAATGCCCCCACCCGACCATGGTACAGATCCCCAACCTTTATCAATTGTATGTTACATTCACTCTATTACTGGCTAGATCTTGTTGAATGCTAGCTAGATCTGTTGAATAGCCAGATCTGGTTGTGGTAGACGTTAAAATAGGGCACCAAGCTGTTAAAATAGGTGTACCAACGCATTTCAACTAATCGTTAAGTAGGTATATACTATGAGTAATACAATTAATTAAAATAAGGAGCTGTACTATGGTAGGGTGGGGGCATTCTTTTCGCAAAGCACCGATAAGGTACACCCCGAGATGCAGGACATGTATGCAAATGCACCTAAGACATGCCATACAAGTCCACCTCGTCCTCATCATCGTCTTCTGTAACATCTTCCCCGTTGTTACCTTCTTGAGCAGGATTGCTGTCAGCTACACCGGCTGCCGGTGAATCTGATGCAGTCGGCAAATTTGATTCGAATTCGCGCACGTCGACCAAGTCCTCGTCCTGCTGCGACCCAGTAGTCGGCCGCGTTAGATTGTCTTGGCTGTGTCTATAGATCAGGCGACTAGCGACTCGTGAATATGCTGCTCTGGTTTCGTGCAGGCGCTCTGTCAGTCTCTCGTTCTGCCGCTGCTGCTGATGAAGTTGTGTTAGCGCGTGCTGTTGCATTTGTCTAGTGAGCTGGATATCCTCTTCCACTATTGCCATGTGTTGTTCCAGTTGTTCCCCAGCCTGCTGCAGTGCACCCCTTCCCATAGACATCGGTCGTGGGATGTCGTGTAGCGGGTGTTCAGACAGCGTATAGGCGATCATGCGGTCGTTGAAATATGAAGGATCGCTGGGTGTACGGGCATGGTAGTATGGAGTGGACAGCTCGCGCAACCTACGATTATTGTCTTCGACTTCTCGACGCAATCTTTCTATGATAGCTTCGGTAGAACTTGTTGAGCGATTTCCACTAGGAGGTGTGAAATACACCGATGGAGGATTGGTGATAGGGGAAGGTGTAGAAACTTCTCGAGACTGACTGAGATCCCGACCGTTCTGACCGCGTCGATCTTGTAGAATGTGGCCATTCTCATGAGGTCTCCAGTTTCGGGCGACATCAGCAAATCTGGTTCGATCAGTGCCGCGTCCAATGCCACGTCCAAAACCACCTCGAAACTCAGGTTGGAAAGAAGTCGAAGGGAACTCTGCTGAAGGTGACAGAAAGGAATCGGGACGGCGCTGTTGTCCAACGTCCGGATGGTGTATGGTATTATGATGCGTAGGTGCAGCACGACAGTGGTAGGGTGGGAAGGCACGGAAAAGTATCGTCTGGCAACAAGGGCAGCGATGTTCGAAGCTCCGAAGGATGCTAGCTCTGAAAGCCGATGTAATACAATCGCGGTGAAACAAGTGATCGTTCTCTGAGATAGGACAGCGTCTGATACGTACAACGTCGGAATCTTCAGTGCCACTTTGTTCATATTGATTACAATGGACTTGGCCAGTGGACTGAGTGTTCGTTGAGCTTGTGGCTGGTGTGGAAGAGCTGGTGATATGGGTCCCAGTTGTGTTAGATCGAGGAGCTGTACTCGTATTGGTGGAGGTACTATCTCTAATGGAGGTGGCGGTGCCTACTGCAGAATCGTCATTACGAAGTGAATCACGACAAATAGGGCAAATATTGTCGGGCGGATTGGCAATAACATTCAGACCATACCGTCTGAAATCGGCGAAAGAAGGGTAGACTGGAACTGTCGGTCGTGGCGCCGGTGCTGAAGTTGATTGTTGATTTGGTACCTCTGATAATGTCGAAAGTGAAGCCTGTGCTGGTACTGTATCTAAAGCTTGAGCTAGTGCTAAAGTTGAAGCTTGGGCTGGTGCTAGAGCTGAAGCTCCAGCTGGCGTTAAAGTTGAAGCTCGAGCTCGTATTGGAATGGACACTTGACCTGATTGTCGTACTCCCTGTTCTTCCTCCAAGCGAGCCGATTCTCCGACTGCTTCCGTTGTTACACCAGATGGCGGCGGCGGAGGCGTATTTGGCATTCTGGCTTCCAGCTGGTGTGTGGAGGGCTAATTTCCCGGTCTAAGGTTTCCTGTTTTGCTGGGGTATGTGACGCGACGGAAGGTGCTTTTGATGGAAAAGGGACCGAGAGATAACGTGCTGTATATAGGCACGAGCATGTTTGCAGCACCGCGGCTTACACGCAAACCCAAACAGTGGGCATGCTGTGGCTTGCTTGGACTTGTGACCGAGCGAAACAACAAGCGGAAAGTGACTCTTGGGTGGTGCGGTGGCAATAACAATCAGGGAGCACCTTCGTCAGCGATGCGAAACTCATTCGTCCGATGACAGAACCAGAACGGAGCTAACAAGAAACACTGAAAAAGTGGCCCGGGTAAGTGAAGGAGTTCGGGCAGGCCCGTTGGACGCGATTGCCGTGTATATTCTCGATCTGCACAAGTATACCATCTTCAAAGCGATGATGCTGGAACAAGCGGGGGAAAAGGGTAAATCACAAGAAAAGAAGTTGGCTCAGGCGGTCAAGGTCAGGATCCGAAATAAAATTCAGCATCGATCAGAAAAGCGTTTCTAGATGCATCCATAAGATACTCACATTGAAGCGTAGACGTGATCGCGAATGACTTGATCTAGGCGCTGCTTTCCGGACGTCGAGTGTAGACAGAATCAACGATAGCTACATGTTAGCGCGCTAGAACAAGTAAATATTTGATATGTGTTATTTTGAGCTCGCGCTCGAAGCGCGCATACCTACTGCGAACCGCTGAACAACAGGGCATGTCCTTACTCCGTTCCTCGAATAATCGAACAGCAGCCGAAAAATGATACGAGTAGAGATGTGCTCTTACCATCCCTTCACAGAAAACCTTATAGACCAAGCAAATACTCTTACACGCCTAGCAATATATACAGCGGACGTTCGTGTCGTACGCGACATCCGTCCAATCATCGATCCGCAGTCTCTACTCCAAACTCTTCAATCCCTTCCGCTTATTTTCCACCCCTCAGATTCTTCAGCTCCTCCGTCTTCTCCCTCACCATATCCGTCAGACTCTCCCCCTCTTTCCTCACACCCTTGGCCAACCTCTCCTTCCACGCCTTCTCCTCCTCGTCCCGCATCTCCAGTTCCCGCAGCCACCGCTCCCTCTTGTCCATCCTCTCCTTCTCAGCCTTGAGCTTTTCGTACTCCTTGCGCTTCACGCGATCCTTCTGCCAGTACACATTTCCAGCGACAAGCACGGCGATGGTGAAGGCCTGGGCGTACAGACGGCGGCGGAAAAAGGTGTTTGTCATTTTGTGGTCGCCTTTGCGCATGGAGCGCGTGGCGCCGACGATGGCCCAGACGGTGAGGGCGCAGCCGAGAGGGATGAGGGGTTCTTCGCGGAGGCGCCGCCCGATCTTGTCGAGGCGGTTCTCATTGTAAAAGTCCCTGCGAGCAATTAGGTATCGAGTAAGGTATATAATAGGAATGAAAGGAACATACTCATTCTCGTCGAAGGACGAGGGCAGCGGGGCGCTGTTTGGACCCGATAGTGGAGGTCCTGACATTGTGGTGCCACGGGTGCGGAGGTGGCGGAGGTGTCGCGTGGGTGATTTGCAGTGTACTGAGGGTCGTAGTCCCGTGCTACGGAGAGCGCATGCACAATTGAGCTCTGTTAGCCTCTACTAAGCTTGATTAAGCTTGTCGCAAGGTGAATGCCCGAACGTAGTGGGATGTAAGTTCGCGGATGGTGGAGCTTCGTAGATCGATTATCTCACCACTCTCGGCATGTCGGCATTGGTGTTGTTCCAGCCGCCGACGCGCTCTCCTCCAGGCACAACATCGACCTCACCTGAGCCCTGGATTATACGCCGAACGCTCCTCTTCATCGCGCCTTGATGAACGGAGAGGCTACAGATAAATCTGCCTCGCCGCGCGATGAACGATGAGGCCGAGTCCTCGCGAGCTGGCCTGCGTCGTAGCAGCATTGCGGCCTCGGACACGGAGCACGACGACGCCATAGTAGACATCGATCCCGAAGAAGAGATTGCCCAGCGGGAACAGCGAGTGAAAGAGAGAAGACTAGATGCGAAGCGAAAGAGGGTTGTGTTTCTGGATCATTTGCTCCGTGAGCTGGATACGCTCGTATTCTTTGAGCTTATTACACTCTACCATCTGGAGTACGCATCCCTAGAACCTCCCTTATTCTTTTTGGTACTGACTGCTGCAGCTGCTCGTTCTTCTGGTTTGCCGCGCGCGCCTTAATTCACGGTTCTCTGCTCACGCCGCTTCCTGACATTGGCCTGAACCGCCAGCATGACGAGCACAAGCCATTCTTACCTCTGATCCTCTTCTGCTTCGCAATCAACTTCCTGTTGCACCTCACATATCCCGCACCATCCGCCGGGGAGGATACACGCGGCTATCTACATGGAGGGTTGATGATTGACTTCATCGGCCAGCAGGGGCCGACGAGCAAATGGAAGCTTGCAGGCTTGGACATATGCATATTGCTTTTGCAGCTTGTCATGGTGTCAGTACACGTGAAGCGACGGCAAGCCAAAAAGACTTTGGCGCAGATATCCTCAGGAAGCACAGAGACGAGCGCAAATGATGGAGAAAGCGCAGAACAACCGTCCGAGAACGATGCTGCACGTGAGCAAGATGCCGATGCAGAAGAACGTGGTGAACTGCGCCGCACTGATACATTGTCTGATATCGGAGCGGATCAGGACGAGCAAGACACGCTTCTGCCATCGTCCGAAGGTGTCCAGATAGATGCTCTCGATGTACTCATCTCCGGCCAGTGCGTCATTGGCGAGTTCTCTCTCATCGACACCTTGATCGATGAGCACCAGAAGTATCAAGCCTTCCGTCAGACGCGGGCTGAAGCAGGAGGAACTTCTTCGCTGTCACCTACCGCTCTCCGTCAGTTACAAAACATTCGTATGCGGTTTGGCGCTGGGGGAGGGTGAAAGTAAGCCGTCTCCAACGCCATTCACAACGATTCCAAAACCCTGTTCGAAAACTCGACGTGGACGCATCCGTCGGGAAATCGCGGCTTAGCACCACACCGCACGTTCGCGAATACTCTTCTGCACGCGTTAGCCGCATCACACCTCATCACCGGCCTTGGAAAGCCACAAACTGACAGCTACTAAAGCATCCTACTCCTTCGTGGCAAGGCAGTGCTCCATCAACCTGCATCGCTTGAAGCCCCTCGGCATCATAGATGCAAGCTGTCCTACCAAAACACCCGTCCGCGCTCGGAACGACTGCATGACGCCCTCGGTCACACACCGCAGCCTTGCAGGGCTTCGCGAGACACCACGTCCAGCCCCCAGGAACCTTTTAGCGGTGCGCTCCGAGCCGCGCGCGCCCACGGTCCACACTGAATCTCGCCATGTGCTCCACGTTTGTGTCGCCTCGCTCGACGGTCCGCTACCGGCGCCAATCTCCACATGCTGTAGACACAGGCACTCTGACGCGCGAGGCGTGCGTCGTGCAACATCGATAGACAATATACCTCTCGCGCATTGGCTGCGACGCCCTAAATGCAATGTGGCGCCGTACCGTCTCCACACGCCCCATGCCGCTATCGGTCGCGCATGTGCCGTTCGCTCGCTACAGTCTAACCGTTACACGTGCGTAGATTGTCATGTCCAAATGAATTGCTGGCAATATCTGCTCACGCACCGCTGCTTATGAGGCTATACTATATTTAGCATGGTTCTATGCCATGGATACTGTACGCGTATATACTATATCACACGACGCAGATCTATAGTCCTGCACGTAAGTCTGGCCGTGCTTCAAAAGGGGCAAAGTGTCACGGAGTGCCCACGGAGTGCATACGCAGCTGCGACATAGCCAACCAGACGCGGGCTTTCCGCAGGGCGGCCCTGAATTTTCTGATTGGAGGATGCTTGCATGGGCGCGTTGGAGAAGGCGGAGAGCACCTCGGGAGAGCCCATGGCCCGCTCACGTGACCGTCAGTCGCTGCAGCGCATCGCATCCAGCTGAAATGCCGTGCGTTGCGTCGTGCTGTGCGTTGGCGGGGTGGCGCCTTGATGCCCAAGCTTTTGGCCGGGCATGGGCATGGGTTTCGAGTGTGTTGGTCCGGATCGGCGCGCATCTTGGGTGGTTGCATGCGTATATTGGGTCTAGCGGTGGAGATGAGAACCATCTTGGCTCTCTCGTAATGATACGGTTCTGGAATGTTGTTGTACTGTATCCTTGACCTGCCTCGGTATCTCCGAACCTGGATTTCCAACGAGCTATTAATACCAGAACCACCACCAAGGCTTTATTTTACCATGCAGATTATGGGTTGCATACTAAACTCTGTGCTACTGATCGACTACGAATATGCCTTATAGCGTTTCTGAGGCCAAGTAGGGGTCCATAGAGGATTGCTGCTGGTGGACAGCTATTAGATGACGCGACAGACATTCACCCGTGCCCTCTGCCAACGCTTCTCGACAAAATAACAAGTAATAAAACCGCGGCCAACTGTATCATACACCATAACATGATACCTTACGATGACGCCTTAGCTGCGCGCGTCAACTAGCCCAGATAGGTTGCAGGCCTGACACCCATTCATCACCCCTCTCACAGCATAGCTGCATTGGTCGTCTGCATTAGGGAAGTAAGCGGAAACATCCTCGCGCCTATCTAGCTAGTCACCGCAACGCCCATCGACCCATCGCCACCGCAACGACAAATACACAAATAATGAGGCTGCAACTTGGTGCACCCTCGGCAATCTCCACGCGCTGCGCCCGCCCGCAAGGCGCACGGCGCGCAGAACCGCACATCGCCGCGTCGCAGATTGAAATTGCATAGCCAAATTACCGGCTTGCACGCGCGCTCTCTGCATCACTCAGTGATTGAGCGAACGGCTGGTCCGAAGCCGCTTAGCTGCCGTGCGACCATCGGTACGGGATGGCATGCCGGCGCCTTGCCTTGCCTGCACGCCCCGTCGCCCACGCAAGCAAGACGCAAGACGCAAGGTCCCCAATCTGACGCCCACCCGCGTGTTCCCCCATCACATGCATAAGCGCCAACTCGCTCCACCTGTTACCTACATACAGAGCCATGTTCCTTGTAACGCCTCTCGAGTCCTGTGCAACGTCATCCAGGCTCGAGTCCGTCTACAGGGATGCATGGCGCTGCGCTGGCCGTGCAGATACATATACAGTATGAGGAGCTAACGCCGATGCTGTGTTACATTTGGACGCGCGCGGTGGTGGCAGCCGGGGTGGGGGTCTCTCCAAGGGCCCGAAGAGGAAGACCTGCGGGGTGGTGGGGAAGCGCAGCGCACGAGATAGGCTGGGCGCGGGCGCGCCGCAGATGGAGAAGGCCGCACAATATACTCGATGCTAAGCTGCTGTCAGCATATGCGGCGCTAGAGACCGAGGCCTGTCAGGCGGATAATCGTCGAGCGCGTGGCTGTCTAGACGAAAAGGCGGTAAAGTCCCATACACGTGTCGTGGTAGGACGGTGGGACATGGCGCGAGTACTGCGTAGAATGATTGCACGAGAGCGGTGGCTGTCGGAACGGACGTGCATACGCCGAGGAGCCGGTATGCACACTATAATGGTCAGATGGCGAGCGCACGTCGAAGACAAGTGTGTTTCGTAGACAGCTTCGGCCCGAGGGTGCTCGGCATCCTACCACGTGCCTACATACTGTGGTCGCAAACAACAGCTAGAGATATCACGGCGGGACGCCGAGTCAGTAATATGTCGTCCAAGCCAGTAAGACATGATCTCCCTGTTGGATCCGAGGGAGCCGCGTACGAGTAATGCCGGGCGGGACTTCTGCAGGAGCCTTGACTCTTAGAGAGTCTTCCTTTGACCTGCAGATGGGTTTGATCCACAGTAGTCGCATGACAGAAAATGCACTTTCTGGGCTTGGTGTGTCTGAAAGGGATGTATTTGGATTACAGCGCCTCCTCTTCGACTCTTCATGTCCGTTTGTGGCCAGCGATGGGGAGAATCCGTGTGGCGGTCAGCGTGAACGGTGGAAGCCGGGCTCCATTACCCCGGACTATGGGCTGCTAAAACCACTCTCCGCCGACGTATGGAATAGCGGTGTGGCTAGGTGCTGCGGGGAAACGGTATTGCTACCGGAGCACGCGCAAGATCTTCGTGGCACTTTTGATGAGGTGCAAAGGCTTCGTGGATCGTGAAGAAAGTGTTGGGTTCAACATGGGGTTGCATTCGTGCGGAAAGGACAACCGGCTTTGGCCTTCTCGCCATGCGGGGCACCCGCAGACCTGGAAAGGCCAGTATGATCGCCTTATCTAAACTTTGGATGGGAATATTTGCATGGATACCGCGCTGCCAACAAGGGTTGTATTGGGCTGTACTCTCAACGTTGAAGACTTCGGATGCTGTTTAGTGAACCTGCGTCGCTGGCGACGTCCGCTTCGATATGAATCTACACTAACGCTAAAGCGTACGGGGAAGCTTGATCATGCTCCGGCCGGGGTAGGTATGGCCGTCTGTCCAGCACCGTTTGACTTCTTGCCGCGTCGAACGATCTCAGACGCCAATTGTGAAGATGAGAGGGATCTCCCTGCTTCAAGTCGGCCCTTCTAAAACAGACAGTTGGGCCGCCGGGCGCAGATCAGATCGGCAATCCTCCAAGGTGCTCGTGTTCGTGCTTCGTCGCTCATTCGTTCGTTCATGAAAAGCATGCAGCATCATCGTTTCCATGGTCAGTTGCAGAATTGCTCCTCCTTCGACGTTGTCGAGGACAGGTTGATGCACTTCCGCGCGCCAATGTCTGTGCTAACGTGCGCGTGTCTGTCAAAGTCTATCCACCCAGCGGCCCGCACCGGACACACCTCCGACAGTCGAAGCCCGCGTGGATCTTGGCTTAGTGTCAGGGACCAACAGGTTCGCGAAACCTTAAAAACACTCTCGCTAGAGGCTGCAATTCTGAGTTGTGTCAACATCATTGGTTAATCGAATCTATCTCGCGCGGATAGCGCACATAGTTAAAGAGTGAGGCGTAGACAGTCAGCTGTCATGAATATGACGACGTGAGCTTAAGAAGAGCTCTTCTGATAGATTCGAGGGGATCGTCGCATAGAGCTCAGCTCGGCGACGAGAACTAGCCGTTGTAAAGGTCCGACTGCACAATTAGATTATAAGTTGCATAAAGTGTCCTTCAAGAGTACCACCGAACGGAAGGCGTGATTTCATGACAAGTGTACATATTTGATCATCCCTGTCGATCAAGGGCAGCGCAACTAGAGGCGTTATCGCATGCATCAAGGCACTTCCAGCTGCGGAACATACCTAGTTGGCAGCTAAAACCCTAGTCATGGACCAGTAAGGCATGGATCATGTATACTGTGGTTGCAGCGGTGTGTGATTACAGTGGGCCCATTTTCGTCGGATTTCTGAGATTCCTTACTAGGGTAACTCACCGTTGCGACCACAGTACATGCGCACATCGTATGATGTCCATCAGAAGCTTTACGGAGCTCGACCGCGGCTATCTCTTTGGTCGAAGATGGCCCGATTCTACTGCCCGAAGCCTGATTTAGGTGGCCTAAAAGAGTGATCGCTGTGACAGCCAACATGGAGTTGCCAATAACAGCACTAACTTCAAGCATTCGTCGGGGTTTCATTCCCCCAGAGGCCGGAATTGAAGAGGCTGCAGCCGCAATACGCCGTCATTCTACAAAGTGTCCCCGAATCTTGTTTCGTGAGTCGATCAATCTGACAAACATTTAGTGCAGGATCGCAAAAGAAGTGGCCCACCAACATGCGGATGCGAAAGCGATGCCGTCCCACATCCTCGGGATCCATCTGTACCCTGCACGCGCAGTGCGCAATGTCCGCAAAGCCAGTAAATCCAGCCTGTTATGAGCTTAGAAATACCCTTCTCGCGTATGCTGAGCGGTACAACGGCGAGATGTGATCATGCTATGTTTTGACTTTTCAGCTGCAGATCTAGTGCAACCCGCCATTCAGGTTAAGGTCGCGACCGATACTCTGGTTAGGTAAAGCGCCCTGGGGCGGGGCTAAAATGGAGTCTGGTGTCAGACAGAAAAACGACCGACGGTTGAGACGCGGCATATGGCTGAAACGCTTGGTTGGTTGCTTTTGCTGTGGTAACCCGCGAAACGGGAACCATTCGCTTGCTTTATTATTGTCTGTGCTGATGATGCTTGCATCAGCTTATGCTAAATTACATGGCTATCGGTTTGCGAAAGACAATCTGCTAAATGTTGAGAGGTTCCGTGAGGAGATTTGCTCTAATGAGAGAGCTCTATATGACGTAGAAGATCGGTGATCAGTGGTGCTTTGAAACACATCGATCAGACGTGGAAAAACTGTACAGTGTTTGTGTGTTTACATGCCTGCATCGAATAGCGGCGCATGGAAACTAAAACAGGATCGAGCCACCCGGGGCGTTGCTAAAGAAGCAAAAGCCACTACGCGTGGCCCTAGGGTATCAGAACTTAGAAAAAGAGGTACACGCTGGACTCTGTGTCCCCAATGTAATGGTCAACGCAGTTGCCTGGGCCATTATCGATTCTCCCGCACCTGGCCAGGCGCCGGTGCCCAGTTTCTTTGCTCGTAGCGAGCTGGTTCGGAAGCAAAAGGATCATGTAATTGGGGACGCTGGGCTGCGTAATGATGGTGTGATTGGACTTGCTGCTGTGCTCGATGGGAAGGCATTCCGTTAGCTGCGACGTTCACCGATGCAAACGTAGCGGCAGGATGGTTCGGTGTTGAGGTCCCAGTGCCGTTCAAGGGTGCAGCCGTCTGGCCCAGGGGAGGATGGTATGTACTGGTTCTCCTTCGCACGTTCCTATCCAACTCTGGTTCATCATCATCGTATGCGGAATATGGCGAACCCGCAGAGCCACCGCCGGTAATGGAAGACGCAGCATTTGAGAGTGAGACAGATGGCCGCCTCAGTCGCGGTGAAGGGGGGCGTTGATAGAGTCGGTCCGAACCCGGCTGCTGGAGGAGAATATTTTGGAAATAGTCTCGCTCGTTTCGATAATATTCCCTATCTTCGAGAGCGTCGCGCAGTTGCTGCTCTAGGCGCGCAATGCTCATGGAAGCTTCCCGCTCCTTTTCCTTGCGTCGCGCGCGAAAGCGTGCCGATGCGCCCGCATTGCGCTTCCTCTTTTCGTCAGCAACCTTAGACGCAGCTTGAACATCAACGGGGATTTGTACATGATGTCCTTGTTGACTTTTGATCGTCATAATCTGGATGCTACTCTGCCCTGTCGGAGCCATGGAGATCCGACCACGGTCTGTATCCATACTCATAGGGATCTGGTGGGATTCCTGCATGGGCGTATGACCCGGCGGGGGTACGTAATGAGGATGTTGGCTGGCAGCATCGATCTGGCTCGACGCGACAGAAGCTGGCTGGCTGTAAGGAGAGAATCCTGCGATGGGGCTGGCACTACCGGATTGAGGGAAGCCCATACTGGGTCGTCGAAGCTCGTTGCGGACCATGTTTGGAGGAGGTGTTGGCGCAGTTGGAAAGTAGGCAGCGCGGGGTCCTAAACCTGCAACCGGAGGAGTTGGTAGCGCTGGTTGCGAGGTTACTGAATCAACACCAAAAGGTCTTCCACTGGGCGAAATGAAGGGAGATTGATGAGCGTCGATAGTGCCTGTCGGAGCGTTTAGAACACTGAGGCTGTGGGTGCGGTGCACAGTGGGAGATAGCGGGCCCCTCCGCGGGTGACGGGGCTGTTGGAATTGCCTAGCAGGCATCAAGTCGCCTTGCGTTGAATCAACACTGGTGGGGCGGCTGATGGAGGGCAGATTCGGTGGAGTCAGATGCTCGATCGGCGAGGGGAGTTCGGCGTGCGATGCGCTCCGCCGTTGATTCCGCTGTTGTTCGAGCAAGTCTGCTTGCGGATTCAAGATGGAGTGCATGCCCAACGGACCTCCTAGTCTCCTGTCGGACAATGGTGGAGTGCTGGACATTTGGCGAAGCGGGGGCAACGAAATTGAACCGCTGGACGGCGCATCACGAGTATTTTCTCGCTGCAGCGCATGTACGATAGGGTGAGGATGTGTGGGTGAAACCTGGGGAGTCGTCTGAACAAGCCGCCGGGGCCCATCTTCTCCTGTGAGTGGTTGGTTCGCTGCCCCCGTTGGCCTCGACATCGGGACCTGTCCGTCAGAGCCCCGCTGCCCACCAAGGGCCCACCATGAACGATCCGACTCTGGGATTTCGAGTCTAGGAGGAAGCACAGGACGTTCCAGATGGTGCTTCTCAGGTGTCCGGGCAGGTGTCAATGGGCGTTGAAATGGATGAGCGTAAGGACTGTGAATGTCTTGGACGGCGGGGAGTGTTTGGGCGGCCAGATTGGATGCTGTGAAGTGTGTTGCCGTCACGGACAACACAATAGACCAGATGAGAATGCAAGGCTTGGATTGTAAGACGGCGAGTAGGCGTCCAAGGGGAACTGTAGTCGGCGAGTAACGCTGAGTTCAGATGGCGTAAGTATGGTTCGGGAAGCTGACAATAGACGCAGAGGCACCGAGGGAGCTGGACAATGACCAAAAAGTACGGGCTGTGGTGGGAGGACGTCGAGATGGGACCGCAAGCTGGCGGCGGGCGTAGCCGCAACGACAGTGAATATGCGGTGAGCTGGGGCTTGGATGCGAGCTGGCTCTGGGGCGCGAGCAAATCATGTTAATAAGAAGCACGGTGGGCATCCCCCTGTTTGGGCCAGCTCCCCGCCAGGAAGCACACTGCAAGCACAAAAGTACATGACGGACCCGGGCAGGCTAGGCAGAGGAGCTGGGCGGTGACGGCAGGGCAACGGTAGGGGTATCCCAGACGCGTTGGCACGGGACACAGGCTACTGCACGGAGCAGCGCCCCTGCGCGGAACAGCGGGAGGGGGGCACGAGTGGGCTTGTATGAGAGCCCAAAGCGACGCAAGCGCATGGTGCAACGGGGAGTGCATCCGCGCGTGATGGCGCCGGCCATTGGTCTGGTCGCCGGCGTCTTGGATCGTCCGTCGGGCAGCAGTGTGCCCTCGTCGTCGCCGAGTCGAGGGTCTGTCGCCGGAGGATATGTCCGCCAGCGATACGCAGCCTGCACGCCATCCTCTCGGGCGCCGTGTGTGGTAGTGTAGCGCTAGAGAGGCCTTGCCAAGGGGAGGGCCGCGGGAGACGTTGTCCACGGCGGCCGGTAGTGTGTCATCGAGCCTGAAGGAGTGTGCGAAAGACAAAGGAGACGCTGCATGGCGACGCCGAGGAGAGTGACTCCGAGTGAGTGACGGGCAGTGGGATCGTTCCATGTACGTGGTGGTGTCCTGCACTGCGCAGCGCGCCCTGACCACGCAACCGTGGGGGTGGTTCCTTCCTTCCCCAGCAATCGCCAGCGCTCTTGCCGTCTCCCACTCGACGCGTCTCTCACCCGCGTCTCTCACCATGCCGTCTCCGTCTCATGATCGCTCTTCTTTCTTTTCCTCCCCCCGTCCAGCGCCCCGTCCAGCGCCCTGCCGCATGCGACTGTGGCTGCATCGCAGGCACCGGCACTCGTCTCAACCGCCATCCTGGCCGCATGGCCCGCAACATCATGTGCCGTGCCTTTCACCACCAACACGCCCCGCGCCGTGAGTGGCCCCCAAGCCGCACGTGGAGCCTGCCCTGCACATCACGCTCGTGGGCGTCCTCGAATTCCTTCTTCTGATGCACTCGCATCCGCAACCGTCGTGGGCGACGCTCTGCTGCAACACGGCTCGCATCTGGTCTGACGGCTGCATCACGCCACAGGCACCGGCGCCCTGAGTGAGCAAGCATCCACCAACAACCAACAACAGGCACTCCCGTCATGCTGATGAGACGGCGACAGCAGCTCGCCACGCGGGAAGGAAGTCGCGTCCGTCGCAGACCAGGCGGGCGTAGCGCGTCATAGCGTGCTCCGGCACCGTGGACCTTCGCTGCATCTGGGATCGTCGGCTCGCCGTTTGGCGGTCATCGAAGCTTCGGCGCCAAGGCTAGAAGCTGCTGCTCCTCCACCAGTTTCTCCGGCTCCACTGTGTCGGGTCGACGAATTTCAGGAGGCTTGCGTCCGTGCCTCGTCACGCGTGCTGCCAATGCTGTCCTTCAGCCGCGAGAAGCGTCCTTGCCATCCCAGCCTGCGGACCCATCCAACCAAACAGGAAAACGCCTCCAAACGAGATGACCTTTGCTTCGAGCGCTTGCCTCCCATTACTCAGCCACTTTCTTCTGCCAGGACTCGGTGCACGCTGCAGCCTTCAACCACACGTGGTCGCGCCGGCACTTATCCGACGGGACGCGACACTTTTAGATGCATGCCTCTCACGCGGATACGTACATTGTGCACGTGTATATGCAGGCGCTCGCTTCCACGCTGTCGAGCACTCCGCCTCACTTCCTCCTCGTTACTTGAATCACATCCAGACGGCGCAGAAGTGCACGTTTGGAGGTCCCGCAACCGCACGTCACTAGGGCCGTTTGTCCACATTTGGAGAACAGCAGCTTGAAGACGCAATCAGCCCGGCTACTTCATCGTTGCTCAAGGGCTGACCACGCAAGCCGTGTCCAAATGCAGCGATTACCCGCAGAGTTCGCCTTCAAAGCCGGGATGCCCTGCACGCATATGTTGCTTCTGACATGTGTAGGGACGCATACTGTAACGGCCATCTGCACAACAGACGGCATCTTGCTTCACCATGTCCCTGACCTGGACAATATAACCATCAGATATATGCGCAGTCTGCCTGCATGTCTACTACGCGGTCTTTGCTTACGCTGAGCACAGCCTTGTTATCGAAATCAACGACAAGCATCAAAAACGGGGCGAGCGCACCCTGGCCTATTTCTCGACTGCAGCCCGGCGGTTGGCTGAGATTTTACCTTGGGCGCCCAATAGTGTCGGAGCTAGTTTTCTCGATTGTCACACCAAGGCTGTTACGATTTACCCGGTGACAACGCTTGTCACTCACAGGGTCGGTTGGCTTCTCGCCCTGGCCCACGCCAGATTCGAACGACCGTAGAAGATGCCAAGGATCTACGCTTGGACAGGTAATCATTGCGCTTGCGGCAACTTTTGCTCATGTCATTTTATCCGAGATTCAAAAATCACATCTCAGACTTATACCAAACACCGCAACAATGTCGACAGGTGTCAACGCTCACAAATATCGACTCCTTGCGTGCTAGACCACGACAAAAGGATGTGGTAGCCCTAGAGACCTCACTTCGGGGCAGCAATTTCCAGCAGCCTCCGCAATCGTGAACAGGTTCTCAACCAACTGGTGCACAAGGACTGTAAGTGGGGCCTTTGTGCAGACATGTGTCATATGTCCTATAGCTGTCCGGTTCAGCTGCATCCTGGAGTGCACTGCCCGCACATCGTACGCTCAGCTGTATCAGATTGCCAATGACCTCAGATCAAACTTCTTTTAGGGAACACGTATCACATGGACGCTCGCTGTAGACTGTTGACAGCTACTTCTTCTTCGTCGTTACATCACGGAGCAGAACAACTCACTGGATCGGTGACGCCCGCACTAAGCAATTTGTCGCTATAACATGCAGCTGGGCTACGACAACCTCATCAACTACGTATGCATCAATAAGCATACTGCCTAGGCTGGTAGTAGATCCGCCGACGAACCGGCGGCTGTCGAGTCGTGGAGATCGTTATACGTCAGATGACCAAAAAACATCCTCGCTACAATGCATTTGGGATCAACAAACACGGATACTGACTACCCTGTCAATCTTTGGACTATCTACTCGCATCAGAAGCCCCAGTGTCGACATAATAAAGGCTTGCATGACGGTAGAACATCTTCAAAAAGACGCGTTTCACGATTTCATCACGACCCACGCATACTGAAATACCACAGACAGCGTACGAAACTTGATACAAACATGCGCTTAGCTTGGGCCTTGCCAAGTATACCATGGCCGTTATTTTTGAGACCCACGCGCATAACGGCTTCCCCACCGTCACGGTGTCGCAAGACCGTTGGAGCCAAGTAGTTGGTAGTGTTCGTGTCAAGACAGCGTGCCAGATGAGGTCTTATCATTGGTATAATACCGAATCAGAAGCTAATGATTGCCCGAAAGGCCTGTGGTGGGTACTGGCGGGGCGCAATATTACCCCGTATTATAGGCTCAATGCGCCTGTCGCACCAGACCTCTACCACGTCGGCTCACGCGCTGATTGACAACATGTCGCACGCCGGCCTTTTATCATACATGACCCTGCATACGCTGACTCGACGATGTTCATAGCCACAAGATGGGGTCTTTTCTATTCGAGTCCACTGCGACCGCTAATCAGAGCACTCCTACACTCTATTGGTGCGACTGCACAGTTTGACTGAAATGGTCTTTAGCAGTTCTAGTGTCGAGTGCTTATATTCATAATATGTGGATTAGTTTGGCCTAGTCACTGCTGGTCAAGGCAGTGCATTCACCCCTGTCGTCGCTCAAGAAAATCGCATTCCTTATTGAGCGATCTCGGACTTGCCAGCAACCGGTAAAGGCCTGTTATCAACTCCTCGTTCTGGCCTCGAACACACCCTTGCACGTCACGAGCGCAAACCACTCAAATGACGAGCATTGCGAACAGACCAGTTGCACAGAGGCGGAGATTGCTTTTCGGCGCCTTTAGCTGGTGAAGGGTCTCCCCCTTCGCGTTGGTCCCGCGCATCCCGAGGAATGTGGAGCGTGACAGATCCTGCGTACGTGTGCACTGTGCGTATGGCATGTGTAGCCGACGTCGCTTCGATCGACAACGGTGGAGATCATAGCACAACGGCGCTCATCTTCGCGTCCCCCTTCCTGGCCCAATTAGTGCAAGCGTCCTAGTTAGACGTACTGCATGTGTCTTCTCAAGCCACCCGCGAAGATATCATCCTGCAACAAAGGATAACAGAAGCATCAGATGCAATGTTGGAGAGCCACGCTATGGACGACTGAACTGGCACATGCTTCTTACAGCTCGAAGTAACTCGTCTGCGCCAAAGTGCGAATTCCAAAGTTCTCACACCGATGATCAGAGAATCATTCCAGCCCTTCCGAAGCCCTATAATGACTCGTTGTGTGCCTGGTCCATGGCTGTGGGAGTGCTACGCCGCTCTGAGAATGTTCCGGTCCATTCCATCGGAGAAATGAGCACATCGGCCCCGCGCGTGTCGCTTCACAGAGGCCCTAGCTTTTATGGAAGGAAATACTAACGTTGGGCATCATTAAATCGGACCTTTTGTGCAATCACGGACGAGAGTTGAGTCTCAACTCAAAATAAGGTTCGTGTCTGTCTCGTCAGGCTGTCACATGAGGCTTTGTCGCTACTAGGTCCACATCGCGCTTGGGGGAGTGGAAACTTTGTACAGGATCTGGACATGCTACGAGAAGGTGGAGCGCTTCCCTTTGCACAATATACAGTAAGCAATGCTCTGCGCCCCTGAGGTGCTCCCCTCGGATGATGGCACGCTTGCAAGCGCATCTCTTCGGCGCAGCCGAGCTCCGCAACGGGACGAGAAGCTGTGATACAGAAGTCAGGAGCTCTTCTCTTTCTTAGACCATCTCACGGCCGAGGAGCAACGAGCAGGAGCGTCCTTGATGGAGAAGGAGAGCGGAGAGCACGTGAAACTGAAAGGTAATAATAGCGGCGCATACGATGCATTAGGCTCGTCTCGTTCAGTGACAGAGTGGACGAAGCTACGTCCCTTGACGCAGTTGTGTTGCCAGTTCAGAAGCTTAGAAGCGGAGATGGGCGCGCTGCCAGACGCAACGCCCGAACATGGCAAGTCTCCTTGCCAAACGTTGATCGTCAGTATGGTCTGACTTTTATGCTCAGACCCCTTTACGGGGTGTCCTCCTGTGCAGTGACTGGGCCGAATTCTGGGCTTGTTTCATTCATTGTTTACGAAAATAGCTCTGTGGACGTCCTGCCGCCGACCTCACATTCTAAAATGCACTAGCTGACTTCAGGGGAAGGCTTGATGGATGAACAGGCAAACAAAGCGCATGAGTACCTGTATTCGATGCGAAGCTGCAACACCGTCACATAGAGTACCCAAATGTTTTACGAGGTACTGTATCCATCGTGTCTACTAGGTGGTCGCTGCACGACCAACAGGTGGAGATGCATCCAAACTACGGAAAACTTCAGAGATGGTCTACTACTAAACAAGAGACCAGTAAGCAAATCTACTCAGGAGGGAAGACTGTGGCATTATATTTCATAATTTCACTCAATTCTCTCTGCCAACTGCTTAGATATTGTTCCCGCATGTAGCGAGATGTCTGTCATGCTCGTCGGTAGTCCACTGGATCTCTCGTCCCACAAGCCCACGACTTGTGATAGTCGCATTCACGGGATTCTTAGGTATGAACTCAGTCCCTCGAGTTGCCAGAATCGACAGAACGTGTGCGGCAGCCTAGGAAAACGTCAGCATCGAATGTTCCCCATTTAGGAAGGGACATCCATCTTTAGACCGCTTACCTTTGCATTGACTGTCAATGTTGTCGCATTCGGGTTCTCAATCGTGTCACAAGCCTGGTGGTAACAGGGGTCTTGTTCAACGCCCGTACCCGTATGGAGTCCTCCTACCGGCTTGCCGATGTTGAAGAACGACTGGTAGTCGCTTCCACCGGTGAACCTTGCCGCGGTAACATTGATACCCTTCTTCGTTAGATCGTCCACAAACGTTTTCTCGATGAAGTCGCTGCCCGGCGGCGCGACAAGCCCATGCGTACTGCCGTCGCCGTCAAAAACGCCGAAGTACCCGCGCGAGACCATGTCGAAGTTGAGGTATGCAAGAATGTTGTTCGCTTCGGAAACATTGAGGTTCGCAGTGTAGTACTTCGATCCGAGCAAGCCGTTTTCCTCAGCTCCCCACCATGCGAAGCGGACTTTGTTCTTGACGCGGAACTTCTCGAGAGCGGTCTTGATCTCTAGGACGAGGCTGGAGCCGGAACCATCGTCGTTGATGCCGGCGCCGGCTACAACGCTATCAAGATGGCCACCGAGCATGATGACGTTCTCAGCATCTCCGTCGATTGTCTCAGTAAAGATATTCTGCGTGATCCTCGTCTCGACCGTCTGAGTTTGCTGGAAGTACGCAGTCACCTCCTCGCCCGCCTCAATCCTCGCACCGAGGGCTTCTCCGTCCGACAAGTTGATAAACCCTGTGGGTACGTATTCCTCAGGGTTCGGATTACTCAAAGTACCAGCTGTAACAGGCGTCTCAACATTATTGTAGAGAATGACCGCCATGGCACCGGCAGCAGCTGCAGGCTTCATCCTGCCCGCAAACGTAGTCCCATCTGGGCACGCTCCTCGCTGCACGAGCACGATCTTATCCGCGACGTCCAAATCCGCATACCCCTCGTTCGTGCACCCCACATCACCGGTAGCACCAAGCACAAGCGGTGCCGTGAACCCCTCTGCACTAGTAGAAGGCGAATACGAAAGTCCTATCACCGTGTACGAGGCGTTATCGACTTTGAAGCTGATGGAGTCGACGTGCTGGAACAGCGCAGGGAAGTCCTGCGTCCAGGTGCGGAAGTTTGACGAGTTCATGGTGCGCGAGAGAATGTAGTCGACTGAGGCTGCGTAGCCCGGGAAGCCGAAGGCGCGGTTTCCGCCATTGGCTTTTGCGATTCCGTCGAGCTTGACAAGGTTGCCCCAGAGACTGTGGATGAACATTAGCATAGTAGGCTTAATCTTGGGGACGGCGCAGCCTACCCTTCGGTAGTGACAAGATCCTGCAACGGCTTCGAGCTAACCAGCGGACGCGGGTATTCATAGCTCGACTGCGGTACAGCAGCTGCGAGCGACCGCGCGACGCCAGCAAGTACTAGGGCACTCTTAAGCAACATATTGTCACCAAGGAAGATCGAAGACGATTCAAAGGCCTTGCAGCAGCTCTACACCCCGGCAGTCTCTCCTCTTATACCTCTCCCGGTCCTCGGTCGGGAACTGCTGCATATTGCGATTGATTGCGTGCAAGCTTCCCCACCGTTATCACGTCTATCGCTGGCTTAGAAGTCTGGGCCATGCTACGAGATCGAGAAAAGCAGGTACCAAGAGATGTATGGAGGTTGCCAAGCGTGGAGTGCAGGGCGGCTTGACACCTGCCGGATAAGGGCATATCACATGATGCGAGTAGCTTGGCTTTGTGAACGTCGTTGGAAGTACCATTTCACAGAACAGTATACCAATAGTATATGTGTTGAGAACTTTTCAACACTAAAAGGTTTCCACTGTCGAAAACACCCGCAACGCTGTGACACTAATACCCGTAGTAAGTCCAATCCCTGTACAGATGACCCCCTCGTCCAAGGTACTGCAACGGCGGATATTGCTGAAACTGTTCCTCATGGCCCATGAATACTGTCTGTGAAATCATGCGGTCTTCGAGCTGATGTCTCTCACGCCAAACATCCAACGGCATGTCCCAGAAGTCACCCACATTTAGCCACTCGTATAATGACTGATCGTCCTGAAAGAGTATGAGGCAAGCCGTCTGGATAGGGACATATGCGGTGATCTCGAAACTGCATGCGGAGTGGCGAAGTGGCTGATAAACATGAGAGAAAGCATCCAAGATCATCTCCAAGTCCAGTGCGCTTCCCGTACCCTTGATCGCAAGAGAAACCGACAAATTCGATCTGTTTCGCAGGTGGAGGAGAGCTTCGAACGTTCTGCTGATATCGCGTAGTTTCTTGAACGAAAGGCGGCCTTTAGCTGCTTCTGACCTGATTGTCGATGTCTTGGTGCACATTTGGATCCTTCGGATGCTAGTCGCAGCGTTCACCCCGAGCTGGAAGGTATCAATGTAGAGATGGCGAGGAAGATCGACGATGTCGTCAACAGAGAGTACCATATATTTGTACATGCGTTCCGCTGCTTCAAATGCTGTATCTGGTCCAACGAACAGCGGTAACAGCGCGGTTGGTATTCCAGGGCATAGCCTCCATGTCGGAGACTTTACAGCACAGGGAGCATACCAGCGTGTATCACACCTGCATTGCGGCTCTTGATATTCAAGAGCGACGCAAGTGTCGAAGCCTTCGCAGCGGCGCCACTTGTTGTGCAGGTTATCAGCGACGGCAATGAATTTCTCTGCCATTTTTTGCTCAGGTGCATCGCCGAAGTCCCAATAGTGGTCCCATACAAGGTCCCGAAGTTCGCGTGGGAGTGATGATTGCATGCGGCGAGTAAGGAGGAGCGTTTCGACTTTGGCGGCCCGGATAGCTTTCGAATGCCTTTGCATGTGTGAGATCCCAGCTTGATCAGCGAGCGAGAGAGTTGACTTACGCTGAAAACACGTATAGCCCATCCTCTATGTCGCGCTTCTTGTACGATGGCGCGAAGAGCGGGGTACTAGGAGCCCGTGAGATTACATCAATGGCAGCAATTGCTACACTTAGATAGCATTGTACACCATAACGTACCTCGCTGCATTTTGCATGGTGGGAAGGTGTTACCGCTGCTGCAGTATCTGCGGTATAGTTGTTGACACGCGGTGCTCCTTCAGCAGGAAGTCGCACTTCAAGAGCTAGGCTAAGTGTCTACTAGCGTTAAGAACCGGCGCAACGGGGCTTAATTAGCAGTGAATGCATGTGACACTAGCACTGTCCTGCTTTTCGATGTGATTCTTAATTAAAGCTTTCTCTCCCAACTTCCTTGTATGCGTGCTATCCTTTGGAGAGAGGTTGATGTATTCATCTCCTCAGCTAAATCTCTGACCGTCGTGTCCTCGTCCGATGGGTCTATGATTCCACTGAAACCTCACCCCACCGCTGACCTGCGTCCTCGTTGTGGGTTGCGTGCACCACGTCTCTGAAAACCCCATGAGCATACATGGAAAACCTTAGCAGTCTACTCTTGAGCCATCCTAAAGCGTAGCTAGAATATCCTCCATGCAATTTGGTTTACGATGCAGCGCAAGCATTCAGCTAAACCTGTCCTCAAGTCTCCAATACTTCTCCATCACGTCCCTCGGCAAGACAGCGCCGAGATTCTTCGCAGCAAAAATCGTCAAAGGAGCACGTTTCTCCTCACACAAGAGAATGGCGCTGCGACCCTCCATCCCACTCACGATACCCTTCAATAACGCGAGCAAGCTCACAAGTTTGCACAACGCCTGCTGATGATCTGCCTCCCAAGTACCAAATTGCGCCTCAACGTGCGTATAGCGAATTGATCGAACTTCCCCTTCGACATGTCTACCCTCGATAAGATAGGGTGTTCGACTGAACCACATTTGCGGCATGGGATCACGTCTGTTCTTCCCGTGCACCTTCAACTCCGCAAGTTTCGAGGGGTCAACAAGGTTTCCCTCATGAATAACCTTGGTTGCTCCCAAAGGGAAGTTACTGCCTTGTGAGGGGCTGGTCGACAGATTCGCCATCGAGGCCACAACATCCTCTACCGGATCCTGAGGCTGCATAGAGCCAGAACGTCCCTGATCATCATCGTAGTACGCATCCACCTCAAATTGCACAACGCAATTGAGATGACCAAGCGGATACCGAATCACTCTGTGATGACTGTATGACTGGTCCAACCCGGTCTGCGCTTTTGTAAACGTCGCTTCAAAGCTGTGGCCGTATCCGGCATTATGAGGTCCGTGTATCATGAACGCAGCGCTCCCCTCCTTGCGACTGATAAAAAGCGTATCATTCACCATGTGAAAGTCCATACGGAAAGGGTCCTGTGCCTTGCCTGCAGCAAAGTCGAGCAATTTCCGCAGGCTGTTGCGGCGTGTAACAATGTCGATGTCATCTAATTTCAAGCTGGGATTCATGGTTGCTAGTGCCCGGAATGCGGGTTCGAATGGATACCTGGGCAGTTTTGCAGCCTTCACGTCGTCCGGGGAAAGTCCGGTGTCTTTTAGCAGGGTATATGGCAATGGCTGGGGTTTCCACTGCGGAGGCCCACCTATCGATGTTGTCAGCTATGACTTGAGACCGTTCATGAAATCCACAGTACCGGGTACAACGATACCACTGGCATCCTTCAACCAGTTATAGCTACAAAGCGTCTCGCATTCAGATTTCGATGACACAGTTGCGTCATCCGGATTAAGCTCGTTAGCTGAGACTGTGTGTACGAGACGGTCAACGTTCTTCATCATCCATGCTGTCTTCCAGCCTCGTGGTCGTGATTGTGCATTGAACCTGGCACGAAACGATTACATCCAATACCGCTTGTATTCGAGCTTTCATTGACTCACCTCGAGTTACCAGCATTCTGGCTTTGGGTCATACTGAGCGAAGATTAATATAAGTTCTTCAGAAATTGGCAAGTGAATGAAAGTAAGACCAGATGAGCTTTGTAGTTGAACAGAAAAGACAGCTATTTAGTGTAGCAGCCCAAGGCACATTGTGTATGTCGTGTCACGCTGCCCCGCGATCTACATCACGTGTACAAGCGGCTCTACAGATCATGACAGTAAGCGCACAAAAATACCATCAATTACAAATGTATACGATATATGATTTGAGAGACGGGCTCGGAGTATTATCCTCCAAAAGATGGTGGCAAGTAAGGTCCACCTTCGATAGTATTTGACGATAACAAGCATTGCAGCAAAGGTCGTCCCGCTTCGTGGACGACAGCGCGAAGAGCGGGGTACTAAGAGCACGTCAGACCACATATCCCTAACCGCCATGTCCTGTATACGTAAAAGCCTTAGCATTCTACCTCTGAGCTATCTTTAAGCGTAGCTAAAATATTATTGGGTGATTCACGTATAATAGAACAAACGGTGCATCTGCGACGGGGATCCGATTCTCCGATTCCGCCAGAAACACCGTTTTCACCAGCTAGAAGCCATGAGCCTTATTGGTGAAAATTTACAAACGCATTCGGATGATTCATACCCTACAGGCGCTTACAGACGTATAATATCCTATACATGTTGTTGTAATCGCTGCATCAACCCACTAAAACAACTCATATATCTAGGATTAAGTGCGCAAGGTTTGAAGAGGCTGACATGGAGGGCGGAGAAACGAATGAGAATCAACAAAATTCTGAAGATACGCCGCAATCCCTACCTACACCTAGACTGTCATGGGCGCACGGAGATCCTCGAAAGCCTGCTAGAGTTCATTAAAGAACCATCCAACCCCATCGTATCGCCCTTGGGTGATATTTCCGTCTAAAGCAACGAAGAAAACAAAGGGATTGCCGCTTGGATCCGTAGTTGCACAGATTCCACTAACGCTGGCAAGCATTGCGGTCATTATCTCGTTATTTCCCTCTCCCCACTGTTGCCCTTGGTCAGGGGATTGCATATATCGAAGCCTCATGTTCTGATCAGTATAAAACAGGAATACCTGCATGAGTAAGATGATGCCTTCTGGAATACGATTCATTGGAAAAGAGTATGCATACCGTGTTGTTCCACACTGTTGCCGCTAGCGGAAGTGCGGACTCGTTGTTAGCGGCTCTTACAAACTCTAGGTTGTTCCCAACCTTCAAGTTTCGTTCAGAATAAGAAGGTGTCCCATTCGGAGCCGTCTTGCCCTGGGCTATATGCACGAAGCCATCCGGTCCATAATAGAATATGAGAGTTTCGCCAGCGACTTGGATGCAGGCCACTGAACCAGTGATCTGATGGGTAGGGAACGACTATTTTGTTTAGATGAATTTAATCCCGCTTGCATAAGGTATGCTTACTCCTGGTATTGTGATGCTACCTAGGTAAGGATAATCGTCTGTGGGCGATTGCAGTCTAAGGTATCAAAGTATCTGTGCAGATGTTATTTTTTATTCGTATTTACCCATCACATCAAAGTATTACGTTTGGGTATTCAAGGTATATTCGCTATTTGCAGCTGAGATGGCAAGCCGCGGCAGATCTCGAGGAATAGTGATCCGCTACGACTTTTTTGAACCTACAAACCGGCTTTAGGTTCTCTTCGGAGAGCAGTTCTGCGAGGATCGTGGTAGGCAAATTATATGTCTAGTGGTTATACGGGACTATGCAAGCACTGCAGAGGTAAGGGAAAGCAGTCCAATATTGTACCGATGTTCACCGGCAAGGCTGAACTCTATCAGCCATCCGTCCACCACAAGCATCCTCGTAATACGAGTCACCGTAATACTGATTGGACGACTTCGTCCAATCGTGAATGCGAACGTAGCATCCGAGTCTTTCAGCTCTTTGCTGCATGCATGGCACCCCAATCCTGCGATCTTACGTGGCATCGAACCTCAGCTCCTCACTACACGCGTTGCTCATCATGCAGGAAACCCTAATGAAAGCTTTGAAACAATTTTTCCATTACGGCTTCAACATTTTCTTCCTGTCTCAGACCAGAGGATAAAGAAAATTCGGCTAACCATGTCGCAAGTCGAAGTATTTACCGGCCCAGCGACGGTCTATACGGCTACAAAGTGGCTGAGTGGCTGCGAAATCACATTTGCAAATATCAGGTCTTCGAATAAGCAACCGCTGACCGACAAAGAAAAGATAGGCCTAGCGGGTGCTGCCATTTCCAAAGATTCGCGAGATACACGTAGTCTCTATGACTGGTGGAAGAAGCATCAAATCAGCCTGAAGCGGAACTCGTGGGATTGGTTTAGAAATTCGGTCAAAACACGCGTTGGGGGACCAGATTGGGAATATGACGTTCTTAATGACCTTTACAGGTTGCAGCAAGGCGATATGGGCGCCGACGATTACATTTCCCAATTACTGGACATTCGGTTTGCTGTTGAGCGGAGCAGCCTGAATGATATCAGTGATATTGAATTTAAGTGTCATATGTTGTTTCGCGCCAAACCAGACACTGCCATTGCGGTCATGCAACAAGCAGAGTTTGATTTTACGAAGACAAGCATCGACTAAATCGCAGAAGGAATTCGAAATGTCCAAATGGAGGAGTCTACGGAGAACCCTGACCCTATTTCATCGTGAGCACAACCGTGTCATTGCTATACATACGCTAATTAGCCGAAGGGCGGAAAGTTCAGAGACAACAGGAAAGCCCAAGGCAAATGAGTCGGCTCCACGATATCCCACTGTGAGTGTGGTGTGTTCACGGGTATCGGAAAGATCCTAATCATTCGTAGGGTGGATCCCGAAACAGACCTCCTGAGAAGGGTTCCGATTCTTCGACGCACGAAGGTCAGAATCGCGAAGCTAATGACACGGATAGGTGGCTTCTTAAAAGAGGTTGGATTCGACGCCCATGATCCACTTCAAGATCCTTCGAAAGCACTGCTCCCGGCCTCTGGTAGAGGAAACTGCGCTGCGGTGAAGACGCTTTTGGATAAGGGAGCCGATGTCAACGCAAAAGATAAAAAGGGCGACACTGCACTTCACAAAGCCGCCCTTAGAGGTCAGGCTGAAGTAGTACAGCTTCTGGTTAAAGAGGGAGCGCAACCTGACGAAGGGAACAAGGATGGGAGTACGTCATTGCACAAAGCCGCAAAAGCCGGGTATGAGGAAGTCGTTCGGACGCTCATTGAAAATGGCGCCAAAATCGAAGCACAAGATTGTTTCGGTCATTCTGTCATAGGAATCGCAGCGTCATACGGTCAGTATGCAGTCGTCGATACACTACTGAAGAGTGGCGCCAAGGTCGACATGCGAGACCATCATGGCAGGTCCGCTACACACTATGCCGCTGGGAAGGGATACGACGCTATCGTAAAGCTGCTCCTTCACAACAGGGCGAGTATCAATGCAAAGGACCACTATAAGAGTCGACCGCTACACCGGGCAGTATTACATGGCAATGAATCCGTCGTCAAGATCCTGCTCGACAAGAGTGCAGATGTGGATGTCACCGATCAACACGGGAGTACCCCTTTGCACGAAGCCGCTACGAGAGGGCATGCTACTGTTATAGATCTACTATTGGTCCACGAACCGGAAGTAGATGCGGTAGACAAGCTTGGAAATACGGCACTCCATCGGGCTGTGCTAGGCGGGCATGAAGACATCGTTGAATCTCTTCTCAAGAGCAAGGCCAACATCAAACTGCCGAACGGGAAGGGGCAAACAGCTCTTCATCTGGCAGCAGCAAAGGGCGACAACACGATGGTCGTAAAACTGATTGAGAGGGAGGCTCTGGTGGATACAAAGGACCTGGCGGGGTTTACACCACTTTTCAAGGCTGTTGACGCTGGGCACGACAAAGTCGTTCATTGGCCAGAAAGCTAACGTGAATGCATACCTTGATAATGGATACGGGCCGCTCTACCAAGCGGCAGAAAAAGGGCTGGATGCCATCGTTCAAGAACTCCTTGCCAATGGAGCTGAGGTCAACGGAAGGGAACCGAACAGACCAATAAATATAGCAGCGTATCGAGGCCGAACGACCGTGGTTGAGTTACTGGTCAAAAGTCACGCAAGCCTAGGCTATTCAAGTGGCGAGGCGACCCTCCTTCGCGCTGCTTCTCAAGGGCATGCTCCCATTGTCAAGATACTGCTCGACGCTGGAGCAACAATAAATGAGCGCGAAACCAAACAGTACACTGCTCTTCACAAATCAGCCACAGTACAGTTGTGGATGTTCTACTTGAAAGAAAGGCGTCTGTGGATCTGGGAACAAAGTTTGGCTACACGCCTTTGATGTTGGCCGCAAGGACGCTGCGTTTTGGGATTCTAAGGACACTGGTTGCTCATGGGGCAAGCAATTCTTTGAAAAGTAGGTTCGGATTGACAGCAGCGCAGTTCGCGTATGCGGCAGGTGAATCGTATCCAGCATAATTCATTGACAAGACAATCCAGTCGGAGTATGAGTAAGACTTGTGAATCTGGACAGGGTAGGTAAGTAAAGAGTATAGATAGGTGTATAGATTGAGTTGAATGTTGGTTGATGTGTGCAAGATTGATCTCTTGGATGAGGCAAGAGACCCAATGAGTATGTGATGCTCCGACTTACAACCATTGTTCGAGATATGACTAGCCTTCGACACGAACTCAACTTTCAGAGACTAAGCATACTGAGAACCAGGCGGGCTGGACCGCCTAAACTTCGACATCGCCGGGGTAGAAAGCATTGTATATGGTTCTATTGGAGGAATATGCGTTGTAAGGGCACTCTTTCCCATTGCTCGAACTGATTGTGACTTCGATTCAGATACCGTTGAACCTCCATACAAACCCACGAATGGCATGTGAATGTGGGTGATCTGCTTTTTGGAACGAGAACAGTGTCCTTGTAGTCCTCCGGCCAGACATTCAGTGAACCGGTTTTGTATTCGTGCGGTATAAGTATCACAAGATATTCGCAACCTTGGAGGAAGAAAAGCTCATCCCCTTCTTGTACGGTTTTAGTGAGTCGCATCGTATTTCGTGGAGTTGAGTTAGGCTCAGTCGCGTTGTGGTTTGATACGGGGATCTCTGAGCATTCATCATTACCGTCGCCAGCCGTCGTATTCCGGCCTTTCTCTCGGTCGAGGTTAGCAACCTTGGTGATTTTCGCAATTTTGGCCCCTTGTATCTCAAGTACACCATCGGAATATAGCTGCAGAGGGCCTTCATATCCAGCATCCTCCTTAGACTGTACCCAGTCGCCTTTTGGATTTGTCAAGCTCTCTGCCCATTCTCGTGTGACAGGTACCTCAAAGAACGCATCAGTCTGCCGACTCTCTGATGTTTCCCAATTAGGCAGCCAGCTTGGAATCACTGCACCATCAATCCCCAAATCCAAGCTCAACGTCCGAGAGCTCGAAACGATCGGTACGATATCGAAGTGCTTGCTGGCTCTTATTGACGAGACCACGGCGAGCTGATATACTTGTGATTTCGTCAGGTTGTAATCCGGTTGAATGATTTCATCCCTTAACGTTTGGGATGCAAGACCCAACACGCCGAAGACTTTGTCCCTTGGGTCGGTGGCCAATCGTACGGAAAAAGAAGTAAACAGCTCCCGAAGACACAGCTGATGGGAATTGCGAGACCGCCACCGAATATCAAGTCCCACCGAGTCTTCGTCACCATGGAATAGAGCTCTGAATCTATTGATCGAAGCCATGTTGCCAATGAACCTTCTCAACGATGAGAGATCTATATCAAAGCCTTGGGAAGAATTTTCCAGTGCGGTATACACAACCTCTCTGTTGGCACATGCGCTGCAAGCTTGATCGACCACTCGGAATGACAACGTGTACGGCCCGGCCATGAAGTAGAGATTCTTTGGAATAATCGTCTCTTGCGCTGTCCATATACGGGACCACCAGGGAACATTGCATACCGGCTCTAAAAATCGCAGTATAGGGCGCAACTCTTGGGAGACCGCTAGGTATGACTCCACTGTCCAACCTGGCTGATTGAACTCTCGCAATATGTGGAAATGCCGAGAAGCCATTATGCGAAGACTTCTGAACGAATCCGTCAATGAAAGCGCCGGAGCTGAACATTTCCACTGTGCGAATGGTCCTTGTTGCAAGGGGTGATCCTCTGGCAAGCTTGGCCACACGTTCCCGGCTTCATGAGTCAGCACAGCTAAATCTGTGTCCACAACTGATGGATCTGCGATAACGTCATATAGTGGCTCTGCGACATGTTAAAACTTATTTGGGGTCTGGAATCCTGGAAGTGCGTCATACCTGGTGGTCTCTGATCCGACCTCCTGGCGCTAGAGCCTAGCCATGCTACTGTTGCGCTAGAGTTGCGATATATATCAGCCATCTTCTTGACCTGCTCATTCCGCTCCTGAGCGTCTTGCTGGTTGATACAGATTGCATCGACCCAAATTATTCTCTCCTGGTCCTGCAATCGGAGGGCGCGAAGTGCATCCACAAGGTTTTTGGTCCCTTTGAAAAGTAGCCCATTTACTTTCATGTGAACAGTCACACGTGCATCTCCCCAGACATATGATAGTGCCTGATACTGTGGCCTCTCAGGATCACTGAGACACAACGTCATTAAGCTGCAATCTATCTGGTCATCCCAAGCTGTTGCTGGATGAAGGCGCACAACGCGAATTTCATCCCGGGACAATGTAAGATTCTCGTACACTGGACTCGGTTCATGAGATGGTGTCGTTGGCATTTTTTCATCCGACAATCGCATCTCTCTCAGCCGCACAAGTCCGAGGAGGTCCGAAAGGTCTTTTTGGTGTTTTCTGAGAGCCTTGGTGATCCCTTGAACCTGGACGCTCTGGTCTTCCAGGAATGATTTGGCATTCATGACTTCGTCACTCAGCCGCTTAAGTTGCTCCTTAAGGGATTGCTTGAGAGAAGGATCGAAGCCTTCCGTGGTGTATGCAGCCCTAGCGAATTCAATGTCCAGCCTTAGCTGTTCCGCGCTTAGGCTTTGTCCAAACTCTCCGGGATTAGCCCAGACGCTTTCTGCTCTACGAAATGTTTCAAGGCTTTCTTCTAGAGCTTTTCCATACTTGTAGAAAAGGTCAAGGATGTCCGGTGCTGCATGCGCGATATTCGTTTCGGCTCTGTCGCTGCCGCTCGCCATTTCAGATGGGTTCACATAGGATATTGTTACCGGTGTGGAGATGCGAAATCATAGAGGGCTGAAATGTGGAAGGGGAAGCTCTCGTTTAGGCAGTCAGCAGTCTCACGTGGTAAATACGAAGTGGGGTTCAGTCGTGCTTACCACCCAGCCCGACGCATTACTCACAGCACTAATTCTATACCCGAGGTGATGGCTTCGAATCAGTACTTTTAGTATTAAATCCAGAGTATGAATCTGTTTGATAATCATCTCATCCCAAAAGTACCATGGTTCCATCCAAAGCATCACCACTGAACGGGACACCAATAAATCACACCATAGCTAGCAGAGTTTGGCTGCCCTCAGTGCTATCAAGCAGCTACATCGCGTACTATGACTCCATCCTAGGCATCACCAATCAACAGAACACCATTAAATCACACCAAAGCTATTCCCACGAACGTTACCTAACAGCACGTGATCAAAATGCCGAAAGAAGACACCCAAAGCTATTCCCACGAACGTTGCTTAACAACACGTATTCAAAGTGCCCAAAGAAGAAATTCTTGATGATGTAGTATCCAAAGCAAGTCCATGTCGATTTTGAAATTGCAAAAATACGAAAGTAGTTTTTTGGCCTGACAAACAATGCTAATAAATATAGCCGACACACAACAAGACGATATCTGACCACAATATTCATGATACCAGAATTGCAATCGTTCAAAAAGAGCCCTTAATGTTCATCTTGCGCCCACAATACCTGGAGATTTCCGTGTCTTCAACAATACGCCTGCCGTCCATGGTCATCTATAGGGGAATCATATACACCAACACAGACACACACTATCATACAACGCTGCCCCTCCACCCATCCACCTCCCACCCACCCACTCCTCACCCCTCAAAAACCCCATGCTGCAAATCAACCCCCATATCCTTCGCCATAACCCTCATATGCGCCTCAATATCCTCCTCCATCCCCTTCCCACCCCCACCGCCTGCTTAACCTTACTCCACGTAAAATACGCATCGCTCAGCAACAGCACAAGGCGAAACCTCAGATGCTGAACCCAATTCCTCCACCGCTGCCCGGTGCTCAGGTCCGGCGACTCCGCGAGCGCGCGCGACGCCCACAGCCCAGTTATCTTAATGCGGTTTACAGGCGACCCGAGGAACTGGTTGTTCCCCTGGACGATGCGCAGATTGCGCCCTATGAAGATTAACTCGCGGGGCCACTTTGTTTCGTCGCCTAGGATCTGCTTTATGCCGTCTCGAGCCTTGGCTTGCATTTCGAAGGCGCGCTCGGCTTGGTCTTTTCCTTTGCCGCCTTTCTTTAATTCATTCAGGGTACTGTTGTCGCCGCCTTGGTAGGGGCGCATGAGCGTTGCGGAGGCGAATATGTCGGGGTTGTTGATGCCCCAGCTGGAGACGATGTCGCGGATGGTAGCGTTGTCGAAGGCCATGAGGGACTTCCAGAAGAGGGCGTATTGGTGGCGGAATTGGGGGGACATTTGGATGTAGAGGCCGTGGTCGATGAGGACGACTTCGGGTTGGCCGTTGGGGAGCCGCCGGATGAAGATGTTGCCTGGGTGGGGGTCGCAGTGGACGATGCCCCAGAGGAACATTTGGGCACTGAAGAGGTCGACGATGGTGTTCATGGTGGTCTTGAGGGAGACGCCGAGACCGCCTTTGCCGTCTTTGCCTTTCCATTGCTTGCGGTTGGGCTTGTAGAGTGGGTGCTTGGGGGCGTCTTCGGGGACTGATTCGTCGACGTTGGTCCTGTCGTTGGGTAACGGTGGGAGCTTGGAGCCACCTGCTCCGGGGCTGCCTTGTCGGAAGCCGCCCTGCCAGCGGTCTTGTATACCTTCTTTATCCCAGAGTCGCACGCCTTCTATCCACTCTGCCGTCATGACACGCTTACTCGAGAGCTCCCTGTACACTTGCGGGATGTAGACTCGTCCGTTCAAGCGCTTCTCTCCAGCGACCAACTCGCGCATCTTCTCCGCATTGTCCGCCTCGTTTTGAAAGTCGGTCTCCAGCATCAACCGCTCGGTGATATACGGCACCAGCGTGTAGAGAGGTATCCCAAACCACCAGGTATATGCCTTCGCGACAACCTTGAACGCCCACAGATCCCATCCTACCTGATCTGCAATCTCCCTCTTCTGGACCTTTATCGCGACCTCCCTGCCATCAGCCAGTCTCGCCCAATGCACCTGCGCCACACTCGCGCTCGCTCGCGCTGTCTTCTCCATCACGCCCTTGCCCTGCTCCCCCGCAAAGCTCACGCCAAAAACCTCCTCCACGCTCTTCCCAAAGTCCTCCCGCACGACCCTTTCCACCTCAGCCCAATCATTCTGCGGCGCATCATCGAACATCTTGGCAAACATCTTCTGAAACTGCGGCGGCAGCACAGCACTCTGCATCGCAATCGCCTGCCCAATCTTCAAGTACAGCCCGCCATTGTACCGCAACAGATCGAATATCCTTGTCGCATTGCGCGCATGCAGTTCCTCGATGCTATTCACCAGCGGAGGGTGAGCGCGGAAATTAATCTTGTAGTCCAGGCCTATGACAAGGCCAGTCTTAAAAGTGCGAAAGCTGCGCGTGAGAGCCGAGGCGTTGAACTGCTTATCCAGCACATATCCGCTGCCCACGAGCGCGGAAAAGACGAACAGACGGCGCACCCATTTCCGCCTTCGGAACGGAGGCTTGATCTTTCGTACTTTCGGTTTGGGCAGGTCGGCGGGGTTGATAGGGCGCGCGGGTTGGAAGGCTTGCGACTGGACGTGGCGCACGAGGGACGGATGTACCGATCGTGAGCGTAGGGAAGGAAGTGTCAGTGACCTGTAGGTGACATTATGGGTCTGGGCTCCTCGAAGGAGACGCAGGCCATGTATCATCGCTAAGATACAGACTTGGGGGATAGCACGATGCGGCGCGTGGCATGTCGGGAAGCGCGACTTTTTGTCCTGCAGTCATGACGTGCGATGGTGACCGCCTGGACCCTTAGCCCGAAATCGCCGCGGAATCGCCGACGGCGGACCGTTGCCCACGGTTCGTCCGACTCCGACTTTGCTTAGGTACAATGGAGCTACAATCATATGAATTTAATTGATGGTTGTGTACGGATTTTAGGATCAGTTGTGTAATGATGCAAGTGCAAACTTGTAACTCATAGTATTCACTCATCATTCTTCAAAAACATCTACGAGCCCTAGCATCCTCGCAACTAAATTTCACGTTTCTTCTTCGAAGCTATGATGTCTCGATTAAGCCTGTCGCGGGGAAATAGCCTTCTGCGCGGTGGTGAGTGACAAGCTTTTTGCTTGTGTTCGCTGTATCGGCCGAGAGATTGCACCCTCTCACGGAGCATACATCGAACTTCCGCTTCAGTTCCACTGCATTGCAGCGAGACTGGACTTGATAGTCTTGTGCAATGGCGAAGGACTTTTTCGCGACTCGGCTCGGCTCTTTGTCGCAAATGTTGAAGAGCAACTTTGCTCGGTGCGTTGTGTCGTAAAGCATCGGATCGGCCTCAACTCTGTTCCGCCCCCGTCCCATCCTCCCTCCCCTTCTCCACAGCCTCCAAATCCACACTCCACCTCTTCGCAACCTCCCCCACTGTCACCAACCACATCTTGACGACAGGATGATGTCTCGCAACCTCTTGGAACGTCACTTCCTCCTCGCCCTTCAGTCCTTCAACTTCCCACTTCCAAATCCCTTCCTCATCAACCCACTCCCTCCCCAGCACACTTTCGATCGCTAACTCACTTCTCGCACGCTCAAGGAGGATGTTTGCCTCCTTCCACTTTACTTCGTCATGTCCCTTCAGTGCTGTGGTCATACCTTGCAATACCCCCAGCACGCGCCCAACAAGTAGCCCGATCTCCGCCCCAAGAGAAAAGCCCTCATCGAAACCCTCCTGCACGTACTTGCCCTTCGCTGCCGAGAGCCCCTCGCGGTATGCGTCGGTATCAAGGTTGCGCTGGCGGGACGGCAGATCAGAGAGTATCTCGTCGTCTCTTTGCGCGGCAAGCGTGGGCGATGCAGCAGGTGAGGAGCCGTAGATGTCGTCGAGCGGGTCGGCGTGCGGTGGGGTGGGTGGCGCGTTGCCAGCGGGGAGGAAGGCTATGCCCGCGTCTGGTGAAGGCGCGCGTATCATTTTGTGTGGTAAGGTGAGGTGAATTGAAATCTGTATTGGAGTTGCGGCTCTGCGATCGGCGGTGGAGGGGCGCGAAATTCATGGACCCTGTGGCGGGGTTAAGAATTTAGTGCGGTTGCGGACCTCCGCGGGCGAGCTGTGGAGGGCATTACGCCTGTGAGGAGCAATGGGCCATGGAACAATTGTTGAAGTGGTATTTTGTGTGCCTGAATTGCACCGGAAGGATTCACTAATCACCTAATTCCCAGCTCGAAGGTGAGGTTGGCAGCGTTGGTCTTCTATTCCTCCGATGACGCGGGTTCAAGTTCGTCCGCGAGCTCAGCCCTACTGGAGCTGATCCCCTGCCACGGCTTTAGCATCTCTAAACACCATGGTCGCACGACAACGGCGGTCCTACAGGAGTAAGATATAATGTACTTACATGTCTACCAATTCTCAATCAACAACATCAATTGCGCTCGCATTGAAGCCGTCCTAGCCACACTCCCACCTCCTATATCGTCCTGGCAGCTTGATACCCTGTACCATCCTCTGATACGCAAGGCAAACGCAATTAACACCTATCTTCGACCCTGACCACAATGGTCTCTCTCAGCGAAGTCCGCACCCACAATGCGACCCTTTCCTCCCTCGCCCCGAATCTCGTAGCTATCTTTGTCGGAGGCACATCTGGCATCTCGCATTACACTGCGCTAGAGTTCGCGCGCAACACGCGATCTCCGCACATCTACCTCGTCGGCCGCAACGCCGCAGAAGCCGCAAAGATCACCAGCGAGCTCAAGTCCATAAACAATTCCTCCAAGGTCGACTTCATCCAAAAAGATGTGAGTCTGCTGCGCAAAGTAGACGAGGTGTGCAAGGAAATCAAAGAGAAGGAGAAGAAGGTGAACCTGCTGTTCATGACCATCGGCTACATGACGCTCAAGGGCAGGAACGAGACGGAGGAGGGTCTGGATCACAAATTCGCGCTTCACTATTACGCGAGGACGCGGTTCATGCACAACCTGGCGCCTTTGCTAGATGCTGCGGCGAAGGATGAGGACCCGAAGGCGACGCTGTCGCGTGTCGTGTCCGTGTACGATCCGGCGCTTGGAAAGAACAACGATTTCGACTTTTCCGACCCTTCACTGAAAAACAACTTCTCGCTCAAGAATTGCGCGACGCACGGCAGTGCGCTGGGCAACTTCGCTATCGAGCATTTGGCAAAACAATGGCCTAATACTTCGTTTATCCACGAGCAGCCGGGAATCGTCGAGACTTCGGGAGGCCGCAACCCATGGCTCAAGCCTCTTTATGCTCTACTGTCACCGTTCTCGGTGAGCAAGAAGGAAAGCGGGGAGAGACATTTGTTCGAGGCGACTGCGCCTCGCTATGCGCCCAGAGCAAAGGCGGAGGCTGTTCAGGGTGTTGTCAACGGCGGCGACGGCGTCAAGGGTAGCGGACACTACCATCTCTCTTGGAACGGCGAGGCTCAGCCCGACACGAAGAGGGGGATGAAGATGCGGGCCGAGGGTGCGGAGGAGAAGATGTGGGCGCATACTTCGGAAGTTTTCCAGAAGATTTGCGAGGAAGGCGGCAAATACTAATTGAATAGGAAGCGCGGGGTTTTCCTTCTCTTATGATACCATCTCAGCTTAGTTCATTGTCAATGTCATGGTTATTTCACAGCTTGGTGGTTTCGGTAGGCTTGGGTAGTCCAATAGCTTCAAGAATAGCATCAAGTTTCTCCGGATGTTGTCGAAGAATGTCCCATTCCTCTTGGAACTTGACCATGAGCGTGCCCCCAAGTACGGTGCCGTTTAATTGTACAAATCCGATGTCGGTGCCGTCATCACGTCGCAGCATGTGACCCTCACTGCGTCTAGGAATAATTGCCATACCGGCGGTCGTCATGGCCAGATTATAGCTGATTGGTAGGTCTCCACCATCGGACTCGTGTAAACTCAGCTGGCCGGGATGAGTTGAGATGTAGCCATCAATGGCTTGCTTTGCGTGTTGGTACAGGAAGTTGTACGTTTGCAGGAGCTGGGCAGCAGATGGCTCGGAAGGGAATCTGTATGCGAAATGTGTAAAGGGAAGCTTTTCATGCTGCATAACCTTGGTCGAAGCATCTGTGTTCACATTAGTAACGTCTGAGAGCCAGAATTGCGAGCGCCATACCTTCCGCCCCATTGGATAAGATAGAATCTATGAGCACATCCCATCCAGCCGACTTCTCACCCTCGTGCATGCTATCTACGGGGAGGAACTGCAGATGCCGGTGCGGCTGGCTAGCTCCACTATGGTTGCCTGAATTGAAGAAGGCGAACAGGCGGCCGCTATTGTCCTTGCCTTGCCATGCTTTTAGGCAGGCGTACGTTGCCTCGAGGTCGTCTTCCTCCAACACATGTGTTTGTTGCTTGTTCGACTTGGTCGCAAGTATGAAGTGATTCGTTATAACGGGAAACTTGTTCAGCACCAAGAAGTGGCTCGGATTCGTTGTAGGTACGTCGGTGATGAAGAGCTCGGCGGGTGGGTTCTCGAAAGGGTCGACCTTCTTCTTCGGCGTGGTTTCCTTGCGCGGCTCGGGTTTCTTCGCGAGGGCGGGGCAGTATCGCAATTGGAACTGACTTTGTGTTAGCTGGGTGAAAGCCACCGGATTCGTGGCACTTACGGGAATCCCAGCAGACGTGCGAATGATGGAGAGCTCGGTCGGAGAGAAGACCAGCGCCTGCGAAGCTCTTGCAGACGTGAATTTAGCTTCCACCAGCTGTGGTAGAGCTTCAGACAGTCCTAGCATCCTTTTCATGGACAATTTGGCGTCGCAATTGTAAGTTGATGTTGTCGAAACAGGTGCCCCGCCGGGACTTCCGCTTCTGCGCACAGACCTAGCTACACATTTCCTAACGTAATTCCTCAGCACCAACTTCATCGTCACCCCTGGATGATCATCAACTTCGGCGGCGATGCGACTTCATCGTTTCATTGTAATCCTTCGGACTGATACATCATAGCTAATCACGTACTGAGAAGATATCGTATTTGCAACAGAACAAGAACATCGATTTCTTGTACGCCATGGATGCATATGCAACTTGGTATCTAGAAACAGCAAGATGCTTGAAATCGCAGGACAATAATGCCAGCCTTGCGGCATGCCAATGTAATGGTATCCCACTATTAACCCGATGCAGGACAAAGCACCTTCAAACTTCCAGACAAAATAATATAGACAGCATATGAAAAAACTCCTTAATACTTCGAATCTTCAATTCAAAGGAGATGAGCCAGAAGAGAAACGTTCCGAAGCATCTATACTCCAAAATAGAGCTTTGGACGTTCGCCGCGAAATCAGCGACGCTGGTCGATCTCGATCCACTTCTTCTTACAGGTGGAGTTGCCGAACCTGTATGATCCGCCGTGGTTGAGGATGTACTCGCTAACCTTCTTCCAGGAAATCTTTGTCAGGCGCTGGATCGCGTCGATGGTCCGATGACCATCATCGAGGCTATCAAGCTGTTGATTGACTACCTCCCTAAGCAAGCGGATCTGTTCGAATTAGTACACTCCACGCAGCCAAGACATGATTTGACTTACATCCTTCGAGGTCCACGTCGGCTTGCGAACCCGGTCCTTCTTCTGTTTCGTCAAAGACCGGTGCCGACCTCTTAAAGTCGACTCAGCAACATCGCTGCCTGGAAATCGTGCGACGATTCTAGCACGAATCTCCTTGTAGGTCAACTCCGCTGCTTTGCCATCCATGAGGATCCGGTTCTCTGCATCACGTTGCGACTGTTCCACCGTTGAGCGGGAAACTCCGTTCGTCTCTTGCCTACGCACCTGGCGTTGCAGTTCGTGGGATGGCTCACGGCTCTGGACGACCGCTCCTGCACGTGCATTCGACCCAGAACTGTGGGTGTGTGAGTGATGAGCGCTGTTCTGGAAAGGGTTGACAAAGCCCGTGTTGTAGTATGGGGACTGCTGCATCTCCTGGTACATCGAAGGCTGCCAGGCCATCGAACCCACGCCATCAGTCTGGCCCACCGAGGTTGCCCAAGTTAGACTGAACTGGTCGACCTGCGAACCAAACCCAGTCTCGTATTGCCGCCCTACGGAGGGCGCGATACCGACAGTAGCCGAGTGTGATGACGATGGACCACTCCCCATCCCTCCACCAACCGCGTATGTGAGCTGCGGACCAAAGCCAGGCGAGATCGACTGGGACGGTGACTGCTTGACTTGACTGGGCGATACGGACGAGTGCTCGGCCCAAGTGCCACTGGCACTCGTTTTTTCGCGTCCAGGAATGGGCGAATATGTCGCGCCGCGCTCCGAGGGCTCACTGAAATAAGTGCTCCTTGGGGACAAGGAAGAGGTTGCCGTGTCGAAGTCAGAGACGTCCGCCGTGCCAGCGGATTGCAGCAGAACAGGCTGTCGCATTGGCAAGGCCCATGGTGCACCGTCGGTGTAGTTCGTCTCGCTCTTCACCATCGTCGAACGTCCCGCCAGCGTGCCCGTGTAGTCCAACTGGTTGTTCAACCCGCTCTGGTAGTCTGCGTCTGACATGATCATGGGTGACGCCATAGGCAGACTATGGTTGAGGCTATACGCCTGGGCGTTCATTGTGTTCATGAACATCGAGTTGTAGCCGCCTCCAACTTCGGAAGGCGATGTGTTAGAGAAGAACCCGCCTGTTGCAGGTGGATACGTGTGCGGATTCAGCCTCCTCGGGAGACCATCGGTCGGCCAGGCCTGAGTGTGCATGTCAACCGCAGGCTCACGTTGCTGCTGCTGCTGCTGCTTTGGCTGGTCAGCTTGCGTTCGGGTAAGAACAGAGATCGCTCGTACCAAGCTAGGCTGTTCCATGGTGTACCCAACGTTTGTGAGCTGAGGGGAGAGTTGATGCTGGAGACGTTCTAGAGAAGGTGCGGGGAAGAGAGTGTGTGGCCGTACGTAAGTTGCAACGTCTTGACAAGCAGCCTCTCGGTACAAAGCTTGTGTCATGAGAAGGGTGCGCGGCCTATAAGAATAACAGAAGTCAGCAAATCACGTTGCTTTGTACTTCACAGACGTGGCCGCGAAAGAGATAGCAATGAGGAGCTTCACGGCCGCTCGTGAATCGGGAATGACAAAGTACAATAGGTTGTTGCGGCTCATACGACCATTCACGGATCACGCCGGGCTTTTAGGCACTCAGGTGAAGGAGGACTCCCCCACGCGACCAAGCGGTAAGAGAGAAAGCTGGCTTTACAAGGGGCAGAAATCCTGACCGCCTCAGCTTGCAGGGCTTTTCGGATATTGCCACCTCGTAACTGGTCTGTCGATGCGGCTCAAGGCAAGGCATGGGCTGCTATCTGTATCTTGTACCAGCAAAGCCGCACTAAGCCTGCCCTCATAGCCAGCATTCGCCGGATCATTTGTCAAAACATAGCTAAGGTACTCACATGTATGCCACGAGAGTTCCTGAGATACCAGGCATGTCGGAGATGGAGCTAAGATCGTAAAGGACAGCACAAACACACTAGCAACAAGTCAGCGCATCCACGTCGTGGAACGATTCCGCAGGAAGGAGACATACGGAAATTTCGCGAACGATACAGCATTAAGCAAAGTAGAAAGAGGGCCGAAGCTGCAGATACTGATAATCACGGGAGCGAGGTAGGTTCTACAGGAGTGAAAGGTACTTATACCTAGGTCACCGCAACATTTGTCCGCCTCACAGCTCCTTGTTCATGTACCCCGTATCTCTGGAGATGCGGTGACGTACAATACCATCTAAGCCGCCGTGACGGCCAACTTCGGTTCCGCTCTGGCCATCTCTTCGAACCGACCCGATAATACACGGATCTACACGGCGATGTTATAATCTCCCCGCCCCCTCCGCATGATTTGTATACGCGAAGCCAGACTGTCTCCTGACCGACAGCACTGTGATGACGAGCGCGCCGATTCCGACGTGGCAGGCCTACCGTATGCCCAGCCCTGCCGGGGACCTCAAGCTGCTTTTGATCCTCGAAAACCTATCAGAGTCGAGCAGCAAAGCCCAAACCGCATCGTGATTGCTCTTCTGATATTGCCTGGGCTGGCTCCAGGTACCCGCGTCGTCTTGTTTGGCCGACGTACAGATGTCTACGGGTACGCGCATGGCAAACCAGCGACAATCCTTGCGACGCTTGGACAACGGCATTGCAGTAGGTGAGCAGTCATCTGCAATGGCCCATGAAGAGACAGCGGATCTGCGGGAAGGATCGATCTTCACCAGGTTCGAGAGGGCCGCATGTACAACATGTGTATGCGGCGCTCATTGCACGTGCCTTTGTACTACATGTGGCTGCTTGTCACGTTTTTTACACGATTCGTCCTTCTCATCATTTCACGAGAACCCAACGTAGTCCCAAACAGTGCAATATAAGTCAAAGGTTGTGTTGCGTCCACTGATAATGCAAGCTCGAGAGCCATGCCAGCTATTCGACGATCCGGACCATCTGTACGACTCGGACTTGGCAGGCTTCCGTAATTCGGGAACTCGCTCTCACTGTGTCGCAGGATGCCGACTTCCGTACGGACCGAAGTTGCCCCACAGCTCGGAGTCCACTGTTCTCTCCGCGGGCAGGAGCCTTTAACAGGGAGAGATCTCCTTGCAGCTTTCTGGGGAATGCAACAACCCGTGCCGATAGGCCGTCAAAGCGCTCGTCAATGGTGACACAAGCCGGCTCCATGTGGGCGGGAGCGCCACCGAAGGCGGTATAGCAAGGGTAATCCAGTGACGAGTCAGGGACAACAAAATATCGAAGATTTCGTTGAGGAAATCAGTCAGGGCTCAAGACGGGCCCAATATCTAATATAGCACGAATTAGGTCAGTGTTGTGAGTGGATTGTGTGGAAAATCCAGGCTTCTACCCCTTGGTTGTGTTTGCATTGTTCCCCACCCTTGCCGAACACCTATGGATACACAACAGCAGATCTGGCTCAGATCTTCGCCTTCTCCGAAGACGGCAGCAACTCGACATCCTTCCACGGCAACCCCAGATACTGCCACATGAAGTGGAACCTACGGCGGGTCAGGTCCACTCAAACACAATCTCGTTTCACAGTTCGCATGCGATGGAATGCACCAACGGGAACCATACTCGAAACGCTTGAATAACCTCGCATAAGGAACCGTACGTACCTGTCACTTCCAAAAAACGGCCCCTCCTCTCCTCTCGAGTTTCGCACCCAGAACCACGGGCAGCCGAATGCTCCTTTCCCGAGCGCTTCCTTCGTGTTCGCATTCAGCGCTTCCTTGTACTCGGGCGTATTTGTCTTGCCTAATATCTCTCGGACTTGCGTATCTTCAAACTTGTTTGATAGCACTTTAGCCAGTAGCTCTGGTTTGCTGACATCCTGGTCACCTTCCCACATCGCAGAAAAGATGTCTAAGAAAGTCTTGATGTAGAGCTCAGGGTACGCGGCTTTGATGTACACCAAAGCACGCTGGGGCAGTAGTGAGAGGATGGGAAAGGACGAAGGTGTTTTTATATTCGGAAGGCCAAAATACTGCTTTGCGCGCGCGGTCTCGTGTGTTGAGTACGCAGCTTTCGCAGGAAGTGTCCAAGGAGGTTTATTGCCTTGTAACATCATTAAGCTCAAAGTTTAGACGTCCGATGCCCTGCGGTCGTACGTACCGCTGCCTACATTGATGCCGCCCAGGAAGACGGGCACTATACTACGAACGTCAGAACATGATACAGGCAGGGAAGTGGATCGTCCCCGTGCCACTGCTGGAGCAGGGACGAACACATGCGTTTGCAGGTACACGTGGGTCTGCAAGCTGAGCAGCACGGACTGGTGCACGTACTCTATTGACACATTGTGAGATACGAGGAGTGCTCTGCTCTTCTCGAGGTGGACGAGAGCGAAGTATGAATAGGGCGATACTGGCTTGAGGTCAGCCCTGGGAATGGGAAAGCGCGTGTTTTGATAGGGGGAGCTACCGCAGTCGAGGTATGCTGTTATCTTGCCGCCCGACATAATTTTGTTTTGCTCGGAAGGAAGCGTCCTTAATGAGCAACACAGATGCGCGGCACTGCGCGGTTGAAGCTTCACGTCACTTGGCTATGGGGATTTGTGTAGGAGGAGAGGTATAGCATGTGACGTCTGCGCGAGGATGCAGAGGTGTTGACGTAGGCTTACAACCATTGGCTATCGCAGTATTTCGAACGAAGCAAGCTACAGAAACGACCGCTTCCACCAATGATTTCTGCACTTTTATTGACATAGGCGTTGAGATGCACTCCACAACGTCCTCCGTTGACGTTGGCGGTTAGCTTAGGCTTGGCGACCTCGGCTGTGAAAGCTAGCGAGCGGCTGCTTCTCCGCAACATCAGTAATCATACAACATATTTCTCTCACGCAATGATGCGCGTCTGCTCCGCCCGAGCCCGAGGTAAATATTATAGAAAGGGCTGCACGTTATGCGCAGGTTGACCGCGGCCATCACTGCGCGGAACCCGATCGTCGATTAGGTGGCTCTGTTGATCACAACACGGTAAGAAGGGAGCTCGATACCACCTGTAGGAAGTATTAGCGCGCGTCTATCATGTCGAGATCAGGACAGAAGGTCGCTCTCATTGTAGGTGCTTCTCGGGGCATAGGAAGACAAGTTGCTGTCGATCTGGCGAAGAACGGGTACGCCGGTGAGTATAACATTGTCTACAAGCTTCAGCGAGACTTTGCTAACCCGCACGCAGTCGTTGTTGCCGCGAAAAGTACATCGGATGCCTCGACTGTCACCCCTTTTCCTCCGGATCCGAACTCCCCGCAGTCCACGATCAGCACTGTCGCGCGCGAGATTCGCGAAGCCGGCGGAGAAGCGACTGCTGTCGCTGTAGACACCCGCGACTATACCTCCATCCAGAACTTACTCGTCGAAACAATCAAGAAGTATGGACATCTCGATGTGTTGGTCTACAATTCGGGCGCCATCTGGTGGGCAAGCGTTGAGAACACGCCTATGAAGCGCTTTCAGCTCATGCAACGCGTGAATGTGGAAGGCCTGTATGGCACAGTCCAAGCTTCCCTCCCGCATTTCAGAGCGAACGGGTGGAAGGGCCGCATCATCGTTGTCAGCCCCCCTATTTACTCGCGCTTCTTCAGAGGCAAAACGGCGTACGCAATGGGTAAAGTAGGCATGAGTGTCCTCACCAAAGGCCTAGCTATGGACTGGGAAAGAGAAGGCAAGGGGGAAATGGCCATCACGAGTATTTGGCCTGCAGCGGCAATTCAGAGTGCCGCGACGAAAGATGCAGAGAAAGAAAGCGCGCATGAATTGCGCAAGCCCACTATATACTCGGCCGCTATCCTTGCGATGCTGCAAGCACCTGCAACAGAAGTCAATGGGTGTTTGGAACTCGATGAAGATTTCCTTCGGCAAAAAGGCAGAACGGACTTCGAAGAATTCAACGTTGTTGCTGGGTCCAGGCCGCGGCGAATTATGCCGAAATTGCTTCCCGACTTAACGGTCAATGAGCAGGATGACGAGGGCAAGAGAATGGATAGTACAAAGTTGCGTTCAAAAATGTAGGGTTCTCCGTCCGCGGAGTAGTGGTTGGCACATGGCCGCCTCCCGCTCCCGCTGCATGACGGACCTTCCTTGCAGAAAGATAGCGACATCGAGATCGCAAAGAACCTCATCGCGATTCTGTTCGACGTTTTTGTCGATCTATGTAAGTCATTTTCAATCAGAAGGTTATTGATGGTTAGTTGCAGAGGAATTCCCGATTCCATGTTCGATTCCGCATTCTTTGGGCACTCTGTACTCTCCTGGCCCGATATGCAGGTATTCAGGTCACCACTTCATCGGTGTCTATAGACTTGGCAACAGCCTGCCTTCGCACATTCCATCACGTCCAGCACACATTCAGTTTTCACCGCGTCGACGCGTACTTCGTACAATGGAGGGGGATTCGTGTTATCCCGCCTAAGCATGCTCCACCCGTGAACCACTCCCTTCATCTCTGCCGCTGCCATTCGGCATACGCTCTTACAAGCGCCAGTCACTCATTCACATTGTGCACTCATTTGCATCGGTCCTACTCGTTTTATAGCACTCGTTGTCATTTCTCCCCACAGAGGGCGCGCCACGGCCCATCTTCCGCGTCATGTTCTATCCTCACATGCAATCCAAGCAACATGCTTGGAATAGTTGTCTCAGAAATCTTCTCGTCTGGGTATTCTTCGCCAGTGGAGTACTTGCACGACCTCAAGGACTACTCGGAGGTCTCGTCGGTGGTCTTACCGGTACAACTCCCACTTTGACCTGCACTGACGGCAATGGCGCTACTTACACCAACGGCTCCACCATCGTCGACCAGGGTCGCCTTTATCAAGTCGTTTGCAACACGAATATCCTCCAGACATCCCTTCTTACCAGTATTACACCCAGCCTGACTGTGTGCCTCGATACATGTGTCAGTAACCCCTACTGCACTGGCGCTACATATGACAGGACTACAAACACTTGCTCATTGAAGGGAGTCACCGGCGTAGTCGGCAATGTTGTCGGCGGTTTGGGCACTACGCTCGGAGCAACGCTCGGTGTGACCAATGGGCTCATTGCTTTGATACCCATCGGCGTGGTGAGCAGTCTGATACCAAGCTCATCGTCGACAAGATTCTCTACGGTTCCTACCCCCGTACCTTTGGCTGCGACTTCTAGCCCTCGAGTTTCGTCCGCTGTCGCAGCGGCAGTATCTGTGGGCCCCATTGGTGCGAGCTTCAGCGTCGGTGTCGGCGTCTCAGTCGGACAATCGGCCGTCCTGAGTTTACTGGCGAGCCCTTCTTCTGTACCAAGCGCATCTTCTCGCGGTGCTTCGTCTTTGGCTCCTGTCTCATCAGCCGGTAACGCTCCGGGTCTTCTCGGGGGTCTCCTCGGGGGTCTTCTCCCGGTCGTCGCAAGTGCACCTTTACCGACACCTTCAAGCGTGGTCGTTCCCATTGCGTCGATACTAGCTCCAGCTCCGAGCAGTCCGAACGTCGCTACGGTAGCAAGTGCGCAGCTCCAAGCCAGTGCTGCAGTTTCTCTTGCTCTCAGTTTGCAAAATGCTCAGAGTTCATCAGTCAGACCTCCATCTTCGATACCGGTGATCCTGCCTTCTTCGGCACCATCGGCCCCTGTCGTACTTCCCTCTTCGGTACCTCCGCTACTCCTGTCGACAGTCCTACCGGTGGTGCCAGCGAGTAGCGTCCAGAATGCGCTCGGGGGCTTGGTTTCCGGTCTTGCGGTCGGCGTGGGCAACATACTAGGTGTACCAACGCCTTCGCCAATTCTGCCTTCCGTTCCCAGCGCAAGCAGTGTCCAAGCTCCTCTCAATGTTGCCGGCGGCGTTGTGTCCGGTTTACTTGGAGGCGTGTCCAGCTCGGCGGCAGTTTCGACGTCTTCGCCGAGTGCACGTTCGGTATCGAGCGTGAACAGCGTCCAAAACCAAAACCTTCTGGGCGGACTCGCCGGCCTGCTTCCTGGTGTTGGCTTGAGTGTCGGAGTTGCTGTGCCGAGTATCGGAGTGGCTGTACCGGTAGCTTCAGTGGGTGTAGCGATCCCATCAGTGGGTGTAGCGATCCCATCAGTGGGTGTAGCAATCCCATCAGTGGGTGTAGCAATCCCATCATTGGCCGTAGCGATCCCTTCAGTGGGTGTAGCGATCCCATCAGTGGCCGTAGCGATACCTTCACTGGCAGTTCCTTCACTGGCTGTGGCTGTACCTTCACTGGCTGTGGCTGTACCTTCACTGGCTGTAGCAATCCCTTCACTGGCGATTCCTTCAGTGGGCTTACAGATCCCTTCACTGGCTCTACCTTCAGTGGCCATAGCGATCCCATCACTGGCTGTACCTTCACTGGCTGTAGCGATCCCTTCGGTAGCGATTCCTTCGGTGGCCTTGCAGGTCCCTTCAGTATCCGTACAGATACCTTCACTGGCGATACCTTCATTGGCTGTACCGATTCCTTCAGTGGCCGTACCTTCACTGGCTGTAGCGATCCCTTCAGTGGCGATTCCTTCGGTGGCCTTGCAGGTCCCTTCAGTAGCCGTACAGATACCTTCACTGGCGATTCCTTCACTGGCGATACCTTCATTGGCTGTACCGATCCCTTCAGTGGCCGTACCTTCAGTGGCCGTACCTTCAGTGGCCGTACAGATTCCTTCAGTGAACATCCCCGCGCCTTCTTCCATTCCGGCTATCAGCATTCAAAACCCTCTCGGTGGCCTCTTTTCTGGTGTAGCTGGAGGATTGAACAGCATATTAGCTGTACCGTCACCTTCGGTGAACGTTCCCTCGGTTCTTTCAGTGCCGGCGGTCAGCGTTCAGGTTCCACTTGGAGGCATTTCGAGTGTGGTAGGTGGGCTGGCAAACACACTCGTAGTTCCCACGCCTTCCCTTATTCCGGCTTCAGCTTCTATTCCAGCCATAAGCAGCGCTCAGAACCCGCTTGGCGGCTTGGTTCCAAACCTACTCGGAGGATTGGGCGGCCTGCTTGCGGCCCCGACACCTTCCACGGCTGCTCCTGCCCCATCCTCGGCTGCTCCTGTCCAATCCTCGAACTCCCCTGTAGGCAATGCTCTCGGGGGCTTGGTTTCAAACGTGGCTGGAGGATTGGGGGGTTTGCTCGGGGTTCCTGCAGTATCGTTGGGTCTGTCAGTTGGACTTCCCGCAATTTCGATACCTACTCCAGCGATACCTAGCGTTGCTGTCCCTAGCGTTTTGCTGCCTGCTCTTTCGGTTCCTGGACTTTCGATACCCACTGCTGTGGTACCAAGCGCTCCAGTCATCGGTCTTTCAATACCCGTTCTTTCGGTCCCTGCGGTTTCGGTACCTGCTGTTTCGGTACCTGCTGTTTCGGTACCTGCTGTTTCGGTACCTGCTGTTTCGGTACCTGCTGTTTCGATACCTGCTGTCTCGATACCCGCTGTTTCGATACCTGGTGTGTCGATTCCCATTGTTTCGAATCCTGCCGTTTCTGTTCCCGGATTAATTTCTCCCATTCCGAGCGTTGCATTTCCTGGCGTGTCTGTTCCTGGCGTCTCGATCGCTGGTGCATCAATTCCCAGCGTCTCGATCCCTGGCATTTCGATTCCAGTTGTCTCAATTCCAGCTGTTTCGATCTCTGGGGCTCCCCAACCGGCACCGAGCAGTGTACAAAATCCACAGAATCCGCTCGGTGGCCTATTACCAGGTTTACTAGGAGGCGTAGGCAGCATCCTTGCGGTACCCGCCGTGTCGGTGGGCGTTTCACTGGGTCTTCCAGGCATAGCAATACCTTCGGTCGCATTACCTTCAATTGCAGCCTCATTACCTGCTGTCGCAATACCTTCGATCAACATCGGCTTGCCGTCGATTTCGGTAGCAGCACCTTCGCTAGCGATACCGTCTCTGGTAGTGCCTCCGCTAGTAATACCTTCCCTAGCAGTGCCTTCGCTGGCGATACCTTCGCTGGCAGTGCCTTCGGTAGCAGTACCTTCGCTAGGAGTGCCTTCGGTAGCAATACCATCTCTAGCAGTACCTTCGCTAGCGGTACCGTCTCTGGTAGTGCCTCCGCTAGTAATACCGTCGCTAGCAGTGCCTTCGCTGGCGATACCTTCGCTAGTACTGCCCTCAATAGCAATACCTTCGATAGGAGTACCCTCGCTAGCAGCACTTTCAATAGGAGTGCCTTCGGTAGCAGTGCCTTCGATAGGTGTTCCTTCTCTAGCAATACCGTCGCTGGCAGTGCCCTCCCTAGCAATACCTTCCTTGGCAGTGCCCTCGCTAGGTGTTCCTTCTCTAGCAATACCATCGCTGGCAGTGCCCTCCCTAGCAATACCTTCCTTAGCAGTGTCTTCGATAGCAGTGCCCCCGATCTCGGTGGCGATCCCAAATGTGGCTTCTCTCGGTTTGCCCTCAGGCCTCCTGGCTGTGCCATCGCCTGCTGTTCCAAGCAGTATACCGCCCCTGCCTCCCGCTCTAGTATCTGCGCTGGATACCGCGGTTGGTAGCATTCTACCATCAGTAAGCGATGTTCTGGGAAGCTTGCTCGGAGCTCCAATATTGCCTTCTGCGACCGGTTCGGCACCTCTAATTACGCCATCGCCCAGTAGTAGCTCTACCCCACAGGACGATCAGCTGAACGCGTTGTTGCAATATCTGTCATATGACTTGGGCATTTACTTCCCGCGTGATCAGATGATGTCTTTATTGGGTATCGTACCAAGCGCGACAACTCCGTCGAGCTTGACTATAGGTGTGCCGACACCTACAGGTCCAGGACTCATACCAGGCCTACTAAGTGCTGTAGGCCTTGGGCCAAGTGCTGCAATTCCCTCGATATTGTCAACACCGGTCCTGGCCCCGCAATCTGCGCCTTCGTTAGGGGTAGGACTGCCAACGAGCAGTCCGGGCGGAGGCGTGTTAGGAGGACTTTTGTCTGCGGTTGGAATTGGACTTCCGTCGACGCCAGCCCTTCAACTACCTTCTATATCACCTGTAGCGCCTCCTATCGCCGTAAGCTCTTTACCACAATCCCTGGCACTCCCTCCGCTTCAACCAAGCGTTGCTAGTCCGAATGCCCCGAATCTCTTGGGCGGTCTGCTTTCGAATCTTGTCAATGTCCCTACGCCGACAGCTCTACCGAACAACATCCTACCCCTGCCTACTCAACCGCTGGTCAACGTCGGCCTTTCGCTGCAGCTTCCGGCTGTCAGCGTTCCAAACCTGGCTTTGCCCACAACGCCGTTGGTCAATATTCCGCTTTCACTCCAGCTCCCATCTGTTGGCATTCCGAGCCTTGCTTTGCCTGCTGTACCATCAGTTAACGTTCAGCTACCTTCTCTGGGAATCCCGTCTTTGGGAGTGCCAAGCCTGGCGCTGCCTACTACACCGTTGATCAATGTTCAGCTACCATCCTTGAGCATTGCCAACGTGGTGCTGCCTACTCCACCGATAATAAACATTCAGCTTCCTTCGCTGCAAATTCCGTCCATTGGCATTCCAAGCTTGGCTTTACCCAGCACACCATTGATCAACGTTCAGCTACCATCCTTGAGCGTCCCTAACGTGGTGCTGCCTACTACGCCAATAATAAATGTTCAGCTTCCTTCGCTGCAGATTCCGTCAGTGGGCGTTCCTAGTGCAGCATTACCAAGCACGCCACTCTTCCAGCTTCCTTCACAGCTTGCATCTACGGGGACTCCAAACCAAGCTTCGCCTACTACACCACTAATCAACATTCAATTTCCTCCCATCGGTGTTCCAAGCCTGGCATTGCCAAGTTTACCGCCTATTCAACTTTCGGGATTGGAGCTTCCTTCTCTTTCAATTCCAGCTCTGCCGACTACGCCGCTCGTTCAGATTCCGTCACTGCAGCTTCCTTCTATTGGCATCCCAAGCCTGTCATTGCCAAGTTTACCACCTATTCAGCTTTCGGCATTGGAATTTCCTTCTCTGGCTGTTCCATTTCCAGCTCTGCCGACTACGCTACCCCAAGTTCCTTCTGTGGGAGTCCCAAGTGTAGCTTTGCCAAACTCGCCGCTCGTCCAGCTTCCTTCTATTGGCATTCCAAGCTTGGCTTTGCCAAACTCGCCGATCATTCAACTTCCGTCACTGCAAATTCCTTCTGTAGGGATCCCAAGCCTGGCCTTGCCGACTACACCACTTATCCCACTTCTATCACTTCAAATACCTTCCGTAGGGGTTCCAAGTCTGGCTTTACCAACTGCGCCGCTTCTCCAGTTGCAGCCTCTCTCGCCCGGCAGCGCAAGCGTACCTTTGCCGACTGCGCTGCCTGTTGGAACTCAGCCTCCATTGCTCAACCTCCCAAGTTTGGGACTGCCGGGAATCTCACTTCAATTACCGTCGCTAGAAATTCCTGTATTGTCCATCCCTGCGCTAAACATACCTTCCTTGAATCTTGCAGCACCTTCAGCAAATTCACCGGCCCCGGCATCAAATCCAACCAACAACGCTCCGGGTCTGCTGGGTGGCCTATCTTCTCCTCTTGGTGGATTGCTATCGGATCTAGGGCTTGGCGCCGTCCCAACTATACGTCCAACCGTACCACAAGCGGCGTCCTCTGTTCCAAATATTGTTGGTGGAATTATTGGTGGATTGGCTTCGGGTTTGAACATCCCCGGCTCTCTCCCACCGCTTGTGACAGTGTCTGCACCCGCGCAACCCAGTAATATCCTTAGCGAATTATCTGGCTTAGGGCTCCCTGGTGTTCCCACACTAAGTGCTCCCACACCAAACATCGTAAACGGAGCGATTGGTGGTCTGGTGTCAAACCTACTTTCGCCATTAACGAACCCTCTAGCGCCTCTTCCAACGATACCTATACCGAGTGCCGTGATCGACAGCTTGCTATCTGGTATAAGCGCCCCGAACTCACTGTCACTGCCTGCAATATCGCTTCAGACTCCGCCAGTTCTACCCAGCGCACCAGGTCTCTTAAACGGACTCCTTTCAGGATTGGGTGGTGTGGTACCTAGCGTTCTGAATAATGCAGGCGAACTTGCTTCTAGGACTGTAAGCCCTGTTATCACGCCGCTCACGAACATACCCGGGCTAGTTCCCACTGTGTCGGTGCCGAATGTCGTAGGAGGCATCATCGGCGGAGTTCTTTCTGGGGTAGTGAATCCGATCATTAGCCCACTGACGAACGTGCCTGGAATACTGAATCCGGTTGTCTCGCCTTTGGCCAACATTCCGGGAGCACTTCCCACGGTGCCTGTATCGAATGTAGTCGGCGGCATTGTCAGCGGCTTGGTCTCCGGTTTGGAGAACCCAGTCATCTCTTCTGTCGCAGTTCCAACTGCGCCAAACCTGCTACCACCCGTGTTGCCATCCATTCCCGTTGGGAACTTACCAGGAGGCCTTCTGTCTGGTCTACTCGGCCAATCCCTGATCAATGTACCGAGCTTGTCACCTCCGACTTCCCTGCCTAATCTGGTTGAAAGCGTGGTAGGTGGCATTCTCCCAGGGCTGAACGCTCCGTCTAGCCTTCCCTTGACCTCGGGACCGCAAGTTCCAAGACCGACAGCTACCAATCCAAACGTAATTGCGAACATATTGAGCGGTCTGTTACCTGCATCGGGAATCCCGAGTGCACCTCCGATTGTCTCGCAGCCCAATGTGATTCAAGACGTGCTTTCAAATCTAGCAGGACTACCGTCTAATTTACCAACGCCAGTCAGCGCAGTGGTACCTCCTTTGATCCCGCAGGCTCCGAACCCAATAGGATCTTTACTTTCTGGACTGGCAAATGGTGTTCCGTTGCCAACGTCCGCTCCTCCCAATCTCGTTAACGACCTACTATCGGGTCTAAACAGTCTTGGATCTGGACTCGCTGTGCCGACTTCCCTTCCACCTGGTGTTATTAACGGCTTGCTCTCAGACTTCGCAGCGAATCTGCCCGCATCTGCTCCACCTGCTGTTGTTGCCAGTGTGTTGTCGGGATTGGGCAACCTCGGCTCTGGTATTGTGCTTCCGACTCCACTGCCATCCAATGTTGTCGAGAACCTGTTATCAAACGTAGCGGGCTTACCAACGAATGGTATTTTGTCAGGACTAGGCAATCTCGGCTCTGGTATTGTGCTTCCAACTCCACTACCATCTAACGTTGTCGAGAACCTATTATCAAACGTTGTAGCGGGCTTACCCGCGTCTGTTCCACCCAACGCGATCAGTAGTATTTTATCAGGATTGGGCAACCTCGGCTCTGGCATTGTGCTGCCGACTCCACTGCCTTCCAATGTCGCCGAGAACCTGTTATCAAACGTCGCAGCCGGCTTACCAACATCTCTTCCACCCAATGCGATCAATAGTATTTTGTCAGGACTGGGCAACCTCGGCTCTGGCATTGTGCTGCCGACTCCATTGCCTTCCAACATCGTGGATAACCTGCTCTCTGGCGTAGCAGCGGGCTTACCAACATCTGTTCCTCCTGGTGTACTCAACAGCATCTTATCAAACCTTGGACCTGGCATTGTGCTTCCGACTCCATTGCCTTCCAATGGCGTTGAGAATCTGCTCTCTGGCGTGGTAGCGGGACTTCCGTTATCCGTTCCTCCTAATGTGCTCAACAGCATCTTATCAAACCTTGGATCTGGCATTGTGCTTCCGACTCCACTGCCATCATTAGGAAACGCTATTCCAAGTGGCATTCAGACCAATGCTGTAGACAACCTCCTGAACGGCTTGGCCTCGAATCTCGCTCCAGGAGTGGTATTATCCGACTTAGCCTCCAATCTTGGCCTCGGTCCCCAAAGCCCATCGCCTTCTGTGACGCCCTCTGGTGGTCGTGGAAATCTTATTGGAGGCCTGCTATCAGGTCCAATTATTCCTGCAGCCGCAACACTGCCCAATGGTATCCTCAATCAACTCCCGGGAGCTCTTCCTTCTCCTCTCCTACCCGGGTCTGTATTGCCTGGCCTTCTATCCAATGTACTTGGTGGCTTGGCAACGCCGACTGTCTTGGGTCCATTACCTGTATCATCAAATCCTGCCATTATTGAAGCTTTGGCGAGTGGGATAGTGTCTGGCTTAATCCTACCGTCCGGTGTCTCTCTTCCCACGGCTATCTCAGTACAGCAATTGACTGCCATTCCTCCCGCAGAGGCTAGCTTCCTACCTGGACTGCTATCCACTCTATTGGCAAGCATCAACTCGCAAAACCCAGTGACGAGTATCAATATCCCTGGAGTTATAGCTGGGGTACTGTCTAATCTACCCACGCCTGCTTCTTTCGCCGCCTCGGTGCCTCAACCAACTATCCCAAGTGACCTTATCAGCGGCCTTATTCCAAACTTGGGATCAGGTGGGGTGCCATCGCCACAGCCAATTCCGTTACCCAGCGCTACTCCTAACGATCTTCTTGGAGACCTCCTAAGCGGTCTACGTCCAAGTGCCCCAACTGGGCTTCTTTCGGCTGCATCTCCTCCTTTGTCACAACCCAGTAACCCCATCAATAATCTCGTGGGAGGTGTACTTTCAGATCTTGGCATTGGAAATTCCCCAACAATCTCGTTCCCTGCCTTGCCAAGCGTCACTGAGAATCTCGTAAGTAATATCGTCGGAGGCTTGATTTCAGACCTGGGAATAGTGGTTCCTACTGCCTCGCTTACGCCTGTCGTTCAACCTTCTGGTTTACTCCCAGCAATTGGGGAGCTTGCTGGCAGTATTGTGTCCAACCTTCCGGCGGCTATACCTTCGATCCAGATCCAGTTGCCTCCAATTGCGCTTCCTTCGCTTCCACTGCCTTCGGTGCCGCAGCCGTCCCCTGCGCTACCGAATCTCCCTAGCGATCTTGTAGGTAATCTCTTGTCTGGTCTTATAGGACCTACATCGGGTCCCTCAGCGGCTCCAGGATCCCAGTCATCACCACGTCCAGACGTCATAGGTGGGCTGCTTTCGGGACTTGGGCCCGGTCCTGGTCAGGCAACAACAGCCGGGCCTAGCACGGCCCCCAACAATGTCATTGACAACGTGGTTGGCGGCCTCGTGTCTGGTGTGGTCAACCCAGTGGCATCGTCTGCGTTGATTGGCAACCTGGTATCAAATATACTTGCGGGTATCACTCCGCCAGCGTCAGCCCCCTTTTCATTACCGACAGAGGTGCCACCTGCCATTGTGAGTGGGGTATTGAGCAGTTTGCTTTCAGGGCTCGGCGCAGTCTCCCTACTGTCTATTCCGCCACTGCCGTCACCTGCGCCCCCTGTAGTCCCGATAGGCTCGGCCCTACCAGGCTTAATATCTGGTCTTGGGGTAGATTCACTGTTGCAGACGACACGATCTTTGATACCAGCTTTAGTTACGCCTTCTCCCCCGTTACCTCTGCCAAGTGCGGCCGGACCCGCCTCTTCCGCGCTTCCTCCAATTCTCAACATACCCATCCCAGTACCTTCTCTGCCTCTCAACCAGGTGCTTTCGGACCTCGGCTTAGGTGCAGCGGCTTCCTCCCCGGCATCTGCCGCTTCAGCGATTCCAGAAAATCCACTTGGTGCTTTAATATCCGGCATCGGTCTCGGAAACCCGGTCTCTTCTGGCACAGTAGGAACGCTGACTACACAGAGGCCTGCACCGTTGATTGATGCAAACTTATCTTTGGGAGTACTTGAGGGTCTATGTTCAGGCCCTCAATGTCGCACAGCGACTCAGAGTGCTCCTCTCCTTGGCGTGGGTGTATCCTTAGGTGTTCTCGAAGGCTTGTGTCCTGGCCCAGCATGCGGTTCCCTGCCTGTTCCAGCTACGGCTGAGCCTACTCTGGCGCTGCCTCCTACGACTTTTGTCACTTCGAGAAGGTCAAACCAGCCTGCTCTTATAGATGCTAGCTTGAGCCTGGGCCTACTCGAGGGTCTGTGCCCTACTTGCTCTGCGACAGGGACTCCACCTATTATCGATCTTGGCGTGAGCTTGGGTCTCCTCGAGGGATTATGCCCAGGACCATCATGCCGTCCGCAGTCCACGCTTGCAGTATCATATATCACTCCTATTTCGTCACCGACGCCCACTGTCGCTGGTGCTGGAAACTTACTTGGCAATCTACTTCCAGGTCTCGAGGTTGGTGGCAGTGTCGGGGCTTCCCTGGGTTTATCAGTGTCTCCTGCCAACCCCCTAACACAAACCGCACCGGCGTCGAGTGCTGTGCCTGGTAACTTGCTTGGCAACTTACTTTCTGGTCTTGGTATAGGTGGGCTTGGTCCTACCGTAGGTATTCCTCAGCCTTCAGGACCTCCTACCGCAAGTAATCTTCCGCCTAATGCTCTTGATGCTCTGCTTTCGGGACTTGCCCCCCTCGCTGGAACACCTATCGCCACTGGAGCTCTAGGCCCGGAGGCGACAAGTGCTATCAACATCCTGAGCGGTCTCTTCTCGAGCCTTGCTAATGGAGCTTTGGTGCCTACACCTACACGACCAGGCTTGAATTTGGCGTCTGGCAGCAATGCACCCGATCTGCTGGGTGGGCTGCTTTCCAACATTGGCAACCTCCTACCTACCTCGGCAGTATCTGGCTTAGCTACTCCACCTACTAGCGCCCCAAATCCGATTGGCAACTTGCTTTCAGCTCTGGGAGCTGGCCAGCTTCTTCCAACGACTGGATCTCTTGTCTCCGTACCCCTTCAATCCAATATTGCAAACAATCCACTTGGCCCACTTCTATCCAACATTGGTTCAATTCTTGCACAGCCGACAAGCCTACCACCTGACGTGCTTAGCAGTCTCCTATCGGAAATTGGAAACATCGTTACATCACCGACGAACAACGCCGAAACCGCGTTTGCAAATTCTTTTTTAGGTGGGAGACCCTCCGGGCTTGGTTCCTTTCCTGGACAGGGGGTCTTACCTACGGTGTCATTGACTACGAACCTAGCGCAGGCGACCAACCCGCTCGACCTTATTAATTCTTTTTTAGGTGGGGGCCGCCCCGGGCTTGGTTCTTTTTCGGGGGTGGGGTCCTCTACGGTGGCGGTGCTCCCGAACCTAGCCCTGCCAACAAATCAGCCGGGCCTGCTTAGCAACCCCAGTGATCTGTTCAGCATTCCCCCCATAGGTCCGCCTCCCTCGGGCTTGAACAGTCCGAGCACGCTTCAGACTTCCTTTGTTACGAGCCCCCCGAACGCTGCAATTGTATTATGCGCACCAGTAATACAATCAAGACCGCTGCTCAATGTGGGTGGTCTGCTCAACGGATTACTCGGAAGCCAAACATCACCTCCTGTGTTAACGACTTGTGTCACTATCACCAATGGGCCTTCAGCTCTTCCTTCAGCTCCTCCAACTCCGGCCTCAAATGCTCAACCGATCCTCGAACTTTCACTGGGTGTAGCGATAGGGCCGAATTTGCCTACATCCACCAATCCGCCGCTGATTAATCTCAATCCGGTATTGTCGATCTTAGGACTTGGAACGTCGTCTCCCATCGTATCCTTGAACTCGCTTTCGGTCAACGTGGCGTCCGGATTAAATGCAGCTCCGCTTCCGTCAAGTGTTGGGCCGATTGTGAATCTCGATACATTTTTATCTTCTGGCCTTGCATTACAACCAAACACTTTGCCTGGTCCGGGTCCCCTTATCACGCCGCCCACGGCCCTTCCCAGTCAACCTCTGCTCGATTTAAATTCGTTGTTATCGGCAGTTGGTGCGTCGTTGCCAAGCTCGCTATCTAACCCCCTCCTAGATGTCAGCTCGGCCTTGTCTGCCATAGGTGGAGGTTTACCACTTTCCTTGGTTAACCCCAGTTCGTTGTTGTCGGCTTTGAATGGGCAATTACCAACTTCGTCAGTTGCCCCTGGGTTCGGTCCGAGTCCCGTCTCACCTCCGTTATTGTCCCTGCCCAACAGCCCTCCGATCTTACCACCACCGATATCCTCAGTCGGACCGCTCGTGAATCTTGGGCCAGTGCCTTCCACTTTAGCGGGTAGCCAGCCATTGTTCACATCTGGACCACTAATTGGGCTGACCACAACGGGAGGGCCATACGTCGATCTGCGCCTAGTACTTGCCCTCATTGGCCCTGCTCAACCTTCGTTGATATCCGAATTATCAGCCTTGCCGACCACATCGAATCAACCCTTCGTCAACATCGATCCCGTGCTCTCGCTCTTGAGCGGGGACCCTTCGCTTGTATCTGAGATACTAGCGTTACCTACTCCGTCAGGTCTACCGCTTGTTGACCTCAGCCCATTGCTTACTCTTCCCGGCGGTATTCAAGCTACGCCTGCTTCGAACGCTGCAGCTCAATTTACGCCACCTCCATCCGCTGCACTTCCCATCAACGCGAACCCTCTACCCTCGCTCCTTGATATTGGACCGCCCGGAATCACAAGTGGTACAGGTCCCCAGCCGACTCCAGCGGTCGAACCAATTGTTAACCTGAATTCACTGCTGTCTGTGTTTGGAGGCAGCCTTCCATCGGGCATAGTTCTACCATTACCTACCACGGGGCTTATCGATACACTTCAATTGCTTTCCGGTGTTAGCAGTGCGCTTCCAATAACTCTTCCTCTTCCAATCTCGCCTACTGGATCACTGACTGACCTTAACCCGTTCCCATCGATCATAAATGGCATTACACCCATACCCTCGCTATTGCCGATTGCCTCAAATGGACCAGGAAACTCACTATTATCGCAAGTAGGCGGCGTGCAAGTGTCTTCTGGTAACGATCTAAGACCAACGCCAGCTGGATCGCAAGCTCCAATTATTGAGCTTAATCCTCTTCTTTCCATCATTGGTGGTGTGCCGCCGGCATCTGGGCCATCGTCACTTTTGCCCTCAGGCCAACTCATCGATCCCAACCTCTTACTATCTGCAATTGGCCTAGGTCAGACTCTACCTGCAATCCCGTCCACCCAACCAACGGGAGCGCCCGTTGACCTTGGTCTTGGTCCGCTACTCTCGCTACTTAGTGGAGCGCCACTCCCGACAGGAGGAAGTCCAGCAGCAACACCAACATTGCCCGGTCAGCCAATCATTGATTTGAACCCGCTTATCTCTCTTCTTGGTAGCAGCATTCCTATTGTGTCTACGCAGAATCTGGCACCGATACCGACAAATATCCCCGGCGGACCTCCACCTCCGTTACTGGATATAAGCTTGAGCTTGGGATTGCTGGAAGGCCTGTGTCCAGGGCCGTCATGCATTCTACCCACGGCAAGCAGTGGCCTTATTCCCCTCCTCACTCAGTTGCCTACTCCTGTCATCACAATCCCAGCTCCTACAATCGTCGTACCGTCGTTTGTACCTGGAAATGTTCTTAGCCAACTTGCTTCAGCCTTGGTAACGGCCGGGCCGATTGCTTCGATCGCAAGCGAATTATTGTCCGTTGCTCAAACATCGAATCTAGGGTCGGCATCACCTGCCTTATTGTCTCCAGTGCCCGTATTAACTAGCGGCGTTCTACAAGGTGTGGCCTCGCTTCTGGGAGAACTCGAAAATAGTCCACAGACATCACAGCCCCCACTCGTGGACATAAATCTGAGCCTAGGCTTGCTGGAGGGACTATGTTCAGGGCCGTCATGCCTTGCTCCCAACATTGGTGCATCCAGCACAGCGGCCCCTATCACAGGTGCACCAATCAGCAATCTGGGCCCAATACCGACGGCAGGGGCGAATCCACCAATTGTCGATGTCAACTTAAGTTTGGACTTGCTTGGCGGTCTCTGTCAAGGGCCATCTTGCATATCGTCTTTCGTAACAAGCGTAAGCCCAGTGTCCTTCCTTGGAGGAGGCGGGCAGTCGCCTGGGTTCGTGCCAACCTCACTATCTGCGATACCTTTGGAGCCTATCAGCGGTCTTGCACCAATTCTATCAGTGCTCGGACCAAGCCAAAACACTCCTGCGCAGACTAATTCTCAAGTTCCGACGGCACCGCAACCCAGCTCAAGCTCAGGGCCACTTATAAATGTGAACCCGGTGCTTTCAGTGCCAGGATTGGGTCAAACTCCTACAGTCGCTGGAATTCCTACCCCAAGTGCTGGAAATGCTCCTCCCCTTATCGATGTTTCGTTATCGTTGGGAATACTCGAAGGCCTCTGCCCTGGACCTTCTTGTCAGCTGCCGAGCTCGAACGTAGGATCGTTAACAACTAATGCCGCAATTGTGGCGAGCGTCTCTCCTTCCCCTGTCAATCAAAATTCGGATACAGGTCCGCCGTTGATCAACGTGAACTTATCAGTGGAGGCAAGCGCAAGTCTTGAGCTCGGGCTCCAACCAACTCCTCCGCCCACACCACAGCTCTTTCGAACAGCCTCCCGACAATCGTGATCCCTGCGGGTCCACCCGCAAGTCCAACCGCAAGTATTGTCACGTCGAACGCAGCTGGAATCCTCGATATCGGGGTTTCGGTCGGTCTTTTGAATGGGTTGTGCCCTGGACCAATTTGCCCTCCGTCTGTGACTGTGCCTCCCACATCCCAAACTGGGCCACCTCCACTCATCGATGTAAACCTTTCTCTTGGCTTACTAGAAGGCTTATGCCAGGGTCCAAATTGTCAGTCTACGGGTGTTCCCACACTTGTTGGAACAGTATCAGGTCCACCTCTCTCTGGAGCAATATCAGGTCCACCTCCTTCTGGAGCAATATCAGGTCTACCGCTTTCTGGAGCAGTATCAGGTCTACCCCTCTCTGGAACAATATCAGGTCTACCTCTCTCTGGAGCAGCGTCTGTTCTGGTACCCGTAGCAACGTCTGGTCCAGTATCACCTGTTTCGACTTCGACACCACAACCATCACCACCTCCACTTATCGATGTGAATCTTTCTCTTGACTTGCTTGGAGGCTTATGTCAGGGTCCAAATTGTTTGTCGACCACCACTCCTATCATCGCAGCAGGCACATTCACTTCATTGTCGCCTGCGTCGAGCGCTACACCTCTACCACCCCTTAGCAGCCCATCTACGCTTGCCATCAGTTCAGTGGCATCCGCACAAACCCCGCTGATCGATATCAACCTTTCTTTGGATATTTTGGGAGGACTATGCCCAACATGTAGCCCAACGGCTACACCTCTTGCGGCATCACTCGCCTCCTCTGCAAACAATCTCGGAGCTCCTGCAGCCGCAAATCCTGCGGTATCTTCAACAGCATCACCGATTGGCGTTCTGGATCTGGGAGGACTGCTCTCCCTTCCGATATCGACGCTGACGCCGCCGGCAACGTTAATCACAAGCAGCGGATCCATTACTTTGCCTGCCTCAATCCTAGCTCCTAGTGTCACGCCAATCTCACAGGTCACTTCGGTCACAAGCCTTGGCATCTCCTCAAGAGGTCCGCTGATAAATGTTGATCTGTCGTTGGGTGTGTTAGAGGGATTATGCCCCGGCCCAACTTGTCCTACTGCAACTACTAAGGCTCCCCTCGTTGATCTCAACCTCTCAGTGGGTCTACCACCTTTGCTCCCAGGCATCCTCGATGTGTCCGCTCAGACATCGAACGCTGTGGCTCCCGGCACCCAATTGCTTTCTCTCACAGTTCCGTCCCCAATAACTGCTCTCTCCTCGTCTGCGTTAGGTGGGATCCAGACTGTCATCCCCGTTGTCGACATTTCAGGGAGCAATCCGATCTTCGTGAGCTCTATAGTACCTGTGGAATCCGTCTTGGATGTTAATGGTGTGAGCTCTATACCTCTCGGCGCAAGCTCCATTACAGGTGGTGGTCTGCTGCCTGCGGGGGCCCAGTCTACGCTTGCACCTGCACTAGCGTCGCTTTCATCCTCGCCAGTCACTCCTTCAACAAATTCCGGATCCGACAGTTGTTGTGGTATTACAGCAGGTCAGAGTTACATCGACGGCGCCACTTCCTATGAAGCTTCGTGCGATGTTAATATCCCGAACGGCGACCTCCAAACAGGGCTTCTTCTCACGTTTGCTCAGTGTGTTCAAAGCTGTACCGTAGCACCGCTATGTGTGGCGGTTGTCTACAATCCTTTGTTGACTACTTGCAACCTGAAGAGCACACTCAGTATCCCGCAAGTAGCAGGCGGGCTGTGTGTGATGGAACAGACGACGCCTACCAGTTCCGCACAACTTTTACCTTCAGCTATTATTATCCCGCCAGGCCCACCTCTGGTAGAAATACCTTCAGTGGATCTTACAGCGCAACTGCCAGTGGCAAGCATTGTTGCTATACTTCCGTCGCTCCTTGATCTTGGCGCCTCCGTTGGAGCTCCTACTATAGCAGTGTCCGCGCCCAATGCTGCAGATGATGCATTCGCTGTAACAGCTCTAACTTCCGGTCTTCCGCTTGTGTCAAACATCCTTGGGGAAGTCTCCACCATTGCAACAGCGGCTTTAGATGAAATCGCAAGTATCGCAAGTGACTTGCAAGCTATCCAATCTTCGGTTTCTTCCCTGGACTCATCAGACTTGACGGGTACCCTACCCATATCTCCAAATGGTTTGTGTGGTGTAGCATTCGGTTATACTTGCGCGGGCAGTGCGTTCGGGAATTGCTGCGGATCTGGGAATTTTTGGTAAGCAAAATACACCAATCGCTGCATGTCGAGCAATATTTAGCGCGTGTTCTGACAACCATACTAGCGGTAGCGATGACCTCTCATGTGGCCTTGACTGCAACCCAAATTATGGCCTGTGTGGGACTGCAGCGATCCTAGGATCTGGTCAACCTTCACAAGCCGGAGAGACTGGCAGTCCTAGCGCGAGTCCAGCACAGGCACCAGGCCCTGCACAGAACACTGCTCCCACTTCAGTCGCTCCTGGTGTTCAAGATGTGGCTGCTTCCACTTCAGTCGCTCATACTTCAGTCGCTCCTGGCATTCAAGATGTGGCCACCACTAAGCCGGTGACAAGGTTCTCATCTTCCGCTTCATCCAGCACAAGACGTACACGTGGTGGTCCGGCATTCCCTGGTGGACCTCCGTTGGGACTCCCTAGCGGAGCTCCGGCTTTTGGGGGGAGCATGGGAATAGGACCAGATGAACCCAATCCCGTCCTGCCATCCGACCTGCCAACCGACGTGTCAATTGGACCCACACCCAATGTTGTGTCTACAAGCATAGCAATAGAGGCGGTCGCTGCCCCGCAAGCGACAAGCGGCGGAGGAATCGCTGATGCATTCGCTTCCGGTGGACGCACACAGTCCGTTCGCGCTAGTACGGCCGGCAACGCCGTCCGAACCACATCCTTCGGACCGAGACCTTCCGTACCGGGGGGCGATCTTCTTGCCCCCATCCGTCATACCTGTGTCAGTCTCTTTTGATAGCGAGGGGCGAAGCATATCTGAGGCTAGTATCATCGTACGCGTCAGTACCCGGCGCGTTTCAACTACTAGGAAACCCGGTAGTCAAGGTGCCTTAGACCAGCAGAGTATTCTATATACAGAGGCTACTTCAGGAATAGTCCGAGCGACACAAGTTGCGGTCGTTACTCCTGTGGCTCAACCTGGGCTCGGTAGTCTCGCTGGTCAGGCAGCGGCCGTTAACACGCAACAACAGGTAGGCGTACAGGCAGCGGCACCAGTCGTAACGCCATCGGTCGTCACTCGTGCTTCTGTCTATGATCCAGGTCTCTATTCCAGATCGAGGACGAGGACACGATATTATTCAGTATACGACCCGGGATTAGCTGGTCCTGCATATACACCGATAGCGGATCTGCCATTCTGGGAATGGACTGGTCCGAGTGATCCAGGCGATGGCGTTCTGGGTTTTCCCGATGACCTAGACTTCACGGACGATGGTGTCGGTCCTGGGCCTGGGCCTGGATTTGGACCTGGAGGACCTGGACCCGGAGGACCTCCACCTGGACCAGGCGGTGGAGGTGGGCCTCCCGGTGGATTTGGACCGGGTGGTGGAGGTGGACCTCCTGGTGGATTTGGGCCAGGCGGCGGAGGTGGGCCTGGTGGTGGGTTTGGGCCGGGCGGTGGAGGTGGGCCTGGTGGCGGTGGATTTGGACCGGGCGGTGGAGGTGGGCCTGGCGGTGGATTTGGGCCTCCCCGGAACCGCGCCAGAAACAAGCTGGGCGATGGACCAGATCCGGACTCCAATGGACATCTGGTCGTAGGACAAGACTCGGAGGATGGTAAATTCCTTCCACGGCACGATGGCAACCTCAACACTCGGTCGCACCCCTCCAAAGACGACAAACGTAATGAGCGGAGCGACGGAACTCCGTTTCATGCTTAAGCATCCATCGTCGAAGCATCGTTCGCCATATCTTTTTCAAATCACGCATGCAAGACAAAATGTTATATAGTTCGTTCGTTGGTGGCATATTGAGTTTTCTCCTTCAGACAATCTCTTCCAAGAAGAGATTGAGTAGCTAGAATTTTGAATGTAGCCTTGGTTTAATTGAATTCCGTAACTGCTACACGGTCTAAGTCCCATCATTTGTTAAAATTGCTAAAGCAAGCTCGACGCAGGTCGTCTCTGTTTGGTCTTATTTGACAAGAACGCGTTGGAAGCAAAGGATGAATATCAGATGCACATGAAAGCAACATAAAGGTAGTTATGACGACTAATTTATATTGCGAAGTCGACACTTCTACTGGAATCTATCTTACAACAACCCTAAGGCAACCATTACATGTTAGAGTATCTTCTACAGTGTTGTCGGCTGCGATGCGTTTAGAGCATACCGAGCATGAACGGGAGGCCAAGACCAAGGAGGGCGCCGAATTGAGCGACTACAAGCATTAGAAGAGACTGTCATTGGGTTGATGCTGAGATTTACCATTGGAAGGTGCTGCAGCGCCTGTGCTTGCAGAAGTACCGTTTGTTCCATTGGTTGGGGCAACGGTGGGCGACTGAGAGGCCAGAGTGCTCGAAGAGGCTGAAGGTTCCGTTGCAGTGTTGTCGGTTTTGATAGTAGACAGGACTATTGTCTTAGTCGATGTGAACGCGGCAGGTGAAGAGACAACAGGGGCAGGGGCGGCAATGGTCGTGGTGGCGCTTGCCGTGGTATCAGTGCATACGGCGACTGCGCCGAGTGCGAGCAGGAGAACCTTGAACTGAACCATGGTGGCTATTTTGAGCATAGGAGTGAGATGGCGTGTGGTGAACAAGATACTCGGAGAACAACGGATTTATATACAATGCGCATACTGCAGGTCAATTACCCTTCTTGCGAGGTACTACTGTGATGAACTAGGACAACATCAACAAAGTTGTACATAGCCGGCTGTTCCCATATCACGGTCGTGCGATGGCTCGGCAGCGAAGTACTATTCGGCCGTACCGTGCCACTGTGCCACTCTCACGACCAACCTGTGGTATAAGTGGAAAACGAAACACTTAGCCATTATACCTATCAGATATTGTGGAACGCGGTCCTCTGAGCGCGTTGTGCATGCAACGACAGAAGGGTAAAATAATGTTGCAAGTTCCTAAATGTCGCCTACCATACCATTGACGGAAGCGAGCTTCAAGGAAGCCTTGGACATCTTTGCTCAAAGCTCGTTCGAAAGACAGAGCCGTTGACGCAACGCAGATGATCCCGATAGGTATACCATAAATGCGTCTTTCAATAGCCTTGTTGCTTAGGGGTGAGAGGAATTACAATTTTAGGGACGTTATGCCATAAAGCCCTAGCGTGCAGTGAGGCCGCGTTGGGAAAAGGGCGGCTACAGCCCTAGATGGTCCCAAGATTCACTAATTGACTTGCGTGTGACGGCGCGTGGTCCCGTCAATCTCCAGCCGATCCGGCAGCCGCAGTCCCACAGAGATACATTTAAGTATTTGTGTTCGCCGTAACGCTATCGTCAAACAAGTGCACCGCCTCCTTGAACGTGATGCTAAATTTCCTTTCGTCTTTCCATTTCCCGCTATCACTTGAGTTCAACAATTCGCGCTTGAGACGGCCTTGGAATCGAGAAGGGACGAGAAGGGCACTCTCGCAAGGCATTCATCATTTCGAAGCACTGCCGAACCCTTTGTGGCGCCTTCAAGACTGACTTCATCGGCTTGAGCTTTCACCATCAAAATCAGGTATCTTACAACTTTTGAACCATCCTCTGCCCCATGTGTCGAGAACCAGATCGCTTCGGACGGCTCTCTTCCCCCACGTGTCACGGGACCTGGATCTTGCAGGTGGCATGGGTCTATGTTGAGACCTGCAACCTTGCACCAATCCGCTTCCCGCGCTCGCACCTACCCCCACGTCCACCAGCCAGTAATCTGATGCTCGAAGTGGTGTCTGGAGTAATAGATCTATCTTTTCAATAGCATCACAGGTACACGCTAAGCTCAGCCGAAGCGGCACAGAAAGCGCAGCCTCCCAGAAGTCATCGCACGAGTGTCGCGTGCATCGAGATACCAGATACGGGCCACCGCTGAATGCATAAGACAAAGGACAAGAGTAACAGTTATACAAATGCATTGGAAGATTGTGCTAGCGAGTGTCGCACCGCAATGCACTCATCTCAACTCCCATCTCTCATCTATCCATGGACGATTGCCAAGATGCCGCACTAGGTTTTAAAGAAATGCAATCTTGTGAAGCGAACGTGTTTTATAAACCAGACACGCCAAAGCCTCCCGAGGTGTCGCGACTCATGCGCACTCTCGAAGAAATATCAACAAGAAGCGAAGTAAACGACATGAACAGGCCGTGAAATCCAAAACATGGCCGTGAAAACCGGGATCAGCAGTCCCAACTTATCGACAAAGAAGTCGCCAAGATGCGATGAGAACAGACAAAGTGACCGACCGACAAGCCAATCTAGTTGTTGGGGAAGCCAGCCTTCATGTTATCGTACTTAGAGCCAGAGTACGTAAGGACATTGTTGCTCTGGTCAAGGACACTGACACCGCCGACACTGTTTACGTACTACCGATTGTTAGCGCACAATCCCATCACATGGCTTTCAGGTAACTTACAGTTGAGATCAAAGAGTCCGAGCCCGTCTTGTCCGAGCTGCTCTCCCACCACATACCACCACCAAGACCAAGTGACTTGATGAGGCCGGTCTTCTGCTGGATGATGGCTGGTGTATCGTAAGAGATCATCGTCCGCGAGGAAGAATCGTAGCTGTAGCTCGCCACCACGCTGGCGTCGTTCACGACCGAGGCACCAGCTTGGGGGAGCGCCTTGTAGTCGTACACACCGGCTTCCCAGGTACCGGCACCGATACCGGAGTAGGGCTTGCCTGGACCGTCGGTGTTCTGGAATGCGCGACCGTAAAGCGGCATGCCAAGCGTGATCTTGGCGGCAGCGACACCGTGAGAAGTGTAGTAGTCCAGAGCTTGCTTGGTGTTGAAGGGCGTGCTGGTAGGGTTGCTGGTCGAGGGGTAGAAGTTGGCCTGGTGGCCGGAGGTAGTGTCCCAGGAGCCGGCATAGTCATAGGCCATCAGGTTCCAGAAGTCGAGGTACTTATCCATGCCTGCAAGGTCCATGTTCTGGTAGTTCGTTGGGCCAGCAGGAGAGGCGACGGTGAGAAGCATGTGGCCGCCGTTGGCGTATTGAGCAGCATAGGCGTCGAGTTGGCTTCGGACTTCAGCGAGGAGAGCGACCATGTTGGCAGCTTGCGTAGAGTCGGAGGGATACTCCCAATCAATGTCCAGACCGTCGAAGCCAAGGTCTTTGACGAGTTGTACGGCACTGCTCGCGAACTTGCTCCTACCTGCGGCCGTGCTGGCAGGCGTGGCGAAGTTTGATGAGTAGGTCCAACCACCAATAGACAGTAGCACCTTGAGCTTGCGGTTGGCTTTCTTCAGCAGAAACAATTGCTTCACGCAGCCGTACACGTTGGTGCCCACGTCATTCCAGGAGTCTGTGTCATAGTGCTTGTCGGTGTCAGACCAAGTGTCGCTGAGGTATACCTCACCGGTCTCGGGTCGAACGTTGGCAAAAGAGTAGAGCACGTGAGTAAGCTGGCTTGCTGGAAGATTCTGCGGATTGTAGGCCCGACCGTATATAGCCCAGTTGACGAAGTATGCGACGTTCCTGTAGCCAGACGCAGCTCGGTTCACGAGTTGGCCGGACTCATCCGGTTCTTGAAACGAAACATAAAGGTCGGTACCGTTCTTGGGTGACTGAGGTAAGGCGAGCGCATTGGCAAGACCCAAAAGTGGAAGAAGAGATGCAAAAGTCGAGTACTTCATGATTGACCAGTCGAGGGTGCTACCTGAAGTCTGCCTGCTGAGAGAGTGGATGGTATGGACTGGTGTTGTAAGTGCGGTGATATGTGACCTCTTTATAGACCGACCATGCGTTCAAGTCTCGTGGAGGACAACCCGTGAATGCTACCTCTATCCCCTGACTTGTGCAGACTGTGGAAGCCAAGATCGTCCGTGGGTGAAAGATGGGCCCGAAAATGCACGATGCAACAGCAGGTGGTAATGCAGGTAGCCAAAGGGAGCAACTGCAGGTGTAAAATACGCAAACAGGTAGCCCGAGCGGAAAATTTGCGCCTAAGGAGCTGTACATACTCTGCCATGGCATTCTTAAAGCCGCTTTCCGGGCGCTTACCCGGTAAAGATGGCCACAAATGACCTGGTCTATATGCCCTTGTCCCTGGACGAGCGGCCTTCAACTAGAGTCACTCTTATTCTCCCTTTGAGAAGGTGACCAATAGATTGTGTCGACGATCAAGGCTGCTGGAGCACTGCAGATGCGTTTGCATCGTGATAGACTCGCGCGACTACTGAGCAAGGGTCCTGATAGCATTATGCTGCTGAGGAGATGAAACCTTTCGTTGTGAAGGCTGCACCGTGGGTGTGCCTGACTTGCAGTCGTATGGGCATGATAGTGTAAGGACTGATTCGCAGGGCTTACAGGGGTCTACATCCGCATGTGCAGTGATAGCCGACCCGTTCATGAGCCCTGGAAAAAAAGGATCGATCTGGAATGGCGCGGGTAAAGGGGAATGTCATGAAGCGAACCACTGGCAGATTGAGCATACGGTATGCTGCAGCATCCAGATAGTAACCGCATTTGTCCGTCTTTCCCTAGATGCGCTGATATGCTCAAGTCTTGGGCGATAAGAAGATGTTTGTCGAGTGACTTGAGTACATCGCTGGCCCACTATGGATGACACACAGCGGTGCTGAACATCCGACAGGTAGTCGCGGGGCAAGGCGGTTCAGCAGCTTCTCTCGTGGTACACCGTTCTGACCAGGCTAGACGCTCTAGCCGAACATGCTCTTCCCAGGTAGAGGAAGGTGCTGACCTGGCGGTTATGATACGGACGCGTACCCCTACAAGAGAGTACCTGCACCTGTGCTTCTTTGTTCGGCATGTCTATGAGCGCGCAGGCCACCATGTCGTGTAGTAGCAATGATCTACACTGTCCCATCATGGGACAGCGCGTAGAAGGCTGACCGATTGCGTATCAGTCATCATCTGGCTATAGGTCCCGCCGGAGCGTGAAGCGCCGATAAGGAGGGAAATGTAACAGGACACGGTGCGCGAGGTTGAGAAAGCCACGCTACTACTTCTCCAAGGGCTTGTGATACTACACCAGCTAGGGTACGTAAATTGCAGCACCAAGAGTGGACAGCGTAAAACTTGTCCTACAAAGACCCTGGAGAATCTCGCTGGAATCCTTCAGACCCCACGTTATCTCCAAACCTGGGGAGAACCACATGACCTCATTCGACATGCTCAAGAAACGTTTGACCGTAATGCGGAAAGTCTACATGTAGCAGGCAATACAAAATTGGAATGAGAGCGATCTGGAAATTGACGAAATAAATATCAGAACACGCAAAGTAAAAGAGAGCAAACATAGAAAGTAGTGTGAAGCGCGGAGATAGAAATGCGCTAATCGAATACGGTGTCGTCCGGCAGACAGCTTGTTGACGAAAGAGGAAGGACGCCGGCAATGCTTCTCATTGGGCATGTTTGATTCAGTCAAGCCCATCCACGCCCAAAGGTCATCGCGACTTGAGAGATAGCTGCAGAATGACCTGTGAGGTGCTGCGATAAAGCGCGGGCGAAGTCCTGATAGGAGCGTAACGACCTCCCAGGCAAGCCGATGACCACGCTGGCAGCCATGTGCTTGGAGTAACGTGAAGTCAAGGTCAGGCCGGGCTAGGCACCACGGGATCTGCCTCGGCGATCCCAAGGTTCTTCCCTAGTGCGTGATCTCCCAGGGACTGCATCTACTTCCCGATAGGAACAGTTCGCTGTCAGGTACGCCCGACAGCGAACCTGGTAACCTTCCGGCAGATGCTCTTAGCTCCGGGGTGCTTGCGCAACGCTCAAATTCTGCCTGGAATCTCCCAAGGCAGCGTCGGCGCGAACTTTGGCGCTTGCTGTCCGCGGGCTCCGCAGTCACGATGCCGTATCGAGTAGTCGTCCCGTCTCCTCGTCCACAGAGTTTGCGGGGTACGAGCCTTCAATTTCCACATTGCGAGGTGCAACCCTACTCTTGACAGTCTGCCTCTTACTCCGCCCATTCTTAGGTAGCATCAAGCCCGCTAAGCGCCTCTCGCTCTCGCATCTCGAGGTGATATGGGTCGTGTGATAAGCAACACACGTATGCAGCAGACGCAGAGCGCCTTCGCCCATCGAGCGACGAATGAACGAGAAGGTCGCATTGCGATATCGCATTGAGGTTGTGGAGGTAGCAGCGATGTCACCAGCGGCTGGGTGGCCGAGGTAGGAGAGGCATACGAAAGGGTGTGGTTGCAGCTCTGCCGCTGCCTGCGGAAGGTTCGGCGCGTATCTAGGAGCAGTCAAAAAGGCAAACTAGGGTTCTGCTTGGTAGCTATCTATCTGTCCTTGTTAGCAGCCTGTGCTCATCGCATACCTAACCAGCATTTTGGCGGAAGGATACCGAAGGTACCATAGGAATAGCTTGAGATTCACGAGCCAGCTCCAATTTTCTATACCGGAGGGCTCATGAACAGAGAGCGCGCAACTTTTCCCTTGTAGTTGAGTGAGCAAATGGGCTCAGAAGAATTATGACGTTCATCGTGCGGGGAGTGAAGCGTTGAAGCCCTGGAGTTGCGAATAGTGGAGGTCGGTCCGTGCACGGTCTAGGTGATCCCACGTAGCACGACATGATCACTCTTCTTACAACATCGACACATTAGTGTCATGCCAAACACTGCCTTTTAGGTATTCCAAAACGTAATTTCTCATAGACGTGCATGAGGCCTGAACTAGATGAGTTCGTCGGGCGGGCGGAGCATCGCCGGCCCTGGGCCTCCTGCAAGCCGTCGCCCGCCATGCGGCTTACCACCATTCTTAGCGAGAGGCACCGTGGGCACAAATATACGCTATAGCCGATTTAGCAATATAGTTACAACGCTCAGAGCGAGCTGACGAGGGGCTCGTGGCAAGGCTGCGGTTACGCATCACAGCTTTCTTCGGTACACAATACCGATCTTTTCAAAGCTTCATTGAGAGCAATCTCTCTACGGTGGCATCTTCAGTATGCAATGCTCATTTACCGCACCACGATCGGCATAGTAGCGACAAGTAAAAAGGAAATGTTTACGATAGATTGGGAAGGACTCGTGGTTCCCCTACCAAAGCTGCTCTGAGACCACATGCCCAATAGACAAACAGTAACCGTCGAACGCCGAACACCAAATAATGCAGGATACAGTCTAGCTGACATGCTCAATTCCACCCAATAATGCCCTCTGCCACAGTTATCGGCCCTCTTCTTGACCCCGTCATCACAGATACCCTCCGTCCGATAATCCCAGTATCACCAACCCCGAGGTTGAGTATCTCCGGGAGCTCCATAGTATTCGAGTCTCTTTTACCGAGATCGAAGGAAAAGAAAGGGTCCGATGGGCGAGCTTCTGCGCTGAGATCACCGTCGCGACTGCAAGCGTTAGCTTACCATAGACCATGCAAAGAGGGTTCAAAGGGCTTACTGAATCACGACCCACGATCTACTTTGGAATATGCTGTTGGTCTCGTCCCACCCTTGGAAGTCGACTTGTGTTCCAGCGTTGCGGAGTAGTGTTCTGCTTCCGTTCGAGAAGAGTAGACGCACTTCGCTGTCTTGTGAACGTGGTGATGCTTCCCGCATTTCTCGTGAAGGTCTGAGCACTGCGATTGAACCACCTTGGCTCACTCGTGTTGATGCTCCGTTACACATTGTGCGTTCGATGGTGATGATTCGATACGTGGATAACTAAGCAAAAGGTATGTTGGCTGCGGAAGACTTCACTGAATTACCAGTTTGAGAAAGCGAATGGGGAGTTTAAATTCGTTCGAAAAGAGCTTGGCTAGTTCTGCGAAGGTTGGGAGTGCTTATGAGTGCTTTGAGCATGTTTGAGTACTTTGATGGTGTATAACGTCCGTGCGTTCAGCACTAGTCTATCACCTATATCATGCATACCCCGCCAGTGCATACTTTGGAACGATTCCAAAGATCAGTCTGCCTATCCAGAGAATTCACCTTTTGCGAAACTCAGATGGATGCCCTAAGCACCTTGAAAGCATCCGCACGCGTACCCAAAAACCGCTCCTCGGCCGTCTTCCAGTTGATCACCTTCCAGATATTCTCTACATACGCCGGTTTGCCGTTCAGGTACTATGTGGTGTCAGTTATGATACTGTGAAAGTAGGAACGATTTCGTACCTGTAGGTAGTACGCATGCTCCCACATGTCGATGCCAAAAATGGGCACTTCACCCTTCCCCACAACAGGGTCCTGATCTTTCGTCGTCACAATGGTCAGTCTCTGTTCCTTGCCCGTCTCAACCTTGACCAACCATCCCCAGCCACTTCCTTGGATGCCCAGCAGCGTAGTCTTGAATGCGTCGTAGAAGGCTTGTTCATCGCCCCATGTGGCCTTGATCTGCTTGATGAGCTCTGGTGCTGCAGAGGTCTTAGCCTCGGCGGAAGAGGCGGGCGCCATGTTCTGCCAGAAGAGCGAGTGGTTGATGTGACCGCCGGCGTTGAACTTGATAGCGGCTTGCAGACCGACCTGCGAAGTGATGTCGGCCGTGTGCACGGCTTCAGCTTGCGTCTTTAACGCTGCGTTCAGGTTCGTGATGTACTAGATGAGCTATGTGAGATGGAGATTAGATGCTAGATATGGAAGCTTGGCTTACTGTTTGATGATGCTTGCCATGGTGCAGTTCCATGATCTGCTTCGAAATGTGCGGTTCGAGTGCCTATGCAGCATTAATTTTACCCCGCCATCGCTAACATCCAACGCGGGGGAGATGACTGACATCATAGGCATATGGAAGAGGAGGTAGCGAGTACGATGGTGCAGACATGGCTTCGAACTGAAATGGCTGTTGTTCTGAGGCGTAGGCGGGCGATTGAAGGAGAAGCGCGGGGAGTAGGGAGGGGAGAATAGTCGAGAGCACGCCATTACCAAACATCCTGCTGATGTCGCACCGAGATCCGAAAGGTAAAGGTGGGAGGGGTTCTTGGACAGCAAGGTGCTTGAGCCCAAGTGGCTAGTAAACTGCCTCAATCTGCCGCGATCGCGCTCGGATGCCTCAGAACACCGTAGACGGGATTGTCTCAAACACGTGAACAAGGCTAGCTCTTTCAGGTACCAAGCATGTAAGTAATGGAAACCCTTTGTAGCTTGTCGTCGTATGAGCAGTGTACAGTACGTTTTTCTAGGACACTCAGTATGAGTTGTGGCCAGGTTGCGATAGGAAAGAAGTACCGAGACAGCGGTGGGGATTCGATTGTTCGCTCGAAATCTAGAATACACAGCTACCTATCAAGCCAAATATCCCACTTGCTGCTTATGAATCCAAGCTCAATAATACAACTGGGAGAAGGTGTTAACAGGTAGTTCGGCGTTCCGCTCGCGCCGAACCGCACCAGAAATCCGCTAGTACTAAAGGGAATTAGTATGCACGTGCCATCGCGTCGACATCTTCACTACACACTTTCCAACCTCACGACCATTGGTCAATTGACATGCATGCACGTTTCCAGCCATTCGCGCATGCTTTCAGAGCATCGCGTCAGTGGACCCAGTACAGCCAGGCTCGCCAAAGGCCGCGCATAGCTGCATTCATCTGCCAGAGTTGCCAGCGTAACTTTTCTCTGCGATCCCCCTTGTCGGCCCTTCGTAAGATCGCACAGACTAGTCGGCGCACAGTATCCACGGCCGCAAAGAATATCAAAGATAAGAGTACGTGCCTATTCGCGGTCCAGATATGTCTGGGAAAGCGCTAATGATGTTGCAGAATATGCCGAACAGATCGTTATCTACGAAGCGGGCTCCAACCGCACCGCTTTCATCGGAACCTGGAAGGCCATAGCATTATTCCAATTCGGCGTGTGTACTGTATGGCTCGCTCCGCATTTATACTTGAACGGAAATCAGCCAGATAAGAGCATACGGGTGTTCCAGACTGTAGGAGGTACGTCACGTGTTCTTCCCACGATCCACCCGGTCAAGAGGGCCCTTTATTCACTTTACAAGTCCATGTCATCATGTTCTATAAAGATTATTTCAGCTCCTCTAAAAAGACGCTCCTCTTATCGCTCGCATACCCCTTCGCTGCCTGATCTTACCGCTTTTTCTTTTGATCCCGCTCTCTATGCAGGTCCTCCACAGATATCATCCTAGATGCCCGCAGCAGCAATCTTTCAAAATTCGATGTACCTTTGCTGACATATACTAGTCATGGCTCTTGCCACCATACCCTCCATAATCCTCTCCTTCATCACTGCCCCTTTTGTAACATCGATCAAGCTCTGGCCCATCCCACCGCACGCGCGACATTCCCTGACTGCTCTTCGCTCTTTTGCCGGTACGTAGACCCTCCCCACTCGCGCCGCAGAGCAACATAATACAAACACAAAACTAACTTACCTCCCAAAGCCAACCTCCCCCCCACCACAAAACTCACCTTCCAAACCCTCCGCATCTTCCCCATGCCCAAGCACACCACCCTCTACGCCCACGAGCTGCGCGCCTCCCCGCGCAAGTTCCGCTTCGCTAATATCGAGCTCCCCAAAAACGACGCGTGGAAGCAGCGTCAGCGGGAGAAGTCGTTGTTGACAAGGGCATGGGAGTTCGTCGAGGAGCGTAGGTTCAAATTTTATGTGAAGGAGAGTAGGGCGTATACTATGAAGACGGGGGTGCCGGGCGTGTGGGAGGAGGTTGCGAGGGGATTAGGGAGCGGACGGAGAAGGAGAAGGAGAAGGAAGGGGAGAAGGTGGGGGTGAAGGGGTGAATGGGGAGGGAAGACAAGGAAGGTGGGAGCTAGACAGGCGGGTGGGAAGAAGGATGGGAGAGTAAAGATCCCGGAGGTTAAGAGACAGACGGCGAGGCCTGTTCAGTGAGGCGTACAGGAAATGTTAGATTGCGACGAAAACGGGTGGACGGGATGGGCGCGAAGTAGGGAGATGTGGGATTTTGGTATAGGAGTGGTGGTTGTGTAAGATAGCGGAAATGCTGTGAGGATCCAGGATGGGGCGGGATTAAGACAAAACTTGATGGAACGATGTTGTATATTACTTGCTTGATAGCGAACGTTTCAACAGAGCATCGCAGGACGCAAGAGGTAAGTCGCAAGACGCAAGACACCTCTACGACTACGCAATTTCATTACAACGATCCCAATGTACCCGACCCCACCCCTAAAGCACACCTCGAATCGCTTAAACGTGCGTCTCCTTCTGCTCCGCCTCCGCCACAACCGGCTTCTCGTCGGCGAGCTTTTCATCGGCAAAATGGTGTTCACCATGGTGGGACTGCGCAACGCCAAGCCTGGCCAACAGTTCTGTCATTCCAACCTCAGCATGCACCTCGTTCCACCTCTCCTTCTCTCTCTCTGCGACGCCAACCGAGCCGAACAGGATATCCATCTCTTCCAGACTCAAGCCCTTCGTCTCCGGCACAATGAAATAGACGAACAGGGCTCCGATGAAGGTCAACATCCCGAAAAAAATGTACGTTCCGTATGTCATGCCCTGGAGCATGTCAGGCGTGACTTGGCCAACGATGAAGTTGTTCATCCTGGTTATCAATGTTAGCGCCACATCAAAAGTCGACATTACACGCGTTGGGCTTACCAGTTGGAGCTCGCGCCCAGCGCAATGCCGTATGGGCGGTTGGACATCGGCCAGATCTCCGCGACAACGATCCAGGCGCAAGGACCCCAGGAGTATCCGAAGTGGACGACGAAGAGCCAGACCATTACGACGGCGGCCCATCCGCCGGCTTGGTGGGCGGACCAGTTGTCTTGGAAGGAGGCGGTGATGGCGGCCTGGATGGATGGGTGAGTAAGGATTGTCAATTGAATGTGCGAAAGAAGAAGAAGCTTACAATGATGAAGTGGCAGATTGCCATGCCGATTGCGCCGATGATGAGAGTGGGTTTGCGGCCCCAGCGGTCAACGTACATGACGGCGGGGATGGTGGCGATGAACATGACAATGCCTACAACGCCAGTTGCGAGGAGAGACACCGAGTTGCTGGAAAGACCGAGCTTGCCGAAAATGACGGGTGCGTAGTAAAGCACTGCGTTGATGCCGGTCCATCTACACGATGTCAGTCACCGACAGTACAATCGTTGGAATTGAGGAAGCTTACTGTTGGAAGAACATAGTGACTGTCGCCACAATAACTCTCTTGAACATCGGCTTGCTCTTGAACAAACTCCCAATGGCCACGAATTGCAACTTAGCCGTGTTCCATGCGGTCAATTGTTGCAGATGCGGGAAGTTCTCCTGTAGCGACTTCTTCTCGAATAAACTCTGCGCCTTGATCTCGGCGAATTCCAGCTCAATGAGGTCATTGTCTTCGGGGAGCTCTCGCAGGCGAGCAAGCACGCGCCGAGCCTCGGGTTCGCGATCGTGGTGAACAAGCCAACGAGGAGAGAATGGCATGAAAATCATACCGACTCCAAGAAGAAGCGCGGGAACGAGCTGTAGGCAGAGAGGAAGAAGCCAGGCAGCTTCTTTCTGGCCGCGGCCAGTGCCGCCGATGAAGTTCGTGCCGTAGTCGATCCAGAAGGATATCATGATGCCGAGGGTGATGGAGAGCTGCTGGAGACCGACGAGGGCACCGCGTACTTCAGGAGGAGCTTTCGACTATCAGAAACGATCTTGTACTAGAGCTTCTACTCAGATACTTACCAATCTCGGCATTGTACATAGGGACGATCATAGAAAGCGATCCGACGCCCATACCGGTGATGAACCGACCAGCGAGAATGGAATTGTGACCGGCGGAAACGGACGTTGTCTGGATGATGACACCGAGGATGAATACGGCTACGTTGACCAAGATTGCGTATTTTCGGGACAAGATCTCAGCGAGGAAACCGGAGTACATTGTTCCTAGCCAAGCACCCAATTCGAGAATAGAGACGAGCCATCCTTGCTTCGAAGAGTTGTACGTAAGTGTTACGGGATCTTCTATGTAGTCTCCCATGTCTATATGGTGCTTTAGTGACGTATCCGATGAAATAAGGATTCGACGGAGGCTTACGTTCTTTGAACGAGGTCATTGTCAGGACACCGGAGAAAACACCCTGGTTGTAACCGTACAGCAAACCACCCAAGCAAGCAAAGCATGCAATGCCGAACACCTTCAAGTTCTTCATCAAGGCCAGCGGGCCTGGTGGCGTGGCCAAAGCTTGACGGCGAGCCAAAGCGGCTGCCTCGAAGTCATGTCCAGAACCTCCGACGGGTGCCATTGCGAACAGCAAGTCTTCTCTTCGAGATCCCAATTGATGTCTCGGTTCGATCCTGGTGGAGAATGAAATGGCGAAGAGAACTTCCACTGCTGCATGGTATCGCAGGGTGGGAGCTCGTGTACATATACCCTGCCATCGAACTCTCGGATACAACGTATACTATCCATGTTCGATCTGCAAGTGCAAGGACACGGTTAATTGGCATCCACTAACGCGGCTCAAAGGGTCGAGTATCAGGCGGTCGGTTAAACTGACAGTCGAGCTGACTGGTTCGAAGCTTGCTGTGCAGACTAGGGGCGAGCATGTCCTTTGTCCGATCGAGACTGCCGTTGCCGGTCATCGGGTGGCTGAAGCTTATTCGACGAGCCATTGCTTATGATATACCCCACTTGTTCTGCTTGAATCTTGTCGCTGCAACGCCTTGTGATATAATGACTGCAGAGTAAGCTGGCAATGGTCGCCAAGTGCGAGGTCTCGACCACACCAGAGTCAGATTGCATATTCGAACTGATTATCGCCCCGTCGCACAAAGAAAGGTCTCAAGGCGCTGTTACCAGGTCCGGGAATACTGGGTCAGATTATGCATATCCCGCATGCCCCGCAGCGCGCTGTGTGGAGAGCGGCCACTAGTCGATCTGTTCTGGCATTCTGCCTAAATGCAAGGCACGCCTAATTGCTTACAGCACTAAACGGTAGAGCCCTTCGGTGCCCGGAGTGAAGAATTGTATGGAGAAAAGCAGAGTGCGATGCGGACATTGGGTGTGCGTCTTGGACTACCTTTCCAACAAACCGGTGCATGGGAAGCAGGGTCGCCAATCGGTGGTTCAGGCACTGGAAGATATCCGCACTCATTGTGTTGTAAGTCCCATTCGGTCTAGGAAGTAGAGCTATCGTGTATCGCTCCCGCCGCGATCTGGGAGCACGCGCAAGAATGTCATGCATACAGAGATCGTCTTGAACGTGCGAGATCTGGTCGTAGCAAGTGGTGATGTATGTGCTGGTCACAGATGTGGTGAAGAGGCCGCAGCCGGCTCGACTTGCCTCTGGCTTTCTCGTGGCTTGGCAGTTGCGCTTCCTCGCACGCCGCGCACGATACGCGGTGTTTCCACAGCCTACAGATGCGATCTGCAGTTGAGCTTCAAATGTATTCCTCGCTTTGCTGGACGCTCTCACCACAGTTTGACGCGTCGCGACGCGTTGTCACGTGGAACCATGGATCGCAGTTTCCCGGATGAGACCACGAATCCACTATGGCTCCAGTACTAGACATGCCGACAACTCGGTAGCACGCTCAACACCTCTCAACGACCGCAACAAAGGTCCAAAGCCCGCCATGGAGTTGCTCGCAGCGCTCCTGGGGCTCCTGGGGCTCCTGGGGCTCCTGCCTTTGGCACTGGCGTACAGCTCCGTCAGCGACGCTACTCTCGAAGGACTCCCCGGTCCTGGCACCGACTTCGACATACACAGCGGCGCTTTGCTCGCACCAATTCTTCGACCGCGCGTTTCCGGCACCGAAGGTAGCACGGCCGTTCTACAGCACTTCCTCGACTTTTTCAAGAAAGAACTGCCTGAATGGCGACTGGAGCTGCAGAACTCCTCTTCGACCACGCCCACTTCGAATGGGAAGTTGGTGCCCTTTGTAAACCTCATAGCGACACGCGACCCGCCCAATGCGGGTATCGGCGACGTTGGGCGGCTGGCACTGGTTGCTCATTACGATAGCAAGCTGGAACCTGCGGGTTTTATCGGTGCAATCGACAGCGCTGCACCCTGTGCTATGTTGATGCATGCCGCACGCAGCGTTGATAAGGCTTTGACAAAGAAATGGGCGGCTATGGCCGCTGAAGGCACCGATGACTTGGAGGAGAAGAAAGGCCTGCAGATATTGCTGCTGGATGGTGAGGAGGCTTTCAAGTCGTGGACGGACACGGACAGTCTGTATGGGGCACGGTAAAATTAACACTTCCAGGCCCTGCTGAAGCAACTGCTGACATACTTTGCAGAGCCCTCGCTGAAGAATGGGAAAGCACGTTCAACCCCGCCGCATCCACATACAAGACGCCCCTCGACTCGATAGACCTCTTTGTACTGCTCGATCTTCTTGGCTCCAGAGGCCCAACCATACCTTCGTACTATAAGACCACACATTGGGCCTACAAACACATGGCTCAGGCTGAGCACCGCTTACGGGATCTTGGTCTCTTCAAATCGTCACCAAACCACCCTTCCAGGGTAGCGAAGCGCGCGAACGAGAACAAGCGCACGGAGCCCTTGTTCCTGACAGCAGCGGCGCAAGAGGACGGCGGCTTCTTCGGCGGTTATATTGCGGACGATCACCTTCCCTTCCTTGCGCGCGGCGTTGAGGTCCTGCACATTATACCCTCGCCGTTCCCGCATGTCTGGCACGACATAACGGATGACGGGGAGCATCTTGACGTGGAGACGGTCGAAGACTGGGCGAGGCTTGTCACTGCTTTCACTGCCGAGTGGATGGATCTGGAGGGTTTCTTTGATGCGCGGACAAAGCAGAAGACGGAGGTGACTGGGAAATCGGAGTTGTAAGTTGGCTCTGTGTGCGCTTTCGCTACACCACGGTGGAATATCTGACAATGTCTAGCGACGTACCCTAGAATTCATCGAGAATAATATTCCCATTCGTTTCTGTAAATCGTCTTGCGTCTCATTTTCGTGTTGGCATTATTTGCAATATGTTACTATGCACTAAACATCACAGAATTGAAGGACAAAGGGAAGTGGCTGCAACGCCACTTCGTATGACCTTATCCAAGTCAGGCGGAACAAAGGAAGGCAACGTGCTTTTGTGCTGGCCATGTGCGAATGCTCGTATGCTACAAATTGTTCCGTTCAGCCTGCTTTTTTGCATTCGACTAACTCTGAATTGTATCGTCAACCGAAAATCTCATCTTAGGACGGCATCTTCCCAATATGGCTAAAGGAAAACCAAAGACCAAGTTTCCAGAACAATACCCAGAAGAAGATGAAGATGCTAGAGCAGCGCGAGAAGCTCGAGCAAAGGCTCCTCAAGCCAAGCCGCACAGACGTGGCGGGGTTCATACAGTCAAAGATAAAGATAAGACCGGCAGTAAGTGGGATGAAATGACGCGCGATGCGATGGTTGACGCTGCTCTACGTGATCCTATTTATATACCTTTTTTCGCAAACTTTAAAGAGACGAAACAGAAGGTGAAGGATCTGAAGAAGCTGGTTCTGCTCCAGACTCTTGCAGACGCAGATGAACAACTGAAAAGAAAAGCCGCGCAAGAGCGGAAGGAGGGTGTGAAGCTGAGAAAGGTGGCCGAGGCAAAGAGAAAAGAAGAGGAGGAGAAGCAACGGGCGGAACAGCGAAGAAAGGAGGAGGAGAGGCTACGGAGGGAGGAGGAAGGCCAGATAGTGAGCGACGAGGAGGAAGAAGAACAGGAGCTTCCACAGGTCTACCTACGACAAGAGGACAGTGACACTAGCGACACGTCTACCACACAGTCCTTCATCTCATCTACCGACTCGCCAGAAAAGCTTCTTCGTATCTTTGAATGGTCCTTCGCCGATCCGCCGTCCAGCGATTACTGGCGCACGCCCCGTACTTGGCCCCAGAAGCAAGAGCTTCAACCCCGGCAGCTGCCTTACACGCCCATGAACGTGGTTTCGATACACGAGCGTGAAATGTTGCACACGCCTGGATTTAACTCTCAAGATCGCGGGATTGAACCGGATCGCGTATCAACTCTCTCACAGCACGTTCAGGACTGTGCTCGCAATGGCGTGTTAATTGGACCACTTGCGGGAGGTGTCATTGAGAGCGGCTTCGACTGGAGCGAGCGCACTATTGTGCAAGGATGGAATGGTCGGATGTATTTCAACCTACCACGTTCAGAGGGAGATCTCGCAGATGTCTACCGGCAATGGAAGTCCAACGAGGCGAAGAAGAAACGTAAATCTGACCGCAAGCCGTACCACGAAGCTGGTGTCAACAAGGCAGATCCTAGGCTAAAAGCGATAAGGCGAAAAGAACGACGCAAGCTCACAAGGAATGTGTACAAGGCTAGCCAGTGGCGCCCCACACTCGTGTACCTTCCCGTCTATCTTCCCTCTCGTGACTTCGAAGCACCGGACGGTAGTCCTATAGGCATGTTTTCTCCGGAACGAAATGTAGAGAGCTTGTTCTATATCCGTTTGGATGGCGAAAGTGTGCCAAGCTTTTTCTTCTGGACGGAACAGGACGCATGGAAAGATCCTACGGAGCCAAACCCATCATACGAAGATTTCGAGCATCAGTACGCGCGTCGCAACTCTGGGAACACAGTGTTGACACCTCGTCGTATTTCCAGACTTGTTCGCGTAAAGAAGATGCCCGCTCCACGTAGGTTCTTGCCAACCTTCACGATACCTAGAGCATCGAGTTACGAGACCGCGCTTTGGGCTATCGAACGCGATCTCTATAACCATGGCTTCCGATCGACCCTACAACTGTATCACAACAAGTGGCTCATTGAGGAGAACAAGGATGTATGGGATAAACTGACAGGCATACTAAGACACCAACTTCCACCGAGTGGAAGATTGCCAGCGCATCCACCTGTGAGGCTTGATTACGACCCCAGTATGATAAGCATAGCAGAGAAGCTGGCGCGCGTGGAAGCCATCTCTCATTCACGCCCCGTTCTTCCCATCTTCATCAACGATGATTGGACAAGGAACGACGACGCCTACTGGACTATCGAGGAACGTCCTAGAACCCCGGCCTCCGATGGCATGGAAACAGTTATGCAATATGCCACTCCCATATCGCGAAATGGAAGACCTGTCACACCGGGAACGCCGCAGTCCCTACAACGAAGGATCAGCGACGTTTTCTCCTGGGTATCTACTGTTGCGACTCCGGGCTCGCAGTTCTTTGACCCGCAGATTCCAAGTGCGCCTGAGCAAATTCAACAGGGGCTTGACCTCGCGCTCAACATAATGGCGGATCGAGCACCTCCACACCAATTTCGTCCTGATATGTGGAGGATGATGCAGGAAAGATATCGATTGCAGGGTCAAGCGCCCGAAATCTGTGCGCTTTGTCTTACGTATCTTGGGAATATGCCACTAGTGGAGTAAGTTTTCTCGTAATCCCCTCATTGCGTTCCTAGACCAGCCAGCTTGCCATTGCTATGTGCGTTTGACTTTGGTTATACATCCCAAACAGTAGCAACCAGCTACGCAATCCCAATGCACGCACCCGTTCCACTCTTAGTACCAACGCTGACCTTCATATAGCTACGAACAGCACCTCATGAACCACATGGTGCACATTGCCCGCTACTGCCCCTTCTGCGACGAACTGTGGCACTTAATGGACGGCGAGACCAAAGCTAAACACGTACTCTGGCACCGCCAAAACGACGACAGCGACAAGATAGGCCTTGCTCACCCACGCTACCCCGCTGAAAAGATATACAGGAGACGTCCAACGCAGACGCCTCCAGAACTGCAAGGCAACACCGCGGTGCCGAATTCGGCCATCCCCCCAGGGAATCGCAGACCCAGCGTGAGATTCTCCAACCAAGACGTAGGCCAAAGAACCGCGTACAACGACGTCGCCGGCTCCGCCATCCCTACAGGAGACGAGGCTGAAATGTCAACGTGGAAAACACGCTCGCGTCGAAGCAGTGAGAACTCGCAGACTGCGAACCAACCAGTCGCGAAAAAGTCCAGCTTTAAGAAGAAGTCTACTACATTGAGGATCAACACTGATCATAATGGGCGCCGCACGCTGGAAGCTGATCTGGCAGACAGTGACTGGTTGTATCGTCCGGCGCATGATCCGCGGAGGAGAACGTCTGAGAATTCGTATAGTGGGGATCCGAGGGTTCTGCAGCTGCATACATATGTTGATCATGGGGATGGGGGTGGAGATGATGGTGGGGATGTTGATGATGATGATGAGTGGCCTGCGCAGCCTGGAAGACTGCAGACAGGTGGGAAGGTGAAGCCTGGAAAAGTGGCTTCGGGGCAAGTTGTAGAGGTTGGAAGTGGGGAGGAGGATGACAATGACGATGATGAGGATGGAGAGAAGGAAGATAAAGACGACGAAGGGGATGAGCCTGACGAAGGCGATGATCACGATGAGCCAGATGATCCCGGGCATGGGGACGGAGGCCACGCTGAGAATGATTCGGATGGACATAGCAGCACCGACATTGACGATAATAGGCCTGCGAGTCATGCGTCTAGTAGTAGGCCAACGACCAGCTTACGGGATAAGAGTAATGCTGCCGGAGAGGATGACGCGGAAGGAGGCGGAAGTGTAAGTCGGTTATTGTGCAACCTATAGTGAAGATGCTAATCACGTGCAGGTACTGCCAAACAGCCGCAAGAGGTCACACCCAGCTACGGGTGGACAGCCTCCTACCGGCCTCGTGAGCTCGTCGGGAGTAACAAAGCACAAGAAGCGGCCTTCTAACGGCTCCGAGGGAGCGAGTCCAAACAAGAAACGGCGACAGAGCGGAGATAGAGACGGACCAAACAAATCACCCACAGTTTCGCCGCTCACGCCGAAGAAGTCGCCGTCGAATCGGCCTCCTCCATCTGGTGGAGGTGGAGGTGACAGCGACAACGACCCCTCTGATGACGATAACGATAATAACAACGGTGGTGGAGGTGGAAGACCAGATCGACGACCCCCCTCATCTCACAAGTCCAGCTCCTCAAAACGAAAGTCAACCTCTTCCTCAGGCAGCCCCGCCTTCGGACCTGCTCCCCATCCGCCTTCCTTTCCCAGGCCTTCAGGCTGGCCAGCATGGCCGGCTCCCACTCCTCTGTGGTATAATGTCGGACCGAACCCGAATGCAGTCCCACAGGAGGAAGGCGAATACGACGACGCGGAGGTAGACGATCTAGCCGAGGAACCCCCAGAGGTCCTCGAGGGCCTCTCTATAGAAGAGGCGCACGCATTGATGAGCATCAAGACGGGGAAGAGGCCACACGTCCCGGCTGCTCATAGAGAGAGACCTCGAAGCGAGGCGCACGTCGGATCTAGCTTTTACCGTTCGGAGGCTCCAAGTCCATCGTCGAGCCTCGCAAGAGCTGAATACGCGCGGCGTAACCAAATTGTTCCTCCGAATACACCGGCCGTTGCTGGTGGACTGCTTGACGGGGTCGAAGGACAGGTGTCGCAGCTGCCGAGCCCGGGGCAGGTCAGTGGTATGACTATCAGGGAGCAAATTGCTGCTTCTACGTCGGGTGCGTGGACGTATCGTCGTCCGCCGCATAAGTCGAGTACGCACATTTCGAATAGCTCTGCGTCGGCTACAGATTTCGTAAAGAGGGTGCAAGAGAGGGTGGAGGCGAAAATGGCGAAAGCAAGCGCGGAGGCGAAGAGGAGGGAAGAGGCGGAGAAGGCGGCAACGAAGAAGGCTGAAGAAGCGCTGAAGGAGAGGGTCGAAGAGGATCCGGAGGTGGTGGAGCGGAGGAAGAGGGCGTGGAGAGAGCAGAGGGACAGGTTGGAGGAAGAGCGGATGGAGAGGGTGAGGAAAGCGCTGGCGCAGTGGGATGACAAGGAGGAGGAGGAGCCAGTGGAGGAGGTGGAGAATGAGGAGCCGGTGGAGGAGGAGAACGAGGAGCCGGTGGAGGAGGAGAACGAGGAGCCGGTGGAGGAGGAGAACGAGGAGCCAGTGGAGGGGAACGAGGAGCCAGTGGAGGAGAACGAGGAGCCAGTGGAAGAGGACAACGAGGAGCCGGTGGAGGATGACGAGGATCTCCCCGCCGTGGAGTCCATGCCATCGACGAAGACGAGACAGAAGCCCAAGGAGAAAGCTGAGAACCCAAAGCCAGGGAAGAAGAATTCCCCTCCACCGTCTGAAGACGCCGAAGAGGACGAAGATGAGATCGCTGTCTCTGAACCTAAGCCTAAGCCTAAGCCTAAGCCGACAAAACCCACTGCCGCAAAAAAGAAAGCGAATTCTTCAAAGAGCGCTGCAAATACTGGGAAGAAGAAGGTCGCCGTATCGGCCGAGGTCCCAGATGCGGACGAGCTGCCTGATGATGAACCTTCCGAAGGTGAAGAAAGCGATGAGGCGGATGTCAGCGAATATCAACCTCCACGTCCCACGGGAGCAAAGAAGGGAGCCAAGAAGGGAGCTAAGAAAGCTAGACCCGCGGCGAAGAAGGCGGCAGCTAAGAAAGCAAAGCCACCGACCAAAGCGGCTGTCAAGAAGGCCCAGCAACCGAGGAGACGGTTGACTGAAGCGGAAAAATTGGAGAGGGACGCAAACGCTTGGAAGAAATGGTAGGAGCGATGTTGATTGATTGATTTCTTTTTTTTTTTTTTTTTTTTTTTTTTTTTTGCGTGTGTTTATGATTAGAATTGTGGATATATGTTGATGCGCAGTTACATAGTATTCATGCTTATGGTATTACGGTGTACTTGCTTTCTGGATTGTAGATATGGATATATCCCCTAAATGTAATTCATTTTATAGAAGGTGTCACCTTTGATGCAACGTGATGACGATGTGAAGACTGCGGTTACCTGCGCCGCCGAATTCTGCAAATTTCTGCGTTGGTCTAAAGAAGAGGCTCCTAGCATCTACGGTGAAATCATATTGGCGCTGGATATAATGAGAGATAACTTCTTCCTCAAGAAAGACACTGTATCACGTAAGAAGCGAACGAGTCCCAATTGATCACCACACCGTCAACCCCCTTAACCTCCGACCTTCATCAAATAGCCACAGCAGCCAGCGTGATGACTCGACGTGGAAGGTTTTGACGCTAGTCCCTATCAAGGAGTGTTCGGTCCAAACAGCTGGCCACTGAGAGCTTTCCGGTCCGAAGTCTAATATCTAACGTTTCCCTGTAGTTGCGGCAATAGTCTATAATGATTACGCTGGTTGGTATGCACAGCCCCAGGGAAAAGGCGAGGCAGATTGGAGGTGCCGGAATAACGACCAAAGCAAGAGCGAAAACTACGAATTCTGAAATCTTGGGTAAATTCCTTGAGAAGCTGACAGAGTTTAAGCCATAATACGCACGGAGAGGAAGCACCCTCACGTCCATCATGTACGTTATGAATGCAACGATAATTCGCCTCTGCTTTACTGCTCGTAAGGGTACTGTGGTCCTTGTGTGTGCCTTGGGCGCTGCGAGGAATAGAAAGTGGGAGTTGTATACGCTATTCACTTTGGTCCAATCCTTCCACTGTACTCAGGTCTGTCGGTTGCTAGAGCGATGCCGTAACAAGATACCCGACTGGGTTAGATTGAGTGCTGGTAGGAAGTCGCCATGCACACGAACATCGTTGATTGGTAGCATCATGCGAAACCTACGGCCGTAGCAGAAGAAGATACCACTTCTATGCCACCATAATGCTTGAACTGGCAGACGATGAACTGGTTACCTTGAGTATGAGACGTATAACAATCGCCTGACACATTCATATGTAACGCTTTCAAGCAGCCCTTAACGTCTTGAGCATCTCAAGCATCCAAACTTCCCACTACCGCACTACCAGACTTTCCTCTTCGCATCATTCCACGCTATCATATTTACAATGACACCCACAGCCGTCATTGTTCACTCCATAACCTTCCTCTCCTCTCTCCTCCTGATAGCTCTGTCTATTACCGCGTTTTATACGAGCGGAGACGCCGCCCAACGCCTCGCGAAAGATTTTCCCCCAGCCAGGTATGGTGTATGGTATGGCCCTGTGAATGCTGACTGGAAAGAAAACGGAACGCACTTATTGCAGAAGATGGTACGCCTCGACTACGACTGGAGGTCCGAGAAGCTTGTTTGGGCTGCCGCCTCACTGAGCATTGTGGTCGGACTGTCAAGCGCAGTTATCGAGGTGACGAGACTGGTTCGAGGTCGCAGAAACGTAGGTCACTCTTCCAGCCCGCTTCATCTACGGTACGTAGTGGGTTCTGTTGTACTCTGATTAACTCCCAGCACAGAACGGTAACACCGCGACTACATCGAAGGCTTTAGCAATCACTACGATTGTCCTGCCAACCGTCGCCTTCGTCGTCTCTCTGATCGCAATGATCTTCGTTAACGTACAGCACCAGAAGCTCGGGAACACGACGTGCGACATAATGGCCGACGTATCGCACGAGTACATGTGGCCAATGCCTGCGCATGATACGTATACTTGCACGAGGGAACTCGCTGCTTGCAACATGGTGGACAGCTTTGTTGAACACGGAACGTGGTCGCCGTCATGTGTGGAGTTTGTAAGTACATACACATCGTGTTTAGCGTCTGTTTGCTGTGGCTGGCCATTGGGACAGAAAATTAGCAGGCATGTGCTGATTCCGCTTACCGTCTTCTCGGGTCTTGTGGCTTTGGGGTATGGGGCGCAGGTGTGGTTGGAGAAGAGGGAGAAGAGTGGGGCATTGGATGCGGAGGAGAGGGTGCGACGACTTCAGGAAGACGGGGAGGAATAATTGACTCGTTGGTTGTTGTAATGATAGTGGCGCTTGGTTTTGGTATACGCGAAGACGTGGGCAAAGTCATCCCAGGAAGGATGCGAACATAGGCGCCTCGAGCGTTTGATACTGATTGATGTTCGGGAATGTCACGACGGAACGACGCTTCAGCATGTATATTGTTTGCTTCTCCGAGCTTGTGAGGCTGAGATCCGGTTCTTGATTTCTTCCAAGCAACCCTCAAGGATTGATGCCAATGGCGGTGATTTCGGTCCATATGAGCTCCTATTGTGTGGGGCGAGGTTGGGAAAGCGTAGGCAACCCGGGAAGCGCTCGCAGTAGCAGCAGTGTAATCCATTATCAATGCTGGCAATTGTCTCATAAAAATGCCGACTCAAACGGAATTTTGTTTGATCCGAGACATTGTGCTTGTCGAGGTCGTTAGGCTGCGTAGAAGGTACTAGGCCTAGCCAAACGGTACTCGTGGCCGGGATGAACGGCCTTGGCGAGCGCTCTGGCCACGAGAAATTCGATCTGGTTGTGATCGCATGGGCTCTTTCCTCACAGCTCGCCGCTTGTACCTTCCGCTCCCTCGCACCTTCCCATCGCCCCTCATCGCGTCTTTGCTCTATTGCAAACCCGTCCTCTTCTGCCTCTCTTCCTGCAGTCGTGTAGGATAATTCGCTTGGTGCGCCGCCCGGTCCTCGCATTTGCTTGCCTCTCCGCTGCCCCCCTCTCGCAAGACGTCAGTAGTAGGTGCATCGACCTCTCCCTCAACGGCATCGCTGACGAGTCTCTTTGCGTAGCTTCTTCCTCAATCTCTTTGAAGACTCAATCGATCACGCACCTCTCCGGCCGCGACCGCGCCCCACGTTAGAGCTTCCGCTATAATATACCTTTCTCAACCACAAAGATGGCAACCGCCGCCGAGCTCCCTGTCAATGGCAGCTACGCGCAGCAAGGCTTCGATGGTAGCAACTACGCCAGTGCGGGTGCCAACAGCAACGCACCTACATACTCAGCTTCCGCTTCTGCACCGACCCAGAGCTCCGGCACAGCAGCGTCTGAGATCCCCAAGGACGAGGTTGGCTGGTACTTTGTCGAGCAGTACTACACCACTCTGAGCAGGAGCCCGGACAAGCTCTATGTGAGTTGTTCCTTGCGCAAACCAACGGCCGTGACTGACAGGAGCACAGCTTTTCTACAACAAGCGCTCGCAATTCGTCTCTGGCAATGAGGAAGACAAGGTCAACGTCTGCGTTGGACAGAAGGTATGTAGTTTGCGAGATATCAGATTGCGCATTGGCTGACAATGGGGCGACAGGCTATCAACGATCGCATCAAGGAACTCGACTTCCATGACACCAAGGTCCGCGTCACCAACGTCGACTCGCAGGGTTCCGACGCAAACATCGTTATCCAGGTCATCGGCGAGATCTCCAACAAGGGGCAACCGCACAAGCGCTTTGCGCAGACTTTTGTTCTTGCCGAGCAGACCAACGGCTACTTCGTCCTCAACGACATCTTCCGTTACCTCGCTGAGGAGCCTGAGGAGGAAGAGGAGCTTCAGCAGGAGGCTTCTGCTCCCGTCACCGGTGTTCAGGAGGTTCCTCCTACCGCTGCCGCACCCGAGGACGCCGCCTTGAACCATAGCGATGAGATCGCCAACTCCGAGGAGGACTTGGTCAAGGTGGATCACAAGCTTGAGGAGGCTGCCCACGAGGAGCCGGTCCAGGAGGTCTCTGCTCCTGCCGGTGCCGTCAATGGCACGCCAGCAACGGAGAATGCTGATGTTATTGAGGCTGAGGAGGCTCCGGCCGCCGCTGTGTCCGCGAGCGAGGAAGCTCCCAGCAAGGAGCCCGAGGCGCCTGTTGAAGAGGAGGTTGCCCAGCCTGAGAAGCCCAAGGACCCTGCTCCTACGCCTACTGCTCCTAAGGCTGCTCCTAAGGCGGCTCCCTCCAAGCCTGCAGTCCCGAAATCCTGGGCCGCTCTCGCTGCGTCCGCCCACAAGGTGGCCACTCCAGCCGTCCCCGCTGCAGCAACGCCTCCACCGCCATCCCAGTCCAAGTCTACTACGCCGGCCCCTAACCAGCCCTTGGCTGTCCCCGAAAAGTCTTCCGCCCCCGCTCGTGAGCCCTCGCCCGCCAACAGTCAGGGCGATGCGGCAGGCTGGCAAACCGCAGGCACCAAGAAGGAGCCATCGCGTGGCCAGACTCAGGCGCCTTCCGATGCAGACCAGAGGCGCGCCTACATCAAGAACGTGTACAGCCAAGTCGAGGAAGGTGCTCTAAAGGCTGCTTTGACCAAGTTTGGTGAGATCGAGCACCTCGACATCAGCCGCCAAAAGGTAAGATTGCATCCTTCTATCTGCTACTTCAGCTAATCTCTTTCACCCAGAACTGCGCTTTCGTCGACTTCAAGACGGGAGCAGCATTCCAGGCTGCCGTCAACGCCAACCCACACACGGTTAACGGTCTCGAGATCAAGGTCGAGGAGCGCAAGCTCCGTCCCCAGCAGGGGTTCGGCGGTAACAACTTCCGAGGCGGCCCTGGCCGCGGCCGTGGTTTCCCTGGACAATCTCGCGGAGGCTTCCCACGAGGTGGCCGCGGTGGGTCCGTTCGTGGCGGCCGTGGTGCTCCCCAGGAGGCCTAAAAAGTCTACCTTCTTCTCCTTTCGCTCCCCCACACCTTACCCCAGCCAACAAGCACTCTCCCCATCTATCAGACATGGCTTATATCATGACGACTGACGGCTCTATTTACGTGTACTGTATCCGCCCTTCAGCGCTTGTCCAAAAGTTACGTCTTCGTTTCGACAAAAAATGGGCGTCTGCTTTTCCTTGCTACGGCACCCACGTACCCTTGCATAGCGTCTCCTTTCTTGGCATTTCCCTGTACCCTATGTACATGTTCGGCAGTGTGTTTTTAGCACTTGTTTTCACTTCGTCTGTTAATCTTTTTTGATATCCTCTTTTTCCGGGAAAGGCATATACGGGGGTCTGGATAGGAGCAAGGGATGTCGCGTGTCATTTACTGGGGTAAGGGTTTACGTGGGCGGAGGTATCTGGGTGTAGATGGCGGATCTTGCTGAGAGCTAGATTGTGCAAGGTCCTGAGCATAACGCACACAAAAGAATCTAGGGGCGGTGCAGTGTCGCGCTGTAGTGGCCATGTATGATAGTAGTCATGATACGTACTGCATTCAATGATATGTGGAACGGTCACAGATAACGTCACCTGACGGACATGCTGCAGGTGCAGGTGACCGGTGGTTAGCTGATGATGTGATGCGATTCGCTGACTAGGATAGCTCTGGCTGCATGCCGGAGCGCGGCCGGTATCTAAGCAAGTAGACATCACACTGCGACTTCCCTCGTAGCAGCATTGACGGCAATATATCGTTTGCTAATTCACAAGTTCACTTGATCTCCGTGATCTACCTCGAAACACGGCGCCCGCTTTACCTCCAGAACAGTTGCACGGTCCAAGCGGGGGTGTGCGGGGGTTACCGCTTCGTACACTTCGACCGCTCGTTACCGCTCTCCGAAGCTCAGCAGCTCTCTAGACTCTCAACACCTGCTGGCTTCCCGGCCTAAGCTCAGAGCTCTCCCAACATGCGACCGCTACCGGGCGGCGATGCTCCGCCCTCAAGCAAACCACGGTCGCGAAAGTCGAGCGTTGCCGATGCTTCGGTCATAAGTAGCGGCCCTGCGAGCCATGTACCCACAACGTTCTTCATGAGGACCGAGGAAGACATGGAACAGTCTATGCAAACCTCGAGGAGCACTGCAGCAGCCAAGAGACAGAAAGAAAGCAACTTCGGTATACAGAGCCTGGCAGATACACTGGAAGCAGCCTTTGGTAATGAAACCCAGCCCGGAGATAGCAGAGGCGATAACATACGTGCGCATCGTGCTCAGAGCAAACAAAACGTCCGGCGAGCTTCGCGTGAATCCTCGCGGCCAGCTAGAAGGGACCCTGAGAGCTGCAAGTCCTCGCCGCCCCGAGCGAACAGGAGGGACATGTCCACCCACTCTTTGTCGAACCCGATGTCGCCTCTTGACACCGACTCGCGGTCGCCGGTGCCCCCCTCGGCGATGCCCAGCTCCCCAACATCAGCCTCGTTACATTCATTCAAGCTGTCCGACGAAGAAATAGGCTCAGACGGAGTTGCCAGCCAGGCGGTAGCTTCAGGCGGTGAAGAGGAGGAGGACACGACGGTCAATGAGTCCGGTAGCTTTCCGCAATTAGTCATGCCGAGCATACAAATGCCTTCACGGAGACCGTTCACTACGAAAGGAAAGGCCATGGGCAAGCTGAAGGTGCTTGTTGCTGGCCAGGCTGGTACGTCATCTTCCTATTGTGTATAATGATGTACTTCGTGTTGGTGATTGCGTCTAACATGTATACAGGTATTGGAAAGACATCACTCATACGATCCATCGTCCGACTATGCGAGGACATCGTGCACGTCGACCCACTTTCTCCGTCTAATTCCCTATCGCAACCCTCACCGTCAAAGTCGAGGTCGCGAAAGAGGAAGATTGGTGCTACTAGTACACCTCACATTACCGAGACACACGCCAGTACCAAGTCGTATCCAGCCTGGTATACGGATATTGAAGAATCGCGCGTATTACGACGACGTAAGAGCAGCACAACAGATGCAGTGTTAGAGCGGAATCTATGCTTCGTGGACACTCCTGGATATAGTTCCGACGCTTTAAAAGCTGAAGACATGGGTCGGGTGATAGACTACGTCGAAGGTCTATTATATCAGACAACTTCGGTGTCCAGTATGGACGACAGTGACTTGTTCGGAGTCATTAGCGGCAGCGGTGGTATTGCCGTTGACGTGGTCTTGTACCTTTTGCCTCCACGTAAGCGCCCTGTCCCGTTTCCTGCAAGATTTACTTAATATTCGCTAGGTCATGACATCTCAGAGGATATCGAATTCATGCAGCGACTTTCTGCGCTCACGAACTTAATCCCGGTCATCGCCAAATCCGACACGCTTCCCGCCAACGAGCTCGTCAGCATCAAGACCTCCATTCTAGCACGATTACAAACATCATCTATCAAACCTTTCTTTTTTGGTAACGCAGTCGACGATGCGTTGCTCGCTGTTCAGGAGCTTTCCTTGGAGCAGTCTTCACCCGCATCGTCGGCCGAAAAGTCAGCATTAGAACCTAAAGAGTACCCTTTCCCCGTTGCAACCCACCCGTATGCAGTATCCTCGACGCTGGGCCCGGATACCGACACAATGGACGCTTCGCTTCTCATGTCACCCGATTATGTGCAGCCACTACTACCATCCGAGCTCGCCACCCTTGTGAATCGGGTATTTGATCCCGACTCAATTGCATGGTTACGACACTCTGCGGCAAAGAAGTTTCTTACTTGGCGGCGGCGAACAAAGCTGCCGGGAGATTCTTTCATCCTCCAAAGCCTGCAACAACAGACGTTGCGACGCGGCAGTGCATCAACCAGCGCCTCGGTCGGCCTCAACGGCGCTGCGCCGAACAGTAAGAACCAATGTCCTTGTATTCATCCCAGCTAACAATCTCATAGCGTCTGATGCATCTTCTATATTCACGCCAGTCTCACCTTCAGGCGTCCTAGTCCCTCAAGCAGGCTCTCCATTCTACGCGTCCAATCTCCAATCTCCTTTCCCAGCATCGTCGCCCTCATTAGCACACACTCAGCCCGAAACTCTGGACAACCTTCCTGATTTCTCCCTCGCACGTTATCAGAGCGCCGCACAAGGCGAGCAGCGTCTCGCAGAAGTCCGCCTCGCAAAGTGGGCCACTGATCTCCAGCGCAGCCTCCGAAACGAGAAAGATCGCTATGAAGAGCTCCAACGCACCGAACGCGCGAAATGGCTCCTCGAGCGCGTGGGCGAAGAAGTCGCAAGCGGAAACATCGTTGCGAGTCCCGGTGGGTCGCCCCGCGCCGACTGGGCCGTTGTCAAGCGTGGAGCTGCGAAACAAGGACTTGCCGGGCGCGGTCTTCCCTCGTACGGGCGCAGCGGGAACGTGGATTCGAGAGACCCGCTAGGCTTGTGCGACTTCAGCGACGAGGTTAGGAGGAGGGGCTTCGTGCTTGTGAAGGTACTGGGTGGGATGAGCGTGCTTGGAGCGGTCATGGTTACTGTGATTAGGATGTGTGGGTGGGAGACGTTGGTGCCTGAGGGTGGGGTTTGGAGGTGGCTTACGGGGCAGACGGAGTAAGGTAGGGGTTGTTTATGTTGGGTGGAGTATGCGTTATGAGATATGCGGGTTATGATGTTGATGGAGTGTTCTGTTTTGTGTATACCCATGGTTAAGGGAAGTTAAGTGGGGATGGTTGGGCGATGAAACTCGGCTCTGGATAGGGAAGCTCGCCTCAATGTAAAGAGAATAATTATGTAAGGCTTGTAAGTGATGCGAGAGTATGTTGTTCAGGGTGCGACGCGGAAGAACGATATGGGTACTGTAGGGCATGGCTGCTGGAAGTACGGACGCCTTCTCAGCTTGCTAATGGGCTACGTCCTGTCATCATGTGTGAACATTGGTATACACTTCCAGCGCATCTTCTGGACCCGGCATGCCGTAACCCCCGAGCAATAAAAACATCACCAGTGAGTGGCATACGAGGTTCTCTGATCTCAGCGATGCATATACCATGTCTAAAATTTGAATGCACTTACCCAACGCTATATTCAAAACCAGAGTCATTATGGGCTCGAAAGCAGCCTATGCAACAAACGGGGTATTATCAAGAAAGAAAAGAATTCGAACACTCCGGCCTACCCTGCCTCAGCTCATCCATCCCCTAGTCGAATATCTTCGAGAAGAACTTCTTCCGCTTCTGCGAGGGGTCAGTATTTTCATTTCATAGAGGCTGGTTGGAGAGCACATACAATGTTGATGGAGGAAGGCCGGACGGCCGCAGGCGGAGGGTCTAGCAGGACGCCTGCGGGGAGACTGCCGGGCATTTCGATGGCGGTTGGGGCAGGGATGGGAGCGTAATGTGCGTATATCTGTGGTATTTGCTGTACCTGCTGTATCTGAGGTATCTGCGGTATTTGCGGTATTTGCGGTATTTGCGGTGATAAAGACGGCGACGTCATGTTCGACTGCTGTGACAAGGGCGTCATGGGGCTCGGCGGGGAAAACATTGGAGGTGGCGAAGCGAGATGTGGTTGTTGAGCAGCATATGGCATGTTGGGTGGTTGTTGAGCGCCATACTGCATGTTCGCCGGTCGGGTGGCAGCTCCGCCATGAGCGTGCGTGATTTCCGCCTGCCATTGCGCGAACACTTCGTTCATCTGTGCCATCCACTCCGGGGGCGCGCCTGTGAAGTTATACTGCACGGTGCGATTGCGGAACGCGACGAAGTAGTGGTCCTTGTTGTACGGTGAGATGGCCAAGTACTGCACACGCATCAGTCACACATCCCTATCCCGCCCATCACAATATAGATTTAAACTCACAGAGACGCTCCGCGGCTCCGCGTCACTCAGGATCTTGTCCAGCCCGGTGTATCCGCCGTAGAACTTCCAGGAGTAGTAGCCGTCTGGCCATAGGACGAACCAGGCGTTGTTCATGCCCAGCGCAACGCAGCACGGGGTATCATATGCCTTCTGTATCTTGTCGCTGAGCTCCGAGGGGATGCCTGCCCAGACGGAGCCTCTGCCTGGGGCGCTCGCGAAGTAGCTGTAGCCCTGGCCGAAGGTCACGTAGCACGAGCGGGGCGCGTTGGGGATTGTTTTGGTCCATCGGGAGAGGTCGGGGTAGTTTGAGTCGAAGGAGTTCTGCGAGTACACTGTCGTTTGCCTATCAGCATGTTGTTTCGTTTCGTGTCGGCGCGACAGATAGGGCTGAAGCTAGGCGAGCGGGGAGCGACATCGAAACCAAACCAAACTCACAGATCTTCTCCTCCCCTGCCAACACTTTACACCCGACATACCAGATCGGCTCCGGCGCATTAATCTGCGGCGCGAGCGCAAGGCAAAAAGGCTGCGCGATCCGCCATGGCGGGCTCATAGACGAGTTAAACAGCTGCCGCAGAGTCGGCGGGATGTTGTGACTGCTTCCCGTCAGCTCACGTCAGACATTCATTCTTTGCGCGGAAAGGACGTACAACTTCCATGTCTTGGGACAGTCGAAAAAGAAGCTGTTGTTAGGTCCGAATATGAATGTTATCTCGGGCATGGCAGCATCTTGCGACGGCCGTCGTTTGGTTGTAGATCGAGGGCCGAAGAAGCGGTGGGAAGGAGTGGAAGTCAGCCCCCAGCCAACTCACGGAACAGCGACGCGCTGGGTGCCGGTGAGCGATCGGCACCGAGAGGACGCGTGGGTCGAGCCCGACGGATACGAGATTTAGGACTCAGGCGCTCCACGATGTTGAGATGGCGGTCGCTGCGCCAATCGTGGGCGAGTGATGCGGGCTGTGGCGTTGCGGCGCAGTGCGTGGGGACGAATCAGGGTCCAACGCAACAAGTCTTCGATGTCGAATCCTAGGGCCATCGCCCAGCACGAACGTACGAAAGAATGCTGTGACAGCTTCGCATCTTTTCAGAGGATGGCTCTTTGTCTTCATGAATGTCACGAATAGTAAGCGTAGTGCTGTTTAGATGATCAAGTATGCAAGGTACGCCTGAGTCTCCTGCTCTTGGGTGAACAGTTGCACACATCGCAGCAGGCTGCGGTTTTGATACCGGCAGTTGCTTGCCCACGGCCAATCAGTACAACTTACACAACCTGCTACGTTGTGGCTGTGCAAGGCCGTATCGTTGCCGCCTACACAACAAAGTGAAGAGAGTATACCACAACACCCCTTCGCCGGCTAAGGATCTAGCTTTGTTTTTTTCCTCTTGACGTATATTCGCAACTATGCTTCGACGAAGTCCTCGACCTCATGGAGTTACAAAGAAACCTACGGAACGCCGTCAGCGCAAGACTACCGTGCGACGACACCTGAAGAATGCACGACCTCAAGCTACAGGTACCATCTCGGATTCTGACCAGGTCTTCGTCCACGAGCCATTAAACCCTCCCGACGCTATCCGACTGGTCGAGGTCTTGCCTCTAACAGAAGGGTCTGGTGATATCCTTCAAATTCGATTACGACAGGGCAAATCCAGCGAGCCCTATCGATGCCTCTCATACATGTGGGGTGATCAAACGGAGCACTTCCCAATTCTCGTCAACGACAGACAGTCATGTGTTGCTCGGAACCTTTATGACTTCTTACGCCAGATCGCAAGCCGACAGGAGGCGTCCTTTCCACTCTGGATCGACGCCCTATGCATCAATCAAGCGGATAATGTTGAGAAGAGCGCCCAAGTCCAACGGATGGGCGACATATATTCCAAAGGAGAGGAGACTATCGTGTGGCTGGGGTTGGGAACGGAGCGTCGTGCACGAATGATGCAAGCGGTATCAACAACGGAGTGGAAATTTGAGGACCTTGATTGGAGCAAAATTATAGATGTCCTGATTGAACACATGTCGCCTGACATGGTGGGCAATCTATTTGACCTTTGCTCAAATCGTTACTGGAGACGCGCATGGATTGTTCAGGAAGTACTCCTCTCCAAACGCTTTATCATATTGAGCGGCAACGGCACGATGGATGGTGACGCACTGCTGAGAGTCTTGACAATGACACAACGGTACCATCACTACCTCGCTGATCTTCTTAGAATCTATCCTTCCAGCGCACTGCCAGAAGAGATTTTAACACACCCCTCAATGATGTGTCTGATAAATACCCCATGCTCCAAACTCTTGTGGCCACTATTTGTAGGTGACAGAAAGCCTCATTCCGGTTGTTATCTTGAAAACAGGGATTATTTGTGGGGAGAATGTGCGGATCCGCGAGATAGGATTTTCTCGATTCTAGCGCTCGTTGAACAGCATCCGGAACGACCTGTGGTACGCGCAGACTATTCGAAGACAGCAGTGGAGGTGTTCCAGATGGTTTGGAAGGCTGAAGAAGATCATTTGCACGAGGGCGACCAGGACATGCCATTCGAAGCTGCTTTTGAACGATGGAAATTCGCGAAATCCCTCGGAGATGCACTTGGTCTCCAGGAAGATGAGAAGGTTAAGGCCTTTGTGGGCTTGTTGTATCTCGAGACAGACAAGTATTAGAATCAATAGAACAAAAGTCAGAGCCTAGGAACAGCACAAGAAGTTGGGAGGACATGGGGAATCCGACCCAAGGCTGACATGCCGACTCGAGATAGTGGTTCCTGTATCTTTCTGGTGGGAACTCAAGCCGCAACATTCGGACGTCTACAGTGCTCAACCTCGAAGAAGTCACCTTGTCAAGCATCAATGCTGCCGATGTAGCTCACGTGGTACCTGCCTGATCGATACCTAGAAGTTTCTACAACTTAGTAAACTTTCAGCTCGGATGATATAGGTATTTGATTCGTACTTGCTAGATAGCGCAAGATATTCAAGAACGTGGTTGATGTTTCAATAGAAATGAGTTCGGCTCAAGAGGGGCACCAGCTTCAACATAGAACAGTCGATCTGTCGAGGGTTTGTAGGGGAAAGCAAAACTTACTCAACCCTGATTCAGGTCCCTTCACAAGAGAAAAGCTGGCTCCGGTTCACATGAAGGGCAATAAACATCGTGAACTTCCTTCGCTTGGATGGATGAACGAATCCGGCGCTGAACCGGCATCTTCTGGTAGGATTCTCAACTGTGGCCCCATAGCGAGTGCATACGTATGTGACACAGGTGCCTTGTACGAGCCTCTCTAGCAAAATCCTCAAAATCTATATCCGAAGGCGTAAATTAATTCTGGTGTTGGTATCAATGCGATTGCGCCGAAGGGTGGGGGCATGTCGATGCCACTGATCACCTTCCCAATTGGGATAGATCTTGCGTAGTACCTGCAGGCACGAAGCTTGACGTACGAGCGATTGCCTCGGATAGATACAGCGTCGGTGCGATAGATCAACAATGGGATTGTTGATTGTAATCACTGTCGGATAAAGCATGCGATACATCACCGATTAATACTTTATTCATTACAGACTCCAGCAACGCATGCGCGCATTGCGATAATGGCATCAGGAAGAGCTTGGAGCTTTCGAGCGGGGGCAGTGTGGTTATTAACCGGTATTGCTGCTGCTAGTCCGACTGTCAAGGTCCTTAATGGCACGTATGAAGGCCTCCATTTACCGCAATTCGGACAAGATGTATTTCTCGGTATCCCTTATGCCCAGCATACTGGAGGCCAAAATCGCTTCAGAGTTCCGCAAGCGCTCAACGAGACGTGGAATGGAACACGCCCCGCTCAGACATACAGCGATGCCTGTCCTGACTTCCAGCCGAATGCTGATGCGGCATATGGGATGAGTGAAGACTGCCTTAGTATCAACATTGTTCGGCCGACTGGGATACCAGAGAATACCACTTTGCCTGTTGCTGTGTGGATCCATGGTGGCTCGTACCAGGTTGGCACAAGTGGGCTTCCAAATTACAACTTGACGTGGCTTGTGGAGCGATCTGTGGCGATAGGTAAGCCCATCGTCGCAACAAGCATCAACTACAGGAAGGGAGGATGGGGGATGTTATATTCTCGGGAGATCCAAGGAAGTGGAGAAACGAATCTGTCGTTGAGGGATATGCGAAAAGCCCTAGTGTGGATCTCAGAAAACATTGCGGGATTCGGCGGTGACAAAGACAGCGTTACAATCTGGGGAGAATCCGCCGGCTCGTTCGCTGTCGGCCAACTCGTTCTTTCCTACGGCGGACGAACAGATGGGCTCTTCCATCGTAGCATTCAGGAATCTGGATCAGCTGCAACAGCTTGGTACAATGGCTCCGACTGGTATCAGCCCATCTACGACAAGATCGTGCGACAGACGAACTGTACCGACTGGCCCGACACACTATCTTGCCTCCGCACCATCCCCTACGAAACCATCTTCCCCTTCCTCGATTCCTCCAAAGTCGGCGGACCAGGTTTCTACCCCACAGTCGACGGCGACATCATCCCAAACTATCCCACCGAGCTCCTCCACTCCGGCCGCTTCGCCCACATACCCCACCTCTACGGCTCGAACAGCGACGAAGGAACCGACAATGCACCAACGAAGATCTTCAACACAGACCAGGATATCTACGATTACCTCCTCGGCAGCACAGGCTATGATTTCCCTCCCAGTGTCGTACGAAAGATAATGGAGCTTTACCCAGATGACCCAGCCCAGGGCATCCCACTCAATACAGGTGCAGAGCGCTTCGCAGAGCAGGGTTACCAGTACAAACGCGCAGCTGCTATCATCGGAGATGTGTTCTACCACGCTACTCGCCTAGATGACGCCCGTCAGTACGCAAAGTACTCACCTACCTACACCTATCGCTTTAACACGCGGCCGTTTGTGAACGCTACGAACGCCACTTTTACCGATTACGTGGGCGGACTGGCGCCTGCGTACAAGGGTGTGCAGCATTTCAGTGAAGTCGCGTTCATCTTTGGGAATCCGCAATTCGTAGGGCCGTGGGAGGAGTACAAGGCGTTGAGTGATCAGATGAGTGCGCAGTGGGTTCACTTTATTAATGGGGGCGATCCGAACGGAGAGAGTTTGCCGGAGTGGCCGAAATACAGTGAGGGATCGCAGGGTTTAAATTTGGTGATCCAGGCGCAGGGGAGGGGATACAACGGGAGTTATGTGGAGGAAGATACGTATCGTTTGGCAGGGAGGGAATATCTCACTAAGTGGGCGAGGAGGAGGCATGTATAGCTACGGTAATATTCCTGCACACTACACAGAGAGGGCATTCATAACGATGAACGTGTTGCAAGAAGTCTTGAAGTCTTTTGGTCATTGATGACTACACACTAAATATATACACTAGAACATATGTTTAAACATGTCTGAGCATGTTCGCTGAGGTAAATTCAGCACATGGAACGTCGCAAGTTCTCCTTCGAACTACACCGAGTGCGAAATATTTACAAGCACTGGGAGTAGTAGGGGTTCTGCACCTGACACGTGGTGCCGGACACACAGCCAGTAGCACCAGTGTAGTTGTTGCCACCGCACTGGCCCCACTTGGCAACAGAGCCAGCAGCCTTGGAGGGAGTGGCGTATCCAGCAGTGGTCTTGACGACAGTGGCGAGGGTAGTGGGCTTAGCAGCGGCGGAGGTAGCAGCGGCCTTGGTGGACGTAGCCTTAGCAGAGGTAACAACGGCCTTGGTGGAGGTAGGCTTGGAGGCGGCAGCAGAGGTTACAGCGGCGGCAGAGGTCACAGCGGCGGCAGAGGTAGCAGCGGCAGAGGAAGCGACCTCCTTGCTAGGGGAAGCAGCGCCAGCTCCGAGGCCAGCGTTGACGGCAGGGCCCGGGATGGGGTAGGTGCTAGCACCGCCGTAGATGTTGAACAAGACACCCGCATCGTCGGTCTTGTAGACGGTCTGCATGTCGACACCGCTGGTGATGCTCTTGGTGCCAGAGGAGGTGACCGTGATCTGGCCGCAACCGTTGTAGAACTGGGCCTTGCCAGCGGCGCTGGCCTCGTGGAGAGCGATAATCTCAGAGCGGATGAGGTAGTCACCGGCAGCGAGGTCAGGGACGGTCACTTCGATCGCGCCAGCGTTGCTGCGGAAGGTATCGACAGCCCAGGTGCTACCGCTAAGGCCAGACTCCTGGATCTTGACCCAGGCGTCACCCTTTCCTTCGGTGTCAGCCTTGGCGACCCAAACCATGATGGGACCCTTGTGGGACTGAGATCTGATTAGCCATGTCTCGGATATCCTTGATTCTGTAATCATACCTCAGCAATGGGCTCATCGCCATCGCCAGATGTCATGGGGTTGTTGTGGTGCCACTGGAGAGTGAGCTTGTCACCGCTGGCAACGCTGACCGAGCCAGCGACCTTGGAGCCACCCTTGCAAATGATCATGTCGGAAGCAAGCTCAGTTGCTGTGGAATAGATGGGGTTGTTCTGGTTCGAGGTGCCACGGACACCAGTGGAGCCCTGGGACTTTCCGTTGACGAGCATCTCCTGGAAAGTAGCGTGGGCAGCGGCGAGCTTGCCGACAGCGGCGAGGGTGAGGAACGTAGCGGTCTTCATTGTTGCTGATGTTGTGATACAAGTGTGAGCTCAAAAATGAAGCAGATGAAGCGAATGGACTGTCCTAAGGTTGAACAAGAAAGCAAAAAGAGCGACGAGTTGCGAAAGAGCGTGGGTGAAAACGAATGTCAGCTTCAAGCTTGTCCTCCCATAACAGATACCAAGAGTTCTTTATATACTGTACCACTACGCCGTACCACGATGGCGGTGAATCGACCGAGATGGCGGATCCGTGCCTCAACTAGCAATTTCGGTACTAGGAATTGCGGGAACCAGGGGCTCGGCAAGCGCCTTTCACAGATGTCATCTCTTCAGATACACGCTAGGCGCTCTCTAGAACAAATAGATCCTGACAAGACTGAGAAATAGCCCGATAAGTAAGTGTCAGGCTACTAGCTCCCGCGCAAAGCGTTCGCTAGAGGAACGTTTGATTGCACGTTCTCTCTCGCCCGAGGCTTAAGGATTTCGCTTGGATGCATGTGTCTAGGACTCCGTTGTTCGAGATGCCAATAGTCGCATAGTGGATGACTGTGGCTGGACATGAAACATCCACATAAAACCTAGCCTGCAGCCCGGCGGTAATGCCAGACGTCCGGACGTCATCTGCACTTCCGTTTACAGAACAGATGACCTTGTTGGCTTTGTCTCTGAGGTCTTAAAAATCATGTTGACGCAGTCTCCCTCCCGGGTTCGGCTGAAAATCTTTGCTGTGAACACTCATGGCGTCAGGAGACATCCTAAGCACCTGAGACCTGCGTGGAAATTTCATAGGGATTCTCATTTCGCGTGTACAAAATGTGCGGGTCATGTCTAATGGACTAAGATGCAGTAAGCGCGGGCGTATCGCATCGGCGGCCAATTTTGAGATGAAATTCTGGTAGATTTGACATCACGTGAATTTGTTCCACCAATGAGAAGCGACCGTGTCTCTTTCCATCCCAATCCACAAATCTCGAGAGCGCAATGCCTTGCGGGAAATATCTCATTTTGTCGTCCAGCCGTCCTCATAACACGAATGCGGCAATACAAATTCTGACATTTGCATATAGATCGCAGGATCATCTAGAGCTGTCCCCTTCGCTCTGCGAGAGCTGCTTTCCAAGCTCAAGCGTATCGCTCTCCGGCGACTATAGGTATCATGCCGTCTAACCCCCTTCTGAAATGAAAAACTTCACTTCCGTTGGTATCTATGTCTCTCTATGCACGGGTGCGTAAGATGAAGCTCAGTCGAGCCTACTCGCACCTGCACGCAGCCTTATCCAGTCGCACATATCTCGGATACCATATGCCACAAAACATAGGGCCAGCAGTTGCGCGGGCGGCACTTGCACTTCCAAAATAGGAAAAAGCAGATAATACCGCGACTCAGGATGAAATTCGGACACTGCATGACACGATATCATGGGTAGAAAAAGAGAAGAGTGAACTTGATGGAACCGTCACGTCGCTTGAAGCCTGCATTTTAGCTACCAGGCGAGAGAATGCTAGAGCAGTACAAATACCTCAAAGTCTATCATGATATAGGCCAAATTTGTAAGAACTTTCAAGTCTTACGCAACAGCTAGTTGACCGGTGAGGGGCATACATCAAGTGGCAGCCTATCGAATCGCGCCATGCAATCAGTCGTCAAACCAAGCCACGCGCCCGATGATCTAGCTCTATATTGAGTCGTCTACACCAAGAAAGCTGAACTACAACTCTTACTTACCAACTCCATTTAAATTATTAGACCACCCCCGGATCAGAGGCCATCTACCACGGAATCCCGCCGTGCCCAGCATGCGCATATTGATTAAACGGAGAAAGCGGAGCATGGAAGTCCGGTTCAGGAGAGCCGAGCACCCAGTATCGGATACTTACGAGCCAAGCGCTGCCATCTCACGTGCAGATAGCCCGGCAACTTATCGTGTGGTCGTACCATAGAGTCGCCGCAGCCAGCTAGAGAGTCCGTTCGTTTCGCAGGATACCATAGGTATTCGGGAAATTTATTGGAATCGCGTTCAGCACTCCTCGTTTGCCTCCTATTCCTCGACTATATGAATTACCCGCGGACTCGCCAAAAGAGTTCGCTAGCTACCACAATATCGACTGGCGAGAGTGCACTTGGAGATTACGTGAGATCGATTCAGAAGAATAAAGAGCATCTCGCTCTGTCCCAATGTGCAGCGTTGGTGCTCAGTCTTTTTATTTCCTTGACATCCCTGCACACAGCAAGTATCTCAACGACTCTCGGCCCAGTTTCAGGCGACCTATATCGTTTCCGTCCTCGCGTCTACTATCAAAGCCTCGGGCATTACTCAAGCGTTCATCCCCGGCTCCTTGCGGCCCTAGAGCAGACAATAGTGACCCAACATCTACTAGCTTCGCCATGTCATATGGGAAAGCGCATGAGCACTTGAGCACAAACGTGGATTTCAAATGGAGGCCTTACGAATATCAGGCATTAAATCATAGCATAGGACAGGAGATCAGGCTGATAAAACTCCATGGAGGAAAGTCTGACGATCCCATTCGATGCGACATAATTCACGTCGATCTCTTGAACCGGCCTGTATATGAAGCCGTCTCTTACACCTGGGCCACGGAAGATGGAGATTCACGGCTCACGAACACAATAATCGTGGGTGATCGCTACGTATGTGTAACTCTCAACTGCTCTTATGCTCTATGGCGTTTGCGCAAAGAGGATACTCCGCGGACATTGTGGGTGGACGCCATATCAATCAACCAAAAGGAAGTCTTAGAGAGAAACCACCAAGTTAGCTTAATGCGGGAGATATATTCCAATGCTTCGATCGTCTGATCTACATTGGCGAATCAGATTCACACTCCCGAGAGATCCTGAGCGGTGCATGGCGGAGGTCTTATGAGGACCCAGATGTTCTGATTCGGGACCAACTGAAGACTTTGACTGGCCATCTTGTCTTCCAAGAAGAGTTAGTTTCCGGACCAGCTTATAGAACTGTCTCTGAATTGTATAATCATGTAAATCCACGGGATTTTCTCTCTCGAAGATGGTTCAGCCGTACGTTAACCCTTTCCTTGTAAACATTATCATCGAATCGTGCTGATAGAAACCACCACGTAGGTGTTTGGGTGATCCAAGAGGTTGCCTTGGCGCAAAAGGCGATCATTATTGCCGGTCAAGATACATGTGTTTACGACCGAGACTTTTTGTATGCCATGCGGACGCGTTCTCGCGGATATAGTCTCATGGTCCCTGGTCCTTTGCAGCTTGACCCTGGCGACTGGCAGAACTCCGATTTACTTGAAATTTTGCATGGCGCAAGGAATTGTTCATCCACAGACCCGAGATATAAGCTTTATGCTCTTCTGGGCCTGGCAGACGACGAGACTCGCGTCGCAATACCTATCGACTACTCCAGATCAATTGAAGAAGTGTTTACTCGGGCAGCCGCCGCATTGATCATACGGAACCAAAACCTTGCCATCTTATCGTACGTCTTTTCTGTTCCAGCAGACATGCATGCCACCTCCACGCTTCCTACCTGGGTTCCAGACTGGACAGATAAGGTCGCTTACCATCCGCTACCGCGCCAATTTATCTACGATGTATGTGGGCCTTGGAAGTTCATAACGCAAATGAAGATTATTTCTCACGTTGAGCAATTGCAAATACCACCTCTCGGTACTTCATACATCGTATTTCCTCCATTATCGACGCCATTCTCTACGTGGCCTTCACTGCTTCTCGTTCATGCCCACTGCATTGGTCGTATTAGCGTGAACCCGATGATGAACGAATCTTTAGGGTCTGCTCCCGTCTTTGGCGATTGTGCAAAAGGACACGTGAGTAAGTCATTGTCGCTATGGCCATACTTCCTTCACTGGATTCGCGACGCGATTACAGGAAGCCCTTCCTATTCAGGCGAGCCGAAAATTGATCGGGATGATTTGCAAGCATTTTGCGAGGGCTTGCGATCGCGCTGGCGTAATAATGTCATCTTCCAAGCCGGAATATTGCCCGCAGTGAGCCTAAAGCATTCTGTAGAAGAAGGTGACAGCGTTTGGATTGTGAATGGTTGTCGGACGCCCTTGATCTTAAGGAGTTCCGATCATCAACAGGAGCTATCCGAGGAGAAACACTCGAGGTCCAGTCTGGCTAAGATAGAGACGTACAAGATTTTCAGTTCATGCTACCTACTAGGACTTAAAGATCTCGACTGCTGGACTTCTGGATCCCCGAAAAGGCCGCTGGATTTCGACCCGTTTCGTGTAATGAAGGGCAAGTCAGCGGTCATTGGTATCGTCTAAGGAGAGCCGATGGCCATCAAGAACTTTGGTAGTGCTGAAGCCTAGGGGACTAGGGCAAAATCTGTTACTCTACGGTTGACACCATCTTTGTATGATACTCACCACAAGCCATAGTATAGAACTAGGAAAGGGTGTGAAGATGGGCAGTAGAACCGGACTGTGTTCAAGAACCTGAACGGGATGCTCGGGATCCAGAATACGACAGCTTCACAATTGGATGGACAAAGAATTACGTTAACCCAGTAACATAGCGCTAGAGAAAAGCAGCACCCTGCTGGCATAATACTCATCCACGCCTAGCAGCTACTGTCCATCACCGTATAGTAAAATAACTAATTATAATTAGATCTTTACTATCACCTTTCACCGCCCGCTCGAAAGTGTTTAGCAAATAAGCTTGGAGGAGACAGGTTCTCACGGTGTTTCACGGTGTCGTTGAGTGAAAAGTGAAAACGCGAATAGGACGTAGTACTCACGATGACTCCACAGACCACAATTTCCATATATTTCAATATCGCGGAAAAAAAGTCAGTAGCCAATCCTTCGTCAAGCTGCTTCTTCCGCAGCCTTAGCAGCCTCAACCTATCCGAGCCACAATGTGTTCATCCGTCCTGGGCAAAAACATCGCAATGTCGAGAATTGTCTTAACTTCTGCGCAAACCCCGAATATCCCATTTGAAGATGCAATACCACTTACATAAATTCCATCGCTTACGCATGCGCTG